CTTACAACACTTTCAGACTCAGACATCAAAGTCATGCACAAAAAATGTCAATTATTTTTACAATCTCAAAGTGAAAAAAAGCACTATTGGATTTTCCAGACGTGCAATTTCAATGAAGAATCTCTCCTTCAGACGATACAATCTTATCTTCCTGACGGGAAATTCTTCTCTTTGAAATGTTCTGTTGGACAAATTAATAGGAAAATATCTGGCATTGCAATCAATCCACGTAATCATGTGACGTGAAATACAACACTTCGGGATACATCAAGTGAGTGTGTGACTTTTGTAATGAGATTTGCCGGCCATTGAGTGAAAAGTGAGCGTGAAAATGCGTGAATTGCCGCGATTGAAGGCGAACGCGAGTGAATTGGTGGCGGATGGCAATCGTCAGAAGCCACCGCTGAGGCTGATGTCTGGTAGGAGTGCACCCAGGGCGCTTCCAGGGAGTCAGCGCGAGAGGGAGGAGAGAGCCGGAAGCAGTGTGTCGACAGAGGGAAATGCCACGGATTCGGAAGAGGAGGAGAGAAACTGCTCGACAGAAGTGACGGATTCCAGCTCATCGGATTCCACGTCGGATTCTGAGCAGAGACAAGTGCTGGAGCCCATTTCCGAGGAAGCCACAACTGGCAAGAAGCGCGCAGATGAGGATGAAAATGGTGAGAAAACTGTGGATTGAGTTAAGGTCTCCGCGTGTGACACACTTTGAGATGATTTTCCACATAGGTTGAAATCGATTTCTCTTTTTCATCGACGTGTTGGTCCAGTGAAACCCTTTTTTGCATTATCACTTCTTGGAGTTTTCTTCTGATGGTTGGAAATTGACTTTTTAAGGTTGTAGAGTTTCTCTTGAATCTTGTAAATTTACCACCTTCAGATGTTTGAATTAAGTCCTTTCGATGCCTCTTGAGAAGAGTGAGACATTCTTACTTATTCTCCAAATGTCTCAATTGCACTTACAGCCTTTCACTTTCTCACTCCCTTTGGATGCTTGGAATTATTATTGATTGAATACTCAACATTTGCTCCAGAAACGTCAACAATCTGCACAAAGGCAAAACTCACACCCACACTTTTGTGTTGTATCTTCACTTGCTGATGCTGCTGGGTGAGAAGAGTAAAGTGATTCGTTATCGATTTTGGGTATGCAAGGCAGGGGTTTATCAATTTTTCAGTCACGCCACGATAAAACAATAATAAATAATTGTGCTATTTTCCCCGGAGAGCGGGAAATCAATGGATTGTGCGGCACAAAACCATTTTCTCTCCCTCAATTTGCTGAAATCTTAAGAGCACATCATTAATTTCTATTGAGTGATAATTTGACAGCAATGGTGGAATGAGTTATTACACAATTTCCGACCACTGCAGAGGGAATTGTTACACATTGTGGAACATGGTGCTATACTTTTCTCTGTGTCAGTTTTGTGTTTTTTTTCCTCAAAGTGAAAAAGGGGGAGAGAGAAAAAATTAACAAGTTTTCCGGATGTGCGGAAAAATACAGTGCAGTGTGCAATTGATGTTGTGAACGAGAAACACGAAATTGTGTGCTTCATCATGTAATTTTGTCGGCAGAAGGAAGAAAAGAGAGTCACAATTTGGAGACGAAATGAAAACTTTTATGTACAGACTTTTCTACTCAATTCTGCCTATTTCTTCCTCTCAATTGTGAGCCCAAGAATTCCATCCATTATTGGAGAAAATCTACCCAACAGTTCAACATCATCACGCTAATAATAGCCAATGGATTTCCTTGTCTTCGAGTGTGATTTCAAGAGGGAAACTGAGCGGGAATTGCTAAGAATGACATTGAGAAATATTTTCCAGATGCTTTTTCTGCGGTGTGAAATTGTGTAAATTTATTCAAACAATTTGACACGTCATTCATCTCAAGCTTTTGATATTTTTTATTAGTTTTAGAGTTTCTCTAAAGCTCTTTCATTCCTTTGGGCTTTGTTGCACTTTTGAATATTTTATCGGGAAGAATCTTCCAGACATGTTCAAAATCTTGGTGTGTAGATTTGATGACGAGAAAATGTTGAAATACTTCCTTACCACATGAAAAATGTTTATTTTCTCATCTCATTGCTGAAATGTTCATGTTCAAAAATGCATGCTTTTCTGTGTTTCTCCTCCCTTTTCATCTGTGACAATGCTCTAATACGAATATAATGGGGGAATTTCTATAAATACGATGCAAGAATTTCAGTTCTTTTTCTCCCCATATTCAGGTAAACTGAAGAGAGTGAGAGAGAGATAGTTCGATAGGGAATTATCTATGGTTTGTGCGAGTCCATAAAAATTGTTTAGACTCACATTTCACTCTTCCTGATTATTTTTTCGTTATATGTGCTTTCCAATTATTTTGGCATGCTTCCAATATTGGTTAAAAATACCTCATGTTCCACTCAATTTGTAATTTTACGAGAGAATTGATGTATATTCTGAAGGGAAAAGTTTGGCTTTTGCCACACAAAGTCTCACGTGGTTATTGTTGCAGTTGAATGGCATGGAAAAATGCTTTAAATTTTGCTACCTATGATTTTTCAAAAAGTTTTTCTTCCTCTCCTGTCTGCCCAGATAATTACTTGGCGGGAGAAATGAGTGCATTTCTCGCGAGACTTGCATCTAATTTGGGCGTCAATTGAATTAAAAGAGACGAATATGTTTCACCCCTTTTTGAATTCATGCTGTAAATAGTTTTCCTCAACTGTGCGCGGTGACGCTCTTGAGACTCTTGATGGAAATGTCTCTCCTTCTGGAGAGAGTGTGGCATGAGTGTGTGATGGCAATGGTGTTTAGAGAGATGAAATTCAAATGAGTGACGCCTTTGGATTTAATATTAGAACCATAGGCCGTGTGTTAGACACAATAAAAATAATCCTACAAGCGCACAGAGTCGCGCTTTTTCCCAACCATGACGACGACGAACTTCTCGTTAATCTCGCGTTGACTGTCTCTGTTGTCTGACTTCATCTCTGCCACTATTTTCAATTTTATTTCTGTGCTCTGGTTGTGTTCTCATAATGTGACTCCTTTTCTTCGCCTTTGGCTGATTGCGCGGTCATTCTTGCAATTCCTGAACTTGGCTGGCAAAAATGAGTGAGAGTGAAGTGAAGTGCAACGAAGAGGACTTCTCGAGTGATGACACGGAGTTCATGGACCTTCCTCTGCCTCCGGTGCCGTCAAAGGCCACGGAAGTGCACAATGTCGACGTCCATCCGTCCGTGGCGGCGTATTTGATGTCCCGGATGGATTGTTTCGATCTCAGGCACATGGATTCGGGTGATGAAGTGGTCTCTGTGTCCGATGACGAGGACACACTGATGGGAAAGAAGATCATGCCAACGCCAAGGCAGAGTATCTGGTCGACATCTGACGAAGAGACGGCGCCCTATGCTGACAAATCGCCTATTCTTGGCGGTTCTGATGCTTCCTCCCTCGAAATTTTGGAGCACTTCAGAGAAACCAGGCAATCTTCTTGTGGTAAAACTGATTTTTACTACATTTTTCCTGTCTCACTCTCTCTCTCTCTCTCGGTAGAGGAGAAAGTGTTGATTTTTCCACAAGGACTATTCGCAAGTCATCAACTGAATGTATAATTTGTGCACTTTGGATTATACGGAGAAAGTTTTATAGCATAGAAAAGCTCATACTAAGTCGCCAGTCGACAGATGTCCGGGAAATTGCGGTTGACACGGAAATTCCTCCGCTTATGAAATGTTTGCAATAAACGGAGGGGAATATAAAAGAGGAACCGATTGAGCGGAGATACAAATTGTTGCGTATCATGAGAAACTTTGATGAAAATATAGACAAGATTGGGGTAGATTTAGTCACATTTAGTTTGTTCTTCAACTTTCTGAGTTGGAAAACAATGAGCATTATGGTGTCTTTGCGTGCTTGTGATTTTTGCAAATTGGGGGGTGGTTTTTACGACTTTTGCGTGTGTAAAAGTCAGAGGGAATTAATTTGGAAAAGTTGTGAAGCATGTGTTTAGTGTAGATTTCCCTGGGGAACTCTTACTGAAGCGACCGTCAAAAGTGTGTCACGCGGGAGAGCAATAACCACAATCTCGGGTTCTCCCCATGAGAAAAAGCACCATTTGTCCCTCTGTTCCAGATGACTCCACATGTTGTGACGAAGACTTCACTTGGGTGCGCTCCGAGGAGCCGCAATCTCTGCCCGCGACACCCTCAACTGTGCCCAGTGGCAAGCCGCCACGGCCGGCGGGCAGTTTGGACAGGAGGCGTCAGGTGACGACGAATCGTCAGGAGAGGGACAGCAAGAGTCGCAGCGCTCACTCGCTGATCAAAGACAAGACAGAGCTGAAGGAGAAGCACCAGGAGAGACACTTGCCGCGCACATCTTCCTTCGAGGGTGCCGAAGGGAGTTATCCTGGACATCGCAGGGAGTCTCCGGGCTTCTGGGAGCCTCCGCCGCCATCGTATCCGTACCACTGGGAAACGCCGCCGCATCCCTTCTGGCCCTCGTGCCACGCGAGTCGCGAGGAGCTGCGCTTAATGGAGATGCACAGGCGGCATCAGGATCACATGTACAGATACGGAAGCAGTGGAGCTCTGAACGCATCCCATCAGGAGTTGTACGGCTGCTGTCAGCGCTATCATCCGCCTCCGCCGCCCTGTTGCTCATGCGAACGTCTCAGTCACTGGAGCCCTAATCAGGTCCTCGATTAGCTCGCGTTTATCCTGCTTTTTGTTCTTTGATTACACACTAATATTTTGCGAAATTCTGGTTCACAAATGCGTCCTAGGAAAATTTATCAGAGTTATGAGATTTTGCAAGCACTTTGTGTATAGATTTTGATCCGCTTAATCTCAATCTGTTTGCCTTTCAGCTTTGATAATTGCCACTGTCGCGTTAATTAACATCCCAATGAAAAGCCACTAGACGCTGGTATTCTGATTCGTGTGTCAATCTATTGATTTTTCCAATTGAATCAATTGTTAACAATTCCATTTACTCTTTCCTCCGCACAGCGCCAGGACATCGACGAGCGCCTGCGACGTCTGCAAAGCGACAAGGAGTCGCTGGCGCTTCAGGTGCAGGTGTTGTCTGAGCAAGTGGCGGCGCAGAATGAGAAGATCAGCGACCTGGAGCGAATGCTGACGGAGAAGACGCAACTGCTCAGCAATGCCGATGATCTGCTGCACCGAGTAAGCGTATTTGCCACTTTGGTTGGCGTCCAGATTGACAAACAAAAAGTACTGCCGTCTTTTATTAGAGGAAAAATCCTTATTTTCACGATACATTTGCACACACACACACACAACACAGAGGGATATTTTGGGGGGATGAACTGCACGGAATGCTCTGCACGAAATGTGAATTGTGTGTTATTAGGAAATGTTTGATTTATACAATGTTTTGCAATAATTTACACAGCATGCAAAAGATATTTGAATGACATATACAATGTTTTCATTAAGATTTCTCATTTTTATTTAATTGTCCGGAAGGAATTTCACAATAAGGACTGAAAATGAGTCTCTTTGACGCGCATACAGAACGGAAAGTACTCTTGTGTTTGTCACATTGCAATTTGGGATATGAAAGTGAAGAGAAAGAATTTAATAATTTTATTCTTCAAATGAATGTGAAACGCTTGCATATTTTATGCTTTGCATGCTTTTTCTATGTCCATACTTTTCATTACAGAACTTTTTTTTTCTTCATTTTATGCATGGAAATCTCATTCAGTTTGTCCAAATAAATGAGTTTTTGTAGATAGAGAAATTATTCTCTGTGTATTGTTCGGTTGTGTTAAAGTTTATGATTGTTACATGCAGAAAATTTTTCAATTAAAATGTCGGAATAGTTTGAAAGCTCATTTTGAGTTGAAACGATTTATAATACTTTTCCCCATTTTGATGTGAATATTTTGCTTCTGTTCTCGATCTCAACCAACTAATTCATATTCATAGATTTTCAATAAAATTCGCCCGAGAACATTTCCAGCTGATATAATTGATGATTATTCGCAATTAACTGTGAAGATAATTTGATGGGGGAAAAGTTGAAATTTCAGTTTAAATTTCCTCATTGCCAGAGAGTGGGGAAAAAGGACTGCGAGAAGAAGTGATGGAATTTCACAGTGCATTAAATTATGAACCTAATTATAGGGAAAATGAGCTGTAATGATTTTCTGAGGTGCTCGCATAGCCATGCCTTCTGGCTAATTCAATTAATCGCCTTGACAATGACACTAATTCCGATGGAAATTGCTCTCCTATCTTGAGCTATAAACATTTATTGGCAAATATCCTTCGTCTTGTGCTTCCTCGTGACACAAATTTTTATGACTTTTGGGTTTGAAAATGTCCTTTATAAAGGGTTTCTTTTTCCCCTGCTTAAATTTCACTGCATTTGCCTTTAATTCGCTTCATGCATAAATACTTAATTAACTTACTCATGCAATTAGGTTTGGGAAGTGGATGCAAATTGTAGCATATTACCATGCATTAACTCAATTTCTCACATCATCATCACAGCCTCGAATATCAGCAATTATAGTGCCCAATTTACAACATATTTTCTCTCTCTCTCTCTCTCTTTCTCTCTTTGTTTCTCGCGGACTTTTGCACATTGTACAGGAAATGCTGTCGCGATCTTCTCTGGAGACGCAGAAGCTGGAACTCATGTCGGCCATGAGTGAGCTGAAGCTGCAACAGGCGGCGCTGGAGAGGGAGAATCTGGAGTTGCGGACGAGTCAGATTAACAACAATTCCATCATGAACAGGCGGCCTCCGATGGCACCCAGTCGCGCTTTGGCTGGCTTTCCGGCGACACCGCCGCCACACGGAACGAGCGGCGGAGGCTCTCTGACGTCCACCCCACTGGGCGGCAGCCACGGGAATCTGCAGCAGCACTCGACATCCACGCCCGCCACTCCCAAGGTACCAAATCTCCCCAAACAGAGTTGATTTCGAGTCGAAGTGATCATTAAGAACATAAAAACTGTGCAGAATTGTTCAAATCTGTTGAATTTCTGATGGAAAAACACTAATTTATTGTAAAGAAACACAAGCTAAATGCTAAGAATGGTTTCAAATACACAAATTTTCCTCTTTTCAGCCCTTTTCGCAACATATTTTTAATGAATTCTTTGATTTTGTCATAACTTTGAAATCATTTGCAAACTTAAAGAAATTCTCCGTGTTTAATAGAGTTTAATCTAGAAGCTTCTCAGCTCTGATTGCCATTCACAGTTGAAGAGGAAATTCCTCCCCATGATGTACATTTCAATTTCTCTCGGCTTTAAACCTTGAGCACTCTGTGTAAATTTATTTATCTTGTGCCATTTCTGGGATTGTAATTAAATTTAGAGACAAGACATCCTTTTGCTGCAGTGAAAAGACACACAATTGGGCAAAAGGAGAAAATGAGTTCATCAAGGAGAGGAAGAATGCTGTTGATTGAGTTTGTGAGCATTTTCGCTTGTCTCTTTGCAGACTCCTCCGGCCTCTTTCCGGCGCCAGGTGGACGTGGTGCACTACAACAGCCTGCCGCGGCAGAGCTTCCCCACGGCCACGACTGTGGCGGGCGGCGGCGGCGGCCAGGAGGGCGCCAGTGTGGCCACGACGGACTCAAACGCCAACCCGAAGCAGCGCAATGTGGCTTTCGGTAAAGATCCCAAGCTAGGCAATTCGACAACAGCATCGACACCGGCAATTGGCAATGTCTATCACCATCAGCTGGTGCTCTTTCACCCTCCGTCACGATTGAAGGGGTTGCAAAGCAAAAGGGGGTTTTCGGTGCCGAATTTAGGTCTTTTTCTCCTCTTTTTGAGTTTAATCAACTTTTTCTCGCTTCTCCATTCGCTCACAATGCATTTGCTCATTCATATTTGATATTTTCACTGTCAATTTATACTTTAATGTTTCGTTTAAATCAATGTGGTTAAAATCATTCAACTAACTTTGGCATTTTTACACATTAAAGATCACAGTTGATATTTTCTTTGTCTTGTGCGCCAAATAATGACCAAAAATAACCCAGCTGAAAGTGCATGACTCGATCGATGTTGTTCACAAGAATACAATTTAGACAGAAAAAAATAACATAAAAATGTATATTTGTCGAGCTGTGATTGTAAATTTCATTCATCCGTCAGTTCAACTGATTGTATTTGTCTTCTTTTCTTCTGCACAACAGCTGAAACTGAGAAAGTTATTGAAGACAATCATGAGCTGTCGCGCAGTTTCACGCCTCAGCCTTCGCCTTCGCCCAGTGCAAAGGCCAAGAGCAGCTTCCGTAGCATCTTTGGGAAGATCAGGCGCAGCAATTCGGGCACTCTGGAGGACTTGCCGGCTTCGGAGGCGGGAGATTTCCGCCGTGGCGGCTTCCGGAGCACCGCGGGAGCGCGACTAGGCTGGAGTGGCAATCTGCAGGCGCGCCCTGAGCGTCCCTTTGGCGAGTGGGACGTGGACAGCGTGTGTTCGTGGCTGGAGGAGCTAGGCCTGGGTGATCACGAGGAGGAGGCCAGGCGATGGCTGAAGCATGGCGGAGTGGAACTCGTCAAGGCGTCGCCGGTGGACGTGGAGAAGGAATTGGGACTGAAGAGTCCACTGCACAGGAAGAAGATCGTCCTGGCGCTGGCGGAAGTGACAGGGAAGGAGAGTGATGAACTGTTTAGAAATGCTGGGAAACTCGATTGTGCTTGGGTGAGTGAGAAAGACTTTCACTGTCGATCTTCAGTGCTTTATCACACTAAAATCGATGTGATTTCCCGCAGATTTTGCGATGGTTGGACGATGTTGGGCTGCCACAGCACAAAGACACCTTCTCAGCTGCCAGGATGGATGGCAGGATGCTGCACAAGTTGACAATGGAGGATCTGGCGACGCTTCATGTCAGTTCCAGTCTTCATGCGGCGAGCCTGCGACGAGGCATTCAAGTGATGCGCGACAACAACTTCTCGCCCGACTGCCTCATCCGGCGCTCCGGCGGCGAAGTGACGGAGAGTGAGGGGAATCAGGTGACGCTCTGGACGGCACATCGCGTGATGGAGTGGCTCCGCGTGGTGGATTTGGCTGAGTATGCGCCCAATTTGCGCGGCGCTGGCGTTCATGGGGCGCTCATGATGCTCGAGCCGCGCTTCAATGCTGAACTATTGGCCGATTTGCTTAGCATTCCGCCCAGCAAAACGCTGCTGCGTCGACATCTTGCCACCCACTTCAAGGAGCTTCTGGGACGTGACGTGATCCAGAGCAAGCGTGATGCTGAGAATGTACTTGGCTACACTCCGCTCACGCTCACGGCCAAGATTAAGGTGAGAAGCTGTGTGTGTGTGTCTTTCAGAGGAGCAGGAAGATTGACATTGTTGTTTCTGCAGACGCCGAAGAAGTCGCAGTTCTCACTGAAGCGCAAGAAGAGCTCCAAAGGTGGCGACGAGTGGAGTGACTATGTGTGTCCCATGGGCTCCTCAGGTGACACTCCAGTTCTATCGTCTTCTAACAAAGCCGTTTCCGTAAGTTCTAACACTTCCTAACCAGCACTAATCCTCTCAATTGCACTGTATAGTTTGTGTGTTGAGAGCCTTTGGAACACAGAGGAACATTTTTAGGCCCCGCCCACTTGTTTGCTCCACCCATTTGCAAGTATGATTGCTGAGAAGTTTGGCAAATTCACAGAAATTACCCTCAATATTCTTGGTTTCTTCGACTTCAATTGTTATAATTAACAAAACCTCTGATTCCATGTCTTTTCGTTTATTGTTCATTGAAAGAATTATAAAGAAAGTTCGTTTCAAAGGCTCTTGTTTGAGAAGTTTTTCAGAAAATGGGGGAAATTTGGAGAAATGTGAAACTAAACATCCAACTTTAGTTCTTCTTCACATCTTTGGGATATAAAGACAGTTGTTTGATACAAAAGCTCCACTGATTCACTCAACTCTTATGTAATTCTTTTGACTTCTCAGAGAGACATTATCAATTCATTAGCAAAGAGAGAAGCTCCGCACGTCTAGAGATGGATTTACACCATTGGGATTCTTTTGAAGTCTGTGTGTAAAGTAATTAAAAAGGCAGATGTGTTTAATTGAATTGCTCATTGGCTTGAATACTAACGAGATTTTGGCTCAATTTTTTTGTCAAGAAATCATCTTTATCTTCGCTCTTTCTTGTGACCAAAACTTAATAAGATTAATTTGTTTCAAGTGCATCTTTCTCATGCCATTCAATTGCTTTTCTTTTATAAATCTCGGTGTGGTTCTCTTGACTTTCTCATCACAAAGTCATGCCGCGCGATGTCTCAATGCTCGAGAGGTTTAATGGTCTTGTTTTTTTTCGTCTGTGGTTCTCTTTGGGGACAGACGAAGAGTCGAGCACTTCCGGAGGTCGTGGGCGCGTCCGAGGCTGTCTCTCAGCCGCCAACTAGCGACTCACCAACGTCCTCGCGCTCCTCGGCGTCCTAGCAGCGCGCCGTGGCGTCCCTGCCCATGTCGCCGGCCCGGCCTGGTGGGGCGTCGACCTCGGTGCAGCGCAGCGCCTCCTTCAACGCCACGTGCACGGTGCCGATGAAGGTGACGGCGCCGCCGAAGGTCAAGAGTTCAGCCTCGTTCAGCAACTGCAGCCTCATTGCACGCGTCACGAAGTCCGGCCAGCTCAACGCCAACATCGTCACGTCCTCCATTCTCAGGCTCGCCAGCGACTCCAAGGGCCGCCCGCCGGTGCCGCCGCCGGCCACTACTCCGGCCCAGCCGCAGCCACAGCAGACAGACTACAAAAACAGCTTCAGGTCGGCTCATGAGCGACAAATTTGGAGTGATTCTCAAGGCTGATTTTGCTGTGCTTCTTCCTTTTTTTGCAGATACGGTAAATGCGTGGATTACTACGTGTAAACTCTCAACGCATTGACGAAGAGCAAACATTACGACGGCGATACAGGAATTTTTGCACATAAAGAGCTATAATTTTCCCCCCTTCAGAGAGTTAGATATGAAAAAAAAATCGTTAATGGTTTCGATGGGCTTTTCGTGTGGCAAAAGCTCAATGAGAGACACAAGATAAAGGATGAAGAAAAATCATTCAATGAATCCCATTTTGGACCAGTTTTAGTGCCAAGAAGATGAAAAAAAAATTGTTAAATGCGACAAAAAAACTTTCTTACAAATGTTAGAGGAAAAAAAACTTTTTAGGCGGTAAACAAGAGCATTTTATACCAAGAAATCACAATCACACGTCATTGTAAATAATGATCATCATTCGTAGCTTTTTCTTCTTTTTTTAACGTATAATTGTTTTTCCTTTCAACCTAATTAACTTACCAAAGACAATAACTCTGAAGAAATAATGTCTAGAGTCAGTTTCTTCATTCCCTTCAATTGAGTGTGTTCTGAATAAGAAAAAAATGAACAGTGTTGAATTTCTTGGCCTTTTGCCTTTCTTGAGACACGCATAAATTTACAAGGTTAGTCAGATAAATTGTAGCTAAGCAGATCTAGTTAAATACTAATCATCATTATGCCTGAGTTAAGCGATTGTAATAATCTACCATATTTAAAAAAAAACACACACATGAGTATTTCATAGGCAGTTAATCAATTGTATTAATTTATTGACAGGATTTACTAAGAATTTGATAGATTGTAAAACGGGCGAATAAATGGTTCACGACAGAACTTCACATGGCATTTCATCCAGAAGCTTCCGATCGTCCGGCTTCATCGGCGTTCAGCCACTGTGAGTTCAGTACTTCGGCAATTGTGAAGCGACGACTCGCGTTGGGACGCAGAAGATTCCGCACGAGGCTTCGCACGGCGGCCGTGAGTCGGTATCGAATGCAGCGGCGGAACTTGTAGCAGCGCCGCATCTGCTGGCGACGGATTGCGCGCAAGGTGCCATGGAAGGGCAGCCGTGCGTTGAGGAGGACGAACAGAATGACGCCCAAGGACCACAGATCCGCTGGCTTGGAGAGATAAGGCTGGCGAAGGAGGATTTCTGGGGCCGCATAGGCCAGACTGCCGCAGTATGTTTCGCTGTAGCCTCGGCTGAGTTCATCGTCGGCCTGCAATTGCATTCTTCATTGGTTGATTGATCTTCTGGACGAAAATAGCGTTCAGAACTCACCGTCAAACGCTTCGCGAAGCCAAAGTCCGCCAGTTGCACGTGAAGTTGCTTCGTGAGCAGAATGTTCTCGCACTTGAGATCCCGATGAACGATATCTCTGGCATGGAGATAATTCAGCGCCTGGCTGAGCTCCTTTGTCCACTTCTTCGCTCTGTTCTCGCGAATCGGTCCGTGGCGCAGCAGGAAGTCCAGCAAGTCTCCGGCCTCAGCCATTTCGGTCACGATGAAGCACTGCTGCTCGTGCGTGAAGACACTGTGCAGACAGACGATGAAGGGATGCTGGATGGATTGCAAGATCTCCACCTCGCGGCGCTGGAAGCGCGACGGCATCTTCATGTCCACCACTTTAATGGCCAGCGCCTGATTGGGATTGGAAGTGAGACAAGAAGCGCGGTAGACGCGCGAAAAGGCGCCCATGGACAGCAGAGCGTCCACTTGCAAATCATGCTGTTGGAAGATTTGGCGCTCAGCCTCGGTCAAGAGAGGTTTGTCACGACTCTGCAGAGATTCACTGGGAATTTTGTCAGTCTGCTTTCGAAACATTTTTACATTCACAAATATAGAAAAAGGACTTCTACGATCAGATGATCAGAAAGTGCAGAATTTACACATAAGTTAGTGAAATATTCCATCATCAAGATCGGAGTTAAGATTATGCTGAAAACCTTTAAAATATTGCGTCTCTCAAGACGAGACAAATATCACCAATACTATTATGTTTATTAATCAAGGTGACTTTCAAAGTTCTTCTTACAATAGGGAAAAATGTTTAAACCTTCTGCATGTCTCGGAAAATTATAATTTATTAATGTTTATTAAGTTGAGAATCATCTGTTCAAACTGAAACAACTCTTCTGACAATATATATATTCAATGGGACGAAAATTCGATTTCAATCGCTTTGGTGAATTCAAGCAAAAAAGACACGTTTAAATCGATCTAATCATGAAGTTTATTTTCTCTTTACTCATAGTCTCCGTCCTCTTTGTGGCTTTCGGTAAAGATATTCAGCAAACTTAACATATAACGCATTCGACAATAAATTCCTTTTTCCAGGACATGCTGTAAACGTTGAACTTGACATTGGAATTGGAAAAGTTTGCAACGATGATTGTTCTACCACCGTTAAATCAATTTGTGCCGTAGATGCAAATAATCCTGAAGAATTCTATACTTTCAAAAACATCTGCGATTTAAATAAATATAATTGTGTACACAATAAGAGTAAGCATGCTTGTGAATAATTCCCTTGAAGATCAAATTATAATTTATGCGTAATTTTTTTCGCATAGATTATGTGGTTGTCTACCCAGGTAGTTGCAGAAAGTGATTCGCAGCGGGCGTTGATCGTCTTCCGCACACTGGAAATTTAATTGACAATGGACAACAAATGAGTGCTAGAAGGAAATTCACAGCAAGCCAATCGGTTGAATAAATATCACGCAAAATAAATTGTTCTTCTACGCACAAAAAAGTGTGTGAAAATATGTTTATTGATTTTATTCCTCACAATAATTCAGGGCTGATTATATTTAATTTTGCGTAATCCTAATTTCATAACTTTTCTTGCACGTAGATTCAAACTTTACACATTTTCTGTCATCTGCAAAGAAAGTGTTCTACCAAAAATCTTTCTGCCTCCTTGTCTTATTCATGCTAATAATAGTTGTGATTGTTACATTGTAAATGATTTCTAGAAAAAAAGCACAGAAAATACCTCCATAAATCTTTGGAAATAAATTAATTACAGGATGTCGTGAGTGTCAGCGAGGATTTCATGTTATGAGCAACAATTGATGGCTTTCTTTCCATAGCCTTTTAGTGGATCCACTCATCGTCATTTCACCCCTCAATTCTTATTGCAATACAACAATTATTTATATCTACATTCGATCACCCAGTAAAATTAAATCATCAACAAATGTGTGTCTAATTTTATTTATGCCTTCTTGCCGGCTAAAATATCTCTCTTATCAGAATCTCTTCAGCTCAGCCGCTTTTCCATCCGCAGAAGTTGCCTCTTTACACGTTCAATGGCACATCATTTGCAAGATTCTCCGCGGTCAGAAAGGCGCGCCCGAGTTCAGAGACACTCCGACAGATCCAAATACTCAATCACTCTTCGCTGCGCGCGCTGTTCGAGAATACTTACAGCTGGAAAGGGCCTAGGGCAGCGCCCGGAAGTGCGGCGGCAGTTGGGCCTTGTAGTAGTACGCACAGATGCCGACGAGGATGGAGAACGCCGTGGTGACGAGGACGATGCGCCGATTCACCAGCGTGTGCGGCAGCAGGCGATTCAGGAAGCCAATGGACGCCTCACGATCCCTCTTCCTCTGCATGGCCGCGCGACGGCGTCGCATGCGCTCCTCCTCTTCGGCGCGGCGCAGCTTCTCGCGCTCCTGCATCACATGAACCTGCGCGAGAGCATTGCATGAGCAAATTCTCCGCCGACGATGAGATTTGATCACACAACTCACCTGCTCCTCCACCTCGTCTGGCGGATATCGCGCGTAGAGCTTCTGGGCGCGCTGCAGCAGGTACTCGAAGGGCAGATCGTCGGGCAGCTGCGACAGGAGGCAGTGGATGCTGGCCATGTCGCAGTCCTCGCGGAAGATCTCGTCCTCGCGGTGCAGCACGATGGCCGCCGTGACGTAGATGGGCAGGAGGAAGGGCGACGCCAGGAAGTAATCGTACAGTCGCACCACGGCGCGATATTGATTGAGGCTGTGTCCGAACCACGTGAGATACCACGGCAGGGCGAACAGCGTGCCGACACAGGAGCGCTCTAGGAAATCGTGCAGAGCGCGATTCTCGCCGCGGACGATGGGATAGAGGAAGAGGAGGCGCTGCTGCGTGGGCTCCATCGTCTCCTGCATGCACTCCACGAGGTGGTTCGTGGACAGGATCTCCATCACGTGGAACGCCACGTCCTCGCCCACGACCAGGAGAAATGTGATGGCCACATCGTGATAGCCCTGCGAAGAGAATAAGCAGCATTACAGTGGATTTCCTCTTAAGATAAGAGCTCATCGCCAAATCACTCAACAACTCAATGCCTTGTGAAATACCCGTAATACAATGAAATATCAGCTCGATAAGAAGCTTCCACACTCACTTGGTAGTACTTTAAATGCGGATACTTGATGATGACTCGCAGGATGAGCACCGTGAGCTGATCCTGCAGCGCGATTCGCTGCTCATACGGGATTCCCGGCGGGAATCTCTTGAGAGATCTGTTAACGTCAAGGATGACTTGATTGTACTCCGGATGGGACTTAAGTTCATCCAAGCTGGGCGCTGGCTCCACATTATTAGGATCGATGTTCACCAGCAACGGCCACACCTTCTTCCGGAGATCATCTGCAATGGGCAGAGATTTCAAGTTTCCAGGCTGTCCCACAAAAACCCCACAAAACACACTCTTCTCACCATTTATCAGCCCATACTCCGACAATGCAAACTGTCGCCACGTCTCCAAGTCTGAGTTGGGGTCCGACAGTGCCTCCTCAATCTGTGACCTCTTCTCCTGCTCCTCTCGATTCTCCGGAACTGCGGAAAGACAGGAGTGAAAGCAAGAGACGTGTCAACTTTACGCTCTGTTTGGCAGCGCTCAACTCACATTTCTCAAAACTCAGCTTTACAGGCTCATCTGAGCGTCTCTCCTCGCACTCCTGACATTTTGGCTTCACTGCCTCCATCTCGCCAGACTCGACCTCCAGGCCATTCGTCCTCTTCTCGGACCTCTTGCTGAGCGTCGAGTTCCTGGAGTCGTAACCTTCGTCACAGTTCACGGATTGCTGCTCTTCCGCCATGGGTCTGGCATTACGCGATGACCACTGATTGCTTCGACGATGCTCTGGAGAGTGTCTGGACTTTTGATCTGCCCGAAAACTCCCTCAAAACCACAGATGACGAAAATCAAAACAAATAGACGACAAAACACTGTGACAGATGGCGTCATTGACAGCTGTGCCATAATTTTTTGCCATAAACTTTCACAGAACAAAAAAAATGGCATCGAGCAATGCTGTGTATTTCTCTGATGATGAATTATCGGACAATTTTGAGGAGAGTAAGCAAATTGTGCAGGAGGCAATGACAGCCGTGCATCCTGTGGCATACGCCGATGAGACGCTGGATACACAAGTGCTCCTGACGTCGTGGAATATCAAGAAAGACATTATAAGTACAGTTGTTGGTGAGTTTTTGGCCTTTTGTTTACCTTTTTGTGTTTATCACTTTTTCACGCCAATTTCCCGTTTCACAGCCGCAAAACTCACAATTTGGCACTTGAGGGTGATCGAGGATGACGATATTGCCAGACTGTTTGGTACAAATATTGCGGACTGCGTGGAATTCAAGTACTACCTGAAGAAGTGGCGAAATGAAGGCGCGAAGCTCGTTGAGATTCCCCAGCGTTCACAGATCAAATCAATTCCACTCCTGCCGTCGCCAATTGAGCCACCTGATCCCCTCGGACAGCCCAGTTTGCAGACAAATGCCCCAGCCAAAGCGAAGTGGAAGATCCCAGAGTGGGACTTTGATGAGCGCAAGCACTCATCGATAGAGGACGTGGAGAAGATCCTGAAGATGTCTGCACGAGGCAGAAGCATTGTCCAGTACTACAGGACAAACCAGAAGCTAGAGACACAGCACCAGGCATGGATGGTGGATATCATAGCGGAATTCTACCTGCAAAAGTACGAAAGTGTGTCCATGAAGATGATGGATCGCATCAGTGACAAGATTGTCGAGCTCTTTCCCACCGAGCAGAAAGTACGCGCGGCGAAAGCATCCTTTTCGCATTGACTAAATGCTCTTTCTCTCTCTTCCACAGTCCACCTACTACACAAAGCGCCCCATTGGAGGGAATCCCAAAGGAAAGCTGCACGATAAGTTCAGGAACAAGCGACGATTGTATATTGCTCAAGGCATTCTTAAGAGGAAAAGCATTTGAGCTCAAGTGTATATTCAATATTGTATTCAACTCTCTCATTTCCCTGAAGACATTCTCCCATTGCATTCACGCCTCCTCCTGTTTCTCCTTGTCTTTCTTTTTCTTCTTCTTCTTCTCCTTGCCCTCCTCCGGAGTCTGCGGCACTTCCTGTGGCGCCTCCTCGTCGTGCTTCTTCTTCTTTTTCTTCTTCTTCTCACTCAGCTCTGTCTGGCTGGTCTCCAGTGTTGTGTCCGCCTCAGCTGTGGACACATTGCTGCCCAGGCTCAGCTTCCTCTGCAGAGAGACATAGAAAAGGAACACTTCAGCAATCTCATATGGATAGGAAAATGTCACTATTTGAATTGATTTTATGACTTCAGGAAGACCAATCGATTGACATAATCACGGGATTATCATCGAAAATCGTTTTATCATCATGACTATTGAATTCTTTAGGCCATCCTCTGACTCTATGTAAATTGAACACTACCTTCTCCGCCCCATTTGAGCTCGAGGGCTCCTGGCGTGCGCTGTAGTCCACGTAACTCGTGAGGAATTCCTTGGGTGTGTTCTCATTCGGACGCCCGTACTTGTCCAGCTTCCCGGCCGCCACAAGAGCCTTCTTGGCGGACGCCTTGGGGCCCAGGCCCCACTTTCTGGGGTACACGTCCCTTTCCATGATCACGCGCTTGATCTTGGCGCACACGCCGTGATCGCAGCTCGCCATGGTGGCTGTGGTCATGAGGGCAATGGCCAGGGCGATGGCCTCGCCCTTTGTCGAGCAGATGACAATCTCCTGGTTCAGCTCAATGCCGTCCTCGTATCGCAAAACGCCCGGAAGCATGATTTTGGCACCATAGCAAACGGCATTTATCTAAAAATAGAAAGAAAAAACAGGAGGAAAAAGTCAGATTGAATTGAACATTGTTGATATTCGACGTTCGAACTCACGGAACTGTCTTTCATGAAGATCCTCTTGTGCCCCACGAGGAGTCCCTCGAGTGGGTGAATGACTCTCCGAAGCAGCGATTCATCCTTGTGATGATCGTACATGTACTGAGCGTCCAGGACGTCGTGCATGGTCACCATTGACTGCTTCTCCGACTGGATGCCCGAGCGCACTCGTCGCAGCTCGATCATGTGGCCGCCGACGCCCAGCATGAGCCCCAGATGGACGCACATGGTGCGGATGTAGGAGCCCGCCTCGCAGCTAACCCAAAAGACACCTTCAAGGATAAGCCACACGGTCCACAACGACCACACACACTTTAGTCTGCGTCTACTCTCCCAATCTCCCGGCCGCAGTGGAGGCCAATTCTCGGGCCTCCACTCGACGCCGGATGTGGGGTGGTTCTTTCACCCTCGTGCACTCACCGAGATTCCTGCTCATGTCGAAGTCCAAGAGTTTGCTCTCGTACACGGATCTCACGCGCAGCTGACGCTTCACGGCCGAAATGAGCGGCGGTCGCTGGAAAAGCGCCCCACGCAGCTTCTCCAGTCCCTGATGTACCTTCTGCAGCGACTCCACGGCGGCGTGCAGCTTGAACACCGCCACATACTCCTTCCCGGCGCTCTGCTGCGACTTCACGAGCCGCGTCGCCCGGTCAATGCACACAATCAGGCATCCCGTGACTTTGGGATCCAATGTGCCCGAGTGTCCTGTCTTCTGCACCTTCAGAATCCGCTTCAACCACGCCACCACTTCGTGCGAGCTGGGATTCGACGGCTTGTCGACATTGATGAAGCCCGAGCTGACGTAGTCCCGGATCTCCCGATTGAGCGGCGACGCTCCAAATGGCAGTGGTGTGTAGTGATTCGTCCTCACGTTGAGATGATCGAAGTTCTTCAGCAACAGCGGCCACTTGGATGTGTCCAGCGTGGGCACCTTCTGTGACGGGGCAATCTGGAAGTTGCCCGTGCGCTGGAGCTCCCCCAGATTCTCCTCCAATGGCTCCTCCTTTATTCGCTTCTTCTTCTTCTCCTTCTTCACGGGTGATGCCATTTCTGTAAGCAATTTCGAAGAAAAGTTCGCTCAAAATCCATCAAATCACACCAATTATAGCATCTGTGGGATCTTATCTACACACTCTGTGTGATTTTACATGAGATAATTGTGTATTTCTTACCAAAATCTCCCATTTTCCGTGGCAAAGCGCAGACACGTGCTTCCAAAGTTGACAAACACACGCCGACTCTGAGTGAGGTTATGAGCGCTCCCGGGAAGTACTAGAATTTTACTACGCTTTTCTAGTAGTGCTTTATTTGAAAAGTAACGATCGCGATCGAGTGTATTACAATTCTTACAATTAATTGATATTATTCTCAATGATGTTTCAGTTTCATATGATGGAGAAGGTGACGCCAGGTTGGAGGATCTGCTTGTGCTTCTCCCTGTGCCTGAGTTGCAGCATAGTATTGCATAATTAATTGAATGATCTGCGTAATCATCTCTGAAATGGGAGAAAAAATGCATTGAAAACATCTTAAGCATCGGTCAAATTCCACTTACGAATCAATTCAGCAAATCGAGGATCATTAATCATCTCTGTAAAGGGATCTTCTTCCTGAGGAGCTTCAACGGGTGCAGGTTCTTCAGGAGGCGCAGCTTCATCAGGAGGCGAAGCTTCATCAGGAGGCGCAGCTTCATCAGGAGGCGCAGCAACTTCAGGATCCTCTTCTGGTGAACATTTCACCATGGAAACGATTCCCACGAGGAGCAGAAGAGCAATGAGTCGAGCCATCTCTTGAAATTCCTTGTACTTTCTGGATGATCATCTCTCGCTCCCATGCGCTTTTATACCGTGAAATTGTTTGCAAATTCATCCCCAAAACCTCAATCTCTTTCACCACGTATTTTCCCCACAAAAAAACATCAACCTCAATTCCATATAGCGCCAAAATGTTCACCCAGAAAAGACACGATGACTAATTTTTCTCTGTTTTATTCCAGACAACAGATTACACAGTTTTTCTCTCCAATTTCATCTTCTCTCATCTTTTCACAATGAACAGAAAGTAATATTCACCTAAATTCAACTCGATTCATATTAGTTTTGCTTGTTCTCGAGCTCCTTAAACACAGAGACTCTTGTCCAAGTACGAAAAAATTACACTTACACCCACTCTTTTCGCCGAAAAAGGGATTCTTCTGCGGCACAAAACATCGAATAGGCCTCAATTTTCCTATTTACGCGTGATTTTCATCCTTGACCCAAAGGATCGTACACAATTTTTCCTTTTATTTTCTTATCTCTTTTGAACAACTTCAACACTACTGCTAAATACTCTCATTTTCTTTTATCTGAAATGTGTGTCTTGTTTGTTGAGAATTTCAACAAAATATAATTTTTATCATTGAATTTTGTCTTTGTTTTCCCCCCACAGAAATAAAAATCGGTTACAGATGTTTTGGGAAGCCTTTGAGGGTGATATTCCACAATAATAATACATATGTAGCACTCAATTTCTGTCACACTTTTCACTCTCCATTCACGGTCGATTGTTGAACAAGTCCCAAGGATTGTGCATCCTCAGAACCTGATGGCTGAGCGAAGGAACGCGAATGGAGGAGAGAAAAAAAGCAATTTTCTGACTTCTCATTACGAAGGATGTAAGAAAGAAACAATTATAATAGCGAATTCTGGCAAAATCAATATGAAGAGGCTAGAAAGGAAGCTCAAATTGATTTCCCAATAGGGAAATGCCGGTTGGTTTTGATCAGTAAGATTACTCTCCTGAAACCGACAAATTTCTAAGCTTTTATTTAGATTATAATATCAAAATAGGTAATAAATGCTCAGTATTAATAAAAATATAAACATGAAAGCATGTAAAAGTGATGTTTTCTTCATAGAATTCGTGCAAAGCTTCAATGGTTACCTGAAACAGAATCAAAAGTCAAGCATTGCACAAACTCTTTACTATCTTTTCCTCTCATGTCAGAGCGCTTGATATAAATTAACTACAGAATTTTCCAGGGATTCGTTTAAACTCCATTATCTCACGACTATCCAAAGCGAACCCATTTTCTCAAATCTACTTCTCTACAGTTCGTTAAACTTGCAACAATAAATAGCGAATTACTTTCTCCAACCAAATTAATACAAATGCCATATCCACACATCAATTGCTCAACAGAATATTAGGAATATCACCCGGAAAGACTGCCGCAAAATGGAGGAAAACAGTGGCAGATTGCAAAACGCCGCGGCATCTTGTGTCCCTTCTTAAACACTAGTGATATTGATTTCAGGTTGTACACGCGAAAAGCTCATCGACGCCCATACGCGCCCTATTGCCACACATTGCCGAGGTTGAGGCTGCCAAATTGCTGGCTGAGATTGGGATTGGTGCCCTGGGGCGGCGGCTTGAGGCCCGCCAGATTGCCGGCCGTCGTTTGGGGCGTCTGGAATGGCGCGAACTGGGCAAAGGCGGCGCCCGGCGGCGGCGGTGGTTGGCCGGGGAAACCGAATACGCCCCCATTGTTGGGGTGCTGCTGGAATTGCGGCTGGCCGAAGCCCTGGGGCGCCGCGAAGGGCGCCGCCTGGGCGCCGAATGGCGGGAATTGCGTCTGAGGCGGTGGGAATTGGCTGAAGTTGCTGAAGTTGGCCGCCGGCGCTGTGGCGTACAGCGCCATAATGCTGTCCTTGGTCATCTTCGCCTTCTCCTTCTCATTGGGCACCTGATTGAAGAAGTCCGCCTCCTCCTTGTCCAGCGCATTCTCGGGCGCCTTGGGCGCCTCTTCCACGGGAGCGCTGAGGAAGGAGTTGAAGGCGTCCCCAGCCAAGTCGGCGGACGCCTTGGCCGGTCCGTTGGCAGTTGTGGGCGACGACAGACCCAACAGATCCGATGTGGCGCTAGTGGGCGCATGATGATCGCTCCGCGAGCTCTTGGGACTACTCGATGTGGCCTTAGGCTTAGGCAGTGGTGCCGGAATGGGCGCAGACTTGGCCAGACTCTTCTTGCTCCCGCCAGAGTCCGCTGTGACGACACTGGACAGCCCCAAAGTGCTAGAGGACTTCTTTTTCCTCTTCAGCTTCTCCATCTCCTCGTCGATCTCCTTCTCCCAGTCCACCTTTGGTGGCGGCGGCTGCACCCATTCCCTAGCTAAGTACTTCTTATGCTCATACTTGGCACGAATAAAGCTCTCCAGCGCCGAATCAGTCTGTGGACGGCGGAAACCGTCCGGGAGTTGAGCTTCATAGACAGCACGAGCTCTGGAATTGCCCATCTGCTGCAGAGACACCTGAAAAAGTCACACAATCAACGTGAGTCTCCTCCAGGCACATCACATTCCTCAGCACTCACCACTTGCTCAGGCGTCCATGCGTCCAGATTCACAGACTTCACACGAGAAATGTGCACCCCAAGATTCCGATGGATTCCAGCGCATCGGATGCAGAGAAAAACGCCCAGATTCCATGACGCCCATCTGGGACCTGAAAATGCCAAGAGTCAGCACACTTTTCACCCTGATTCCCCCATCCGGCTGTCACGCACGCCTCCGTCGTGACTTCCTGTCTCACACCGGAAGTGTGTAGTGTGGCAAAACCCTGAAAATCCCTCCCAAATACACACAAAGCCATCACAATCAGCAATGCTTGACTTCCGGAAGTAAACTCGCCATTCGTGACACTTTCTCTCGTCTCCCAGACACCCAATCACCCCATGTGGCCACGCATTGCAAAGTCCACGATAGTGGGTGGCTGATGAAGTGGACAAATGTGTACCTTTAGCATCGCAATCCACGCAATATTTGTTATCTTCATCACGGAGCATTTGAGTCAGCAAATTTTGACATTTCTCCTGAATAAATTTCGTCCTTTCACTCTCCTTCTTGCTACCCATGGTTGTGCGACGTCTTCCTGGTTGTTTAGCAATCTCGTTGCCGTAATATCACCTCAGCACACGGAAAAATTGCACAAAAAGTGTTGTATATGCGAAAAAGCTATTTGGGAACACGTCTCACAGATTTTCTCTCTTTTTCTGACAGGTGTCACTGCGATTGGCATTCTTGCAGTTTTTTATCGCATTCGCGATCACATCTGGCACCCCGAGAGGGAAATTTTTTATCGTGCAGCAGAAAAAACACCGTCCGAAAAATGGACGGAGCTGCGTAGTTGGTGAAAAAATAGCAATTTTGTGTTGTGTAGCGGTGCCAAAGCATGTGGAATTATGTCTCAAGGCGGATAAAGGACACCTTGGAGAAGACGGCCAACATCCTCGATGTTGGCCGTGCACATTTCAACCAATTTGAGTGTCCTCTGAGCGCCCGGAGGAAGGCTGTGGTGAAGTTCCGGAAGAACAAGTGCTTCCTGGTGCCCAGCCGCAAGTCTGCCTCCGTCGGCGGTGACTTCAGGGACTCACAGTCCGGCCAGGATGAGTACAAGGAGAAGATAAACCACGATAATCTCAATCAATCGTGGATTGGGGCGATAACTTGGGTAAGAGATTGTACGCTTTTTCCCTGGAAGATTCAGCAATTCACACCTGTTTTTCTCACCTTACAGAGCAGTGCCATCATCTGCGGATGGTACACCAGCCAGCTGCTCTGCCTGCGTCGTCGCCACTTGGCCTGGGAGCGGAAGAATGGCTTCCATCCGGCAATCCATGCGCTCATCCCGCATCGGAGTCTGCACACGAGTTCCTTCTCCAGAGTGGTCTTCGCCGCTCCTCCCGTGGAAATGGGATCCGGGAAGGTGACCAACTTCCCACTGGATCCCACCGCCTTCATCTATAACGTGACCAACGATGCGGCACGAGAGGAGCCCAAAAATTCCACTGAGGTAAAAAAGGAGCTCAAAAGGCAGCAAAAAGTCACTCTCGTTGAGACACAATTCGCGCTCTTGCTTGAAGGCCAACACGCGACTCTTTTATTTTTGGCACGCTTGACGTGGCCAAAGAGATGCTGAGGGCTTGTTTTGAAAGCAATTCCACGAATTCGGCTCTCAAATTATGGGTGGATCGACGAAAAGCCGCACTTTTTATCTCTCTCTCTTTGGGATGATTTGGACTTTTTGCAGAGATAAGCGGAATAATTGAGATGATTCACACTGTCTGATAGGGATTTTCAATTAATTTTATTATCAGTTGCGCGCATTGTAATGTTAGTAAACACTTGGGAGGAGGAGGAGGAGGAAGAGAAAATATATTGAGATGCTTTTCATCTCTGAAGCAAGTGACGAAATGATGGGAAGCATTTGCGTAGACTTTCGTGCGAAAACTGGTTTATGCCAAAACACCTGCTTTGAAGCGTGAAGACTTTGAACTCTTTATAATTAAATTTCACAGATTAAGAGCTCAAGCTAAACCACTTCTTAAACTCCATTCAAATGCCCAACAAGAGTGCGAATTTCTCTCTCGAGAGAGAGACTCAAGCGAATGCTTTTCAGATGGGAAAAGAGCGTAAATTTTGAATGAATTGCAGAAAATGACCATCAGGGATGCCGCACAAAACCTGAAGAGCCTCATTGGTGACACACACTTCCACTTCGCCGTGCAGAGTGTCAAAGAGAGCAACTTCGAGGAGGCTGTCTTTCACTTCCGCCTCGCCACAGTGCATCGCCACCCTTCGGCAACCTTCAACTTGGGCTTGTGCTACGAGCGCGGCCTGGGCGTGAAGAAGGACCTGCGACAAGCGATGGAGTGCTACCAGATGGCCACAGAGTTGGGCCACGCCAAGGCGATGTACAACTTGGGGGTGTTTTACGTTCACGGACTCGGCGGACTGAAGCGCAGTCGTCGCGTGGCGCGTCAGCTCTTCGAGACGGCGGCTCAGCTGGGCCAGCCGGATGCTCAGGCGGCACTGAAGATGCGCGAGAAGCTGCCCAAGACTTCACAGACAGGCTTCTATCCCTTAGGCACGAACTGGCGACCCATTGAGGCGACGTAGTGATGCCAGTGATACAGGATTTATTTGAGAGAGAAGAATAACACAGGTGTTGAGTGGGAATTGTGTGTCATGTCCTTTTCTTGAAGTTGAGCACAATTCCATTGCTGGAACGCAGCACAATTGTGGCCACCAGATGTGGCTTGTCATAGCTCGGATCCACGCTGATCTTGTACATCTGCAGCAGCCTCACGATCACAGTCTTCATCTCCAGCATGGCAAACTTCTGGCCAATGCAATTTCTCGGGCCGGCACTGAAAGGGATGTAGCTGAAGGGATTCCTCCCTGTCACTTCGTCCTCGTGGAATCTCTCTGGCTTGAAGGTTTCCGGATCGGGGAAGAGCTTCGCATCTCTGCCCATGCAGAACGCCCCAATGATCACTGTACTCTTCCCGGGGATGCGAAGATTGTCCTTCAGTTGCGTGTCTTTGGCGAAATAGCGTCCAATCATGGGAACCGGCGTGAAGAGTCTCAGTGATTCCTTAATCACACACTCAAGGTAGGTCAAGTTCTTGAGATCGCCAATTGTTAAGTCCTTCTCCACATCCTTGCCAATAACACGCTCAATCTCCTCGAGAATCTTCTCCTGCACCACCGAATGCAGAGCAATGTTGTACAGCAGGAAGGTGATTCCTGAAAAAAACACTACTTTATCAGCCACTGACTGCCATATGGCGAATAAAACACTCTTCTGTCTCACCGGAAGTTGTCGTGTCGTGACCGGCAAACATGAAAGTGTTCACTTCCTCCCGGATATCCTCATTCGACAGGGCTTTCCCGTCAATTGTCGTCTGCAGAAGGACATCCAGCAGTGCCAATTTGTCCTTCAGTCCGACTTTTGCATCTTCAGACATTCTCTCGGCAGATTTCTGTTGCAGCAAATCCTCTCTGCGCTTCTCAATCACGCGATCTGTCCACTTGTGCAGTGTCCGCACAATTTCACGCTCACGTGCGCCACTCTTAGATAGTCTGAAGAGGAACTCAAGCCTCAGCAGGGCATTGTACATCCGCACATGCAGAATATTTGTGATTCTGGAAAGAGAATGAACATCAATTTCAGTCGTTATTCGTGAGATTTTCACCTAATTCCACTCACTCTTTCACTCCTTCAACATATTCGGAGTTCCTATTAAACTGCGTTTGCACGGAAGTTCCCATGGCGGTTTCTGAAATAAGAAAGAACAATATTTAGCAATATTTAGGTATTTTGAAAGATATTTATCAGCAAAAAAAGAGGAAGTAATTAGTAAGAAAAAAACACTTATCCTTGCGTCAATCATTTATCACATTGGGATTTTTTTTTATTACTATATAATATCGATTCGTTTTTTATCTCAGTGTCTGAGTGGACAAAAACACGAAATACGCGACGCTGCTATTAAGAATTTATCATGATTTCACAGCAAAAAAAAAATCTCACAGATGCTAAAAGCTGTAATTTGAAGATAAGAAACTCAGCAAACACTGTAATTTTGGAGAAGAAATTCTACAACATCAGAGCGTATAAATATCAATTGCATATTCTTTGAGTACAAAGAGGCAAAATCGGCCAAATAAACATTGAACTCTTTCCTCTGATAACTTATCACCAGACTCACTCTTATCATCGCTCGAATGCAGCGTTTAATTTATCAATAAGTCTCAAAATTCTACGAAAAGCATAATCTAAAATTTTTTTTATATATAAAACAACGCAAATTTCAGAGCATGAAATGGCGAATCAACCTTGAAAGCAGCGAACTTTTGGTCTTTCGCGTCTTTCGTTTATTACTCTCGCATTTTTTTCTCACTCACCACAAATAACATCGAAGGTTAGCAGACTAACCAGCGGACAGACATCAACTGGCGTCGCTGGGCTGAAGTGTTGCAGCTTCTGCACGAAGATCTTTGCCTGCTTGTCGAAGATGCCGGTGAAACTCTCGAGGATCTTGTAGTGAAAGGCTGGTGTGATGATTTTCCTCCTTGTGTGCCACTTCTTGCCAGTGGTGAGCAGAAGTCCATCGCCAAGCCAGTGCTTGAGGTACGAATATTCGACGGTTTTGCCAATGTGAGTGGAACTGTTGAGGATTGGCTCGATGTATTCGGGATCTGTGATGCTGAGGAAGAGGAAATTGACCAGCCAGACGCGTGAGAGTGGACCGAATTGCTTCACACCCTGCTGGATGGCGTCGAAGATAAAGGAGGGCTTCCTCAGGATGAGCTGATAAGCGTGGCCCACGATGGGCAGAAAAGGTGGGCCCTTAAATGGCGTCCCGGCGAGACGCCGCACTTTCTCCGTGTAATCATACAGAGCGAACGCGATCACGGCGATTATCACAAGAAACAAGAATAATGACATGTTTACTCTTCCACGTCTAGACACACACTGTTGCGCGCGAGTCGCGAGAATTCGCAGTCGCGCCTTAGTCTTCGATCTCCATCTTGATATTGGTGGCAGAATGGTAATTCTCCTCGCCGAACCAATTGATGTGCTCCTCGAGAAACTCCAGGAACTCCCCGAGATACTCAAGAAGGCACTTCATCTTCTCCTCAGACATGCTCGTCACCGAGTGCGTGAGGAATTCGGGGAGTTTCACCAGTAAACGCGCCAAATGGGGCGCCCCGTAGATCATCGAGGGCTCGGCGGGAGCGTCAGAGGGTAGAAGATGCCACGCCAAAGTGTTCTGCAGCAGAAGTTTGAGCTTGAGCGGCACCGAAGCATTCATCGGCTGCACACTCCTCAAAATTTCTGCTATTGTGGCGGCGAAAGGCATCTCGCCGCTCGTCTCCTCACCCTCACACTCCATCCGGTATGATCTTAGCCGCCTCCTGGCCGTGTCGTCCACTTCCGTGGCACTTGTTGGGGTGGATTTCTCAGAGACACTCGGAAATATGAGGTCAGAGAAGGAATTCTCCGATGGAATGTACGTGAAGGACGAGAGATTCTTCTCATCCAACACCATCTCAGCCTGCTGGCGCTCCTGTTTGTACAGCAAGTGGTTCTTGAGTGTGAAATCAAAATAAATTCTCAGGCCATCGGCAACTTCCTTGTACAGATTCAGCTTGTTGGTCAACTTCTCCGTGTCCAGAGGCTCTTTGTCCGTCCTCGTCGTGCTGTTTCGCCTCTTCCGCACGTCCTGGCGAATGAAGTTGCAGATCATCTTCACTGAGCACTGCTTCACGAACTTCTCAAGAATCGTGACGACGGGCAGTTGTGCCGGAAGCACTGCCAGCTTGCTCTCGCGCGTGATCATGCGATGATCGTGCTCCAGCAGCTGTCGCAGTGTGTTGCTGACTTGAATGACCACCTTCTCGTCCTCCACCTGACCACTGCCGCTCTCCGCGGAGCTGCTGTAGGATTCTGTGTCATTGTCCTGCATTTGCAGCTCATTTTCCACCTTGGCAGCAGCGGCAACCGGAAGAGACAGCGTGACAGGCTCTGCCGGCTGATCACTGCTTCCGCTACTCTTGCTCTTCTTGCGATCCTTCCTGTACAAATAAGCGCCCAGACACAGTTGAGACTTCTCCGCCAGATCCTTCTGCAATTGCCTGTTCGCGACGTTGTCCTTCAGCACAAATGTCTCGTTCACCCTTCGATCCCAACTGCTATTCCAACCTGCAGGCAGATCGCACAAAATCACAAGGATTCAGACATTCAGACAGTGTAATGAACTCACCTTGGAAGTGAATTAAATACTCAATAACGCGTCGACCACGCCGGTCTTTTGTGTCGAAGATCTCAAGAACCTGCAAAGTAGATTAAAAGATTAGACAGAGATTTCTATGCATTTCTCACACATTACCTTGCTGTCGTAGAGGACTTTAGCCTTTGTGGGATCTGGTTCGTAGCAGAGGACTCTCTCGCCCTCGGAAAATGCGTATTTCACCCCTCTCGTTGACACCATCCCTCACACACACTTTTCTTGCAATTTTCCCCTATATCTCCAGTTCTTTCCTCACTATTTCCACTCAATGACATTCGAGAGACCTTCCTGGGAGCTGAGACAACAACTATTTTCCACGCAATTATGGAAATTGCACAATTTTTGCGGAAAATTACAAAACACCACGCGACAAATACACAATTGCAATGTTTTGGGAAATTTCCAAAAATATCCCGTCCAAATGACATTTTGACTGTCATGGGATATTTCTTGCAGTGGCGTGCAGTGTGATTTCCTCAACATTTCATGTGGTGTCTTTCCTGTTAATTTCCTGGTCAGTTTCCTCAGCGAATCCCAAAAGAGGATAGCATCTGGACAGTAGAATCTCGTGAGATTAGAAAACTGCTGAAATCCATCGAGGAAGTTGTGCGCCAAGGACAGAATTGTAGTGAAAGTTTTCCCGCCTTTATGCAGCTTCTGTTCTGACCAGGAGAAGATGTTTGATCTGGAAAAGGAGTTGCCCAACTACGTTGCAGAGGCCACGGAGGCACTGGAATTCAAGCTAGGTATGCCAGAGGGCAAGTAGAGGCTGAGCAGATGACTAATATCATGTTTTTGTAGTGAGAGATCCGACAGACTTGGAGGATGACAGCGTCTCCTTCCATCCTGTCATGGCGCACCAGATTTTCGGGGAGAACGAGAAGATTTTCGGCTACAAGGATCTCAAGGTGAAGCTATACTACACAGCCGGACCACTGAACATCTTCCTCAGCATCGACTACAGCCACAAGTTGTCGTTTGAGGAGCACAACATCACTCCTGACGATATAACCTCGCTGATCTCTGAGAAACTCCCGGCCGGATGTTACTACACGAATATCGACGAGTTCTGCAATGTGGTGAGGAAGGCGGACTCCTTCCAGCCATTTGGCGAGAAGATTGTCCAGTTCGACGTGAAGAGTGGTGAGGGAATGAAGGAATTCCTTGCACAGAGTGAGAAAGATTAACGAGTTTTCTGGCTTTTTTGCAGACTCCGGAAGTGAGCGGCGCTTTGAGATCTACTTCTGCGACAACAGCACTCCCAAGTTCTTCCCCTATCACGCCCGCTTTGAGACATTCATCATGTGGTACATTGACGCTGCCAGCTACATCGAGCAGGATGACCATCGATGGCTGTTCTTCTTCTGCTTCGAGAAGTTCACGAACAAGGACGGCAAGTCTTGCTATGCCTCCGCCGGATACGGCACAGTCTACCAGTACTACGCCTATCCTGAGCACGTGCGCCCCAGGATCAGCCAGCTAATCGTTCTGCCGCCGTTCCAAAAGTTGGGCATCGGCTCTCGCCTCATCCGCACGATTTACGACCACTTTGAGTCCAACAAGAGCGTGATTGACATCACCGTTGAAGATCCGTCTGAGGACTTTCAGAGCATCCGAAACTATATTGACGCGAAGCTGTGCATGGCGCTGCCGGCGTTCCAACGCGAAAAGCTACTGGTGGGCTTTTCCAAGGAAATGGTGGCAGAGGCGAAGGCGAAGGCCAAGATCAACTCTCTGCAGTGTCGCCGCATCTACGAAATCTTACGTCTCTACCACACCAATGTCCACAACGAGCAGGAGTACCGCTCGTATCGGCTGGACGTGAAGAAGCGCCTCAATATGATGTACATTCTGCACAAGAAGAACATAGAGAAGGCGGAGAAACGCGGCGTGGACGTGACGGCCGCCAAGCTGGGCATGACGCCCATCACTGAGAGACTGGAGCAGCTTCACGAGGAATACAATCTGCTGGAGCACGAGTATCAGCGCGTCATCAAGAAGCTGAAGGAGTGAAATTGAAGAGGTTTGCGCTCTTTTTTGTCTGAATAAAGATTGTTTAATTTCATCCCAAATGCTGCCTTTTCTTGAGTAATTTTAAATTTCTTGTTTTTGAATACATACACTGTGAAAAGTACAGTTTTATTACCTTCTGTTGCCTCTTGATTGCATTTTAAATTGGTTTCCTGGATGAGCATCTCAATTAATGAAGTGCACAAAAGTACCACAGAGCGATAGTCACATTAATATTCATGCTCAAGGGTAAAAGGAGTGCCATCGTCCAGTCCTTCTCAATCCTTTACGCACGGAAACCCATCATTTGCACTGTGTGTTTAGTGTAGATGCTCCAGGAAGCTCTCACGCGATGGCATCCCAATTGAGAAGCAATTCCACAGCAAAATCTCAGGGGAGTGATACATTACTTGACTATAAAAATGCTTGGGTTGTAAGTTTATTAATCCAGTCCGTGTGACATCGTTGGTGAAAGTGAAACCGGAGTGCCATTGAAATGCATCGGAAGCCCGTGACGTCTGTGAAGGAGCCTCAGCTCACCCTGGATTTGGCGCCACATTCTGACGCCGATGCCTTGAGTGAGTCTCCAACTGAGACGGAGCTGAGGCAGAAGATCAGCCGAGGAAGCGTCAAAAGCGCACTCTGGGCATTCTTCTCTGAGTATTGCAACAACAGCAGCATTCACGGGGTGAAGTACTTGGGCGAGAGACGAAGGCCGTGGGCTGAGAGAGTGTGGTGGGGTGTGGTCTTCCTGCTCTCCATTTACTCCTGCTTCAGCTTCATAGGGTCATCTTGGCGACGATGGCACCAGAGCCCGGTTATTGTGACCTTTGCGGACAAATCCACGCCCGTGTGGCAAATTCCCTTCCCCGCCGTCACCATTTGCCCGGAAACCAAGGTGAAGATGGAATATTTGAACTATACGAAAGCTTTCAACCAATTACGCTCCATGCACAGTCCATTGTATGAAGGTGAACCGGATAATCTCACTGCAACGGAGTAAGTAATAATATGATCATTTCGATCCTTTTAAGAACTGGGATGATTAATGTTGTTCATATATTTATTATGATACAGACAACATCGTCTAGAGAGTATTTATCAACTGTGCAACTTTAATGTAATCAGTAGTGTCGATTTCGGCCCTCCGGAAGTAAATGATACTTTTGCAGACACTCTCAGAGAAATGTCCCCAGAGAGCAAGGACATTTTCCTCGTGTGCATGTGGAGAAATTTTGTGAGCGGCTGCGGCTCTTTCGCTCCAATTCTCACTGAGGAGGGTTTTTGCTACACATTCAACGCTCTCAACGCATCAGAAATCTACCGTCCAGTTGCTCTCCATCCTGGCTACGAATATCCTCTAGTGGACGAAGAGTCATTCCGATGGAGCCTCGAGGATGGCTACACAAGTGCTGCTCCACTGGAAACCCATCCGCAACGTGTGCTTGGCTCAGGCGTCCGAGGAGGATTGTTCGTTTGGTTGCAATCGGCTGTGAAGGATTTTGATTACATGTGTCGCGGTGCGACGCAAGGCTTCAAGCTCTTGCTTCACACGCCCGGAGAGATTCCCATGGTGTCCAAGCACTACATGCGAATCCCGCTGAACCAAGAGATCACAGTCACAGTGAAGCCTAGCATGTTCACAACGTCAGACGGACTGATGGGCTACAATCCCTCCAGACGGCAGTGCTTCTTCAATCACGAGCGAGAGCTGGAGTTCTTCAGGGTTTACACTCAAAGCAACTGCGAACTGGAGTGTCTGTCGAATTACACGAAAGAGAGGTGCGGATGTGTTAAATTCTCAATGCCTCGACATGCAGACACTCCAATTTGTGGATCTGCGATGATTCAGTGCTATCGTCAAGCTGAATATGAACTGCTGCAGTTGGAAATCCAGGAAGATTTGAGTAAGATTTCCAACAGAACTTGCAACTGTTTGCCAGCTTGCACATCAATTGTATACGATTCGGAGATTTCACAGACTGAGGCTGATGTGGAGAAACTGTTTAATGCATATGAAATACCTGCAGATGAGTTTTCAGGGTAAAATTCTGTCCCTAGTTGAGATCTGCGTTCAATACAGCCTCTCATTCTTACAGGTTTCAAATGTCAACTCTAACGATCTTCTTCAAAGACACGCAATTCATCACGTCCAGACGCTCTGAACTCTACGGCCTGACCAACTTTATCGCCAACTGTGGAGGTCTTCTGGGCCTCTTCATGGGAGTGTCCTTGCTCAGTTTGTTTGAGATCATTTATTTCTGCAGCATTCGACTCGTCAACAATATCAGAATGCGAAGGAGAAGCAAGAAAGCAGCTTCTCACGTTGTTGTCCAGAAGCCACTTAAAGCTCTGGTTTAGAAACCCTATTTTTAACCATTCTGTATTATTATAACACCCACTCGCACTAAACAACACTAAAGTCAGTGAAAGTGAATCTCACATGCTTGAAACAATTTTATGACGCTGATTGTGATAAGCATCCCCCCAGAGTGATAACCCAATTCATTAACTTATGAACCATACTTCGGTTAATTATTTTAAAGTGCACATCTGTCACTATTTGCCCGCCAATTCGCAAAATCATTCTTGCACTGAGCGCGTGATTTTAACCCTTGAAATCATGGCAAAACCCACAATTAAACTTGAATCAATAGTCTGGCAAATACAGCAACGGAAGCATCTGTTGAATTTAATTGCTGTCGGAAGGTGGGTCATAAAGTCTCTCCTCCTCTTGCCACAGATAAGGTTTAATGCACAGACCTAAATAAAAGAGCTCATCGCTGTGTAATGTACAAGTAGATTTCCCTTGGAGCTTCCCAAAAGCAGATCTCAGAATGAGGTGCAACATCGTGCTGAGTCTCTTCCTGGCCGCATTCCTAGTCTCAGTGTGTCAAAGCTATCCTCAAAATCAGCAGGGGAGCGAAATCTCCTGGTCGGATTTCTGGATTCAAGTGCATCGTCTGCAGAACTACTACAACTTCCTGAAGGAAATGGGCGAGAATCCGCCAAGAGTGCAACGCAGTGCAATCTGTGCCAATATCTGGGACGACGGATGTATCAATGGACAGGTTGTGGGTGCGGGCAGTGACAGTGGATTCTTGGAAGGCGCTGGAACACCCGGAAAGAGATTTATCTCTCCCTAAATCATCACCAATGGATTTGCGAAATAAATGCTTCTCTTCTCGGCAAATTTTATTCCCAGCATCTTTCATTGCGCAGGACTCTCATCTCTGTAATTTTCCTCTCCTCGCCTTATGTCAAAATCATCCCGACATTTCAAGGAAATTGATGCGTGAAAATTTTTACACTAAACCAAAACCCATTAATGATGTTCAGTGCCAAAATTCGTGAGGAGGAAAACTATAGACGTGTGACGAAAATAAATATGAACTCCGTGACTTGCTTCCATGGCCTTAAATTCAGGTAAATTGCATCCCAGACTCCAGTCACCCCATCCTTCTTCGTCTGGAGTCGTGTCAAATAGAAAATCAACAATTTAAACACACTTTATTTTGCAAACTAAAAAGGTGAATCACAATTTTATTCATGCATTTCCAAAATAGGACATAAGGAATAACATGGGAGATAAAACCATGGATCTTGCAGTTCATTCTTCAACTTCAGGCAAGAAGTTCAGGAGCTTCACGCATTTCTAGGTCGAATGAAGTCGCATCACTCATTGTCACACTCTTTCTCGCTGGTTTGACGATGAATTGTGGCTCTTGACACTGCGATCGGGGTTTTTATATCAAATCAATCTAGAAGTATTTGCACACTTTTGCCTTGTGATTAGAGTCTGGCGACCTTATTTGAGAAATTGAGTTTATATTTGATGTCTTTTGTGTTTGCCACACAAAAATTGAAGCCTGAATTACTTCAGTGACATTTATATTGGATCAGAGTGAAATTTATTCATGGCATTTTTCCACATTCTGAACATTTAAAGAGCGTTATGTATTTGGGGGTGTTTTTGGCCGGTTCTCTTTGGTCAATTTGCGCCGAGACTCCCTTAACGTACACCTTCATAATTATTTTTTTTCGGTATGCTTCTAATCGATTTTTCGTATACGGCGACTCCATACAAAGTGAATGTGTGAGAGAGCGAAGAGGAACGTCCATCGGTCACCGAGTGCCTTAAGGAAGTTCAGTTGTGGTCAAGAAGTCGCTCGAGAAGGACTCCTCAGAGGGAAAGGTGTTGAGATTCCACGTGATTTACTGGATATTCTTGTGTGCTTGTGTTGAATGTGTGATGAGCAGCACAATGATGAGGAACGTGTCCAATTCGAATCCTTCCCTGGAAAGGTCAGATGTTCATGTGGAGTATGAAGTGTCCGTGCCGATTGTGCAGTCCTATCGTCACACGCCATATCACTCACTCTGGAATCTCCACCAGTGGTAAATAATTATTTCCACACCTCCCCAAACAAACCCAAGGATTTCGCGATATCAATCTCCGCACGGTCTCTTGGAAGACGCAAAGCACTTCCCAGCGCGTCCGCACGGCGAGGGTAATGTCCGGTGGAAAGCGATCGATTCGACGCGAAACCCCCAATTTTCCTGGGATTTCCTCACACTATTCGCCAAACCTCGCCGGGACAAACTGTACGCGCCAAAACCTCCTCTGAGCTTCGCATTGAGGACTTTCTTTCCTCCCCCTGGGTTAAACTGTGTCTCTCAAGGCAAGGAAATATGTATATGCCATTAACTTGCATGATTAATGCCAGAGACATTCATTAAGATGTGGGTTGAATGGGGTAATAAAGAAATGTTGTAACTAAGAAAATTCACAGTCATGTAGATCTAGAATGAAATTATTTTCCATTCGTGCTTCAGATGGTGAGTGGAAAATGAGAAAATCCACCGCTGACGGAGTTGCGATCGTAAATATTTGCCTGGGAGTGTGGAAAGTGACCAAAGTCGTTAAATTACCATACAAAGAAAATCGTGTCACGACTTACCACTTTTTCTCCACAGTCAACCAGCACCTCCGCCTCAGCCCCAGATTCCTCACCTGGCCTCGAATGGCCAGTCACAGTCGAGCTTCCACCAAATGGCGCGCATGATGGACTCCCTGATCCTGGACAACTTTGGACCGTTCGCCTTCACGAAGATCACGGCCACGCACCGCCCAACGCTCGTCTCGCGGGGCTCCGGCGAGGGTGGCGGCCTGAAGAAGACCCCCATCGCAGCATCAGCCTCCAATCTGTCGCACAGCACCGCCTCGTACGGCAAGATCAACTATGCGGGCGGGAAAATGGCGAGTCAGGGTAAGCGCTTGGGGTTGAAGTACTTTAAATGAGAAAACACATGAATTGAGGTCACGTCGCCACCCCGACTTGACCACACACGGAGTGGGGATATTCCAATTTTTGGGGCCACTCTCCCAGCCGTCCGTCGTGGCGATTTAATAGCCTGTCGCGACTCGCGTGACTCAAACCACCTGGCTGAATTATTTCATAAGTTTGTGCCCCTAATCGGGGTTCCGGGGTGGGAGGCGGACGCATGTGTGTGCGCCGGCTGAGAGTGGAGGCGAGGACCACCCACGAAAAAGGCACTCCAGACGAGTCTAAATCCAGAAAGTGGAGCAATTGATTGTCTAATGCTATTGACTCGTGAATTGACGATATTTTTCTCCAACACCACCCACTGAAGGCGGTGTGCTTCCGTGTACGCAGAGTTTGGCGTCTGATTTTGCGTGAAAATTTGGTTTTATTGCCGTAATTTCACACAGGCGTGAAATTTTTAACTGGAAGTCAATATTTTCATGGCCACAACTTTGAAGATCTTCCATAAATTTCCGAAGGGGTGAAATTTTCTGAAAAATATCCCTTCACGAAACCTTCTTCGCTGGGGGCGATTGCCTCTCACCACCCACAGAGCCCAGTCGATTGATTGGAGAAGCACAGTTCACCTCAAGTTCAATGAGTCACTTCCGCACTCGGAGGTGAATGACTGGGAAAGGAGAAGTTGTGTTGTGAAACACGATGACCATGCTTGTCTCTCGTCTGCAGAAAATGCCCGTCAGCACGTGGCGGAAGTGCATCCGATGCTGCGGACGAACTCGTCCACACTGTCACCACCAAATCCCACGGATTCGCGCTGGATCTCATCCCTGCGACGGCGCGATCCCGAGCTGCAGCCCACACTTCCCTCGATCAATCACAATCTCGGCCACAGCGGCTATCATTGCGAGAAGCGCGGGCGGAGCAGCAAGATGTCCTCCTCGATCCGAAAGAGTCGCTCCGTTGAACGAATGCGCGCACGGAAGCTGAAGGCCAAGGAGAAGCCCAAGAAGTCGAGTTCAGAGGAGGCCGGAGCCTCTGACGACCAGGAAGCAACATCAATTGAAGACAATCCTCACTCAACGCACACGAACTCGCCCAAGAGTGCCGGCAAGAGCAAGAACTTCCATGCTGTAGGGTAAGTTGAAGCACGATAATGCTCAGGCAACTCAAGCTTTGAATCTTATGCTATGGGATTTCTCAAGGTATGAAAACCACTTGGTTGAGACACTGGAGAAGGACATCCTGCAGAGGAATCCAAATGTGCAGTGGAGCGATGTTGCTGGTCTGAATGAAGCCAAGACAATTCTGCAGGAAGCCGTAGTTCTGCCCGTTCTCATGCCTGACTTCTTCAAAGGCATCCGCCGGCCATGGAGGGTGAGTCTTGATGTCTTCCTTGATATTTGTCAGTAAATCTGACGTGTGATTTTCAGGGAATCCTCATGGTCGGTCCTCCGGGCACCGGCAAGACCATGCTGGCCAAGGCAGTGGCCACAGAGTGCGGCACAACCTTCTTCAACGTGTCCTCGAGCACCCTGACTTCCAAGTATCGCGGCGAGAGTGAGAAAATGGTGAGACTCCTGTTCGAGATGGCTCGCTTCCACGCTCCCAGCACAATCTTCATCGACGAGATTGACTCCCTGTGCGCCGCTCGTGGGAATGACTCAGAACACGAGGCCAGTCGCCGCTTCAAGGCGGAGCTCCTCATCCAGATGGACGGTCTGAATGTTTCCAGCAATGATGACAAGATCATCATGGTGCTGGCGGCCACGAATCATCCCTGGGACATTGACGAGGCCTTCAGGCGGCGTTTCGAGAAGCGCATCTTCATCGGGCTGCCGAATGAGGAGACACGATCGGCACTGCTGAAGCTCTGTCTCAAGGGTGTGAATGTGTCTGGGAGTCTGGACACCAGTGTTATTTCTGATCAGCTGAAGGGCTTCACGGGATCAGATATCAGCAATATTTGCCGTGACGCCGCTATGATGACCATCAGGCGGAAGATTACAGGCTGCTCGCCAAGTGAGATCCGCCAGATTCGGCGAGAAGAGGTGGACTTACCGATTACCACCCAAGATTTCCGGGACGCCATGGCCAGGACGAGGAAATCTGTGTCCATGAACGATGTGGCGCGCTTTGAGAAGTGGATGGATGAATTTGGCTCTTGCTAAAAGGAATAAATCCTGAATACAGTTTACAAACCTTTCAACAACATTATATAAAACATCCTCTTGTGGAAGATATCTTTACATTATTAACCCTATGTTCTGATTCATTTTTTTTTGAGAAGTCTTACAAAAAAAAAGTGTAATTGTGAAAGTATATAATAATATTCGAAGGCACACCGTAAAGAAGAAATTAGTTCCTCAACAAGTATTTGCTTAAGATTTTTATGTCACACATCTTAATTCAATAAATCCGTTTTCAGAATAATCTAATTTCGCTCCTTTCTTCCGCCCAAAAACCCCATGATTAATGCCGCCCTAGAAAATCCCTTTTGCGCCAGAAAGGAGGAAATTGCTTTCTCTCGTGCTGCCACACATTTTTCCCGATGAAATCACACTGATAAGGAGAAATTGAGAGAGCGAAAATGGCTTTTTTTTCTCCACTTTTATTAACGCAAAACAATCCCTAAATACAAGAAAAATTGTTCCACTAGACAAATATTTTTCTTCTAATTGTCACCTTCCTTGAGACTTTTACATTCATGTGTACATTTATATTTCCTTATTTCTTTTTAAATTAAACTCCTTTTTCTGTATACAGTCACTGTAATATCAAAGAAAGCACCAGAAATTGTCTGGGCCGCTCTGGCGGACCGCAATCTTTACAAATTTCCCACACCAAATATTGTCAGGCACTATTTTGGGGTCCGCAAGAACTGCCCTCGGGCTTTTTCTCACTTTGTCATTCTTTACAAAAATTCGTGATGGGGTTTTTTTTATCTTCTTTCTCATTTCATTTATAGAGTTTTTGTTAATTCAATTTGCTTTTTGGTAAATAAAGACATGAATTCATATAATATAATTTTCCCAACAATTTTCTTATTAATAAGGATTATTACAACTTTTCTTTCGACAACATCTAGAAACATTGAACACGAAATATTCTTAATAGAACAATTCCTAAAGATGAACTGCATTTTTTCCATGTCATTTCTGCTTTCTTCACTTTTTTTTCTGCATTCTCTGTCGAGAGGAACGTTGTTGTGGTCAAGTCGCTGAGCATTTCTATTGTACTTTCCTGGCGGCGCTTCGGGATTGCCAGGCCTTGATCAGGTTCCACGCGAAATAGAAAGAGAACCCGTGGATCTGGAATCCCACGAGGATGAATGCGTACCACAGCAGGCCATAGGGCATTCCCTGGAAGAGAGACAGGAGAGTGTTCAGCTGCCCAAGACACGCTGAAGGCGCGCTCGCTTTACCTGCCAGAAGACGATGTCAGTGTCTTCGATGTCCGTGTCGCCGTCGCTGTCGAACGTGAGGTAGTCGACAACGTCACTCATGTAGTAGACCAGGCCGTAGAGCAGCGGCAGGACGCCCAGGACGCCCAGGGCTACTATGTACTTCTGCATATCCCGGATGCGGTTCCCCTTGGCCGCCGACAGGCCAATGAACGACGTGACGATGGATAGACACCAGATGTACTCCCACCAGAGCGGATCCGGCACCTGCAGCTCCTCAATCTCCAGCACGAACACGTCCAGGCGATCCAGGATGTCGGAGCACAGCTTCGCCAGCATGGCGAAGAACAGCAGGTAGTGGAAGAAGATGCAGTACTTGAGGCGGGACTTGTTGATTGCACTGCAACGCGGCGAAGGTGGTGAGAAATTGGGGGGATCCGGAAGAGAAAATCTGGGCAATTTCTACCTGATTTGGTAAATGGCAGAGACACGCTGACGGTGCTGAAAATCCGCGCCGTCCGTGCCGGTGACCATTGGACCACCGCGTGAGGCCATCCTGAGCGGAGATGCGAGGGCACTTGTTCACCAGAAATCGCTCACACTGCACAGGAGTGGATCATTTGAGAAAATTCCACCTCAGACACTCTCCTCGGCATTTCTCACACGGCCTCGCGCTGACACATCGCCAGTGACACGACGGCGGACGGCGTTTTTTCGCCGCCAAATCGACTGCGCGGGACTTTTCACCGTCCATCGCGATGGTGAGAGATGTTCAAAATGACCGTTTTCACCACAATTCCCTTGAATTTGAGCCATCTCGTTAACCCATTAACGCACGAAAGTGAGAAATGCAAGTGTCGAAAATGATTTTGAGATAAGAAAGTAATTAAACTCTGCAGTAAAATGAGTAAATAGTTTGGGTTGTAATAAATCATTTAATACCTTCGAAGCCATTAATTCCTGAAGTAATGTGAAATAATTCTTCTTTTCTAAAATTTGCATTTTTTGCTCTCATTTTGCAGTGACATTTTCAGGACTCTTCAATATGCAAATTACGTGATAAGGATGGAATACTCACAGCTCCTCCCACACAAAAGCTCCGCCCATTTTTTAATACAATAGAATAGAATAGAATAGAATAGAATATGTTTTCAGTCTGCGACAGAAGAACATAAACTTGTGCAATAAATCATCTTCAAAGACCAATAGGGAGCATTTCAATATCCACATACATTTATTAAATTGGCCGATCATGCAGAAACTTAATATTACTACATCAGAAGACTTTATTGAAATTTCAATATTCAGATCAGAGTATGGGATTTATATCAGTCGAAAAGTGCTCGCACAGCATGAATCAGTCGGTAAACAGACCGTAGGACATTTTCAGCGAGGCATTGAGGAAAGTTTTATGAAAGAAACACACCCTCGAATGGGGCAAAAGGCTTTGTCGCGATATCGTGAGATTTAAAGAAGCTTTTTCGTGCATTATTGAATGATATGGGAGCGGAATGAGGCAGAATTGAGAGATAGCAGCAGCATGATGTTGAATGTTTTGGGTCAATGCACTTGTGACTCTCCCTCAAGGATGCCACTAAATCATTGCGCACAATCGGAAAAACTTATACACTTTCCACGGTGAATGCGAAGTTAAAGTGTGAGTGAAGGGAATGTTTAAGACAAGAAAATGCAGGGCAAGGAGAGAATTTACAACGAAAAACCCATGTAAAAATTTACACTTTATAACGCTTATGGCCGCATAGTGTATAAATATTTCATTGACTTTCCATATGGAATTTCCTGCAGAAAATATAAGATAATCGCAACAATCATGCGATTAAATCTATCTTTGGAATATTTATATAAAATTCAGTATAAGCTGAGAGATTGACTCAAAAGAGAGGCAGACCTTATCGATTAAAGTATTGTGTTTATATTTTCATGAATCATTAGTCGCCCCTCTCGCACTCCCGTCCCAAAAATAACCACGCGTGGACTTGAGTGTGTGGAGAAGACGATGTGGGGACACACAAGCGAGATGCCAAGATTTTTCTTCTGTATACGAGAAAAAATATCATTTACAATTTAATTGGGAATACAAAAAATTACAGAAAAATGTCTATTTTTAGCCACAATCGCCACTCTTCGCATAGCGCGACACACTCACTTGGAAGTGACGGAGAAATGGCCCAAAAGATAATGCCTAGCAGAGTTATGGCGATCGCAGATTTGCCATAATCTCACATATTAATGATGATTGCATGACATTATTGGAACATCACGTTCTTGCATTACTCATAGCAGAAAATGTGTCGCATTTACAGCATCTCATTATACACTGCTACAAATCCTATGCATGATAATACTAATGAGAGGAGATTCTTATGCAGAACACTCAAGTTTGTTCAGCAATAAATTGGGCCACAATTCGGTCATACCTGACTTTTTTGGCGTCACTATTTTCAATTGAAATTTCACAAAAGATCCATTTCAAAAAGCATTCACTGATCAGCTTTTAAGTACCAAAATTATACATATATTTGCTCAGCATTGTTTACATTAAGAGACACTTGCGCCCCAAATAGTTCTCCAGAAAATTTTTCCATTGTGAACAATAAATAAGAATAAAAGGCTGCCAAAAACATCTCACTTTTTCTTTTTTTGAATTGAAATTAAACCACAACGTCAGTCTTATGCACACTCTTGAGCTCATTTTGGGGTTGTGTGTGCGTGCGTGTGATTGTGTTTGAGGCGAGATATGTTATTTCCCTCTGACTCGAAAGGCCTCTTGAGCGTATTTTAGTCGCATTCATGATTTTATATAGATTAGTTCGTTACTGAAACAGAAGCACACTGCAGCGCAACGCAGAATTCTCCGATATATTCCTGCATATCCAGCATAACTTCACGTCTCTGTGTTCTCTTCACTTTTGTGCTTCATTATCTCTTCGACGAATGCCTGTCACCTTGCAGTGCACATCAAGAAGGAAGAAGTGACAAGTGATTGTGAGAAGCATTGAAATTCTATAACGACAGCAGATAAATTCAATTATCCCAATCGCGCATCTTCGTCGCAAATTTCACAAAGAGAGAGAACAAGAGTGGTGTAATTTGTGTGTTGCCAAAAAGTGAAACGGCCGCAAAGTGAAAATCTTATATAACATCTGAGAGGAAAATTAATCTCCTGGTGCTTCTCTCTGGCCCGTGGCAATTTCTGGCCGGTAATTTTACAGCAGGAAAGGAGGTCGAATCCAAAGTAAAAAGACCACAAAGGCAGCAATGACATCTGCAGAGCAGAGAAGACTGTCTTTTGCGCGGCGAGCCGAGAGTCTGGTGGAGCGGGTGAGAGTATTTAACACTATTCTTGAGGTACTGTCTCTCGTGGCCACAGGAGAGTCCAAGACAGAGTCCTTGGAGTATGCCTGGAGACACAGAGATACTACAGCAAGTTAGATCGCGCTATCAATTGATGTCAATGCACAGAAGATTGTAAATTTTGTCGGCTATGGAAGCTATGAACTCTGCTGTTAAAGGCATTCTTCGAGAAGTCTATAGTATGAAATTTATCAAGCACTCTTTAAATGCGAATTTATCGGATCATCTCACATGAAAAGATACGAATGCCATTTAACACTACAGATCATTTTCCATAGCCAAGTCATGAATTCATCTGCACACAGAAAGAAACCAGAAAGTCAATCTCAGCATTGCTTTTCACGTCTTCGTTATCAATTTATAAAACACTCCACAAACATTACAAATTTGTCAGCATTCTGAAAATCCCTCTCTAATCGCAATTATTCTTTTCCCTTTTCCAACGATAAGGTTCTGAGAGAATTAATTGAAAACACACAGGAAAAGAAAGTGATGAAGAATGTTGATATAATACAAATTGAAGGGATTTTTCGACAAAGTTCTAAGGAAGTTTTTTAATAGAAAATTCCCTTATCTAACTTACTACAAATATCTAGAAATGCTCTTGATTTTCATAAAGAACACTTCATATTTTGCACCATTTTGCGTGATGTTGTTAATAGATCAACATTTTAATTAATTCACACTTTGTTATGTGTTTCAATATATTGGCAATTATACCAATTTGTCGATCGATTTCATAAGATGCGGAAGAAAGTGACAGTGAAGTGAATCAATTATCACAATATTCTTGTAATTCTCTCGCATTATTTGGCAAATACACGACAAATCTCCCGATAACTACACTTGGCACCAATTAATTAATAAGCAAACATAAACATGAAGTGAATTGCACAAGTATGTTCAACTTGAAGATTGCCATTAAAGAAAATGTAGCGCTGCAACGATAAGATACTTTCAAGGTGATTTTGTGAAATTTCCTGCTTCGGTCAGTTGAGGAGGCGAAAAAAACAGTCCAGAAAAGCCACTTGTGGCGATATAAATAAATTTGTAGGGCATTTTGTGGACAAACTTCCATCCATGTCAAGTGGACACTCAAAGAGGAGCAGCACAATGTTGTACAGAGTCTTGTTAGGCGTCACCTACACTGAGTCCAATTTGCCAGTAGATCAAATTTCCGTTCTGTCTCTCTGTGGATTTTCATATAACACCATGCAAATGGCATTTCTGGCAAAGAACAGGCAAATCTCCCCACAGCATAGAGAGTATGCAATATTTTAATGACAGACCCTCGATGTCTGGGTCATTTGGTCACTCTATTTCTGCCTCGCATCCACCAACACATCAATTTTCATCAGCGTTGGACTGAAATGCAACACGCAGTTTAAACTTGCGCACGTCTCCTCAAATTGCAATGGGAAATTATTCCAAATAATTACCATTTAATTACCATGCACTCCACACAGTAGATTGTATTGTGTCTCTTATAGCAAATGCCGTGCAATTATGCACCTGTGAAGTGAGGTTGCAGGAAAATTGCTTGGAGAGATATTGTAATAATTGTTTATCATCAAACTTTATGTTCACACTTTAATCAGATAGAATCACTGCCAATTTATATCTTATATTTCACAATAAGCCGCCTATAAATAAATTCTGAAGATTTGTACACCACTTAATCATAGATTTAGGGAAATTTAGCATCAACAGGTGCTTTAGTATTTGTGAGCAGTGATGTTAAATTACGCGAATGTGTACAAAATGCGGCTGACTTCGTGCATTGAAATGTAAATATTTTTTTTAGGAAAATAATCTTGTTTAACAAGAAATCCACTGATTAAACCTTTTGTAAGTTTATTGATAATTGAATGAAATCGTAGAAATACTGTCAAAATAAACATTACACAGTGGTTTAGAAGTGTAGCAAAGCAACTCTATTGGTGACTGTTCGGCGTGTTTTTGTACAGTTTAAAAATAACATCTTCATCTTCGCTCCAACACAAGATCTTTCATCGCAGTGAAATACACACTTAGAGACAAAAATCCCACCCAAAACATCATTCCAACTGAATTCTAGGCAGTTATACAGAAATTGGTGTCAAGAAAGTACATTATATGCAAATGGATAATATCGCATTTGGTGACTCAATTGAGATCAATTGCGTGCACTTTGCTGATGCTGTTCATAGGGGAAAAAGGTTCAAAGAACAAGGTTTAATCTCTGGTGTGCTAAAAATAGGCGCGCTGGTGTGAATCTCAATTAATAAATTACTCCATTAAAACAACTGCACATTTGCTATTTTTGTCGCACATTCACCCCTCGTTTGACCGATTTCTGTCACAATTTATGCACATCAAATGGTACAAATCAGGGGAGGAAAAGTGTGATATGAAGTTCCAGCAATTATGGAAGTTTCTCAATAGTTGCACCATTTGCACTCAATAATCGTTCAACTTTCTAAACACAACAAAGAAGAGCAATATCGCGAAATTCACGGAATGCTAGAGTCGCAATAACTTTGATGATAACTTCCAGAGGCAAGTCTGAAGAAAAAGGAGGGAAAATTACCTAATAAACAATACTATCGCTAACATATTGACCCTTGCGGAGGATTTACACCCAACATTCTCAATGAGTTGATAAGATGTGGTCATGTAAAAAGCGAATTTGTATGTTTCTGGTGAGGAAAGAAAAGACGGAGAATGTCTCACTTTATTCACCAAGATAGGCATGAGATATGGACTTTGTCAGCTCTCGTCACATTTTTTTCCCAGCCCCTCCTCAGATGTGATAAAATCAGAGAGGAATTTATCAGGATGAAGACATTTCAAGTTAGTGTTTGACTTTCTCTGACAGGCGTCTTTACACATCCGACTAAGTTTAAGGACTTTCCGCAGCGAATTAAATTATTACACAGCTGAGTCTTGGCTGGAAGTTAATCTCTGCGATTAAATTTAAGAGGATTTTTATAATGCTCAACTTCATTCTACTGAGCATTTCTTTGACAAGCTTCTTCAAGGACACAGCATTAAAATGACCTCTTTGACACATAATTATTCGAAATTAGAATTTTTCTATCATTTACTTTAGTGTATTTGTATCTGAAGAAAGTCATCCTTTGGCTGATTGCATCGCAGGATGGGGCATTGCAAAACGAGCTTAGTTGGAAAATCAATGGTCGTAAAGCGCAATAAATTTGTCTCTCATCCATTTACTGACTCAGCAGGTTGCACGCAATTTTTGATCCACCACAGAAAGCGATATATTGTGCAGAAATTTCACCATAAACCCTTTGACCACTTCATGCAGAAACTATATTGTCACTCCCACTGGTTCGAATTGGTGTGTCATTGGGCTTTTGGGGTAGTGATGGGATAAAGAGTGACTTTGTAGGTCATGCGAAGTGTGAGAGGAGAAGATTGATCTATTTTTGCGACGCAGAGAAGAGCCTCTTCGCACTCGTAATGTAATTTTCTTAAATGGCATACACACCTCAAGGGGTAATATGTTTGCCAGGAGGAAACTGTGGAGTTGCGAAAGGCGCACAATTTGATATTGATGGCGTATTGAAAATAGACTTGTCTCGAACAGTTGTTATTTTCAGCTGTCATTAATTTTCCACGTAATTAAGAGCAATTGAGAGAACGCACTTCAATTTGCTCCATTTGAGAGCACATTCCTACTAATTCCGCACTTCTTTCCCAATTCCTCAATTCACCGCGCGCACGATGGAGCAACTTTCCGATGATGGGAGCAAATGCGATGGAGAGAAAGTGCCTCTTTCCGGACTCTTAACTTTTGCGCCTTTAGCCCATTATCAGGGCAATTTTTCACAGGATATAATTCCATTCGACCGATACTATCTATTGAGGCTGACGCAAAGGAAGTTTTATCCACACAATCTCTGCAAAATGATTTATGAATTGCGTCCTATTCTCATTTAAGGAATTGCGCGCAATTTTTCCACACAACTTTTTCTCCCGAATATACTATGTCTGAGTGCTTTTTCTCACCCGCGTTTTCAGAACGTAAGATGGGAATTGTAAATTCCATAAATTACCATTCGCCACACAAAGTGAACCTGAAAGAATTGCGCCTCTGGCTAACCATCTCTTTTTGCTACACAACATTCATTCCAATGCTACATGGGACATTTCTATGCTCGCCATAGCATTACTTTCGCCCCATTCCAGTCACGAATTATCCCAAGGGGGAGAGAATGTGGACTGAAAATCAACTGGAAACTTATGACTTTATAACTGATGTTTCTGACAATATTTTTTTTTTGATTTTCCACCCCTAAATTGTGCTTTACAATTTTTTTTTTCACCAGAATCTTTTAAAACACTGCAGAGCTTTTAAGAGAGGTATCTTTCTTTCTGCACAACACTTTTGACCATAATATCTCCTCCCTGGAATAACCTCACAAGATTGAATGGATATTCTTTGCAATTTGCCCTTTTATCCACCCATTCGCAATCTATGCAATTCAACGGGAAAATTTCCCTTTGTTGATAATTTCAATTGCGAGAATCATCCTTCTCAGCTCCGTCGTGTAGTGTGCCTGGCTGCCCTTTTGCCCGGGCGTCCTTGTCGTATCCACTGGGCGAAATTGCGGAGCGCGTTGAGAGTGAATTTGGGGGTGTGTTCAGCCAGAGTATCGTGAAACATCATGAGAAGTCCGCTCTCATCCGCACATTCTCTCCCTCTATAGTTTCCATATCGATTTTCTTGGGCGCACATTTCGTACACTCACGCGATGACGTAAAAGTCTCCCAGTGACTCTGTTATGGGCGAAAGCGCGCGCCAAAGAACCAAAACAAACGGCAAGAACGCAATTCGCCCCCACAGGGTGACAAGCAATTCATTCTTCATTTCCGCCCCCTTTGCCGAGGGATCACATTTCACTCATCCCCGCAGGGCCAAGTCGCTGATACAGCCGAACAATGCGGCCAAACCCCCAGGAAATGTGTGTGTTTTGTATGTCTTCGGTGTCCAATTGCACGCCCCAAAAGTGACCAAGAGCAATTCACATCGATTTTCGCCCTCTGCCGCTTGCCAAGTTAATTTGCACGAGCAGAAATCACTCAGTAACTCGGGCTGGATACTTGATAAATCGCACTATAAAAGAGTGATGATAAATTACACGAGTATCCATCAAATTTTACGTGCGAGTAAATAAATTAGTCATGAAGCTGCTCGGCATGTGATAAATTTTTGTGAAATCTTCGTGTGATTTTCATGGAAATACTTTAGCATTACTTCAAGTATTTTATAAAGTTTATCTGAGCTTTTGACGCCCACATAGAAGATTTGCCCTTTCGGAGTAGCTTTTGAGACTCAATTCTCAGACTTTCTTCTCAAGAAATAAATTTTGCAACTTCAATGTTGGAAAATAAATGGGATTTTTTTGAAGAAAAACAGACGCCCTTTTCTGTAACTCGTCAATATCAAAATAATTGTCCTGACATGGAAAGTGAGATTTTGGATTGACAACGTTAACGACATTCAAATGACACTGATTAATTGTGGTCAACTAGAGGAGCAATTTTGCGCAGGAACTTGAGACTCAATTGCTAAAGAGTCAAAATGATGTTTTAAATTTTTCTGTAGGTTAAAATAAAAGGATTGATTTAGTTTAAAAAAAAATAACGTTATTAAGATATTATTATATTGATAATAATATCTCTCACTTCATGTTTCCCGATATCTGGAAGGGTTCTCTGAGTGTCCCTTTCATCCATTCGACCAACTTCCTCGATTAAAGCCTCTCTGAGGGCTGATATCTACATAAAAGTCCCATGTTATGGCGTGTAATGGAATTGCTCGTAAATAAGACATAAAAGGAAGACTCAAAATTTCGCACAGCCTTTGTCCTCTTAGCTGAAGATTATAGCTAATCCAGATTGCATGAAAATATGACGAATTGCGGAAGCGTTAATACGATTAATGATACAATTCATTATATTTATAAGTACAGCTATTATGCAATTGCACTCCAAAGTGAGACCTTACAGTTTGCTCTTTGAATTATCCAGTGAAGCCTGATTTAGAAGTGTTGCATTCTCCAAATGAATCAATTCAATTATATTAATGGAGATGAATTTCCAGCGCAATTCCGCAGAGACAGAGAGAGAGAGGGAGAGAAAAGCTTTCTGCTTTCCGGCAAGTAATTGTTTTGAGAATGTGGCTTAGAGTGAATTGAAGAACACTGTAATTCATTTCCTCCTTTGAACAATTCCAGATAACACCGGCTTTCCTCAACTGCCTCAAAAGCTCGTGTATCTTAATGTAGGTCAGAGGATAACCATGGGCGGGAAATCGCAAGATTCTGCTGTGGGAGAGTTTTCTCACCGTGTGCGCGAGAAAAGTTCAAAAACCTCCCCAGAGAAGGAGAGAAAGAGAGAAATGGATGGCATTTTCCCATGAATTGAAAATCGATTTCCAATTATCTAATTGTAATATGGAAGGTGTGTATTTATTATTAACCGAAGTCACACCGTTGAAGAACCGTTTCGACGGTGGCTCCTTCCTCCTTCGGAAAATCAACTGCACGGCATCTCTGCATAAAATATTTGTGGGTGCTGAAATTGAATGGGTGGAGTCAATTGAAGTGCTGTCGTCTCAATCAGCAATTGAAGGAGGAATTTCCATCTGGCGATAGTTTTTAAATGTGACAAACAAGGAGAAATTCAAGATGCACAGAAGCTCTCCAGATGCTGCGTGTTCGCAGCCACCCTGTATCGGGTTTCCCGGAGAGACTCATAAATTGAGAGAAATGAGAAAACTGAGAGGCGCGAGAGCGTGAGAGTGTGGAAATCACATAGAGAAGTGGCAAAAGACGCTCAAAGAGTTTTCATGTTTTCAGTTGGCTGAGATCAGCCGTGTGAGAACCTCCGTGGTCCATATTTCACAATTCACTACACTGAACTTGAGAGTATTTCTGAAGTCAAAGGCTCGAAAAGAGAGGAAAATTAGGAAATCCGCGCGCGCCCTAAAAATTTTTTTTGGGAAAGTTTGGAGCAAAGTTGTTAACGTGAAAACCACAAAATTAGAGTGATTTTCAGGCAATCTCTTTGTTTGGCGAGTACTTAGCTGTGAATTCTGTCAGGTGTTTTGTAAATTGGTGTTCTCGCCATCCAGAGTCGACAACAAAGGGCCCCAATAAGCGCTCACTGTGAAGATGACAGAGAACAAAGATAAGAATCCTGACGGGAGTTCTCGTACTCGGGTAGGTCAATAATTGGACAGAAAACATCCAATGTGCTTTCTTTTCAAATCATCCATTCAGTGTTTTTCCTTCGCATTTTTTTCCCGCTCCCTCACATATCTCCGTGTCAATTCTGGTGGATGAAAGAAAAGCCCACCCACAGACCCATATCACCTTTCCCGTTGTACTTCTGGTGTGTGTGTGAAAAATAAAGAGGCTCGGAAAGGGGATGCCGCAAAGAGAAAAGAAATTGCGGCTCACCCTCGAAAGAATCTGGCCAAGATTGTGGGTGGCACTCCTCCAGAATGTAAACATACACACTATAAACTCGCGCGTGTGTACCACCGCAGAATATTACGTAACATCCGCTTTGTCCTTTTCCTCACCACCGCCCACGCTGTGGAATATGATGGTCTTTCTCAGGAAATTGCCCACTTCTCCAGGGGAATTTCCACATTTCGTGAATGTCTGATTTTCCTTTTATGCCTGATTAATTGATTTTTCTTTCCATTCGTCAACCACTTTGCATATGGTTCAGTCCAACATAAGTGACACTATGTGATGTGGTATTTTAGGATTGATAGAAGCAATATGTTGGGATTTGAGGAAGCTTTCTATTTTTGAATCTATATGGTTTTTAGAATGGAAACCATTGTTCTTCACCAGTAAAACTCAATTCAGTCACAATTGCGCCTTTGTGCGAACATCCTTTAATTTTTCTCTTTAATCCTATTTAGTGCGACTGTTCTATCAGACTGTAATCGTCTCTGAACAGGATTCATGCACACAATGCTTCTAATAGAGTGTTAAACAAGCTTTTGTCTATTCACTCTAGAATTTATCGATTGAAATTTCACATAAACTGTCAATGTGTTGAATTTAGAGAGTAAATATGGAGGGGGTTTTAAAAAGAAAACTAGAATAGATTAGAACTGACTGTCTGAAGGTAATTCAGAGAAATTGGCAGCTGAAAGACGACTCAGGATAAAGCTTGTGGAGAGATTTTACAAAGTTATGCACTTGATAATGATCTGCCCATAACTTTTCTTATAAAACACCTACTCAGTGCGAGTGGAATTGCTGTAAAATGCGATGATTTTTATTTAATCAACCCTTGTTGGGGAGTTTTACTCAATTGCGGAGGCGAATTTCGAGATGTGTGAATGATAAGATATTTAAGGTGAAAATTCAATTTTCTCGAGAATTGCTGAATGTTGAGAGACTTTTCCACGACACGGAAGTAACTTTATCGTCACTCGACATCGCCCTTGGCGCGTGTGTCTCTCTTTAACTATTTTGAAGATGATTGCAGAAAGTGTGCAGAATTGCGGAGAGAAAGTATTCTGAAGATGGGGTGACGAAAGAGACACAAACATACTTCTTAATAATATGAATGTGAGGGGTATTTTCCGCATTTTCCATGTTCCACATTCGCAGACTTTCAATGCCTCGTCTTTAACTTATATAACTTTTGTGCGCGCCACACAATGAGTGGCTTTAGTTAAGGTTTTTCTGAATTATTTGTGGGGTTTCATCTTTTTTGCAATTCAATAGAAACTGGGCGCGTGTTTTGTTCTTCAGCAAGGGAGGATAAAAAAGGAAACCTGTTGAACAATTAATTTGAAAATTATTTTATTAATATTCCTTTCATTGTGAAGTTTGCCTGCTTTCGCTTCAACAATGCTGGGATTTTTCTACTTAAATATCTGTGGAATTGCACTTTCTTGTTTGAAGGAATTTCAACACGTCAACTCGTATCGCGTGGTTTTATCCCTTAAGTGAAAATGGGTGAAAATTCTTTGGCAAATGTTTGCCGATGACAGCGTTGAGAAAATGTTAGATTTATAAATTAGCACAGGTATGCTCAAGGATATATCGTCTGATTTGCAATATTATTTGTTTGCTAAACAAATAGAGACGTTGCGATGCTGGTGAAAATATGGCATAAAAGATAAATAGTTTTCTTGCGCTATATGAGATTATGTGAAGAAGTTTGAATGAGAATTTTGATTAAAAAAAAATCCCCGAGGACTTTCTGGCCCAAAAGCGATTCCATAGACAGAAAAAGGACGATGTCCTGATATTTTATTAAATAAAATGTTACAAATTAAGACCCAAATATTGTCTCTGCCCTCCAGTCGTTCCTCTCTATCTCTCGTTTACGAGGTGTTTTGAGGAGGCGAAGGATCAACTTTAATGACATCATTAATATTTAAACAGAAGATAATGGCAGCATTTCGCTTTGTTGCTCGTAAAGCATGGTGGTTTTTCATAGGAAATGAGAAGGAGAAATCCAATTTGGATGGCTTAGATGAAATCTCACCACGGACAGACTACTCAACTCAAACTGAACCCATTTAATATCTCAAGCATCTGTACATATATGACGAATTACTTCGCCATCATATGATCATTAATGTTAAGTGATTTTCGGGCCAGAGTACATTTTGGTAGCATATTAGCTCAGTTTTTTCTGCTTCCTCGTCATGACGATGGAAGACAGTGTTCTTTCAATATACTGTATAAGCGACACAATGTGGTGAAATTGCTTCATATTTGCAAGAATAATTAGAATATTCCATCGTGTTTGCTTTGCGCTTTGTCTGGGTGGAAAGTAGAAACATCTCGAATTGATTTTTTTCCTCAACAACATTCTAAGTTAAAATAGACGAACAAATATATGACCCAAAATCTCCACAATACAGCCAATTTTCTGAGCTACTCCAATTGACTTTGCTGGAGTATTTGGATGAATTATTTCGTCAATTGTTATTTCATTTGCCAGCAGAGAAACCAGATATGAAATTAGATTTATGCGGTTTCAAATCAATTTTGCTCCTCATGTCGCTCCGCTTCTTGCCACCCACACTTCATCTTAAAGCAAACACGCACAGAAAAAATAAATTTGCCGAACCTCCAACCTTTCTTTTCTGGGGCGCTTTTCACCACTCTGCACGCCCTTTTGCGGGCCCTTCCTTCATCGCGTGGAGTGTATATAAACCCCTCAATCGTGAAAAGAAATATTTGGTACACTTGTTCATCTGAATACAAATTAAGTGATCTCATTTTATGATTACACATAAAATGCCGAATAGATGGGGAAATGTATAAATTTCTGGGCATTTTGTATGTTTTTTTTATATTCTAGCCCGGAGCTTTTTGCGTTTGTGGTATTTTGACTGGGAAATATGCATGGAAAACATACAATCGTTAATATGGCATATGTCTTTACAAATTCAACTGTGAAAAACTTCTAATGATCTCATGATGGATTTTCCAAGAGTTAATTTCAGAGTCTCGGATTTTTCTGTAACTCTTCAGATTCTATTTCCATGCTTAAATCTGTTACAGACTTTTCATGAGTCTCCATTAATACAGAGAAGCTTGTTATTAGTTCAACTATGTTAAACATTTTGACGTAACTTTATGGCACACAATCCGAATTGAATTACCATTGAGAAACCTCTTGAGAAGCACATAAGAATCCCTCCTCTGTAAACGAATGCATTTTCCACAGAAAGCTTCTTGACTTCCACTTAATCGTCATTCATATGCATTGCAAACTTCACACAATGCGAATTATGCATCTGATAGGAGAAACGATGAATAATGGAAATCTTAAAGTTAACTTATGTCGCACACACTCTGCGATACTTAAATATTTTCTCCACTCATTTGGAGAGCTTTCGCTATATACATACATAATCACATCCCCTTGTTCGATGCCTTGAATGGAATACATCACGCAAATGGACATTAATGGGAGCGAAAGTTTGATGTGATGCTTTTGTCCTTCGGTGAGAGGCAAAAAGAGGTGGGGCGAAACTTTTCCTCAATGGTCGAATATTGTGTGAAATTCACTGAGTCAAATTTATTAATACAGATGGGAAAGTAGAGTAAATGTGCTTGCGAAAATCTAAATTTCCCTTCGCTTCCTTAAATAAATAACTGACCCTTTTTATCTTCACATAAAACCGAGCCTGTCCCCAGTCGTTATTCCTACTTTTATGTGCCCTTCTGTCGTTCGTAAAAAAATGAATGTGTGTGTCTGTTTTTTCGATGTCTGGAGGTATGAAAGTTCTTAATCTTCTGCCTTTTATTTCTTCTGGGCGCTCCTCCCAAATATGCCATATGCTTCTGATAAAGCCAACACAAAAGACTGGAATAATTTTCCTTCATGCTTTAAGACACCAACTCAATGAGGCTTCACAGTGTGATTGAAGTGTGTGATTTTTGGGCAATGAGATGACTTTCTTCGTCCTCTTTTTGCCAAATGAGTGTCCGTGTCAATTGTTCCTTCCTTCCTAGTTTCATCGCTCTTTTTTCTGCCTCGCTCGAGACTTAAGAAGTGGAGATGAATGACATAATTACAGCTACGCTGTATGATAACAAGGAAAAAAGAAAATGAGAGTCACGAATTCATGGCAATTTTGGCGCAAGTTTCATTGAGCGAAAGCCCATCCCCAGGAATTGCTGTCCCGCATTTATGGCGTATTCAGTGCACCATCAATTAATTGATCAGTTACAGTCTGCCACACTTGTTCAGATACTCTTTTGTCGTGTTTCATCCAATCAATCGATAGATAAACAATTTTCACATCAATCCTCGCCGTTAATTTATTTTGACACTCTCCGCAATTTACACTTTGTTGAGGATCAATGAGGAAAATGCCTTTTAAAACAGTCAAGTGCACACACTCAATTAAATCCGCCTGATACTGGTTTAAAGCACCTTCATCTCAATACAATCGCTTGAAACGCTGTTTGTGATGTCGCTGCGCTTGCAGAAAGCAGGAAACTTTCTCAGAAGCCCCGCCCACTCAATTGCTCCGCCCTTGTGAATGATATTCACTACTTTCCACATACAACCAACAATATGTAATGGAAAGAAGTATATTGCTATGAAATACAAGCATTTTCTGAGCTTCGTAGAATCCCTAATAGAATAGTGATTGAATTTCTATCTCGTCTTGTCAATGGGATAAAAGTGAAGAGTGGAAATATTCATCAGTATGATGACTTTAAAGTGCTCAACTTTATTAGCATTGAGGTTGCAATATTTCCCAGAACAACTGCAGGTGAAAGCTAGACAACAAAGTTTTCTTCTCTTGGATGGAATCTGCTCAGGATTTGTTTGATATTCAAAACCTTCATATGAATTACTTTGCGCAGCGTGTGGAACAAACCATTGTATTGGCTATGGCTTTGATGAATTTCGCAGTTAGCATTTAAATTCTTATTCGGTGGAGAATTTTAAGCTGATGTCGAAGTTTCTATTTTGTGACCAAACAAGAACGGCGACAATTGTGTATAACGCATGTCACAATTATCTCGATTAGACAAGCACATTTTACAGTCTAGAAAATTTTAATGATGTTTGAAACTCTCTGAGGGCTTTCGTATAAAAATACACATTGTAAAAGTTTCTCCTTTCCTGTTTTCATTCCACTTCCATGGCAGATTATATTGAGAAAGTTAGCAAAGCCCTATAAATTCACATTACATCCACACTCCTCATCCATCATGTTTTGAGAGATAATTGGAGCGAAAATCGCATCTCTCGTGGGACATTAAAAAATCATTTTCATGATGAAAATGTATCATGAGTTTGATAAATATGGAAATGAATCATTTTATGCACTTTTCACACTGTATTTCAAAGTAATTCAACTGCATAAAATTCATATAAATTACTCCATATACAGCACTAATCAGTCATAATTTTCCTGTCACACTTTCCATCCCATAAAACGAGAATAGATTTTTTTATAATATTATCCAGTATGATATGTCGATAAAAAATTACTGATGGCATTTTACTCTTTATTGCAGAGATATGTCGTCAATACAGATCGAAGTGGAGAAATTCATGTCACAGTCCAGGTAACAAAGAAAAAACTCATCCTTTTTCATGTCATGTGGCCGGAAATATGGCAGAATCAATTAATTTTAGTTACTGCCGTTTTTATCCTGAAAGAGTGTATGCGGAAAATTGAATGAGTGAGAGAATGAAGAGTGAGGAAAAATACATTTCCACTTGTCAAAAAATCCTTTTTTATCATCTCAAAAAACGCCTAGGGATCTAAAATAGGATTTGAGGGCGTATTTATTGAATTTCACCCACAAGCAATCACTTTTCTTGTATGATATTTTTGCTCACATTATCGAAAAGAAAGAGGAGAATTTTTCTCCAACACCGTTCTTGCGTGATGGAATTTTTGCCTCACAAATTTCCACATGTGAAACGATGCTGAGGCAATAATGACATCATTAGAAAATTGTTTTGACCTCCATTTTCGCCAGGGTGGCGCTTCATCATCTGGAAAATACCCATCATCAATATTTCATGGTATTTCTCTCGTGATTTATTTATTTGCCGCACTTTTTCCCAACACTCATTTGTCAGCCTCTTGACGCTCTGAGATCTTCCAAAATGCAATGAATTTTCCTCTTTTTTCGTCCTATTGTAGAGCAAAATGTCTTGCGTGGCATCAAGCACACAATTTTTCATTGCCACCACCGAAATGGTGGAGGAATTGCAGAAGAAGGGACTCCACGGGAGCCTCTAATGGTCTCTCCATTTTCACACTCGACGGGCGTATTGATGCCAGAAACACACGCACTTCATCTTCAATGATTTCTCATCTCTGGCAAATTTCTTGTTGCCACTGAAATTCTCGCCTAGTTCGAATTCTCTCTTTAGCAAAATTGAGCACGTCCGAGGACGTTTATTGGCTGTAATGCTCATTTTTCACCGGTGACAGATTATTTTCATCATCCCGTGAGGGTGAAATGTCACTCTTCATTGCAAGGGGTGAAGCGCAATGGCAAAACTGTTGCACCTTGTACAGTAATATGTTGAGTGAAAATCACTCATTCTTGATGGCAGCTTTTCCTATATAAATGACATTGTTGAATTTGAGATTTGCTTTATCCTGATGCTAAAATTGAGGTCACTAATGACTTTTCAATCACAAAAAGAATGCAACTGATTAAAAGTATGTCACTTTGATTGTTATGCAATAACAATCAACCCTCTGGGCAATAATGCACAACTCAAGGGTGAGTTAGTATGTGAATTGCAAAGCTCCAAGGAAAGCCCTTTTTGTCCCTTGGCATTTCAGTTTGAGATAATGCTCAAAAGTCTCTCAATGGCAGGTCGTGGTGTGAATCTCGTTGAATAGTTTGTGAGGTATTATGTGAAAATGTCCATCACTTTAATTGGTGCTCATGTGGGGTCAGGCGAACACGTGATGTGTGCTTAAGCCCCTCTTTCCATCTCCCCGTTTCAACTTCAATTATCACCTTTGCAGGGCGATTTGACGCAGCAAGAGAAGAGAGCCGTCTTCATGACTGTGCACGATTTGGGATGTAATCGTGAGTATTTTGCAATGGGAATTTCATCAAAGAACCATTTGCTAATGAACATCGCTTTGCACACAGACACATCATTCCAGGACTTTGTCAATAGTCCATGCATGACAGAGATTAAGGAGCGCTCGTGTTTCATCCACATCGACGCACCGGGTCACGGCGACAATGCCGACCCGCTGCCCGACAGCTTCCCTTTTCCCTCGCTCCAGACACTCGGCGAGGATCTGGTCACCGTGCTGGATTTCTTGCACGTGAAGTATGTGATTGGCCTGGGCGAGGGCGCTGGAGCCAATGTGATGGCCCGCTTCGGGCTGGCCCACTCCTCGCGGTGCCTCGGCCTCATTCTCATCAACTGCACCGGAAGTGCAGCATCAGTATTGGAGACTTTTAAGAACAAGGTGAGCGCGCCTGCCTCGGATCGCCACCCACTCGGCCCACTCCAAATCCCAGAATTGCCCTCAATAGCCGTGATTGAGGATGTTTGTTGGCAGATAGACTTGTGGGGTTGTCGGTGATGAAAAGCCGCACTATGTTCAATACATATTAACCATGTAGCGTTGTATATTGCAACGAAACATCCGACAATCTCCGTGAGCGAACCCTTCCCTCTTGACTTCGGCACTGTCTTGTACAACAACCGACGATGAATAGCACATTATTGGGTTTCGCATCTTCCGGCCGATGTTTATTTCCGCCCCCAAAGCCACCCCTTCAACCCATTCTCATATTACATCTCCGTCCAGTTTGTTGTTCTCACTATAATTGATCTTCCAGTCCTTTGCACATATACAGTAAAATTGATATTTATATCATCTCGGCATTAACAATAAACTCTTCGGTGATTAATTGAGAAATTGACTAATTTGCCCAGGCACTTGAGCAAAAGAGTAAATATTTAAGTTTATTGTGTGTCGTACAAAGTAGCAAATTGATCCATTTTCTATCTCACTTCCGTGCTCAAAATTGAATTTAATCACACTGGAAATTTTCTCAGCGTTTTTCGCCAAATACCCGCCCATAACATAAATCCACCCCGAGCATGTGTCTCCGGCGAGTGGAACTTTTCTAATTATACTCCATCTCACTGAATTGCCAGAGCACACATAATTTACTTGTATATATATTTTTGAATTAACCTAACAAAACCCAGTCCACCGTGCTTCGGGTCTTTTAATCGTGACGTGAAAGCACAGAAGAGCTGTTTTTTTTGTGAAAAGGCAGAGGTTAATTTTTGATTCAATACACGACAGAGTGGAAAAATCTGCTTCATTTATTTTTATAAAATACAGCTTCAGGGAAGAGAATCTCTCCTCATAAGGACCTATGAACTAAAATGACTTTATGAAATAGTTTTAATAAACAACTATATTTATAAATAGTGAGCTTGACGGAAATTACAAAAGATGGAGCGTAAATTAAATTTTATCTTCTGATAAATCTACCGTGACAAAACTCTTCTTTGCGATGTGTTGAATTCGCTGAATTTGCTTCTGAAGAATATCATGGAGGCTGAAGGATTTCTAAATCAATGCAGAATTGAATCTCTTGCGTTCTCATTTCGAGCGATGTCCTGTTTTCTTGCTTCCCTTCAATGGACGCTTAAGCAAAGATCCCTATTTATAGCTTTTCCATTCACGCCAATGCGAATTCAAATCCAATAATTGATCTAATTTGATGGAAAGGCTCTTTTCCCCAATCCACCCAGAAAAGTATTATGAAAATTTCACCCCAAATGTTTTTCTCCGCAGTTTATCACTTGGAAGGCTGATGAAGTTGCCAAATCTGCTGAAGCTTTCTTGGTTTACCACAAATTCGGCCATGTAAGTATCGAGTCATTCCCATAGATAATACCACTGAAATTCTTCACTCAAGAGATAAAAGAAAAGCCACGCTCTACGAGGCAGCTTGAGGATTAATTTGCCGCCAAGATTTTCGGAGAATATGTTTATTGGGACGGGTCAAAAGAGGGCTTCAATGTCACCAGCAATCTTTCACGCTTTCACTGCTCTTCTAGTCGATTGTCAAGAATTGCGATGAAAATGTTGAGCAAAAAATCATATTGGAACATATTTTCTATCTCACAGAAGCATCTTCACTTCACTTTTCGTCTCACGCGACTTCTTTCATTTGACCATTTTATGTGTTTTTTTTCTTTCTTTCTCTCTTGCAAGGCAATTTCTCGGGTTGAAAAATGTAATATGCAAAAGCAAAAAAAAGATGCTTCACTTTCTCACAGTAAAAGAAGAACATTCGCGCGTCACAAGCAAAGCACAAATTGCAATATGTATAGAAAAAAGATGAGAATTTTCACTGCAAGACACATTTTCTAGTCTCTCACTCATAATATTTTATTTAATCAACTTAAGTCCTTCCAACGATGTGAGATGTGATAATGAAATTTCGTTTCATGCGTCTTCTGTGTACAATTTGCCAGTTGCAATATTTACACGAGGTACTTTTGCATTAAAACTAAGTGCTTATTCTTTTATTCTAATTGAAAGCCAGAACAAAAAATAACATAATGCGCATTTTTCTCTTTCCCTATTAATATTAAAAGTATATTAAATATATATAAAAATTAATGCGTCCATTAGACGTACAAAAAAATACCCATAAATACATTGAAAATCATAAATTAACACCTGAGAATGTTATCAATGATTGGTCTCTAAAAAAGATCTTTCTCTTTACCAATTTTCTTCTTAGTGCTATAGAATGCATATTTAGTCGAGAGATTTTTCTTAGTGATTTTTTCCTTAGCTTTTCACAGGAACAAACAACTGACTTTCGCAAGCTCTCTAATATAATGCCTTTTCCCCTTTCATGCTCGCAAATACACACACTGTAGCAATTGGTGGGTGATAATCCGGACAAGGACAAAGTGATTGCAGACTTCCAGAGTCGCCTCCGTGGTAAATTGAACAATAAGAACTTGGGACAATACGTGAAGGCATTCATGAGGTGCAGTATTTGAGCGCCACAAATAGGATTTCCTCCTCAATCCACATATTATTCTCAATTACAGTCGCAAGGACTTGTCACTGAAGGCGTGCAAAGTGGACATTCTTCTCATAACGGGCATGCTGAGTCCCTATGCCACTGTTGTGGAGAAGCTCTTCAGAGATCTCGACAAAGAGAAGGTGACCATGTTGAAAATCGAACGTGCCGGAGATGTCTTGGCGGATGCTGTGAGTATCATTGAAGAAGTCCTCGCTAGGCATGCCACCCCCAATTTCTTGGAATGCCTATCGAGTGTGTCTTCCCGTGCATTCTTGAGCCAAAGTGACCAAACTGTTATGGGAATACTGAGATGCACGCTTGTGATACACCGCAAGAGTTTTCCCTGTATTGCCACATCACAATAAAGTCCTTGACGCTACTTTGAGGACTCTGTGATGCCACACGCGACTTCTCAATGGGGAAATTGAATACTTAGAGTACAAATGATACTCCAGACAAGGATATGAGGAGTGTTTTTGAGTGGATTAAGCATTCTTTCACATCAGAAGAGAATTGAGGAGGAAAACACATTAATCATAGAACGCAAATTGAGAAAGAGTTTGATGATATTTGATGAGACAAAAATTCAGAATAGTCAGTATTCGTTTTTTGAAATGTCTTACTGATGAAAAATACCTGAATTTTTCTCTTTCATCTGCTGTTTTTTGAAAAATTACATAGTCCATTAATGAAAGTAATTAAAATTTCAGTCTGTGGATCGATAAATAACATGAATAATTAAGCAAACCAACTTATTTTAATAGCCTCCAGCTCTGAACGTCATTTTGCTATTAATTAATAACCAATGAGTGTTTATATGATGCTCAGTTGATATTAAATTTGATAAATTATAAGCAAAATTACAGGAAACACCGCATTCATTGGCCCAATTTGAAATTGAGGTTTTGACACAGGGTAATCTCAAATTATGGTAAATACTTAATGGGCATGTCTTAAAGTGAGATTCTGCCGGTGAAAGCCACAATTCTTGTTCACCAGCTCTCCTCATCGTCAATTAGTGTTGACAATTTATAACTTCTGTACTTATTCGTGTGTGTGTGTGTGTGTTCAACAAGTAATCCAAACAAAGTAAACACCCTTCCTTTCGCTTTTTCACATTACGTCCCGAGGGAGTCGTAAGTGCGAAAAGGAGGCATTTAATTAAATTGAATATCTCATCTCTGGCTTGACATAATTGCATGTGACAAGGTCGTAAATAGTGTGTTGGTCTCACGAGGAGTCTGTTTCTTGCTTACATGCTAAGAATGTGTGAAAATTCAAAGGACATTTGTGTATTTTACCAAAAGTCCGCCGAAAACAGTTGAAGACGCGTGTTCTAGAGAGTTATCTAGAACGCTTTGCACTTTTGAAAATCCGTCACATGACCAGCATTGATCTCTTTGTTTTTGCGCCTTGCAGCCCGCCAAGGTGGCGCAGTCGATTCTGCTGTTCTGCAAGGGCCAGGGACAGCTCACGTCTGTTGTGATGCCGGGCGTTGATCGCTCGCGCGCCTACTCCACCAGCTCTGGCGGCTCCAATGACGGCAACACACCCGTGGGGGCGCTCTCGCGGCGTCTCTCGCGCGGCATGTCCATGGAGGAGTACGACAAGCCCAACATCCGGAGACTCAGCATCACAGTCAACGATCAACTGCCGCCGATCAAGAAGTAAAGTGGCGCGCGCAACACTTCGATTCACGACAGATAATCACAATATGAAATCATTGATACAATTTTCAATGCCAAATTTACAGAAACCACCCCCCGAAGATTAATCATTAGTGGATGCAGAGATATGAGAGAATCATAAGCAGAAGACAGTGTGGAGCAATTTCTTTTTGGTCATGGCTAGACATTGGACATTTATGAGCTCCTCACTGGCAATGCACCTTTATATTAGGACTTTGTAAGGAGCTGAGCACTATCAATTCTCATGAGTAAAAGCAGTGAATGGTCGTCATAAAGTTGGGTGGATTTTCCCCTCAACATCTTCTTCTAAAACACATTGCATTACATATTATAGAATATTGCCAGGGAGTAAAGTCATGCTAAGGTGCACAAAATGAACCAAAATCTCCATGAAACATAACCACCATATATATTGAAAAGTAAATGGAATAAACGTGAATTATAAAGTGAATATTTTTAACCAGCAATAAAATATTACATAACCAAAATATCTCGTCGTTATGCCAATTAATGGACTTAACAATCCAAAGATTAAGGAATACATACACAAATACACTTGATAAAAATTATACAAGATATTTTAGAAAGTGACATTTTAACAAAGATTGATAAAAAAAAGATATATCATTAGATTTGTGACGTGCTTCTAATGCTCTATAAAATGTACTAAAAAAAACATTGTGAAAAAATGCTCTTTGGCTTAGTGAAAGAAAAAAAAAGGATTTTTAACTTTTGACTTGATATTTAGACATGAGATGAAAAGTCTATTTAACTAAAAGGATAATTTTTCGAGAAATGAGAGAATACAATAAATGATAAACAGTAGTTGTATATCTTCGATGCTATATATTGACATTTTCTGGACAATTTTGATAGAAAAAAAGTGAGAAACTTAGATAAACGCCAATTGCGATGATAACGTTTTGAGCGATTTTTAAGTATAATATATTTTCTTGCACCGCAATAATAAGACCAAAAGACCACCTATCAAATGCGTACAATCCCCCTAACACATCGTCTAGACATCTTCATTACTGCGCGAGAGAATAAATGTTTCTTTAAATTGAAAGGAAAACACATCAAGACATTGTATTTAAAAAAGGCGTTAATTCAAAGGTACCTTCTAGATGAGAAATATAGAGAGAAATCCTTAAGAAATTGACTATTGTTTTCTGAGCTTTACTTTTTCATAATAACTTTCCATTAAACACAACACATCGTCCAAGAGGAAGGCCGTTATATTTAAAGTGAAACACAGGCCGCACATTTCCGAATTGGATTCTGATGTTCTTATTGAAGTTTTATATAATCACAAGAAGATATTACGTAGAGAAATTAATGTATAGTGACAAAGTATTTAAAAATGAATATTAAGAAATACAGTAGAGACATTATTGATGAATAAATTCAATCGTTAAATGCATAAATAAATGAAAATGAAGGATCATCAAATTAATTTTCTTATCCACCACAAGTCTTCATTTCTCCGAAGTTAATTTGCAAACTGATTGCCCTGATTGCACATCTTCTATTCCTCTGGGAAAATCAATAATTAAAGTGATTTTATCCAATTACAGATTGATACTACGATTTGAGCTTGAAATTCATTAAAATCCCATTGCCATTCAGTGAAATATCTCAGCGTGAAAGGGATAAAATCTGCTGAGATTTCGTGAAAAGCAAGCACAAATGTTTGTGAATGGCAAAAAAAAGAAAGGTAAACGAAAGTGATTTCAAGCTGGTTTTTCACCGTGATAAGACGAAAAGGGAAGGAAAATACAAACGGAAAGATTGTCTACAAAGAACTCCAGCCACGTCACACGTTCTTTTCATCTTTATTGCGCTGCGAAATCAGTGACGTTGCTGAAGATTGTGAAGAGACGAGTACAATACGGAACAAGAGGGAGAGAATCAGGCTGGAGTACATTTCCTGGTGCTTCCAGAGTAGCTTGTGAAACCCCTGAAACTTCCCTGTGTTTGAAATTTCTGACTATATCTCAACTTCAAATGAGTTTCTTAAGTTTCAATGCAGTTTCTATTCAATATCTCAAGATACTCAAATTCATATCATATTCCGCAGAGTTGTACACCACTTCCCACCATAATATCTCTCCCTTGAGATAGAGCATTGCAAGCGGAAAGAAAGCTCGCTGTATTACTTGCTATGAGACGTACAATTCAAAAGAGATTACGAGTTACTTGATCTGTAATATTTTTATTGAACTTATCTCCATTCCTTGTAAACAACCCCCTAATCCTTGGCGCTCTTGTCCTCCCACCAGAAGGAAATCGAAATACTGTTGCTTATCGCTCTCACATGATGCCACCAACCAGGTGGAATGTAGAGAACTTCACCCGACTTTAGGAAGACTTCGCAGAAGGAGATTTGCTTGGTTCGCGGAAAACGCGCTTCGTCAATACTCTCGAGATCAACTTGAGATGTATTGGACAGCATTTCACCGCTGTAAGGATAAACAGCGTCGGAGTCTTGAGGATGGGCGAGCAGGATTCTCTTTCTTCCCACAACTTGAGCCAGCAAATTGTGTTTCTTGTCGAAGTGCAGCGGAGAAACTGTGCCGCACGGACCAAACCACATCTTCACCTCCACTTCGGTCTCCGGGGAACCAATGTGGCAGTAGTCAGGGATCCTGATGTCCTCCTTGAGTTCAGGTATCTGATCCAGAAGGTCGTGCTGTGCCAGATACTCAATCACCGTGTCCTCGTGTTTGCCTATGAACTGCCTCTCTATGAAGTCCTTCAAAGGCACGAGCTTCTGACCCCAGTTGGACTCTGTGTACTTGCTCCCGATCTCAATTGGCACGGTCCTGTGGCCAAAGTGTCGGATGAAGTATCCCAGATCAGTCCATTTCTCCTTTGCTGGCCAATGATCGATGCAATTCTGCAGAATTGCCGTCTTTCCTGTCGCATAGAATCTCTCTCTGAACTCCTGCATCGACGGCAAATCCAGGACATCCACTTCACTTCCCACTGAGACTTCATGCTTGCGTGTCATCTCGATTTCCAGACTCATCAGAATCACGCCAACTTCCTCTCGCCGAGAAATTTCCTCGGAAATCAAGCTGGCGCTCTTCCTCAAGATATCCTGACCATCTTCACTCATCAGTGGCGCTCCTAGAAGAATGCCAGCATCCAATTCCTTGAGGCACTCAATGAGATTTCCCTTCTGCAGCAACAGACAAACTTCCAGGAAAGTCGCCAATGAATATACGATCCTCTGCTTTATGTCAACATCTTTCCAGTGTCCAATGTGCAGCATTTCCCACGCGAAAGTCCTCAGGGCGGAAATCCTGTATAAGTTCTCATCGCAATCTGAAGCTTGACTGTTTTTGATACTCTCAAGAGCAGCATTGAATACCGATTTGTGAAGATTTTCACACTTTTCACTGATAATGCGTTCAATTCCCGTGAGAAATTTTATACACACTTCCTGAGCACTCATTCCCACTTCCTCTCCTCCTAATTATATTCCGTTTTATCAGCCAAATTCAGAATCTTCGAGGGATTCTTTGAGATGAACACAGTATTTGTACAGAAAAAAACTCGAGTTTCCTCTCAGTGTTGGATTTTCTAGCAGTGCGGCTGTCAAAATCACATGTTTCTGTTTACACTTTGTGGAGTGCAGAAAGTTCCGTGGGAAAATCTGATTTTCTCTTGCAAAATGAGGAGATTCACGAGTAATTTCTTGAGATACCATCTCACGCGAGGTCACTTGTTGTCTCCCATGACTGGGAGTTCCCGGACAGGCCACACGAGAGCCGCGCAGCGAATTCTTCCCGCCGGCCCGGGATTGAAGGAGTTCCTCGTGGCGGGAAAGAATTTCCCTGCGCCGAACAAGTCAGCAATAGCTGAGGATGTACCCTATTTATCGGCACTGGACATCTCTGGGCAGAACAGGAAGGTATTCTTCGAGGTGTACGGATGCCAGATGAATGTGTCAGACACTGAAGTCGTGTGGTCGATCTTGAAGGGACACGATTACCAGAAGGTGGAGGATTTCAGGGAGGCTGATGTCGTCTTGCTGATCACTTGTGCCATCCGAGAAGGAGCTGAGACGAAGATCTGGAATCGACTTCAGCAATTATCGCTGTACAAGAGCAAACGCAAGTCGGTACTTCAGATTGGAATCCTGGGATGCATGGCTGAGCGACTGAAGACGCAAGTGCTGGAGAAGGAGAGATTGGTGGACGTTGTGGCGGGTCCGGACAGTTACAAGGACCTGCCGCGATTGCTGGCCGTGACGCGAGATGGGCAGCAAAGTGCTGTGAATGTTCTCCTGTCGCTGGACGAAACCTATGCGGATGTCACGCCAATCAGGCTGAATTCATCTTCAGTCACTGCTTTTGTGTCTATAATGCGCGGCTGTGATAACATGTGCTCCTACTGCATTGTCCCATTCACTCGCGGACGCGAGAGATCTCGCCCGATGGCGTCAATTGAGGAGGAAGTGAAGCTTCTGGAGAGTCAGGGTGTCAGGGAAATCACTCTGCTGGGACAGAATGTCAATAGCTACAGAGATTTGAGCATGACGAGCAGTGATAAGAGTCCCACGACTCTGGCACCGGGCTTCAAGACAGTGTACAAGCCCAAACTGGGCGGCGCCAGATTCGAAGAGTTGCTGGAGAGGATCGCCGAGGCTGTTCCTGAGGTCAGAATTCGCTTCACATCTCCTCATCCCAAGGATTTTCCTGAGGAAGTTCTGCGAATCATACAGAAGCACCCCAACATCTGCAACAATCTCCACTTGCCCGCACAATCCGGAAGTTCTGCAGTGCTGGAGAGGATGCGTCGAGGCTACACGAGAGAGGCTTATCTGGAGCTCATCGACAGGGTGAGGAGTCTTCTGCCCGGAGTCGCACTCTCCAGTGACTTCATCCTGGGATTCTGTGGCGAAACTGAGGAGGATTTCGCGGAAACACTGTCGCTGATAGAAGCTGTGCAGTACAACGTGGCCTACATCTTTCCCTACAGCATGCGAGAGAAAACCACTGCCCATCGTCGCTTCCAGGACGACATCCCTGACGAGGTGAAGCGCGAGCGCATGGCCAGGACGGTTGAGGTGTTCCGGAAGAGCGCCACTGAAGCCAACAGACGAATGATTGGCCAAGAGCAGGTGATTCTGATTGAGGGCGACAGCAAGCGCTCCCAGGAGGACTTCTATGGGCGCAATGATGGCAATATCAAAGTGATAATCCCCAAAGGCAGTCTGGACTCGCGACCAATCGCTGTCGGTGACTACATCGCTGTGAAGATTCATTCAGCCAACTCGCAAGTGCTCAAAGGCACCCCTTTGAGGCGCACTTCATTGAATAGGAGCAACTAGAGTGGGATTTGAATGAATATACATGACTGATTTCGGTAATCGTGCGATGCATTGAGTGGGGAAATTCCTCCCAACAATCGTGAACTTCTGGCCTCCATCGTGACCAAATTCAATAGATTTTCCCACATTGAGATTTTCACACTCTCCGCTTGGCTTCTGAGCAGCTTCGTTGCATCAGTGGTGTTCATTTGTAGTCAATCATGCAGTGGGAAATATTGTTGCTGCTCCTCATCACTCAACTTCCATCGATACTCCCAATTGTGTATCAATACAACGGTGAGTTGGAAAATCTCTTCTTCCCTTGCCCCAAATTCCATGCATTTCCGAAATTCTCCTCTCTGTCATTTCAGTCGTGGGCTCCACAACCAACAATGCCCGGGTTTATCAGGTTGGCACGAAGCAAATCTACGTGAGCAACTGGCGCACCAATTGGCACCAAGCCTACGGCACCTGCAGAAGCCTGGGCATGCAGATGGTCACCATTGAGAGTGATGCCGATAATCGTAATCTCTGGGACTTTGTCAATGCGCAGAATCTGGGCGAATGCTGGCTGGGCGGAACGGATCTCGGGACTGAGGGCAACTGGAATTGGTTCCCAACCGGGCGTCAGTTTGTGTACACTCGCTGGGCGCCTGGGAATCCCAACAATCTCGGTGGACAGCACTGTCTGCAGTTCTGGACGCGCTATCCCAGCTTCTGGGACGATGATCACTGCTGGCGTGAGAAGTTCTTCATGTGCGAAGCTGTGCAGTGCAGCAATTCTCCTGTGCAGATTCAACTGCCAACGAACATTCAGTACCAATCCACAGCGCTGCAGCCGCAGCAGTACCAAGTGGCGCCAAATCCCTACGTGCAATCCGTTCAGCCCATCCAAACGGCAGTGCATCTTCCGACCACAGTTCACGTCCCGTCGCCGGTTAACGGAGTCCTGTATGTTCACTAGCTCTAGTAGATCAGGCAATAAATTATTTTAATGATGATTTTGCGCCTTGAGCTTATCTCGAAAGATTGTCCTTGTCGGTGAAAGATTGTGCTCAAGATCATAATCACGCTTGGAATTGACCCAATTGACTTGATTTTTTGAGAATCAAGGTGAAGTTCCTCAATTATTGGAGTTTAGAGAATTTTATTCAGCTCATGCACGGTGAAGAAAGGTAAGCAAAATACTTGCAACAGTTTCTATTCAAATTTCACAAAACACGCACACTCATTTGCGCATTCTAGTAGTTTTCGCATTGTCAAAAAATTACCAAAACACAATCAAGTGCAGAAATTGGCCTTCCTTCCTCAATTTTCTCGAAAATACACCTAAATGGATAGACAGAAACGAAGGAGAACAATCGAGAGACCCATGAAGAGGTGGACGTTGGAGGAAGAATCCAAAATCCTGGACTTTCTCATTGCCAATAAACCAATTGAGGTAAGTGGTAATTTACCATATGAAGGCGTGGCTTAAATTTTGGTAATGTTTCAGCTTCCCACTGCCAAGATGTACTATTCCAAATTGATTCAGACCCTCGAATGGACAATAAACTACAGCTTGGTTCGCCACAAAGTCAAGAACATGAAACAGCTGTACTTTAAGATGCTGTCTTGGAGGCAATCAGCAATAGAGAATGATGACTATGATGAGCAAATGATAAAAGGTTGGTAAATCTTTGTAATTTCTGCCAGGAACTGGTAATTGATATTTATTTCCACGATTGCAGAACACTTGAAAAGACGCTGTCCGCATTTCAAGAAGCTGGAGAGTCTCTTCTCAACAGAATTGCGTGCCAAGAAAGCCACGCAATCCTGCAAACCGCAGAAAGTCGAGGAGATTAATTTGTGTGCTGATGAAGGTGAAGATCCATCAATGGAAGACTTCAAAGTCGAGTACAGTGTACAGGATTTAGACTCTCGTGCTTCTGACGAGTCGGGAGATCCTCTGCGGGCTCCTCGAGAGGTCCTGGACATGAACAAGGAGCAGGTATCGCTGCAATGGATGAGACTGGAGATTGAAAAGGAGAAGCTCTCAATTGCCAGGGAGAAGATCGCCATGCTACGAGAACAGAACCAAGAAGAGGCTAAATTCAGGATTCTGCAGTTGGAACAGCAAGGCATTCTCAAAAAGCTGCAGATCGAGAAGGACACGGAAGTGAGAAAGTATGAATTGTCGCTGAAGTACAAAGCGGATCTCAAATCGGAGATATAGATTTCCGGGAAGATCTAACCAAGAATTTTCCCGCGCTAACCACTCCAGAGACACCTGCCGGTATAAATTGGCGAGACAGCAGAATTTTCAAAGTGAAACTGCCATATTTACACAGATTTATATACATGAAAATTACCAATAAAATATGTGAAATATCATTGGAAAAACTTGTAATACTTTGGGAAAATTGCAGAAATATTTGTGATAATTACAACTCAACATGATGCAAACAAAATACTCAATTACACATTCTAGCAGTTTAGTTGCCACACAACTGTCAGTTTCGTCACAAAATCACTTACACATTTACACACAAGTGAAGAATTAACTCAGAAAAATATGGAAAAACCGGAAAAACCAACTAGGAAAAGGAGATTCCTAGACAAGCCCATGAAGAAGTGGACATTCGAGGAAGAGAATAAGATTCTCGACTATCTCATTGGCCATCAACCGATTGAGGTGAGTGAAAATTCGCTCCCGTGTTGTGCTCTTGAGTAGAGTTGTGTAACTTCGCAGATGCCCACTGGAAGAGCCTACTATCAGCAATTGGTCGATGATTTCAACTGGAGCGTGGCGCCAACGCTGGTGCGCTTCAAAGTCGCCAATATGCAGAGAATTTACTACAAAACTCTAGAATGGAGACAAGCGACCATCGAGAGTGGGAATTACAATGATGACATGATTAAAGGTGCCACATTTTACCACAATATGCCATCCTTTTGCTAATGCCAATATTTCCTCTGCAGACTATTTGAAGAAACGCTGTCCGCACTTCAGGAAGCTGGCAATCCTCTTCGCCTCCAGTGAGAAAGCTAAGAAAGCCACAAAGTCCTTGGTATCACACAAAGTGGATGAATCGAATGGACAAACTGAGAATCTGGACAAGATCGATATTCCCCCGGCAAATGCGGAAATGCTGGAAGCCTTCAAGGTGGAGTACGAAGAGCCAGACTTGTCCTGGATCTCACAAGCATCCTCGCCAGAGTGTTCTCGCCTCCCGGCCGCTACTGCTGAATCTGGAGATCCTCTGCGGGATCTGGACAGCACTCTCTATGCCAGAGGCGGTTCGCGCGAGGCGATGGAGCTGAAGAAGGAGCAAATGTCTCTCCAGTGGATGCGGCTGGAGATTGAGAAGCAGAAAGTGGAGCTGCAGCGTGAGCAGCTGCAGGAGGAGGCCAAGTACAAAGTGCTGCAGCTGGAACAGCAGGAACGCATCAGGAAGCACCAAATCGACCGGGAAACCGAAGTTCGGAAGTACGAATTGTCGCTCAAGTACAAAGCTGATCTCAAGTCTGAAATGTAGACAAAGTCGGGGTGGAAGTGAATAAAAAGGGAGGAAAACAGACCGTTTTCGTTGCTCTTTTATTCCCCCAATTAACACTCAAGTGGTGCCCTTTGAGTACCTCTTCCAGAATTTCTTAACATCGTCGTGACCGGACTTCGTGACCACCATCGTTCGCGTGCGTTCGTTCTGCCACACGAGTACGCTGATGGACTGCGCGTAGTCGCGAAGTGTTATGAAGTCCGCCTGCGAGAGGAACTGATTGTACACGACGCCCTCCGTGTATACGAAGCGGTTGCGCTCGTTCTCCCACAGCTTGATCTGGTCCACAATCGTGGGCGGCAGGCAGGATCTGTGGCGGTAACCGACATTGGCGTTCGCGGCACTCAGCATAGCCGAATGCGCGTGCTGCTCTAAGTAGCTGATGATCTGCTCCGCCGTTATGCCGCCGCGCAGCGCGGAGCGCACGGAGTCACGCGTGAGCACGCCCACAGTCAAGTTAGGGAAGCGATAGAGGAGCTCCGTGAACAACCCGAGCAGCGCCACCAGCAAATTGGAGTCCGTGTACGCGTACACGCGATAGTTCGTCTCGATGACGATGTGACGCTTGCCCGGCGACGCCTGGGCGTCCTCCTCGGTGGCCACAATCGGCACGGCGTCTTTGTTGGTGATGTTGAGCGCCAGTCGCGTGGGATAGAAGCGGCCGGCCTTGCGCTTGCGCTGGTACACCAGGCCAAACTCGCGCAGGTGCTGCAGGAAGGTGAGCATGCCCGGACTAAGACCCTCAGAGCTGTAATCCCGGCCGAGCGTGGAGAAGCTGAGCTGGAAGAGCATCGATAGACACTCGCCGAGATCCAGGCCACGCTGGTGGCACGTGTCCAGATACTGGAGCATAAAGTGCCACACCTGCGCCTGTGTGTCCAGCAGCAAAAACTGGAAGCCCTGCTTTGTGATCACACAACTGCCGTCGTCCTCGCGCTTCATCAGATTCGCGTGCAGAAGGATGCGCACGGCGTCCGGTGAGATCGCCTCGCCGTCTGGTGCTTTGGTGTTGCACGCGCCCACCATGTAGTGCAAGACACACCGCCAGCGGGACATGGCGTAGTTGTCCAGGAAAGCCACATCCCTCGCCTTTGAGTCTGATTCCAGAGAGTTCGACATTGACCAGGGCTTACCGCCGCCCAGAAGTGCGATTTTTAGGTTTTTCTTGTACGTGGGACACAATTCCCATGCCGGCAGTCCTCCAGGGATTGCAGCTGCTCGCCACACGCCCAGATCCGAGAGGATCCCAATGGCAGAAGTGTGTTCTTTGGCGTGCAACTGAGAACCCCACGAAGACACCACTGCTTGTGGCACCGGCTGTTCCACAAACAGAATCCTTATGACAAACTGCCGGCCAATCTCTGGCAGTTCCCTAAGCACCGAAAACCAGAGATTTAGTTCTGAAATGTGGGGCGCTACGACCCTTCGGAAGCTCACCTGTAAACAGCCAAGCAAATCGTGGCGTAATTGTAGAGTTTCTCCAGTACCTCCGGTGATCTCGTTTGCAAATACTCATACAGATCCTTGCACTCGAGATTTGATGCCTTTGGGAGGCCAATTGAGGCCTTCGAAGCCTTGGGATCAGGCATTTTCTGTGATTTTCACAAGTTCACAACATCAAAACATAGTGCACATAACCTCACTCAGCGGCTTCGCAATTTCATCTAAACGACAGCAGCGCCGCCAGACCAGTCAGCTAAAAAACATTGACATTTCAGGAGTGTTTTTCAGTGGGTATTTTTCCTGATCGCTTTTCCCAGGAATTCAAGAGAAATCTCTGATCAGTGCCTCTGATTGTTGTGCCAAGAGTCAAGGAGATCAGTTAGGCATGTGCAGAATACTGATATACGGGTGTCACAGTGTGGAAAATCATAGCACGAAGAATGGCACAACAACGATTGTTTTCTGCCGGAAGGAAGGTGTCCAGGAGTCTCTGGAGGACAAGTTTGAGACTGAAATCCACGTGCCGCACGATGTTTTGCCGGAGACAAGGGAATTCATGTTCCTGCCATGGGTGAAGGAGGAGGCAGAGGAGAAAATAGACATTGAAGAGCCACATCAGGAAATTGTGGAAGTGATTGCTGGCTTTTCCGATGATGACGACTCCGATGACCTGCAGGAAGTCGTTAAAGAGGAATTGATGTTGACAGAGGAGGAGGAGATTGAGAAGAAGCCAAGGTGAGTTGCCAACGTGTCCTGAGGAATTGGTTTGGTGAAAAAACATTGTTGAATTCTCTCCTCAGGCCAACACGAAAGTTGAGAAGAAGAGCGTCCGGAGGCGCGAAGGACCAGGAATCTTATGACTACGTCACGGAGAATGGACGATTGAAGTGCGCCCAGTGCCAGAAGAGCCTCAAGACGAGACGCAGCTACCGGAATCACATGAAGCTGCACAAGAGGCGGAGATTTGAGTGCGAGAGCTGCGGAAGAGGCTTCTCGAGTCTGGAGAAGCTGGAGAGACACATGCGCGTGCACACGGGCAAGAAGCCCTTCCTCTGTGAGCTCTGCTCCCGCAGCTTTGACTACCGTCACAGCCTGGATGTTCACATGCGGAGCCACACGAAGGAGCGCCCCTATTCGTGCCATCTCTGCACGAAGACGTACACCACGAAAGGCAATCTCAATCTTCACTTGCGCGCTCACGCCGGCGTGAAGATGTTCGTGTGCGAGATCTGCGGCAAGTCCTGCGACACCAGAGGCAATCTGCGCAAGCACATGGAGATTCACAATGACGAGAGGATCTTCGAGTGCAAGATCTGCCAGAAGACATTCCTCCATCCGGCGTCCAGGGATCGTCATCTCAAGTCGCATACCGGCGAGAAGAAGCACAAGTGTGATATCTGCGACAAGGCCTTCATGCGACGCGATCACGCTAAGAATCACATGGCGCTGCACGTCAAGAAGGGCAAGGATCGCTTTTAGAAAAGCCTCCCGGACAGTCATAACCTCACATTCCCATGAGGAAAACAGCGCCGCGTAGCGGATGGCGGTATTTGTGCGAAGGTGTGAAAATGTGCATTTTCACCTTAATTTCCCTGTATTTTTTGCATTTAATGTGGTTAGTTAATAGTATTTAGAGTAATGCAAGGTGAAATACAAGTATTAAAAGCGAACCCATTGGAATTTCTCAAGTCAAAGAGCAAACAGTAAAGTGTGAAGGACATTTTCTCCCTGTTTATTCCTGGTATAATTCAACTAAAATCTGACCAGGCAGTCACAAACCATCTGTAGGTAAGAAGTATTTATTTTTTTCATTGAAAATTGAGGGATTTCTAAGCTTCCCTCGCTTTTCTCTCGTTTGAGAGGTTATGTTATTTGGCGCCCACTTGTTGGAGCCGCATTGCGTGATTTTCCACCCCATTTTTCACAACTCTAAACCACCCAGAGAATGCCTCCACTTGCTGAGCCACAATTCTGCTTGACAGAAAAAATCAATAGCGTGTTTGATCAATGGCATTTCCCTTGTTTGTGGTCAAATTCTTCCACTGCAATTGTTCTGAGAGGGCTTCCATAAGTGTTGTGAAGACGGAATGTTGACGAATCTCAGGAAGAAGATCAAGAAGCTGGGAAAGTCCCGGTCAGTGTCACCCTTTGTGCCACCGCCGCGGCCCTTCTGCTCCCGTGAGATTCACGAGCCACAGTATGAGTGCTGCTTCGAGGACGGCGCGGCATTTCTCGAGGAATTGCCACTGGAGACGACCAAAGTGCGAAAGGCTGGTGAGAGTTTCTTCTTCTGGAATCTCTGTGATAAGCTGGAGAGTGCCCGCATCACGGAGAACAACCAGGGAATTGGGCGGATGTACGAGAAGTTGCCTGAGCACGACAAGAAGATCCTCAATCGCATGGCCAGGAAGCGCACAGAGGAGAGCCTGATGGCGGAGGACGCGGAGATAGCGCACAAGTATTGGGATGAGGAGAAGCGGGCGCGTCGGACTATGCTGGAGCAGCACCAGGAGCAGCTGAATCGCGTGGTGCGGGAGAATCGCGAGCGCGAGACGCGCGAAACGGAGGATCGCCTGGCGTGCCTGGAGAGTCGCGAGAAATACCAGCGCGAGAAGCTGAAGAGGGAGCTGTGGGACAAGAACCAGCGCCTCAGCCACCGCCTCAAGTGTCTGCAGATGAAGCGCGAGGTGCGGCAGTGCGACAAGAGGCGCGATCAGATGCGACGCCTGCAAGTGGCGGCGATCAATCAGCAGGAGCAGGACTTGGACAACCAGATTCGACAGCAAATCCTGTACGATCAGCTGGAAGTGAAGATCGCGCGCGCCGAGTGCTTGCGACGGCGCATCCTGGGCGTGCAGAAGAGCCGCATTCAAGCGGACAACGAGCTGCAGCAGCGCATCCACGCCATCAAGTACCAGGAAGTGCAGCGACTCAACCAGTTCCGCCACCAGAAGCTGCTGCTACACGTGAAGGAGACCGACAGGCGGGCAGAGCAGATCCGCGAGACGAAGAAGCGCGACCTGGAGGAGAGCCGCCACGTGGCGGAGAGCTCGCGCACACTCAGGGACTTCATACGGCGCTCCCTCAGCCCAGAAGTCTTTCGCGCCATGAACTGCCGCAGCGTGGCCAGTGAACGATGCGTCTCCAATCTCTCCTTCCAGAGCCATGTGAAATTGGGCTAGATTGACTCGAGAGATGGCCTTTATTGTGCCCAAACTAAACACTAATAAATGATTCTAAATGCGAGATATCGTCGTTTCCATCACACAGTGTTGTATCAGCATTTCAGAGACACAACAACTGGGCAATTGAGCCTTCGACACTGCCCACAACAAGCCGCCAAATGCATCAACAAGGATAGAGCTCAATGAATACTTAACAAGATCAACAGTCTCCCGCCCAATGACTAAATCCCACTACCTAGAAGATGAGGAAGTTCTACTCGAATGTCAGCGCCACAGACGTGAACGGCAGCACTGGACAGTGCGTCTCCAGCTGCAGGGCGCTCGCCATGCTGTCGGCGGCCGCCTCGAAGTCACTCAGCGTCTCCAGCACTTGGCCGAGCGTGAACCAGAGATGCGCGTGATTCGGGTCGATCTGCACGGCGTCCCGCAGCACCTTCTCGGCCAGCCTGGGCTGCCCTAGCAGGTGGTAAGTCTCACCCAGCGCCCTCAGCGCGTCCGTGTAGTACGGATTCACAGACACGGCGTCCAGGAAGTTCTGCTTCGCCTCCGCCAGCTGATTCTGGTGAAGATGCACGCGGCCGCGCTGGTACATCACTTGCGGCGACAGGAGATTGATCGTCGCCGCCTCCTGGACGCAGTTCATCGCCTCCGTGGCCTGATCCAGCGCCAGATACACGTCGGACATCAGCAGCCAGATGCGTATCTGCAGCACCAGCGCCTTCTGCGGGCCCTGGCGTGGACTGAAGGAGCTCAGCGAGCTCGCGGCCTCGCTCAGCGCCTGCTCAATACGAGAGGCGGAGATGGAGGCAGCGTGCACTGAGCTGGAGTCTCTGTCCGACAACTGGGACGAGTGATGCTGCGTACTCCGCGTGTCCGAGTGCTTCTCCATCCCGTCCGCCGGCGTCTCTCCCGTCAGCTGGCTCTCATACAGCTCCTTCCACTTCATCAGCATGGCCTGAGTGGTGGTCAGGGCGCGCTCGGCTTCGTTCACGTGCAGCTCCAGGTGCGCCTTCAGCTGATAGAGATTCAGGTTGTCTGGGAACTCCAGCAGCGCGTCCTCCACCACCACCAGCGCCTCCTTGTGGCGCCTGTTGGCCGTGAGGAGCAGCGCAAAGAGCTGCAGGCTGTTGGCGTGCTCCGCGCGCAGCGCCAGGGCCGTCTGGATGTGCAGCACGGCAGAGGGAATGTCATGAATGAGGGCGAACTGCAGCGCAAGGTAGTACTCAGCCAAGTGGTCATTGGAGTCCGCCTGGACGGCCTTCTCGAACGCCTCCAGTGCCTGCCTGTGGTACTTGTCCCTCTCGGAACGCAGCGTAAAGCCCAGCGCGATCTGCTGCCAGCCAATTCCCACCAGCAGCTGCGCCCGGGATGGCCGCAGGCCCTTCACTTCTTTACTCAGCGCCTTCTGCGCGTGCTCAATACCCTCCTGCATGCGCCCGAGATGCTCGTAACACAGGCGCGCCGACATGAGGCACGGAAGCGGATCCGTGGGCACCAACAGTGACGATTCCGAGAGCGCCCGCACGGCCTGGTTGTAGTTTCCCGTGCCGGCCAGACTCAGCGCGTACTGTCGCCACACGTGCTGCTCGCCAAAGGTGAACTTCAGCGCCTTCTCGAAGCTCTGGTGCAGCAGAGACGTGAGGCCCCAGCGCACTGTGGCTAGCGCCAGCAAGTCATACACCGCCGTGGCGTTGCCGATCGTGTGTGCGCGCGCTTCTCGGAATTCTGGGCTCACGGACAGCAATGCGTCGCGCACGGCGAGCGCTTCCGAGATGAGCAGCAGCAGGATTGTCTCCTCGTGCTGATTGCGCGGCATGAATTGGTTCCTGCTGCTGTACTTGCGCGGCTTCCACAGCTTCTTGCTGCTGGCATTGGATCTGGGTAGTGTAGAGGTGCTCGGCGGCGTGTAGATTGTCCCAGAGACGCCGCGCAACAGCACTTCGGCGAGCTGACGCGCCAGCGTGAGTCGCAGGGATTGCGTGGTCTTCGCCTCCACGGCGCTCAGCATCGAGCGATACCTGTCAATGGCCTCTTGCAGCTTCCCAGCCTTGATCAGCACGATTGGCGCTCTCTGGAGCGCAGTTTCGAGGATTGCTCCCATCCGGCGAGGCTCAGAGGCCGTCGTATTGGCCACAATGTCCTGATCCTGAAGATACAGCAGTCCCAGGTCGGCGGCACGCTCAAAGGATGTTATCTGGGGACGAGAAAATATATGAGAATTCCTGAAAAGAGCCCTAAAAGGGGCGCATTCCTCACCATTTCCGACTCCCTCTCGGCCAATTTGTACCTTGATGTGCCTTTTTGCGGTCCCTGATTCTCCAAACTCAGTCCCTTGATGGCGTACGACTCCGCCAGGATGCGCAGACTCCTCCTGCAATACCAAAATCAGGCTCTTAAGCCGCTCCCGGAAAGGATTAACCGCACAAACTCACGGCGTCAGTTCCTTTTCGCTCAGCGAATTCAGTTCAGCCTTGACAAAGTGCTCCAGAACCTCATCGTACTGCCCACAGGCGTAGGCCAACTTGGCCAGCAGTAGGTGAGCATCCAGGGCGATGCCCGCCCTCTGGCCATCCTCACCAGTGACCATCTGAAGGTAGTTCTTGGCGTCTGACAACCCCGTCTTGGCCTTGGCGAAGTTCGCCTCGATCGGTGGCGTTTCATCCAGGAAATTCTCCAGTTTCCCCTCGCCAATCAGGAAGTTGGACAAGCTCTCTGCAAAGACATCGCACGGAGTGTGTCAGTGTGATTCCGGAGCTTCTGGGCAAGAAATCCTCACCATATCGCGGACTGCCGAGCTTCAGTTCCTCAGCCAATTCAATCACTTTCTTCCACTTGCCGTCACTCCGGCAATTCTCAATTGCCGTCTCGGTCTTTCCACTCCCGCGATTGCGGCTGGTCATACTTGGGATCGTGAGGAGTGGTCCAGGAACTGGTGAGGCCACAAAACAGCAAAATTTTCACCAGGAATTTGACACTTGAACACACACTGAAGTTTCGACTGAACGTTTTTCTATCAAACACATTCAAAATTACCGTTGGATAAAATGAGAAATTTATTGGATCAACTTTCAATAATAAAAATCAATTTTTTCGACGCGCAGAACTAAAATCTCGAAGAAATTTCACACAAATGTGATAACCGTTTATTCACTTTTCCTTAAGACTTACAATATCTTTTAAAGTACAAGTTTTTTTTTCCTTATCTTATGACTACAAATATTACATTGAATATATAATAGTTTTTTTATGTAAAAAAAAGGGTAGAAAAAATCTCTCGAAAAGTGTTTTTTTTTGCCTTATCATTTTGTTGACTAGAAAAACAGATGAAAAAATCCTTACTTCAAAAAGAGGTCAATTTTCCTCTCACTTTTTCTCCGCATAAAAAATCTCTTTGCAATCATTTTGTGAAACCGACACTTTGAGGACTCTTTTGTGAATTATTCTTTTCAAATTGGGAAATGATATGAAAATTCCTTAGATCAAAAAATTACGTATTAAAGAAATGAGAAGGAATTGTGGCGTTATTGATTAATATTTTAAGCTATCGTTTCAATACTCTTTTTTTAGTGTATAATTCTATGTTCAGTTGATACACTTTCGTTGGTACGTTTTTCGTAATTATATCTTAATTACAATCTTTCATGTGTGTATAAATATTTAGACAACTTTGCCAGAGAAATAGCGCTTATTTGTCTATGGAAAAATCTCCTTCCTAAATTACATTTCTTACAGTATTCATTCCATCTTTTCAAGTATTCATTGCTTAAATACACATTACTTTATTTTTTCATCATTTCTCCCTCCACTTTCCCTCTAATATATTCATTTATTATTAGAAAAGAATTAAAAAAAAATATGTATGAATAAGACTAAAAGCCACTGAGTTGCACATTGAGAAAAGATGTGAAACATCTATGATTAAATATTATGTTTTTATTCTATAAAGTGCAAAAACTGCTCTTCTCTTCAGAAAAAAATGTGTCGTTCGTGGTTTAAAAGCAAATTTATCACAATTCACTTTTTCTTCCCTTCTCTTCTCTCACTCTCTTGTCAATATAAATTTCTCTCCTTCATCCAAACATATCGCGCCTCACCTAAAAAATGGGTCATAAAAACTCTCTGACGCTCCTAAAAATGCAATTTTTCTCTAAACTTAAAGAAAACTTCTACACTCACTAATGTAATGCAACAATTTCTCTCTCAAATTGATATTTTCTGTATAAATGGCAGTTTTTCTCTCCATAATTCATTAGCATTTCTGTAAAATTACACACACACACACAGATTTTCTTCGCTTAAATCTCTAAGAAGAAAAACACTCTCTTTAAGCGATGATCTACAATTCCATTGCGCTTTCGCGTCACATTGCCTCGAAGAAGACTCAAGAGGAAGAAAATGTACAGTCACTGGAAGTTCTCTCACGGAAGTCTTTCATGTCACTGCAAGTGAAGAAACGCAAAAGGTGTCAAAAAATGCCTCAAAGCTATTGTGTGATTCCCAAGAGTTTCCTACTCACTGTTTAATCGAAATCTATCTACTGGTTGTCTTTGGTGGGACACTCGTTCTTCAGCGCATTCACGAGTGCGACGGTGAGTTGGCTGAATGATGGTCGCTCCTTGGCGCTCGTGGCCCAGCAGGTCATCAGCACGGGCTTCAGGCAGTCCGGCGTCTCGTCGGCCACGCGCCACTCCAGCTTCCCAGCCTGCGCCTGGCCAAACACCTCCTCATTCGTCATGGCCTCGAAGGGAATCTCTCTGGCCTGCGTGAAGATCTCCCACACCGTCACGCCGAACGCCCACACGTCGCTCTTGGTGGAGTAGTCGTCGTCCTGCAGACACTCCGGCGCCAGCCAGCGCAGCGGCAGCGACTGATTGCGATACTTAAAGTACTCGCGTGCATACTTGTCGCGACTCAGCGCCGGCAGGGAGATCTTGGCGCGGAAGTCACTGGAGATGACGCAGTTGCGCGTCGCCAAATCCCTGTGAATGAACTTGGCACGGTAAATGGCGTCCATTCCGCGCGCAATCTGATGCGCCAGCGTGAGAATCTGCGGCACATTGAGCGGCGGCGGTGATTTGTCGCCCTCTTTCGCCGCTGTCGCCAGCAAGAACTGCTTCAAGTCACCCCAATCCGTGTACTCCAGCACCATGTAGTGCGGATCCTTGTCACGACAGAGCCCGAGCAGCGCGGCCACGCTCTTGTACGTCACGGCGCGGAAGAGATCAATCTGCCGCTTGAACTCCGCACACGCGCTCTCGTCCTTCACCTTGTTTAGCGCCTTCACCAGCACCAGCTTGTACGCATCCTCCTTGTCGTCCACCTTGATCTCATTCACCTCCTCAATGGACGTCTTCGAGCGCCGCGTCTCGCTGTCCTTCGCCTTGGCCTCCACTTTGCCATTCTCCACAATCCTCACGGCACCCGCCTTGATCTTCCCCACAAACACATCGCCATACTCCCCCCGGCCGATGGGAATCACGTCGAAGAGACTGGATCTGGCCAGTGAGATCTTCTCATACTCATCCGCGGACTTCTTCGACCCCTTCGAGTGGCCACTGGACGCATCGTCGCTCCTTTGCTGCTCTCCAGCCACCGCCACGCCGTTGGCCTTCTTCGCCAGCTTCGGCTTTAGACAGGGTTCTCCCTCGGCGTCCGCCGCATCGCCCAGCGCCGCGCCGTTCTCCTTCCCCGCCGCATTCAGTCGATTCTTTCGCGCCTGTCGCTTCAGGCGACACCACACCATCAACGCCACCACGAGAATGATGTACGCCGCGGCGAAGGACATCGTCAGCAGCACTGCCCGCGTGATGGTGAAGCCATCGGACGTCTCGTCGCCGGCTAAGGCTTCCGCCGCTGCAAAGAACACAACCATCAGTGTCACTTCCACATATGCTTACGCCTCCGAAAACACTCACATTTCACCACCAGCCGCACTTCCTCCCTCTTCAGGCCGGCACTGTTGCCGATGGTGCAGCCGTACTTGCCCTCATCCTCCGGATGCACCTCAGCAATGAAGAGCGTGCCGTTCTCCAGCAACCTAAAGCGCCCCTCCTCGCTGCCATTCACATTCAGATACTCCAAGTCTTTGTCCCACTGAACAGTCGGCCTCGGATCGCCCACGGCTTGACAGTGGAACATGGCACTGCCCATCTCGGCCGCCTGGACAGGACCCTCAGGCGCCACGACGAATCTGCAGCGGAGAAAATCGCAGAAATCAGTAGAATAGACAATTTTCCAGACAATCAACTATGTTTAGGATGAACATGTGTATTGCAAATGATCTTGAATCCTATGTAGAAAAGGAAGCTACTTTTCACTTGTACAAATAGATAAGCGCCAAAGACTTTCCACCCTCAAAACTCTCTAAAAGTCCATTAAATTAGGAAAGTTGGAAGTGAAAGGAGGAGAAAATGCAACGCCATGAAGCTTTAGAAACCGAAGAGACAATTGTGAAGACTCTTCAGGGATTTTTAACTTAAGACTCGTAGAGTAAAAGCACTCTATTCAATGAGAATAGTTCTTAGCAATGTGTTGTCAAAGGCTTTCAGTCGCTCTGCAATTGTTGTGTGATTGTGAGAAATTGAAGAATTCGAGCTATTAGCCTTATTACTTGATCTTTCAATCATATTTTTTTCCCTCTAAATTTCTTTTCAATAAAACTCTACTGAACACAGTAAAATTCACTTAATTAAATTCCCCAAATGTTTGCCCATTCAACAAGCGTGCAATATTGAGATAAATGAGCTCACCTTGGTGACATTACGACATTTATCACCACCGTGGCGTGAATCTCACCCTGATGATTCCGCGCCGTGCAGCTGTAATTCCCTTTGTGCTGCACCGTGACATTCCTGAACACCAGTGTGCCATTGATGTCCTCCACGGTATCATCCAGCGGCACACCGTCGCGGCGCCACTTCACCTGCGGCGACGGCGATCCCTGCGCTTTGCAGTGCAGCTTTCCCACCGCGCCCAGTTCCAGATTTTTCGACGTGGGCCTGGGCATGAATTTCAGCTGCTCAATCACCTGCACATCGTACAGCGCACTGACGAACGCCAGCTCGTTCGTGGCCATCGCCACCACTTGGCAATCGTAGTTACCCTCGTCCGTCGCCACGGATTCCACGAATAATAGACTGCCGTTGTCCTTGGCGATGGTCACGCGCGGATCCTCCCGCACAATCGACACGTCGCCGCTGAGCTCTGTCGAGTCCGCCATCGGGGTCTCATCGTCAGCATTGATGTCCAGCGACCGGAAGGGCTTCCCATCCTTGCGCCAGCGGATGGCCAGCGGTGTGCCGTGATTGGTGAAGGCGCACGCCAGATGAATAGCCTTTCCCTCGTCCACCACCACCGGCACGTGGTCCTGCTGCTTCACATCGCCCACAACCACGTCCAGGTCGCGATTCTTCCTCTTCTCACGACACAAATTCACCTCCTCATCGCCCTGCTGCAGATTTCTGATCACCACCACGTTCTGCCCATGGCAGGGCACTCTTGATCTCCTGGCAGGGATTCTCAGTGCAAAATTCCTCCGGCTAAACACACTTCCTGCCTCATTGTGCGCCGCACAACGATAGATTCCGCTGTCCTCGCGCGCCACACTGTGAATGTGCAGTTTCCTCCGCGACAAATCGTACTTTCCCTCCACCCTGGCCAGCTTCACGCCATTCCTGAACCACTCAACGCGCACGCGGTCGCCGCCACTGCTCGCAATGATGCACTTCAGCGTCACATCGTCGCCCTCCTGGACGGACGGCGAGGCCAATTGCACAGCGGCTGATTGGATCCCTGAAAGACATTGAGAAAAGTTAGCATTAAAGATTGACTCTTTTTCTCTCTCTGTTTTGTTCAATTCTAAAAACCGTGAGACAAGAATCCGCAACACGATGGCAATAAATATCTCAAAGAATGATCCAAAAGTGACAGAAGCGGAGGAACAATGAGACGAATTCTCTGCTTTAATCAGCCAAAAAGGAGGGGAAAAAATGTAGAAATCACATTGAATTTCCAATGAGACACAATATCTTTTCCTAAGGGCACCACAATTTATGTCAAGCACCACAGAAACTTGTTATGCTTCCATTTTTTTCCGTTTAATCCACCAAATTCAATTTATTCCCCATCGAAAATTCAATTCAATCTATTCAAAAAGAAGAAGAAAAAAATCCTCCTCATGACTCGCATAGCTACAATTCAAGAGTAATAAAATTGCTAATGCAAAGTGAGAATTGATAAGGAAAATGACTCCAAAGTGATAATTCTTGTAGCATCGCCAGCGGTGTCATCAAATGTATCCAAGCGTGGTGATTAAGAAGTGGAGAGAAAAAAATCGTAAATTCACTGTATTTACATTCGACGATATCACCGTCTATCACACCCGAGGGACACCATGAGCAACAGCCAAAGTGTTTTCTCTTGTGTGGCAAATAAACGCCACAAAGAGTGAGAGATATATAATTCACCTCAATTTCCAGGTCAATAGAGCCTTGTTCAGCCACTGACAAAATCATATCGTCGTGTCAGATTCCATTTCCCGGGATATATCAATAAATAGAGGCGCGAAAGGGTGAAGAACACAAATTGAAAATTAATTTTTGTTTATTCTACAGACTTATTGACAAATAGGGGAAAATATGGAGTTACAGAATAAGTTATAAGTGTTCTTTGATAAATAAAGAGTTCATTAGTATTTAAGAAAATCATAATGATAAGAATATTCAACCAAAAAAGAAATGGTTAATTGTTAATTGATTAGTAAGTTTATGTATTTTAAACGAACTTCTGTTGTTTGAAAATGTTACCTAACTATCTATCAATAAACTTGGAATGTGTTTAATAAAAGTTTTTCTACTTTAGCCAATGATTTCTCACGATTGCAGAAATATTTCACGACTTCTTCACGATGATATAAAGTGCATCAAGTCACTTAAAGCACTTCAGTAAGACTTTAAAGTGAAGCCATTCAACATGCGCTCTTTCTTCGTGATTCTCATCGTTGCTGTACTTGTTATCAGTGTGTCTTGTGGTAAAAAGAAGTCTTTATCGCTTAATTTGAGTCAAAAATTACATATCTATGCCTATTTTCGAGATTTTAATTTCAACTCTTGTGAGTTAAACGAGTTTAACAGTATGTTCTTGTCTTTCTTTCCTGTTCAGACAAAAGTAGAACTCGCAGAGGACTTTTTACTTTTGTGGTAGATACACAAATATCTGTTCCACAGACAGCAGTAGAGGTCTCTGTATCTCTTGCTCAAGGTATTGTTAAAGAATGTGACAATTAAAAGTTGCATATTTTGTAAAGACTTTCTCGTCCTTGTTTAGGCCAAGGAAGTTTTACCCTGCAGTCGGCATTGGCAACAGCTGAGATAGCGGTTGAATGATAAGAATCTGCCAAATAAACTGCACTGCAATATTCAAAATGTAAAATTGCATAATAAAAATCCTAATTCAAATATTCTACTCTTTAGAGTTCATCAGTTCTCTTCACCACAGACTTTAAAGCTAAAGAATGATATTGCCATTTGACGAATTGTGCTTTTTTCCCCCCTTCAAAGGCTTGCGAAACATTTCATTTTCCACGCACTCTTTCATGTCCTTCTCTTTTAAACAATCTCTCACGATGCTTTTAGAAGTGCTTTGTGAAAATCCCTCTTTTTACACTGGCTTTGTACGTGATGCTTTATAGTCTCTATGGTCGCAAAGTGCACACGGTCAGAAATCGAATTTGCTGTTTTTACAGCCACACATCGTAGAAAGCTCATCTCTTTGACACTGCGCCTTGGCAAAATCCACCTTTGGGAATTTTTAACAGCATTTCAATTTGCGACTGTCACTAAATGGAGTGTGAAATGTATTTTCAACGTCTCTGTGCCTTCAAAAGGAAAAATTGCGGTGATTTCTAAAGGAGAAAATGTAAAAGGATGCAATGTGAGGTGCATTTCCTGTGTGTGTGTGTGTGGAGAATGTGAATTTGCATGGTGAAAAGTCAGAAATTCCATTGAATGATCGTGCATTGGTATGAGGGGCGGGTTTTCCTCAGCATTCTACCACAGATTCTCATTCAATTTCCACGGCAAACAACCTTTCGGTGAATGCCTGGCGGCTCATATCAGGATGGAATGAGATATTAAAGTAATTAAATAAAAAGCAACACGAATTGGTAATTTGGAGCGGAAACCTATCATTAAATGAACACCATATCTTTGTGAAGAGATATTGGACGTGCGAGGCTCGAATTTGAGGAAGAAGGAGGAAAAAAATACACTCTTTCGCGCGTTATTGCTTTAGGTGGAAAAATTGACGATGAAGAAGAAACACCGCGAAGAGTGGAAGAGAATTCTTTTTTCCGTGTAGGTACACCACGCCAAAGATTTGTGTGAAGTTTACAAGAGAAGAAGGAGGTTGAGCGTTGTCGGGAAAGGAATATAAATAAGAGAAATAAGATGGGGAGAAAAAAAACATGATGCAAAAAGGAACACATGAAATTCCTTCTGCCTCATCTTCAATCTCCAATCTCTATCGACACTAACCAGATACACGCTTGCGATGCTGCGGATGATTTTTCTCTCTCTCTCCTCTTCCATCTTCCTTCAACTATATAACTGAGAAAAACAGAAAATGTGCCAAGAGCGGTAGATAAAATTGAAAATTACCGGAAAATTAATTGAATTGGAATTTTTCTGTTTTTCAAAACATTCTCTCAATTCAATCGCCAATTGCTGGGGTGTTTTTTTTGCGCTTGAGGAAAAACACCACAATGTAGTCATTGAAACCATAACATTCTATAATATCGTAGGTGTAATAATTATCTCTCTCATCCTGAGTCATTTTTTCTCTGCTTTCCTCCTGATAACGTGCATGTATTTGGTTTAGCAATGCGAAAGACTTATCATGAGCATCTTACTTTTCTTATTACACCAATTGAGTTGTCTTGTCACTCTTATCGCGAGGGTTTTTAAGGAACACTTAAGCGAGACCATTTCAATTCAAAAAGACATTTTTGCACTAAGAAGGACTCAATTAATTCAATCCCAATGTTTTTCTTTGAAGATTCACCGACTCTTTGAAACCTAATTCAACCATATAAATGCCAAGAAATTCCCTCTCTTCTTCTCCTCAGCAATTTACTGTCCAATTGGCTGGATTGAAAATATTTATGAAATTGCAAAAGACAGAAACTTTCCTCCAACCAAATAAATGGATATCACATATCAGTGTGACAGGAAAATCACAAACAAGAAGCATTCAAGGGGGGAAAATCACAGTTGAGAAAGAATAAACTCTGGCGGAGGATTAAAGGAAAACACATTGATTTCTTATCTCTCACACTTTCAGCTCTCTTTCTCTCCTTCAGCACAAAATGTATCAAAGAACCAAGTTAATCTATAGATTGGGAAACTTTGAAGAAATAATCTATATTCCATTGGTGTCTCCTTCGCTTGTACTTCACAAGAGATGAAATCATCTAGGATTTACCCTGAGAACTCCACATTTTCACACTCACACACTGGCGCCCGGATAAATCCCCGAATGACATGCTATCGATTTGTCCCAAATACCACGAGATAATTCGCCTTCACTCCTATATATTCTGCACAATCATTTGGGGATTTCAGCTGCGTTTCCATTCTGATTTCGCTCCTGTGTCAAAGCGGAGGATTAAAAAAGCGAATGTGTAGTTTTTGAGAGTGATATTTTTTTCATGCCCAATGATCTGGATCAACTCTCTGTGTATAACTTTCAAAAAAAATCCCTCTCATGTAAATTGGAATATACCTGTGACACTAATCTCTGTGCCTCAGAGGCTTCATCAATAGCGCAAAAGTCCATCTCGTCAGCCTTTGTATTGCAGTCAAAGCCCGCGATACTCACGCTGATAAACGACAACATTTTCCAAATTCCCTCGAGCACCTAATGTGACTTTATTCAGTGAATTTCGACTCTTTTGCCACTTGCATCACGGCGATCGAGGAGGGTGGATGAAAATGAGAAACTGCACGGAAGAGCGCGCGTCATTAGGGAATTTATTAACATTGAGGGACCCGTAAAAAAAACACAAACCCCTCTCAGAGTCTCTCAAAATCCTGCCACCGTTTCGTCCACCCTCACAGTGTTCTCTCTCTCTTTCTCTGACTCCCGTCAAAACCACCCTTTTCTCTCGACTTTTCCATATTAACACAACCACCCGGAACACCCGAAAATGGGGAAATTGTGAGTGGCGCCCCTTTTTATGCCCTCTCTCACATCGCGTCCTTTCTTCCGCAGCATTTTCCCTTCCACAAAAACAACTCTCCTTTCACTTCTCCGTAGACTCGCAGTACTGAATCCACACACTTTTCCCGCGTGCTTTTCCCGCCATGCTGAAAGTCATAAAATTTTACGACACTCTACTAAACACTAAAACGTTATTCTGTTGGCATAGCAACGTCCTCAGTGTACAACATTTTGTACAATTTTCCATCTGCACACAACGAGAAACAACATATACGCAATGCACGAACGACATAAGAAGACACAAGGAAGAGAATGTTCTCCTTAACATTCCCAATCTAACCACATATAATATAAGAATAAGATAAGAGAAACCGCATTCACCATGCACTCATCTCATCAAGATCACCACCACTGATTTCCTCACTCAATCCCTCCGTCCGGGAAATGAGGAACGCTCACTCACATAATGAGTGACATTTTTGCAGTTATTTTATCTCTATTGATAGAAAAAGCGTCGAAGGAACATGTAACCTTTAGAATCAGATACAAAAAGGTGAAGGAGGACAACTGGCGAAAGCCTGAGGACATTGGGCAATAAGAAATCCATAAAAAACACATTTGCAGTATTGTCCAGAGAAATAACAACACAAGATTAATGTGCAGTGCTTACAGAAGCGAAAATTTTCACTTCCATTCTTGGAATGTTCGGCGTTATTCCTTTGGCAAATGCTGTAATATTCGTAAAAGTCAACATCGAATCTTCACCCCTTTTCTTCCATAGAATAACTGACCAAATTCTGCGAATGCGAAGCATACAACACACATTTCATATAAGACGTGAGAATGGAAGGATAGAAATTGCCATTGAAAACATTTTCCATCTTCTTTCCTATGAAATTTCAATCAATTCAATGCTGCAAATCAAAAAATATGTTGAACAAATTTCTGCTTAACCCTCTTGTTGGTGGTCTTTCTTCCCCATAGAAATAAAATTCAAAAGTCAGAAGTCAAAGAATAAATCTCGCACTATTCCTTCACATTTCACTCGGTTGTTTACTGATTTCTAAAGGTTGCTGGAGAAAATGGAAAAATCAAATAGTTTTTGATTACACAAAGTTAAAATGTTCATTAAATATCAAACATGCAGCGCGTGAAGGAAGAAAAATATGTGTTAAAGTGAGAGAAATACCATAAGATGCAAGTGTGCACGCAAGAAATTCTAAAGAAATGGAATTTCATTTCAGTGTGAAATGCAATACCAAAAGTATGTGAAAAACTTTTCAGTCATCAAATGATTTTATTTTCTTTCTCTATTTTCCAATATTTCCACACTCATCTGCAGATCGAACAATACCTGCGCGATTGTTGAATGAAAAATTCCAAAGTCAACCCCCGTGAATAATATTCAGAATTTTCCAATATATATTGTGATCAAAGAATACGGAATCTCAGTCATTTTTCTCCTTCTTCAACACATTCTTCCTCTCTTCTTTTTTTTTCTTTTTCGTGATAATCTCATAAAGCGCGAGAGAGACTGGAAAATATAGTCAAATAGCAAATTGTTTACACAATGGCACCATTTCTGCCTTCTTCTTCTACACCCAATGTAAATTGTAAACATCAATCCATCTCCGAATGTGCATCTTTCCATTTAAAAAAAAAAACTTCACTTGTTACCTCACCTCCTCATCCCCCTTTTTCATTTTCAGGGAATATCATTTACTATCTATTATGGTGTGTTGTATGGAGAAAGAAGTTCATCTTTTTTCTTCAGCTTCTCCACGCTTGCTGCCAATGGGAAGTGCGCGCTTTGGGTGGGTTAATAATAAGAAGAGGGAAGCGAAAGAGTATTTGATTTATTTGTTTGCCCAAACTCACGCAACAAGCACGGATTTAACACATACACACGAAAAAAAACATTATAAAGTTAATAGTAAGACACATACATCTTCAACGATGCTCTGAGCCTCCATGGAAAGGAGGAAAAGTTCTCGGGCAAAAACACCAAAGAGTAAGAATGCCGGAGGAAAAGATGAAAAACCCACCACATCGTTTTTCATCTCTTCACGTCTCCTCAACAATCTTTATCCATTGAGGCTCCTCTCTCTCTCGCTCTAAACTTTCTTCTATCCATTGGAAGACTCTATAAACATCCCATGGAAGAGGATAGTAAAGACGAAATAGGTTTTATGTGACAGTGAGGAAAGGCATTTTACGAGCAACAACATCAAGAGGAGATTGAAAATGGAGAAAATTCCTCTCCTCTCTCTCTCTCTCTCATCCTTCTCCAAAGTGTGTATAAATTCAATGCACAATTCGAGGCGCATCAAATCTTTGAACTTTATGTGTATTTATGCTTGGGGATTTCTTGACTTTTTCCTCCTCTTCCTCAACAGCATGACAAAGAGAAGAAACCCCCGAAGAAAGAGTGTATAAATCATCTGAAACACCATCTGATGTCTCTAGGCACGCGTGATAAGCCTTGTTCTTTCTCACAGATCAGCCTTAAACCATTGCGAATGAATTTAGAAAGAATATTCAACTTACAAGCAATATCCAGAGTGGCTGGCGGTGTTGCTTCTCGAGCACCAGTTAGCATATTCTGCACAATGCATACATAATCACCCGGATCTCTAATGCGATTAGCAGCATTTATGGATAAAATGCCATCACTTGCCGTCAACCAGCTGGAATTCTTCAGCGGAAGTCCTGCGAAACGAAAGAAAACAGTGCGAATCAAACATAATCGCCGACTTACACCAAAAACACTCACCATTGTGTGTCCAAGAATAGCTTATATTGTCCACTGCGGAGGCTCGACACCTAAATTCAGCCGTAAGTCCTTCGGGAATTACGAGACTCTGTGGCAATTCTGTAAATCTCGACTCAGTGGCAGTGGCAAGTCCTGGAACTGCTGCAAAAAGGACAGAACAGAGAGAGAGAAGACGTGAAAAATAGTGTGAGAGCGTGCAAGGAAAGCGATAAAAAATCAGTGTCATGAATTTATGAGGATTACACAAATAGCATGAGAGATTTTGTGTGTATAGAATCCCTGAGCGGGAGAAAAATGGAGAAGGAACAGTGGAAAATCATTTGTATGTCTTACAAGAGTTACAGGACGACAGTTTCACTGGTCTCTGAATATGTTGGCAACCGAACACAGAGCGTCCCATTGGAAAATTCACAGTATTTACTCAACATATAGAGCAATGCTCATCATAGTGAAAAACCAACAATGCCTTGAGATGAGAATTCTCTCTCTTGTTCTCCCTCTCTTTGTCGCCCTTTGCAGGACACATAAAAAAGCAAAAACCCCATAACAGACAGAGTAGTATAAACTCCCCTTAATAATCGTAAATTTGAATTAAATATAAATTAAAGTGGTGCTGACTTTTCCAATGTTGGAGATGTGGAAAGGTACAGTTTTAGGGGGTGGAAAATGGAGGAGAGTAAGAGGAATACGAGAAAAAGCGACCGACAGAATGAGATATAGTGAAATCACTTTGAAAAACATTCAGGAAAATAAAAAGCATCGAGCAAAATGGAATTTCAGGCAAAAGCAGCACACAAAAAACGACTAAATTGTCAACAGAATGAGAAAAAGTCTCGCTTTCAAAAGCACCATTTTCATTTCAATGTGTTGTCAATTTGCAAATATTGCAGAAAATGCAGTAGTTTGTTGATTAATATATCAGATTGTATAAATAAGAATTCATTGGAATATTTAGCTGTGACACTGTCATTGCAAGAAAGACTAGAGAAAATGAGATATTTTGATTTCTTGATATTTAGCTGAGACACATTAAGACACAATTATTTAATAAAATTTATCTAGAATATCAACTCATCATTCAAATGTGCGCTATTTTCACATTTACATGCTTTTAGTTTAGCTCCAAGTGTAACAAAAATACTACAAATTTTTACCTCTCACCAGAGCAACGTTATTCAATATTGCAGTATATGAAACATTAATAAGCTCTGAAGCTTTTTGGTATGTTTTTATGGTTGCAATCATTTAAAAAATGTACTGAATTTCACATGGAAATGCGATATTTTCTCTCTGGTAAAATACTTTTAATTGAAAATTGTTCAAATTTCACGTCATTTCTGGTAATTGAAACCCATTGGGGAATTATTTTTGTGTGTTTGAGTGGTATTTTTGCACCATGTTGCGCGGTGTGCAATCAAAAGAGGTCTGTTTTGGAAATGCCTTTGTAAATTTCATTCAATCTCTCTCTCTCTCTATCCCAAAATTATTGTCGATAAGCATTGATTGATAGACATTTTCACAACCAGCGCTTATCAAAGTGTGTTTGATGATTGTGGCACTACTTCCACAGATTGGTATTTATAGAATTCTGAGGATTTGCTAGATTGCACACAGAGGAGAGAGCAATATCAATTTATTAATAGTAAATGAATGAGGAATGATGTGAAACGGGGAGTGAAGAAAATTCATAACTCCATGAAATCCACTTTCAGAGCTCAACAGCCAATGAATATTCATTTCCATATATACCTTTTCTGGACTGTTGTGTGCTCTCGAGAGTTCTGAAGAGGAGCTTTAAAATATATTGCCATCTTCATTAGCTCTTGTGTCGCATCCCCGAGAGAGATTCTCCTGTGGTTGTGTTTATTATTAAAGTGCTGGATGGTGTCTCTTGCTTTTTTGCTTCCCCCCTTTTTCTCACTGCCGCCTCAACAGCACTCTCAATGAGAGTCGCCTTCATCGAGCGACATGTTGTGCTTCTTGTGCTGGGGAAAAGCATGGACGTGAGCCATAGTGAGAATCCCAATCGGAGTATTTTGTTACCATTTCCACACAGCACAAGAGTACACTTTTTCCTGGGGAGAAAAATTTTCTCCCCGTGGGCGCGCAAGTTGAAAAGGTTTCACAATTTTATGTCTTTTTCACGTGCTTCCTTCCCATTGAAAGTGATACTCAAAACACACGCCGCACGTTGGAGTGTCTCCCGAATTTCTCTCTCTCTCTCTCTCCCTCTCTTTGCCACCCCGCGGAAGACTCCTTGAGTGCCGTTGAGTCATGAGCGGATTTCCAGACAGTCACACTCACAACTCTGCAGCGCAGCAAATGCTCATTGATATTTCCTTATCAAATACTATCTGAATTCTCCTATTCACTCTCCATTAAGCATTCAATTCTAAAGCCATTTTGCCGCAATGGAAAAGGTATGTTTCCCTTTTCTTAGCCAATAGAAATATACATAGATATATATATTCCCACCTTTTCCCCGTGAATTTTTACCTCGACGGCAAGAGAAGGAAGGAAAAAAGGTGTAGAAAAAGTATGTCGTTATTGGATTCAAGCTTTTCACCTCTTTTCCTGCACATTTTTTCCTCTCTGCAATTTCCACTCAATGGAGGTGGCAAAATATCACCAACAAATTACTCCTTCACTTCGCCAATGGAAAGGAAGGTGTATTTTTAGATTTCTCAATTGAAGGAGTGAATCTTATGTCTTTCACTTTGATGTACAAATTAGTGACAGTTTGGTTTTCATTGCGAAGTTCCTTCTTAAAGTGTCTTCAGCTGCTGGAAAAGCCGCACATAAATTAGATGCTAATTGATAAATTTATCGTCTCAATTCAAGCGGTGTTTTACAGAAGTAAAGGCTATTCTTAGATTTGTCTCTTAACACTCAGACGGTCTTTGGAAGCATTGAAAAACTAAGAAACACCCTCAAAAGGAGTTTTTTTTTCTTATAAGCTTTTCCACCACAAAAACCCCAGAAGCCACTCAAGGGTTAAGCAGAATTTTTCCAGCCTTCCATCAAGCAATCTTCCGGGCTTCATTCCAGACTAAAAACTCCCCAGTACAAATTCCAGCAAGTTTGTGCGGCTCTTTATAATCTCCTCTGCAATTCCCACATTCTGGCCGCAGAACGCGAGAGAGCAAAAAGATGCGAACACAAGAGATGAAGAGCAAAAAAAGGAAGGCGTGCAAATTGCAAAAAGATGTCAATAAATTCAGCGGAGGTGAATGAGATTTTTATAAGCTGGCAAAAGTGTTTTCGAGGAGGCAGAGAAGCGGCATAATCTGCCCCATCGCGGGGGGTTTCTTGAAGGAGGGGGAGGAAATGAATTATTGGAATCTCTAATGAGTTTTCAATGTGCTTGCAAATGACGTGAGAAAACACATCGCGCTCTTGTCTCCACACAGAGAAGAATTCGACACGCCGATAAAACTTGCCATATTTTCCCCATGCATTATTTTTTCCAATTTCCGCACATATTTTGCGGACTCTTTTTTGTTGTTATTTTATTTGCAGCCACTTTTCCAGACGCGCCGCGAAAGCGTCTGGAGCCGCGCTGCCCTTTTTTTATTTAGCGTGTGAGGCGCAACTTCATGGGTGAATTTATTGACTCTCGATTGGGGCTCTAATTGAATTTTGCATTGCAAATTGCGCCAAAGTGTACAGAAATTGATAAAAGGTGAGGATATGTGAAGAGGAAGGCTAACTTACAAAGAAATGCCGACAAATTTGCCACTATAAACAAAAATGCCGCTCCAATGTTGCCGACTTCCCGCATTTTCACGCACTTTATCACCACTTTTCGCGCAAAGTCCACACTACACCCTCATCCTGGGCCACATTGGCTGATCAGTTCGCGGACAGGAAGAGACTGTATGCACAAGAGAAAGGAGCAAAAATGCTCTGTAGATGATAGCGAATACAAGGCAGAGAGCAGAACCTTCTCCGCAGAAAGCCGCTGAAAGACTAACTCTGGCTGTCTTCAGCGCCGCCGCTGGCCGGACGCTCGGCGACAGCGACGCCTCTCGCGGGAAAGAGGATAAAACCAAGTGCAACTGACGCAATTCAAACGCAGCTCTGGAAATTTTTGCCTGACTAGGAAAAAATGCCCTTTTAGCACGGATGTGAGTGTGATGTCGAAGTTTGGAAGATTCGGACCACTGCTGGGCACCATCTACGTGGGAAACACACTCAGCAAGTTCCTGGTGAGTGCAGCAGTGGCGAGAAATATACTGTTCAATTACGTAACCTCACCGGAATATTGATTTTCTGGGCTTCCCGGAACAGATTTACGCCTCCAGGAATGCCGAGATCCTCACGTGTCACGAAGTATCTCTGAAGCAGCTGAGCCCGCGACCTGGATGGGTGGAGTACGATCCGGTGGAGGTGTGGAAGTCTGTGGTGGAGTGCATCGAGGTGGCGATTCGGAATCTCGTGTTGCTGGACATCAATCCACAGGACATCATCGCCGTGGGCCTGACGAACCAGCGGGAGACGGTGGTGGTGTGGTCCGGGGACACGGGAGAGGTGCTCCACAATGCCATCGCGTGGTGTGACGTGCGCTGTGCGGAAACTGTGCAACAACTCCTGACCAAGGCGAAGAATCGGCCGAACTACTTGAAGGAAGTATGCGGGCTCGTTATCAGCACCAATTTCAGCGCCGTGAAGATCAAGTGGATCATGGACAACGTGGCGGGTGTGCGGGAGGCCATTGACGGCGCCAAGTGTCACGTGGGCACGCTGGATTCCTGGATTCTGTGGAATCTCACGGGCGGCACGGAGTCTGGGGTGCACATGACGGACGTGACGAACGCCTCGCGGACGATGCTGATGAATCTGCAGACGCGCAAGTGGGACAAGTCGCTGTGTTCATTCTTCCAAATCAATCCACACGTTCTGCCGCAGATCCGCTCGTGCGCCGAGACGTACGGCTTCATCCATCGCGGGCCGCTGCAGGGAATTCCCATTGCCGGCTGCATCGGGGACCAGCAAGCGGCCCTGCTAGGGCAGATGTGCTTCCGTGCCGAGCAGGCGCAGTGCACGTACGATGAGGGCTGTTTTCTGCTCGTGAACACCGGCCAGGAGATCATTGACTCGGACAGCGGCTTGCTGAGCACCGTGGCGTTCCAGCTGGGCCCCGCGGCGCTCCCCTTCTACGCCCTCGAGGGCGCCGTGGCCAATTCCGGATCTGCTGTGACGTGGCTGCGCGAGAATCTGCTGCTGGAGACGGAGATCAACCAGAACTGCCACACGCTGGTCAACAGCATGAGCGATTCCACATTCTTCTCGCCCATTCAGTCATCGTCGCCATTCGGCACGACCCCTCTAGTCACCGCCGCCACGTCTACGCCGCCAAACTCCCTGCTGCCGCTGGAGAACGTCAGCGCGGGCTCCGATGTGATCTTCATCCCGGCCTTCAGTGGCATCTACACGCCTCATTGGCAGCACAAGGCGCGCGGGATGCTGGCGGGCCTCACCAGCCACACCACCGCCCGCCAAGTCGTGCAGGCGGCCTACGAGGCCACCTGCTTCCAGACGCGCCAGATCCTGGAGGCACTGCGCTCGGATTGCCACACCTGGCGACCGCTGGCGCGGCTGATAGTCGGCGGGGAGCTGATGGAGACACCTTTCCTGCCGCAAATGCTGGCGGACTTGTGCAATGTGGACGTGGAGCGTCCGCAGATCTCCTCGCCAGCCACGCTGGGCGCCATGCTAGCCACGGGACTGGCCATGAACGTGCTGTCACTGGAGAATACTCAGGCTCTGCTGGCGCCGCCGGCGGACGTGCACCATCCCACCATGTGCCAGCTGGCCAGCGATGGGAAGTACAAGCGCTGGCAGAAGGCCGTGCGGATGTGCATTCGCAGCACAGACGAGGAGAGCGACGAGGAGAAGGAGTTGGATCCTCATCGCGGTGTGACAAACAGCATTCCTGGCTCTCTCTTCATCGTCTCATCGTTCGCGCTGGTGATCGTGGCGGAAATCCTCAGGATACTCTGAGCGCGTGAGTCACAATCATGATTTCTAGTCAATCTCTCTCGCCTGAGGTTTCCACAAATCATTTTTTCCTATAATAGGCGCATTTGACGTAGCTTTAACTGGTTAGAATAGATGGGTTCATTGAGCTAAGCAATAATCTGTGGACTTTCTGATGTATTCCAAGTATTTATTTTACATGTTTCATTAGAAAAAAAAGGAATAATTAAAATATCTCTCAGTGAAGAGAGATTCTTTTTGTCAAGCCCACCACCCAGAGAAATCCTTGTGGAATGTCTAAATCTTTATTCGCTGATGCTGAAGTGCTTCTCGAGCGTTTGCCAGCATTCGTAGTATTTTGCATCGAGTTTCTGGCATGTTTCCGCGCCCCATTTCGTTACAGCCATACTTAAAGATGACTCGAACATGAAGGATTGCGTGCCATCTGCAACGCGCTGCGGTTCTAACTTGGCGTTGGACGCTGCCTCGAAGCACTTCTTGTCCGGACCGTGGGGTGTCATCATGGAGTGCAAGGAGGCGCCGCCGGGACGGAATCCGCCCTCTTTTGCCTCGTACGATCCGTAGATCAAGCCCATGAATTCACTCATGCAGTTTCCTGAGGAGAAAGACCAGCAATTAGACTTGGTGTGGTCACAAGAGCGTCTTGGACTCACTGTGGTAGTAAGGAGGCCTGAAGGTGTGCTCCTGGACGGACCAGCGCGGTGGGAAGATGACAAAGTCCGCGATGGCAGTGCCGGGACGCGAGCTGGGACACGTGAGAACGGTGAAGATGCTGGGATCCTAGCAAAGAAAGTTCAGTGTGAAGATGAATTCCGATGAGTGTTTGAGCGCGATCTTACGCAGTGATCGAAGCTGACGGAGTTGATGACCATGTAGTCGGCGAGATTGTACTTGTAGGGCGCGTAATTCCCATGCCAGGCCACAACGTCGAACGGGCTGTGCTTCTGCTGTGCCACAAATAGCGCTCCCTGGAACTTCGACACTATCTCGAACTTGTCCACTTGGCGGTCCTCGAACCACGCCACGGGCGTCTTAAAATCCCTGGGATTGGCCAGGCCGTTTGCGCCGATTGGTCCCAGATCGGGCAGCTTGAAGTGATTGTCGTACACTTCCAGGATGTATCCGCGCGTGGGTCCGGAAGCAGACACGGCGAAGCGCATTCCCTGCTGAAGCACCGCAATCTCGTTGGGTGCCACGCGAATGCGCCCGAATTCCGTGGTGATCTCCAGGCTGCCCTGCTGAGGCACAATCAGGAAGTCACCGTCGCTGTTGTAGAACGCCCGATTCTCCATTGGGGCGTTGCAGAGATAGACGTGCACGGCCACACCGTGGCGTCCGCGAGCATCTCCGGCGCCACATACCGTGTGCAGGCCGTCGACGAAGTCCACTCTGCCGGACGGCGGCACGTCGAAGGGGCTCCAGCGCATCTGGTTGGGATCAGGCGGCTGCTCTGTCCAGTTATCGTGGAAGTGGGGCGCGCCATGGTAGCGCACGAAGGGCGTGTGCACTACCGAGGGCCGGATGCGGTACAGCCAGGAGCGTGTGTTCTCCGTGCGCGGCGCCGTGAAGGCGGAGCCGGAGAGCTGCTCGGCATAGAGACCTCTGGCGCACTTCTGTGGCGAGTTCTGGCCCTCGGGCAAACTACCAGGACAGCGTGGGTCCTCGGACTCGAAGTGAGAGCCGAAGCCAGTGAGGTACTGCAAGGGATTTAGAGGATGAACAAACTTACGTGAGGAATAGAGTGAACTTAGCATATCACAGCGCTTAAATATCACACACGCGAATGAGAATTGCTACCAAACTTAATAGCAAAAAGCGCGTTAAATGATATTTTGACGTCAAACGAGGTTTTTCTCATAGAATTTTCAGCACAGAAAACGCTAAATGTCGTAAAATATCTTTATACGCATTTTGACATCATACTTATCATTCAATCTTAATCTAAAACTCTCTCTAAACCTTAACTAAACGAAATCGGTTTAAAGCAGTACATTTGAATTGAGTATCGGTTAATATTTCGTCTTCTTTGTGCGAGAACTTATTGAAGGATCAATTTAAGAACTTCTTGAGTCTAAATTAGCTGATATAGTGATTGATTATAAAGCTCAAAGATTCAAGGAGAAAATACAGTGTTAATCAAAAAGAACGCAATCTTAGTAAAACGTTTGTATTTAATTCTGCATTATTTATCTTTTCCTTGATTATCTCTGTGCATCACAAGTAATTAAATAAAATTTTTGTATAATTGCAAAGGGCTTTTAAAACTATTCAATTTTATGCTTTTGGTTTTTACAGCGTATTTTTGCTGCTGTCGACAAAGAATCCTGCCTTAGAATTTAATAACTCCTAATAAAACACGTAATCAATACAAAAAAGACACTTAGTCGTTATAACGATGCTCAAATGAGTTTTCTTGCAAAGACAATAAAAATTAAACGAAAAAATGTACTAATGTCTAATATTAAGCTTCACAGGTGCTTTATTTCTTTCATTCATCACACTAAAACTGAGACAAAAACACTCTTTTCCACTGATAAGGCAATTCCAACACAATTTCACCTTATAATCCGATTCCATAATCCAATTCTTGGCTGTCAGTGTTTGAAGAGGGTGAATTTCCTCAGAAGAGATCCGTTCTTGGTCACTTTTGCACTGAAACTGCTGCTCACGCCACAAAATCTCTGCTTTTCACTCAACTTTTTGAATATTTAATCAGAGATTTATGCCAGAAGACGAGAAAAACAAACCTTGCTATCGCTCCAGAAGCATGGAAAACGAGTTTGTCACCAAGCCACGAACGCCACCAGTCCCACAGAGATCACCTGGCGATCAGGAAGGCGCACGCTGATTCTCACCCAATGGCCTTTCCATCGTGCTATGATGAAAAGCGCACGCCCATCTCGGCCGCCAATGCGTCACGTCGGTGGCCAGAGAGTGGCTTATTGACACTCTCTTATCGCATTCCGTGAGGAATGCGCGGAATTCTTATCTCTTGCGCTCTGGCGAGCTCGAAAAGGTGTCGAATTGCGGTTTGTGTCTCGGCAGCTGAAATCAAATGTTTTTTGCTTGAAAAGACAACCGAAATGCATTGCAAGAAAATTGTGATTGTATTATTTGATCTCATATCCATCCAGACGATGAAAATGTCTCATGTGACTCTTGAGATTTTGCTTCTGCTTCGTTTCCTTTCCGCACAGCTCGCATTTGTAGGGATTTTCACCTGTGTGCTGACGATAGTGAATCTGCCAAAAGAAAAAGTAGCAATTAAAGAAAGAAACCAAACCACGATTTGCGCCATTTATTTATACTGACTCTGAGTGTTCCCTTGTCTCTGAAGCACTTTCCGCAGTAGTGACAGGGAAATGGTCTCTCGTCTGTGTGGCATCTCTTGTGAATGGCGAAGGAGTTGCGATCCCTGAACGCCCTTCCGCAGTCCGGTACATCGCACTTGTACGGCTTCTCGCCCGTGTGCACTTTCATGTGGTGATTCAGCGTGTGCGTGCGCTTGAACGTCTTGCCGCAAATTTCACAGATGATGTCCTTCTTGTCCGAGTGCCGCAGCATGTGCTGTCGCAGGAGGTTCGGCTGTCTGAATGTCTTGCAGCAGAAGCTGCACTCTATCGTCGGCTTGTCCTTCTTCGCCGCCGAATGGGTGGCTCTGGTGTGCGCAAGCAAGCGCGACTTGGTCGGGAATGTTTGCTCGCACTCCTTGCACGGGATTTCCGCCCGCCTGTGGCACACCATGTGAGCCTGCAGACCTCGCTTCGTGCCATATTTGGCGGCACAGATATCACAGATGTAGGCTTTCTTGCCTCTACTTGGCTTCGCCTGTTGAACACTTGTTGCTTCGACTTTAGGCACTCTCTTGGCGTTCCGCCTCACCTTTTCCACTGCATCCACAATGTTTTCTTGCTTTTCAACCTGACCAGAATCATCGGGATCCGGCTTGATCTTCACATCTTCCAAAACTTCTCTCTCAGCTGTTATCAGTGGATTGTCAACAGTGAAAACCTAGAACAAAAATCTACATTAAATCTTATTCTGACAGAGAATCTTCACAGTTTCAATTTGATATACCTTCTCTTCCTGGCAGGACACATCGGGAAGCTCCCGAACACTACCTGTTTCTTCAAATAAGTTTATAACCTCAAATATTAGAGAATCTGATGGGAAATCATTCCCATATTCTAATAGGAACTTGCTTTTCACACATTTCAAGTTACTATCACTCTTGTAGAAGGACTTTACGAGGAAAATTCTCTCCTTGAGAGAGTACAAACCGAGATTATCACGCATTTCCACTCTTTTTCAGACATCCGCAAACAAACCAAAACAAACTGCGGTGTTTATCAAGCGAAGTGCTTTTGCTGCATTGAACTGTTTCAGTGGCGTAGCGGGAAAACAGAATGTTGTTAGTCTCTTACTTTAAGAGGTGCTTATCGATTTTCCCACATTTCTCAACTCTCACATTGACCAGCAAAATCACTGGAAGTGAAAAGTAGGTGTAATGGCATGAGAACAGTCCCAACGTTATTCCTTTTTTCCGTTCAACAAAATTCTCTTTATCGCGCGTACACAAGAGAAGCATATGCTGAATATACTTGCTGATAGCGACGTCCGCGCGGTGTAAGTCCGTGCTGACAGCCAAAATATATTCAAAAAAATGGCAGTTGAAGAAATTTTTCACAAAGAATTTTGCAGAAATTCCTTAAATTTAAACTTAAAATGGTAAAAAAATTTAGTTCTTTTTTAGCGAAATATTATTAATTCAGTTTACTCCTTTGTTGATTCTGTTTGAAAACACTTCTCACGCCCACCAAAAGCTGTCGCTGCTGCGCGAATCCTTGCAATTTTACACGCCATGCCCGACGCATGCTCTCTGGAATCCTCCAGACGTTGCATATCCTTATGACACTCCCGGACAAGGGTGTGCTCGCGTTCGGCGAAAATTGGTGAAAAAGTGTTGCTACGGTGTGTAGATGATTCCTCAAACTTGAAGCCAGCGCAGAGGACTTTATCAATCGATCCAGGATTGTCGCGGTGGCGGAAGCTTCATCATCCATGAGTCAGGTGAGGTGCAGCCCTGGCGAGTAAACAAAGGCTCTCTGCATGCAAAAGTTGTTGCTTTTTTTCCAGTCATGCCGCCTCTGGAATTTGAGCATTGCAAGTGTCCTGGCGCTGACTCTCTCCAACGTCCTTCTCACTGTGCGTCTACTGCACTCCACGGATTGTCCTTTCATAACACTCGAGGACACCTCGATGGCGTCTGTGGTGGCCAAGGCGCCGCCCTTGACGCCACCGACCTGCCTTGAGTACATCATCCTAGACAATTCGTCCAACCGGACGGAGAAGCCCGTGTTCTCGGGCCTGGATCTGCAGCTGGGGCGTTGGGACTCGAGGCGGCTGTATAAGGTGTTCGAATTCGTGGTGGTGGGCGACAAGTTCGCCGAGCTCTCGGAGCAGTACAGTGTCTGCCTGGCCACGCAGAGCTCCATCGAGAGACTGGGGCCGCTGGTGCAGGTGGCTCATCACTGGACGGGCCCCATAAGCGTGGCCATCTTCGCGGCCGGCGACGACGAGCTGCACCTGCTGCAGGTGTACCTGTCGTTCCTGCGGAAGTGCTATCCCGGCATCAGGGAGAGGGTGTCCTTCCACCTCGCGTATCCGCGCGACAAGGCGCCCAGCCACGTGAAGCAGGCCACCCCGATCGATCTCATGGCCCTGGACTGTGCCAAGCCCGAAGCCACACTCGTGGAACTCATCCAAATGCGCAGCCATGACACGACAAAGTGGCGCTCCAAGAACGTGTATCCGCAGAATCACCTGCGGAATGTCGCGCGCAAGACGTGCCAAAGCGACAATGTCTTTCTCACGGACATCGACATCATACCCAGCATCAACATGACTGAGTACCTAGATAAGTTTCTACGACACACAAAGTGCCCAAACAATCAATGCGCCTACGTGATACCCACTTACGAGCTGGACAACCGCGCTAGGTTCCCGCGCGACAAGCCCGACCTAATCCGCTTGGCCAGGAAGGGCCTGGCGCGTCCCTTTCATCACAAAGTATTCATCTACAATCAGTACGCCACGAACTTCACGAGGTGAGATCCGCAAATCACCCAGGAATTTGACAAATTATGCTCACCAATGAGGAATAATTGAGATAAAAGTTGTGTGAAAAATGGGAAAGATTTATTTTGTAGTCTTATGAGTTCTTTGAGAAGTTGCATTTGTTAAAGTTCCTTGTAAGGTGACTGGGAAATATTATTTGATTGAGAAAACTTTCTTGTTCGACGCAAAAAGCTACACACAGAGAAAAGAGGGGAAATACGTTATAATATACATAACGTCGTAGTTAATATCATAACGCCATTCGTAATAATCAAGCCAACTACGCGTTATAAATTTCCGTACTTAATATCATAACGTGGCTTTTGGCCAAGCTTTCAACTACGCGTTATAAATACCATAACGCGTAATGGATAAACGTTATATCAAAGCGCCAGGATAAGCTTTTCTAGCCGCAGAAAATCAACTACGCGTTATGACGACGTAGTAAATTGCATCATAAAATATTTTTCGCTGAGTGTAAAGATTTTCTGCTTAATTTTTTATCGCTAACTCAATGACGCAATTTTTTTTATCATCTTAGACTCAAATGATTGGTTATGAAATGTTCTACTACTTTGTAAGGCATATACTGAACTCAAAACGTGGTTGAATTATATTGGAATTTGTGTTTAAAGATTGATTTCAACAGAAATTTCGTATAGAAATCAAAGTTTTTCCAGCAAAAGCCACTGACACTTTTTCTCTCTCTTCCCTGCTCAGATGGCAAGCTGACTTGAACAACCTGGAGGAGACTCACGTAAGCTACAACGTGACCAACTTCGAGTTCCTCTACGAGCCGTTCTACGTGGCTCCAGATCAGGTGCCGCCGCACGATGAGCGCTTTCTGGGCTACGGCTTCACGCGGAACACACAGGTGTACGAGATGTTCGTGGCCGGGTATCAGTTCCAAGTGCTGACGCCCATCTTCACGTGCCACTGGGGCCTGCAGAACAAAAAGAGCCGCCCGGCGTGGCGGGAGCGCCAGAACAACGTGAACCGAAAGCAATTCGAGGTGTTCAAGCGGGAGGTGTTTGCGCGCTATCACAAGGATCCGCTCAAGATGCTTATGCCAAAGAAGGCACTCTCGCGCCAAGTCCCTATTGGCGGCTGAGTCGCACTCACTCTTCAAATGTTTTTTCAATGTTTCATAAAAGTGTTTTATTCTCATTATATGAACGCTGTGTTGTCAAAGTGGAGTCATTGTTAACTGGGAAGTAAAGATTAAGATTGGTAAGGATAAAATAAAATTGCTCAACGGATTTATGATTAACCTGCTGATGTGGATTTTGTTTACTCGCTTCTAATTATAACCTGTCACAGCAATATTATTTCTCCAGGTGCTGTTTACACAGCTCTCAGGTATAACAAAATTACTGATATTTCCACATTGTCACTGGCAAAGGCCACACCAGTCAATCAATACATCAATTGTTTGATGATTTCGTCGGGGAAATGCCCGAAAGTGGGCGGAATGTATTACAATGTGTCAACAGAATATTACACCCTCCATGCAAATGTCCTGAAAATTCCAAATCATGTGTACCGGGGATGTTCAGTGAAAGCCACGATTTGGATCCTTGGACAAACATGAAGATACAATGGACGAATGTAGAATATATGTAGTGACCAATTTATTTATTCACTAATTTCTTCCGTTTCTATATTTGCATTTGGCAATGTATGCGAGAGCCTATCACTGAAATTCAACGACAAACTCTATGTTTAATTCAGTGAAGCAGGTCCGCACTCGGGAAATCGGCGGCCCCACGAAATTAAATAAAGTGTGTCACACACACAATCTGTTGCCAAAGAGACTCTTTCACCTCAGCCCCCAGAAAAAATTCCACTTTTGGCCATTTCCCGGGCCATTCCTCTTGCTTATCTGTGTGCCGTGGAGTGAAAGTGAGAAGATAAGCAATTCATCATTGGCAAACTTCATGGTGTTTTCCTATTGAGACATAATCGTGTAATTGGAAACCATAAATAATTTGGCAGGGAAACCCTTTCTGTGCGGCACCCCCCGAGGCGTCTATACGGGAAATCATCGTGTGAATCCTCGTGCATGGCACATCGGCCTTCCTCTCTATCGCTTTGGAGGGAAAATGTTTGTATGTACAGGAGAACACGGTGTTGGAAGCTATTGAGATGAGAAGTGAGAACAGGAAAGGTGGCGAGAAGCTCTGCAACACGCTCAAGTGAGAAATGCAAAGGAAAAGGAAAGAATCAAAGCATTTGAAAAGTCCATATTTCGGTTCACAAAAGAAGACTTTTCCTTCACTCAAGTTTTGTATGAATGCGGAAAAATACGAATAATGTTATCATTATAGAGATTACATTTCACTGCATTTTGAAGCTCTAGAGCAGAGGAAAAACTAAAAAAATACAACATATTTTCCCTTTGATATTGCATTTTGCATGACATCCCCAAAAAGATGGTAATACAAATAATTCTTTTCCTACTTCCTCTTTTTCCACCCTTAAACGATTGCAATATGACTCGTGTTGAGACAGTGAAGTGAGTTTGTACAATAAAAAGCAGTAGGTTTTCGATGGCTGTAGATTCGTCTATATATAGTTTATACAGTGTTTCGAGGGAGGAAAAATGATTGAGGGAAGGAGGAAGTTGAGTATCGTTAGTGCTCGAGTCGAAGAGAGAAATACCCGAGAGTGTTAATCTGTGGCGCATGAGCGGAACTAAATGCATGCCATAGGGTGTTCAAGTTTTAATTTTCCCTTTTTTGTCACATCCATCGACACGATGGGGCCTTTCTGGGGTCAGCGAGGCAGCGTTTGACTTATCTGTGGAGCTGTTGTTTGAGGAGGATCGGAAAAATCAGTGAATAGGGAGTGAAAAGTGAGGTGAGAAGGCAATTGTGGCCAAACATTAGTGGGCAAGTGTGAGTGGCAACTTGTGAGTGTGTGTATCGTGGATGTGAAGCTTTTTAGGGGTAATATTCCAACAGACACACATTCTACTACACCTTTTTCAGGACACCCTCGCTGAATTGTTTCAGTCAATATCAAACTCGGGCTTTGTTCGGTAACCCAAAATACAGTGAAATCATCCGCCTCAGCACCATATCACTTGGCAGTGGCAGATGAGGACAAAAAGTGGACTCTGAGGGTGTTCCATTACGGCAAATACCGCAAAACTCTCTGTGAAGTGGAGAAAGGTGGTGTGTTGTGCTTTGTGTACCCAAATCCTTGGACCACCCCTCAAAATCTATCGCCGAAATTCTGTGCCACACCATAGAACCCCTTTTCGTGGTGGAACTTTTGGGGTGGACAAAAAAAAAAGAGTGAAGACTCCGGAAGTCCAAGGACGTGAAATCCCATCAACTCTATGTACACATTCTGCCCATTTCACAATTGATTTATTCGTGAAGTGATGTGCTTTCTGCCTTCCCCCACACACCCAGCGCAATGATATCACAGTTGATGCCATAATTACAGTGGAACTGCGTGTGACCGTGCATCAAACAGCTGAAGCAATGGGTGTTTTCCCATTAGGAGCTTAATTCAATAGTTGGAGTCCCTATTCTGCCATCGACAGTGGGATTTATGCGTCACTTCCTGTCCTCTCTATCGCCAACTTTTTCCGACTCCACGGCGGAGCGTCGGAGAGTGCGTGGCAGAGAAGTATAGGCGGAAAGAGGACGAAAAATATTAAACAATGAGGTGATTTCTGTTCCCTCCTCACCTGCTCTATTGTCCTACTGTTTGGGGAAATATGACAAAAGCCTGGGGAATCCCTTGCATACACCCACTTCCCAAAGTCCCTTTCATGGCACATCGCGGAATTCGCCTTGTGCTGAGGTGTCTCTGTGAGATGAAAGAGGGTGAAAAAATAGAACCATGACAAGGCAGAAAATTGAATTTAGCAAAGAGAGAGAAAACATTCCTCAATTGGCCAAATTACCGTGCCTCGTTCTGTCGGAAAGAGCCTCACATATTGAAATGCGAAACTACATCAATTGGAGAGTAATGCAATCATATAAAGAGGCGCGCATACCTTTTTGCTCGCTCACTCGCTAGGGAAAAGCCTCCCCACATAAAATCTCACACTTCCGCCACATCGCAGAGCAACAAGAGTATTTTTCCGAACCCCTCCTCCCGCCCAAACCCCCCAAATTCAGCTGAGACTATTTACACCGAAAAATAATTGTAGTAATTTGTAGTATGAAAGGGGCACCCGGTACCATTTCTTGATTCACGTACATGATAAATTATTAATAGGGCGGGTGTATTATTAATGAGGACACCCTGAGCCACGATCTTATTCAAACATTTCTCACATGATGTGCCTTTGTGAGACAGTCGCGCAGTCATGTAATGCCTGAGCGACCAATTTTCCTTCTAAAAGCAACTGAAATCCACCCCCAAAACAACAATAACACCCAAACGAGAGACGATTGTGTAAAATTTCAAGGGATTACTACGTGTTGTACTCACACGAACCATTTTTAATCATCAACTCACAGGCTTGTGTAGGTGGAGTATTTGGAAATTGTAGCTTTTGATTGACAAACAGATGAGAACAGAGGGTCATTAAGAAACATCCTGTCCAGAAGACGATAGAATTGTGAAATTGATTCAGCTGAATAGAGAGAATAATTGGTTTAATTGGATGTCATGGGAGAATGTGGATGTGAATTTAAGCAAATAAATCGGATTGAAAGTTCATCTGACGGTCTGTGAGCTTCGTGAGCTTAAACTTTATCAGTGCGATTGGTGCGAGTTAGAAACACACACATTTCCTTGCAAAGAAAAAAATGACCACTTTTGCACAACAGTATGTTTATGGTGACTCTTCTTCAGAAAAGGAACATGGAATTCAATCCTATAACTTAATTACTAATATTCTGAGTGGGTGAATAAAGAGAAGTTGATTTTCCAATTTAGGAATTTTCGTGAGTAGTTAAAACATGACTAATATGACTCACTCGCAGATGCGAATTATAAGAGTAATTATAGCTTGAAATTGATATTAAATATAGTTAATTTTCTCATATTCGCTAGACAGAATTTCCCAAATTCTTTACATTGCATTTATGAAATGTAGTTATCAAGAATCATTATTAATCAAACATAATTATGAGAGATAATTGGACAATTTCCATTTCCAAGAATTTTGCAATACAAATGGTTGAAAATACAAACAATCAGTGCATTACCAAAGGTTTTATATCTTCATGCATTTTGTACTGAATTTGGAATTTCTGCCATTTCACTGACAACGAGATAATATTGAAGTGTCATCGGTGAAGTTCTGGGAAATAATTTTCGAATCCATAATCAAACATTGGAAAATAATAAAACTGATAATTGTGCTAGACATTTCATTTTTCCAAGATATATAATTTATGCACTTCAGTGCCACTGCTCGTGAATTTGTCGGTTTGGTGAAATTGAAAAGCTGCGCGAGTAATTATACATTGCAGTTTTTTTGCCATCTCTATATGCAGAAATCCGGATCAGAGGCGGGAGAAGTGCAGCTCATAGGCAAATATTAGAAATGAAAAGAGTGGCGATGGCAAAGCCGAACTGTGAGCCACACATGGAGATAAATAAATGAAGCAGTTGGGAGAGAATCTGCGAAGATTGGAGCTCATGATGATGATGATGATGATGAAAATGAGTACAGCGTGGGTGAATAATTGCACGGGAATAAATGAGAGGAAATTAATCGATTAGGTGGTGTGAAAACATCAGGAAAAAACACCGTCAGTCCCACCTTGCTCGCCACCCACGCCCACAGGCCGTCATTATCTTAGGAGCGAAGTGTCTGACACTGAAGCGAGGAGGCGGAGGGCAAAAAAGCGAGCGGAAGCGTCCAATCGTCATAATGAAGAGACGATTGATTAATTCCAGCAACATCAATCGCAATGGGAATTCCGACGAGGAGTGGAGTGAGGTGACAGATCTCCTGGACGGCTGGCGAAGTCATCTCCTCATCCTCATCGTCACCCTCGCTTGCTATGTTAACGGCCTTCGTGGTGATTTCGTCCACGATGACATTCCCGCCATCACGATGAATAGAGACGTCCTGGGACACAATCCGCTGTCACATCTCTTCCTCAATGACTTCTGGGGCATGTCAATGGGCGATGTGAACAGCCACAAGTCCTACCGACCGCTCACGACGCTCACATTCCGGTAAGTCTCTTGCCCGCAATTTGTCCTCAATGGAAAACCACAAACATATGCTACTTATTTATGCACCTACGCAAATTTATAACACAAAACTCAATCCATTCACGACGAGAGCATATTTCGAATATCTTCTTGAAATTCATGCTATACTTCAGTATTGGGGGTTAATGAAAATGAATATTGATTGTGATCATTTCCTTTTGCATTCTCATATCTTATGTGTTCATTGTTTGGTTCATTGGAATATGTATAATTTTACAGCAATATTGAGTATCAACATTGGTTCAATAATTTGAATAATGCCTGAGAGGCAAAGACGATTCCAAAGTTCACCCTTCACTGAATTATTCAGCTTCACGATATTCTGATCTTGCTAATTCAAGTGATTCTTCACCTTTCAACCTCGTCTGCAATATAATATTCACATTATTCGTAATTGTTTGATTAATAACCTCCTCACATACACATCTTGCGGCTTTTGACCCTATATTGTGTCCAATAACATGTTTGAAAAAGCAATATATGGAAATTTGCCCTCTCTTGCAGCATCAACTATTTGATGTTTGGACTGGAGCCACTGTGGTTCCACATGACCAACATCCTCCTGCACGCCTTCGTGTGTGTCCTTTTCAGCCGAGTGTGCTTTGTTGTTGCCCATCTCGAGAGGAATTTCGCCACAATGGCCGGAATTTTATTTGCTCTCCATCCAATTCACACTGAAGCTGTCACAGGAATTGTTGGCCGAGCTGATGTGTTGGCTTGCGTTTTCTTCCTCCTCTCCATCCTCACATACCACGGGTGAGTATCCGAAGTTCTTCGTTTAGGACAGGTTGTGTATATTGTTGCGGATCTGGCCCTGCGGTTGAGGATTTTAATTATAGATTCGCTCTGTGGCGAATTAGCTGCAACAACTCCCACGCGTTCTTTCCTCTGTCTTGATGAGTTGAACTGACAGAATCTCTTTGTGGCAGGAATTGCGAGAAGTACCAGAACCTGAGCATCATCCTGGGTGGCTTGAGCATGCTAGCCAAGGAGACGGGCATGACTGTGTTCCTGGTGAACCTGGCCTATGACACTTACAGGAGCTGGCCGTCGCTCAGGCGCTCCATCACGGACGTGCGGTGGTCGGAGGAGAGTCAACAGTTCGCGAGACGATTGCTGCGCATCAGCATCACCGTGATGATCCTGCTTTTGTTGCGGATCGCGCTGCTGCAAGGCACGCTGCCTAAGTTCTCCCTCCAGGACAACCCGGCTGCCTTCCACAGCAGCTTTCGGGTGCGTCTGCTCACCTTCCTCTACCTGGCCGCCTTCAACTGGTGGCTCCTCCTTTGTCCAGTCACCCTCAGCCACGACTGGCAGATGGGCTCCATCCCACTGATGCTGTCCTTCGGCGACCTCCGCAATTTGCTCACCCTCATCGCCCTCCTGGCGCTCCTTCTGCTCGCCCTGCGTGGTCTCATGGACCTGGACTCCCATCGCCAGACACCTCTAGTCCTCGGCTTCCTCCTCCTCACGCTGCCCTTCCTGCCCGCCAGCAACATCGTAATCACAGTGGGTTTCGTGGTGGCCGAGAGGATTCTCTACATTCCCAGGTGAGACGCACACAAGTTTTCACAGGTGAAAGTTCATCGTCGAAGCGTCACAGAGATTACAGTCAAAGTTTCTACCCGAAATTATAGTGAGGTATTAATGTAATTTTCATCAAGGGAGAATTCCTCCGAAATGTCATGAAAATTAATGGTGAAAATTATAGTCACTGACGAGTTTCAAATATTTCCAACTTTGGCAAAATCTATTAAGCAATTACCGACAGTTAATATTAGAAGCACTCTAAACAATCAACTGTTTTGGAATATTCATCAGCAAACGATGGAGTATATCAACTCCACTATATTGAAATGTTTTTCTCATTAAGCCAATGTTTTTCTATGCTTTCCCGGAAAATAATTGCAGGTTTTGTGCTTTGATTCACATACATATTGATTGGAAAATTCAAATTGTGGTTGATGATTGATGTGAAAATTGAAAATTTTTGTTACTCTAAAATGGTATTTTTGATGTGTTTGAAAAATTCATTCTGGCTTTTGTGAAACTGACGCGATATGTTATTAATGGAAATTATAATAAGATATGTAATGTATTTACAGCAAAAAGCACTCACTGAAATATAATCAGTTAATAAAATTTCACTCAATCATCAATTAAAGATTAAAATACATAAAAATTGTAATTATCTTTAATATTTAATTCGATTTTCCCGTAATGAATGGTCAGTATTGAATACACTCATAAGCCGAAAATCTCTTTCAATCCTTATTAATTTGAACTATTCATAACGCTGTGAGTGCAGTAAATGTGTTTTTCCTGCTTTGATGTGCAATTCGAGAGCTTCTGGACGATATGAAACATCCTCTTCTCCCTTTCCAGTCTGGGAAGCACACTGCTGGTGGTGTACGGAGTTCAGGTGCTGTGGCAGAGATTGCCACGATGTCGCAGAGTTATCATGGGAATGTGCATCATCCTCACGCTGTCGGGCAGTGCAAAGACCATCATAAGGAATGAGGACTGGCTGTCTCGGGAGAGTCTTCTGAGGTGAGTCGCAGAGATGCCTCTTAATTCTCCAACGAGATTTCCATTAATTAAATCTCAATGGAATGCCAAATTAGTACTGAAAGAATGTGCGCTTGGCGTGGAAACTTTTCCCTCCATGCCTAGCCTCATATATTATTAACGATGCAACTTTTCACATTCGAGAAGAGACTTCACAACATTTTGGAAGCAACACAAAAGTTTCTCACTCGCAAGTACTCTTTTTTTCTTCTCCTCCTTCGCCATCAGTGATAGCTTAAGAGGACGACATTCGGGAACACACACAGTTCAATTTCTCTAGGAAAGTAGTTTTCAACAATTGAGGTGAACTATTAAGAGACATTTTAGCACATTTCTCAGTGGAACAAGATCTTTTTGATTGGCGTTATTACAGACAATTCTTGCTCTTAGCATTTGTGTCACATGAGACCAACAATTAAATTTTTAATTTAATTTCGTGCTTTTTTATAATAAGTGCCTCTTTCTGAGTTAAACGTGCCGGAAATGCAAGAAAATTCACTTTTGAAACACTGGAAATTGTTAAAACATTTCACTAAAAGCAAATAACGTAATTAACACGAGCTTAATGAGAGATGCCGATGACGAGAACGTCAGAGAGCATCATTTTAAGTGAAAATTTCAGTGAAACTCTCAACATAACAAACCCGACAAATTTTCAATAATGCCGGGGAATTTGCGAAAAAATGGCATGATTGAGCATAGATTAAATGTCAAATTCCATTGAAATAGCCACAAAATGAAATATCTCTGAATTTTCGATAAAATGAAATGCTTATTGATACATGTCAAATTAATATCCAACTCTTATCCAAATTACATTGATTCTCACTGAGAACAAGAATTTTGTTTGTACACTTTTTGTTCGGCTGGAAATGCACGGTCGTCGAATTGCATCATGCAAAATTTCTGATGGAAAAAAATACCCAAATTCAACGATGCGACAAATGGGAGAATGTGAAATGCTTTCAACATCGAGTTTTATTATAGGTTTATTCCAAAAAAAAATGTACATGTAAAAGTTAATTGGCATCATCACAATTCAGTTGAAAAAACTCTCTTTCACTATTCCTGTTATATTTGGAATTTTTTTGACTTGTGAAAGTTCTCAAATGAAATTTCACACTGCCATATTCACATAGAATTCTGAATGTATTCATTAGATAATCGAATTTAAGAGAAGATATCAAATGAAAAAAAGCCATGCTGGTGTGGAATAAAAGGGGTGAGAAAAGTTGTGTAGATTGCTTCCTGATTACTTGCTTTCAAGGCTTTTTCCTCTACCCTCAATGTTGTGATGTTCATCAAAGTGAGAAGAAGTGCTAAGAGGAAGCCTTTCAATTTACACAAGATCTCTAGTGCGGAATTAAAATCTCTTTTCGCTGTTTTTGCCACTGATTCTCACGGATTTCTTCCTCACACCATCGCAGATCTGGGCTCAGCGTTCTTCCGCACAATGCCAAAATGCACTACAACTTCGGGAATTTCCTCAGAGACTCATCACAGCCCGACTTGGCGATGGTCCACTACGAGAGAGCACTGAGGTTGGCGCCCCCTTTTCCATCCCATTTCGCCCCTCTCACACTGACCGCATTTGCCCTTTCAGCCTGTGGCCCATGTACTCGAGCGCCCACAACAACCTGGGCACGCTCCTGACCAACCCCGACGTGGCGGAGTATCACTTCATGGAGGCCATCAGGTACTCGTCCGACCACGTGAATGCCCACTACAACCTCGGCAAGCTGTATAGGAGGACAAATCGCACGCTGGACGCCGTCCGCATGCTGGAGCGCTGTATAAAGCTCGAGTCGAGATTTGTGCCTGGATACTTGGAATTGTACAAACTGAAGAGCGGCCACGAGGCGGGGCGGCTCTTGAAGAATGTGATAAAGCTCTCGCCGAGGAATCTCAATCATCTCTACCTTTACGGCAATTGGTTGCTGAACAATAGTGAGTATCGACACACTTTAAAATTTACTATCAAATGCCATCGACGCGCTCTCAAGTGGGAATTGGATTTTTTTTTCCTCTCACAACCATGGCACTCTTATAGATGTGGCAATTTTACCACACACCACTTTTAGGGGAGAACAGGATAGCAACATGTGAGAATGAAGGATGATTGAGTCTTGTGAATAAATTAATTAAAATGCGTTCATTAAGTTTGTTATGTAAGTTACGAAAGTTACAGATATTTCCAAAGGGTGTCTAAGTGAAGCTTTGTGCAATATCCATATGTAGTCGCACTGGTCAGTGCTTTTAACAAACCATAGCAGCACTAATGCATGTACATATACTTTACAGTCCTGAGTAATGTGGTTTGATATGGGACTACAAAGAGGAATCTGAATATGCGATAACCGAGCAAGTGGAAACTCAATAAATAATCATTTAATTTGAGTACATCAAATAAAGTTGGTATGATAGTGTTCATTTGCCCGTGAATTGATGCAATAAATATTTCGCAATATATTGCGTATGCTACATATGCAGAATACATAGCTTGTATACAAAGGACGAATGCACACCTAAAGGCATTTGTTCTGTTTGCTTCGTCATTTAACCAAAAGTCCAACACACTGGCTAATCTCAAATCAATACGCCCAGACCACGATTCGGATGAGAAGTAATTTCTCGAAAATATATGATTCTTATGGCCCTGCTGATTTCACACAATAAAAATTCTTATTTCGGAGAATCATATAATTCCTCTATTAGTATTCGAATCTCGAATCTGCATCTCATCATATCTTCATGTTTCTCTTTAACTCTTGCAGCTCTTTTGATTGACAAATAGAGTTTCGATTCAGGCAAATCTGATTACGGAAATTGCATTTAGGAAGATTCTTTGAATGACAATCAGTACACTTTAAGGGCTTGATCGTTCAGGAAAATTTACTGAACAGCCCAATGAGTGTTTCTCTAAGCTTTTGTGCCTTCTCTGGATCTTTAATAAGATGATTAGTTATTTAATCATATGATTATATTCAAACCATCTATCAACTTTAAAACTTCTCTGCATTGTGACATTAATTCTGCTCATTAGTTGACGGAGAGAGCTTTAAACCTTTGCAATTTCCCACCCACAGACTCTCCTATACAGGCACTGGAATTCTTCCTGCGGGCACTGCGATTGAATCCCTATCACCAAATGTCCTTCCTGGGGACATGCCACACACTCCGACGCCTCGGCCAGCTGATGCGCCTTCAGCAGCTCGTGCTGCGCTGGCACATTCTGCTGCACGTGGACAAGGGACCGCACGGCATTCACCACACGGATTTGTACTTGCGTGAGTGGCAGATTAAGATGGAGCTGCGAAGTCGCGCGAAGCTCTACGACAGCGGCCTGAGGACCTCATCCACTGTCACGACGTGCACACCGCTGCAGGTCATCGAGGGTGGCAAGCAGTTCAACTGCAGTCGCTCCGAACGCCTTCTGCCCATCCTGAGGGACGTCCGGATAGCCGTGGCGCCAGAGCAGAGCGTCGTGAATTCTGGGTCGTCGTGCTATCGGTACTGGAGGATCAGGAAGTGGCCAAAGAGCAAGCGCAAGAGCGAAAAGTTGGAGTCTACAGAGAGCGTGGTGCCACTCCTTGTGTCCAGCTTTCTGGACAAACTGTAAAATGGTCAGTGATTGAGTTTGTGCTAATTCCGCAGAGAATTCCAATAGCAATAAATATTCCGCCGGAACGACAATGCCACAAGGAGGCAAAGGTTAGTGAGGAAGTCATCGCCATTTGGACCTACAAATGACTAGCAACGAACATATAGTGAAGAAACAGTGTAAATAGCTTGTAAATAGAGAAACTGCGAGAGCCAACATTGGAGATATATATTTTTCAGTCATTTATGCTTAATGAATAACATGAATTCTAGACGTCGCTAAAAAGGCTATATGTTTTTCTAAACTTGTGGGCGGGACATTCGAGTGGGAGGAGTTTAGCTAAAGAAAAAAAAAACGTTATTATGGTTTTATTCCGAGTTACTTATTGACTTAATTTAATATAGAAAATACCCTATATTTTGGAAATGTGAGCTTCTGTGCTAATAAATCCTATTCATAAGCACGATTTAAGTATACTTTTAAAATATCAAAAAGTGGAAGTTATCATGATTCTGTAACTTTTTTGAAATGCTACAATGGCGCAAACACAGCTGAAAATAATGCGATATAGTGAAACACTCCCAAATGAATTAGTATGAATCATACATAACATAGATATTGAGAAAAAAAGAATAAAGTACTCAGTAAGGGAAAAAATTGCACGGGAAACTTTCATTTTAAACTGCACACAACGGAGCTCCTAAAAAACTCAATTCTTTCACAAAAATAAACTACTATAATAAACCCTCTCTAGAGATTTGCCAGAATTCCATATGAGGGATTTTTTTCCTTCCCTGAACGAATAGGAGTTGACATAACTGAAAAGCAATAACTCATAATATGAATAGAAAGAGTATTATTTTGTCACTTGATAAAGTGATTTAGTATTGGAATGAAAATATGAGTGAATATTATTAAAGGTCAGAGCTAAGTACCAAATTTCTCTCTAAACCATTAAACCCCTTCTTGAATACAAGATAATATACTGAATAAAGCAATAATAATTACTCCCATATGACTTATTATTGGTTTTCTTTCAAAGAGAATTAAGAGGAAACAAATAAAAGATACATTATTACCTTCTAGTATTAATCATAAATTCACTACAATGTTTCCAATACGATGGTTGCTGAATGTTGATGGCACAGAATGATTTATAGATTGAATTTATTGAAGATTGAAAGCGGAGAAACATATCGAGCTGTACATACAGGATAATTGTACATTAATTAACTATAAAGTGAGACTATTTATGAGTGAGAAGATGATTTGCATCAAGTACAAGGAAATCTGAGGTAAAACAGCTCTGATCAAAATATGTATGGTTTCGTATCTTTGAACATGGAGAGAAAGGCGATATTTTGTCTATTAAAGTATGTCCTTTGTTGAGCAGAAACATTCATTCTCTGTCATCGTTTATCATTTGAAGAGAATATACAACAAACTTATAAGATGTAAGCGAGAGAGAAGTAAAACAACACTGAAGTTTAGATGATAAGAGAGTGGAAATATTGTATGCTTTTGCCAAAAAGAAAAACAGCACAAGAATGCGAAATAATCAATAAATTGCTCTGTGTACAGGGTGATGATTTTGAGATCAGAAGGGAAATTTTCAGCCGTAAACCTTAGATTCGTCTCTGTAATTAATATACACTTCTGCTGTACAAAATACTTTAAGTACACTAAACACCATGAAGGACAAGAAATTAAACTGTAGGCTTAAGTGATTTTGTGGCCGTAAAAGTATTTGACGAACTGCAAAGATGACTGTGGATTTTCCCATTGACTTATATAAATTCTATTTCACAAAATTCTTTTGATACCTTTCCTTTCAAAATTTGGACCAATTTGAGGATCAATTTTGAAGAAGTTTTATCAAAAAAAAAATCTTTACAAGAGAGACAATTTTTCGTAGAAATCAATAGGAAAATCCACTAAAAATTGCTGAGCGACAAACACCAGGAAAAAGTATTGTAAAATTTTGAGAAAAAGAACATTTATTACTTTTGTAATAAAAAAAAGCGAGGAAGAAAGTATTAATTTTAGGATTAATAGAGAATATTGAGAAGGTATTGGCTTAATAAAAAAAAACACATCTTTTTAGGAAAAAGAAACAGAAATATTAACAATACACTATTTTATTATCTTAAAAGAAAAGCGTGAACGAAAAGGAGAAAAATGACACAAAAAAACCTAAACTAAAATCTCAAATAACGTAAGGTATTTAATTTTAAAACTCTATTAAACCTTATCAATCGAAAGAGAGAGAGAGAGAGAGAGAGAGAGAAAGAACAACATAATAATAAAAAAGACACACACACAGCAAAATATTCACGATAAAGGGAACAAAAAGAAACATAGCGAAGTCGCCGAAACACCCTGTCCTTTGGTTCACAAACCAAGAAAAAAAAGAAGAAATGAAACCTTCAATCTCTGCGCCAGAAACCAAGGAGTGAATAAATGGTGAGAAATAAGTGAAATAATGAGAAAATAAAGTGAAATATGTTTCATATTTAGAGGAAATGTTTTCTGTCTTATTATGCTTTTTTCCACTTTCCTCCCGTGCGACTCTCACCTAATTTGAATCGTCATTCCTTCCTGTCATGAGCAAGAAAGGCGCCACAAACATGGGCGCGCGAAGAAAAATTCCTGAACGGAAAGGGGTGTTTGATAGACAATTTCCTGGGGTGAAATTCAATTACAAAATTGCTATAGCATCACGAGACCCGGAGGAAATTCTGCCTCCCTGTGGGCCTCCAAAGGGAGGGTTTTTCAAGGGAAATTCGGCAGTTGGTTCTTAAGGAGAAGAAAGTCGATTGATATGGTTTGTAGTGAAATTCAACTTCCAATTATTTCTTCAACTTCAAATACGTTAACAATTCATTCCAGTATTTCTGCATTATGGTTGAAATTTGTGAATGCCAGAATACAAATAGCAACTGACAAAGTTTAAAGTTGTTTAAAATGTCTCTGCCAAAAGTTAAGAGAGTCTCTGTTTGGAGGACTTTTGGATTTTCGCATCCTTTGTTATGTTTAAAGTATTAAACTGACTTATCTTCGCAAAAACATCGTGCACAAGAATTTTATCCCAATTTTAACAGGACTAAACTACTCAAATGCCATAGCATTTAAATTATCCCCGATATTGATTGTCTGTTATGTGTGGAAAAATTTATATTTTCCACACTTCACATGAGTTATTCAATAGCCTCGAGTGGGTTTTTGAGGAATACTCGACAGACCTTCAAATATTTACCCCTTGGCTCTTAATTTTTTACCATCAATCTCCAGGGTGACTTAGTCAGGCCCACCCCACCTTCCCACTCCGCTGGGGATTTCTTCTGTGCGCCTTTGGATTTGGGAGACGCGGCGAGAGAAGTAGGAAAAATTGGAGTGTGAGAAAGGCATCAAGCGAAAATGACTGTTTGTGTGTCAATCATTTGGTTGAATAATTGAGAAAATTCCCCTCTTTCGTCGTGCTTCATTACCCATACCAAATAATTGTGAATTGGGTAAATTTTTGCCATTTATCGCGCTGTCCACTTCTCTTTGAGTGCCTTCGCGTCGCACAGTCTCTTCTGGTGACTTCTCGAGATCACTCTGCTGAGCCACCAGAATGGCGAAAGTCCATTTCCTATTGATGTGGATGCTTGCCATCGTCGTGTCCTGTGTTGAGAGTCACAATAGTGGGTCTGAGCAGCGAGGATACAATCAAGGAGCTGACATCCATGCCTTGACGAGTGTGAGTTGGTGTGATTTATTCAGACACTTCCCCGACTGTCGCATCAATTCAATTAGACTTGAACAGCACTGCTAAAAGGTGATTAATTTTGCAACACACATTGACAGGTATCCGAAGAGATTGAGGGCATTTCGCATCGTGCACACTCGAGCTCGAAGAAGGGATCAGACACAAAGGAGGACGCTGAGAAGAGCCACGCTGAGGAGAGCGGGAAGACGAAGAAGGACTTTGACGAGGACCACGAGTCAGGACATCACAGTGCGGCCCACGAGGGCCACCTGGGGGCGCACCATCACCACAAGAAGGCGCAGAGGGACGGCAAGAGCGAGAAGGGCTTCTCGCAGCGCTTCCGGAAGCGCGAGTACCACAAGGTGAACAAGTTCTTTGGCGATGAGCACAAGGGTGGCGCCTACAACAAGTTCGGCGCCGGCAAGTCCACGAAGAACTCTCAGACATTCGCCAAGGATGCCGCGAAGCATCGGCAACAGGTGTCCGAGGAGGGAAAGAGCAAGAAGCCTTAATTAGTTCGGCTCTCTCACACCCCAAAAACTTGCGCGAATAGCTTTTCTGTAGCGAGGCGAAAATACATGAAAAAATTTGCATGAGAAATTTCCAGTTCACTGTCCTCGTGAAATGAGGCCAAATTGTCACGACTTGGGGCCAAGAAGGAAGTCAGAGAAGCATTGAGTAATTTATTTGCACAGGTGACGGAGTCTCTCAGGCAGTGGTGTGGAATTACATTTTTTCGCAGAGAAAAATACATTGTGTAAATTATAGAGGAGAATAAAATATGTTCACGAGAAGCTCATGTAGTTTAGAGACAAATATTGATTGGTCATTATTTCCACTACAAATTGATGGTGAAAATTTTAATTAAAACCAACAGTAGATAAATAATATTTATTTGAATATCAGGAAAGAAACTTTCTTTGAACACCTACAGAAATGAAAAGTTTCAATCAATTGAATAAATGTTTAATAACGTTTCACGCAATACAATCTTTCCTAGGGGAAGATAATACGATCAAACTATTTATTTTCACAATTTCTGTGCAGAATCACAGGCATTTCCAGAACTTTGGCAGTGCTTAAAATCGTAGCACAATTAACACAGTTTCAAATTGAATGCATGAGATCTTCATAAGATTTCATTATTATTGAGACAGTAAATGCAAATTAAACCTGTTTAAGCACAAGAATAAATGATTTTGAAAGTTATTTAGTTGAAAAGTTTGTTTTAAATTCATAACATAACCTAAAAAGACGTAAATAACAATTATTTTTTCCCATGTATTGTGTTAATTTCTTTTGAAAGTAACTTTTGTACTTATTATTGAATACATTGAAACACTTCCACTTCTAAATACTTTTTTCTTCGCTGTACACCACTTCTGACCCAATATCTCCTCCTTCAATCTTTCAAATCACAAACTTTTTGCATTCATTTGAACAATCCAATGGCTGAAATTGTCCTACCATTGGCGCTCTTTAGCGTTCTTTGTGAGCGATAACTTCTTCACTCATCACCTTTATCCATCGGTCAGCGTTTCAGTGAGTGTTGGAAAATTCTGTTGCCTCACTGGCGAGTGTTTGCAATCATTTTTCTCGGTCTGATCAAATGATTTGCACTCCTGGATTGCATCATTGCGGCCCATGTAAATTGCATCTCACTGTCGCAGCGAGAAGCAAATATTGGCTTTTCCACACCAAAAATAGGTGTTAAAGTGATCACAGTTCTGGAAGAATGACTATCTAAACATATTAACCGCCACGAACGTGCCATATTTCGATATACTTTCCCCGCGTATAATTCCGCGGTTCTTTCGCGACCATATAGATTCGAGATTTGGACTTGGTGAACTTGCATCGATCGTGGCAAATTGCCAACCATAATGTCCCACCTAAGAGCGCTGGCCGATGAGGTAATGTGAAAATTGGAGGCTCTCTTGGGTAGTAGGGCAAGACGACTTTTTTGCCGCTACAAAACCGAGACATTCTCGGACAATTGCCACCATTTCACGTGCGACATTCCTCCATCTCGGTCGAAGCTGCTCTTTTGGGGAGGTTGCGTGACGGGAGAGAAAGACTTTAGACGAGCCGAGAGATCTTGAGACTTTTTGCCCGAAACCATGTGGTGTGAGAATCTCTTTTGGTGCTTTGTTGGACATTTCTTGGTGTTCTCATGGATTACCAGTTTAGCTGATGGGAGTGCCCTGAAGACTGGCGAGCCGCTGTACCTTCACGTCGGCAGCTCGGACGCGGATCAGGAGATGGGTTATCTCAAGAACATGAAGGACGACGGGAAGAAGGGCTATCAGCACTTCGAGAGCTTCCACAACAAGGACGGCGATGATTATGGATATGAGAAGCACGAGGCGTTCGGATACGAGGACAACACTAAGGATGGCGATGACAAGGCGGATTTGAAGGAGAATCCAATTGTTGTGCAGGAGGAGAAGGAAGCTGATGAGCATCATGAGAGTGAACCCAAGTCAGATCATCCAGAAAGTGACAATGTGGAGGAGAAGAAGGAGGAACCGGAGAGTGAAAATCATCAGGAGCGAGTGGATCATGAGGAGATCAAGGCAGAACCGAGAAATGATGTCGAGGAGGCGGAGCCAACAGAGGAACCGAAGCAGGAGGAGATTAAGGATGAAGAGAAGAGTGAAAAGTCAGAGAACACTGTTGAGGAAACCTCTGACAAACCGAAGGATGTGGAAGATCATGAGGAGTTGAAAGTGGAGGAAGAGGCAGAGGAGCAGCAAGAAGATCAACATGAGGAAGATGAAGATGATGAAGAGGAAGAGTACAGAGATGAGGAGAGTAAGAAATCCCCGCGGAATGCGATCGAGGAAAATGAGGATGAGGAAGTTCATGAGATCTTCGTGAGTGAACCAGAGGATTCTGAGGGTGTTGAAAAGAACTACGAAGTGACGGAAGACTCTGAGATTGTGGAGGGCGATCAAACGCAGCAACTCCGATATCCTTATGGCTTCTACACTCCATTCACCAACGCTGCCATCCTGCAGAATCCCTATCCAGTCACCGCAGCCACTCCCAGATCCGTCCTCAACACGAGAGTCAACTATGGATTCTACAGTCCGCTGACGGGACTGAAGAAACCGCAGCCGACGCGCCCTTTGGCTCCGACTTTCTCTCCCAGACTTTCGCCACTGGTGAAGCCAAGACGAAATCTCGGCGGCTTTGGGTACGAAACCAAAATCTTTCACCATCAAGGCAACGCACCAGAGAAGCAGGCCATCCAGATAAAGATCTATGATGGAGAAATCACCGTCCCGGCGACTAATGTGAAGGCTAAAGAGGAGGAAAAGCCCAAGAACACCGTGGATTATGAGAGTGACGAAGAGGAATCTGAAGAGGTTGAGGATGAGAAGCGGCAAAACCTTAAGCAGGAGCCTGATGACTACTCAGAGGAGGATTCAGCGTCGTCAGAGGAGAGCGTTGAGAAGAAACCATCGCAAAAGTATCAAAAGTCCAGCGGAGAAAATAGTGACGACAGCAGTTCTGCCGAGCAGGAAGACTCCGATGATCTTCAGAGTCAATTAGTCACGACCAGTGATGTGGATAATGACGCATACTACTGGCTTTAGTGCTGGAAAACCACTGAAAATGCTAATTTTTCTCTCAATAAATAGTTTTCTTCTTTTCTACAGAAAATCCGTTACTCAATGTCTTTGATTTAAATATCGAAAAACACTGACAAAAGTTCCACACATTCCACACTGGTTCCACAGTCTTCCGGTCGCCATTCTCGCTCTTTTGCTCTCGCTCTGTGAGAAAACGTGGATTTGTGGTGCAGTTTATCACTAAAAGTAAGAGATTTTCCGGGGAAATGAGCTTCAAATTTGCTAAATTGGGCTACTGGGGAGCTTCTGTAGAGGATGCAGATGGAGTTTAGTGAAAATTCTGGCCAGAAGGTGTAGAAAATCGATGTGAATTGCACCCGGAGTGGAAGTGTCAAAACACTGTGGCCAGAATATTGAGGTTAACCGAGTAAATATTGATGATTTTCTCCGATTTTCCACCCTCCAGGCCACAAGATGTTTATGCCCAAGCAGCACCGTGTGACCATTTATGAGTACTTGTTCAAGGAGGGTGTGATGGTGGCGAAGAAGGACTTCAATGCGCCCAAGCATCCGGAACTCGAGAACATCCCCAATTTGCACGTCATCAAGACCATGCAATCCCTGGAATCGCGTGGTTTTGTCAAGGAACAGTTTGCCTGGAGGCACTTCTACTGGTGAGTGAACGCCCAGGGGGATTTCCGGCGTGAAAACGTGACTAAATGCTCGTGTATTCTTTAGGTATCTGACAAACAAGGGCATCGAATACCTTCGGACATACCTGCACTTGCCTCCGGAGATCGTTCCCTCCACGCTGAAGCGCAACGTGAGGACAGAGACTGCTCGCCCTCGCCCCACAACCGCTCCCAGGTCCGAGGGATCGAAACCGCAGGAGGATCGCTCGGCGTATCGGCGCGCTCCGGCTGGCTCTGGCCCAGATAAGAAGGGCGACGTCGGTCCCGGCGCCGGAGATGTTGAATTCGTGAGTTTATTCACTGCTTGTCTTGCTTCTATTGTGCGCTAACGAACGCCTTTTTGTGACTTCTTTCAGCGTGGCGGATTCGGCCGTGGCAGTCGTCAGCAGTAAATGCTTCCCGGGCTCTATAAAAATAATGAAATAAAGCGGAGAACCACGAGGAAACATATTTGTAAATTATTATTGTCACTGTCCTGGCTTTGGTGGGTTTTTCTTCCGCTTTCCTTTTGCTAAATTTGTTGACTGGCGACTACACTATGAATCAACAAATTGAATACTAGATGGCGCAAATGAGTGAATATTCGGGTATGTGTCTGTGCTTAACTACAAGGTGACCCAAAATTATAGTCAAATTGAATTGTTTTCTGCCTGAATTTCCTTATCTTTTCCAGAAATACTTTCAAAAATCTTTAGTAATTTTCAAATTTCTCTCTAATTTTTATTAAAAATCCATATGGTTATTAAAAATAATAAGTTTATGCAACTATATGAATAGTTAATAGTTAATCGTCAAACGCTGAGAATAAATTAAACTTACGTTTGTTCTGGTGTTATAGTTCATTTATTTCATGAGGAGCTATATTTAAAGTACAGTTTTGATTGCAGAACTGCCCATAAAGCTCCATCGCAATTGACATAACTTCTCTCTGTGAATTTGATTAAAAAACAGGTAAATTAATTAAAAATCCCCCTCGGATTCCCGGCAAGCGCCCAACTCCTGAAGGAGCGCCTCTTTGTGAGCAACTTTCGCCGCGACGGGGAGCGAATTGCCAACTGGCTGAAGATTAAAATGCGGCGTCGAACTGGCGTCCCACGTGTGAAAAGATGAAGGCAATTGTGAGTAGATTCGAGCTAGAGAATTGATGCGGAGGAGCGGCAGTAAAATTTGAGAAACTCTTAATTAAGCTGCGGCATTGAAGACGCCATCGAGGGTGGTTTCATTGCTGCTGATATCAGAGATTAATTGAGCCCTGCCATGGAAGCAGTCTCAGCCGGTGAATTTCCCGAAAAATCATTTCTCTGTCTCTCCCTGCCATTCACCTTGGCGTGGCGAGAGTGGCGGCGAAGAATGGTACGGCAAAAGGAGATGGCAAAAAAGGAGGCAATCTGATAAATGGGTGAGATTAAAAAGACATCATCTAGCGAAGAAAGATATCCTCATAATTTTTGTGTTTTAACCCAATTAAGGCGAATGCGTGTCCTGGCGCCTTTTCCCTTAATTGCCACCTCCTCGATCTCTTCATCGTCTCACTCGCCAGTCCCTTGGCGACAATATGGAACTTGGTTGTCGCGAAAATCGACGGGAGTTTAATGAAAATTCATTCTATAATTCCCCACTTGTTCAATTTGCATTCGCCCTTCCTCTTTCACACGCCGCCCATCGCCCGCCTCTTAATTACAAATTTGTGTTTTTCACCCACTTTTCCCGCGCTGCGGAGCGCGCGCGGAAAAAAGGCACCCGGAACGGAACAATAATCGAGCAGAGTGGATGGAAATCGAGGACATGAAAACAATTGAGCCGAAGAGAAAAGAAATGGAGCGAAATCACATGCTGTCCGGCGTTCAATTGCCATCGCAGAAGCACCCCGAGAGGAGGTGGGATGCTCTGGGTGCTTTCCGGGGAACTTTTCCCGGAAGGAATTCGCCTCAAAAGTTTCCACTTAAAATGTATAGGCAGAAGTGTTCAATTTAGAGGTGATTTCGGCAAGGCTGAAATCTCTTAATGTGCAATCATTTGGGTGAGTTTGTGTCTCTATTTCTTTGTTAAACTCACCCTATCGGAGACTTTTGGACCGTATAAATGAGAGAAACAATGGGTTTATAAAAATTCACATAAGCTCCGCCCACTCAGAAACCCCGCCCAATTATATGTGTCAATCTTTCATTAATTCTTCCAAGTCAGAAACAAATATGTATTTGTGCTTTCTACTTTTATCACATTGGCGTCTGAAGAGGTAAAAAATAGCGTCCAGTCGTAGCGGAAATGTGATTTCCTCCTTGGCATAGATTTCAATCTCTGCCGCCTAATCTCATCATCAGAACACGGTGTCCCTTCGAATCAAAAAATTGAATTTTAAGCATTTTCCACTCTCAATACGCCCGCGAACGTGACTAAATTTTCTATTGGCCTCATTTGCCACTGATCTCGAGCTTTTGCGGGCGGAGGGTGAGAGAATCACCCCCAGAAAGATTGCCATTTAATTTATTCACGTGCAAAATGGCACCGAAATGAGGTGGAGAAAGTGGATTTCATCCGAGCATATTCAGCACTCACGCAAGGTGACTTTTGCCACGAGAGTGTATCTTATCGGCGTGTGACTCACTTAACGAAATGTGCCTTATCGGTGGCCAAAATCCCGCGCCCGCGATAGTGAATGTGTGAGGGAGGAAGGTAGGCAGTTTGCGTTCGCGAGGCGCAGTGTTCGGAGTGCCAAAAAGTCTTCTTCAGGATGTCTTTCAGTATTAAGCTGATCAAGGATCAGTTCAATCCCGGAGAGTTGATGCAGGGCGAACTCGTGGTGTCTCTGGACAAGCCGAGGAGGTTCAAAAGTGAGTGGATAGCGAACTTAGTACATTTCCACTGATTACAAAATAACCATGGAGTTCCTCACTTGTCCAGTTTGGACGGAGATTATGAGATTAGATAACTCCATTTATACACGGACTCTCGAGTGTGTCACAAAAACAATTGTCTCTCTCCCGGTGCGTGGAGAATATTCATAAATATGGGGGCGGTTTATTAGAAGAAATGCACCGTGCTGATAAGAAGAAATCTCTGTCCATTGATAAGATTAGGCGTCACTGATTTCTTTTCTTTTTCAGTTATCTACGTGGAGATCAGCGGATGCGCCGAGTCGAACTGGAAGGAACGCGGACTGACGAGCAATGAGTACTTCCGCGGACGCCGGGATTACTTCCACCAGATCATCTGCATGGCTGGTGATTGGCACACGCGATCGCCCTTCGAGCTGCCCTTCACGGCCAAGCATCGCTTCCAGTTCCAGCTCCAGCTGCCGCACACACTTCCGCCCAGGATCAGCACTGAGTACGGCAAGGTGCGATTCCGCGTGCGCGCCTTCATGCACGTGGAGCGCTCTGGGCAGTTCGTGGAGGACATCGAGAAGAAGAACATCCACATCGCGTCCCACTGGCGAGCCATCGATCCAGCATTCGTGAGAGAGTTGCCGGACGCGAGTGTGATCAATCGCGAGATGGAGGAGAACGTGAAGGTGTACGGAGAGATGCCGAAGAGGGAGCTGGCGCTGGGCGAGGAGGCGGTCATTCACGTGAAGATCGAGAACAAGAGATTGCTGCCCATCAACAAGATCAAGTTCCAGCTGAGGCAGATCGTGACGTTCTACAGCATGACGCCCAGGCGCACCGCCAAGACCGTAATCAACGAGGTGAAGGAGAGCAATTGCAAGACAATCAAGTGGGAGCCGGGAACGGCGGTGCTCACGGCCACCGGCACACTGAAGATCCCCGACTACGTTCTGGCCAGCTACGAGTGCTGCAACGATGTGATATCCGTGTCTTATGACATCAAAGTGAGGCCCAAAGTGAAGGACGACGGAGAGAAGTTGCTGCCCATCTTCCTGCCCGTGATCCTGGGGCATCCGCCCAAGCAAGAGATTTCCTTCATGCCCGTCTTCTCCACTCAGGGCTACCCTCATTCCAGTCCATCGACCTCCCAAACAGCGTCTGCGTTTGCTTCGAATCCCAACACACTGCCTTCGTACGAAGATCTGATGAGATCCGACGCAGGAGCAGCGAAGATGTGATCAGAACAGGATAATTCCACGTAACTATTACTTGAAATTGTTCAGTAAAGGACTTGAAAAATATTTGTGTAGTTAATTTATCATCTAGACGAAAATGTAAGCTTTTGCGGAATGCAATGTTTACCGAAATCTCTGTTTTCCTTTGGAAAACACCACTTAGCCAAGAATTCCCGTGACGCTTAAGTCAACTTACCTTCTGGAGTGCAAAATACTCCTTGAAATACTCCAAAGCATTCTCTCAAGTTCAACACTTTCCTGGCGTTTTCAGTCTCTCTCTCTGGCAGCGACAGGAAAGAAGTGAAGGGTGATGATGGGCAAGAGAAGGTTGCATCTATAGAAATTGACACTCTTTCTTTATTGCACCACCGGAGATTTCAATTTCAGATAGCGAACACCTCATTTTCGAGACTCTCGTGAACATCGTAAATTTATCCTTCACTCACCCTCGTGAGTCCTTTTCTTGGCGGGTCGTGGGGGTGGATTATTTGATAATTTGCTCCTCGCTCTGTTTACCCTTGACTACTTGCTGGCAGGGCGGCAGGAAGAGCAGCGAGGCCAGGCACGAGGAGTTCCTCCGCTCCAGCGCCACTTTCTTCACCATTAACTCCACGAGCCTGTGGGCGGATTCCCGGGCTCTGGGCGAGGGATGCGACGAAAGGCGCTCGGGCTCCGTGGAGAAGTTCATTGAGGTGACACAGAGCAGTCCCATGGCATTCTTGAGGGTGATTTTTGACGCTCCTGCACGGAACGCTGGGCACTTGGTTAGGAATTTCAACATTCTCAACGTGGAATTTGTCTGTGAAGTGGAGAAAGTGTTCGAACAAGGCTTCTGTGATTCTCAATCTGTTCCCCTTCGGGCGTTTCTGCGCAGGAGCTGAGCTTTTGAAGTTGCCATTCAGTTGAGCGATAGTCACGTTCTTCAGTCACGAACGGACATCGCGGGCGGACGGTTGTGAGGAGTGACGAAGAAAGTCAAGGCAGAATCGCGGAAGTGATTTTCCACAGCATTTCCCATCGTGATTGGTGAGGACGTTGAAGTGTGTGAAGGTGAGAAAGTGATCCAGCAGCAATTGAAAGACAGTTTGTAGGATCAGGATTACCATCGGAAATTGACGATTTTAATGGGTTTCGTGATCGGATTTGAGTAAAGGTAAAGATTTGGCGCCAAGATATCAAGTTTCCCACAGGATCGCCATGGACGAGAGTGATCAATTTTCCCTGCATCGCTGGGAAAATAGAGCAAACAATTCAATCTGCTTTTCCACCCCAACTCGCACATGAACAATGAATTAATGATAAGAGGCTTTTCGGAAGTTCACTCTCACGAAGTGTCCTTTTCGGGAAAATCCTCACCAACTCGGGCGAGTTAAAGGTCGAAACACACACAGTCCGCGAAAAGAGAACTTTTTTGCCATGATTTCCAACATTCCTGCCAACCTGCAGCAGGTGCTGGGCAATCAATCATGCGAAGGCACGCAAGAAATTAGATGATTTCCACCCTAAGTGACCGATTAGTCTTCAAGCTCAACTTGTTGGTTCTATTTTGCACACGAATTGACTCTCTTTTGTGGTTTTTGGTATGGAAAAGCCATGGGTTTCGCCTCGGTTAACATATGCCAGGCAACAGCTGGGAATCCCTCAGATAAGGACGATATCAAGGGGGTTGAAAGTTATTAATAATATCAATTGAATGAGAAAGACGAGTTGTTTACTGGTTATTGGCATTTAAAGTCTTATCGAAATCATCACACATTAAAAATCTATTCTTCCGCTATGAATATTTGCTATTTGATTAATTGTTTTCCAATGATCCAGCATTCTTTATGGCTGCTAAAGAACCATTCCGCGCTTTTATTTAATGAAAATCCCCCCACCAAAGCGTGGGCGAGAAAAAAAACCGCGAGCAGAGAGGCAGAAGAGACAGAAACAAGGAGGAAAATCCCTGAAAAATTGTCGAAGCACTTTTAATGTGATGTTAACAGGGAGATTTGCTCGGAAGACGGCGTCTGCAATTCTTATCTTGTATCGTTTTAATGGCTTTTTGAGGGACTTTAAGCTTGAGATGTCCCTCAATGTTTCACACTCATAAATAATTCACGGCGAATTAAAATTGAGAACATGATTTTCTCCCTCGTTCTAATTATGAGGAAATTAATTTTAACACGCAAAAATTCGCCTCTGCGTGCTTAAGACAGTGCCGAATTGTTCTTTTCTGTGCTTATTCAAATTCACCTTGAAATGAATTGAATTTTTCTTGCAAATTTTGCACAAAGACAGCGAATTTGGTAAACTTAGGCACAAGTTCGCAAAGCTTTTCATGTTATTCTTGCAGCGTGAATGGAAATTGAATGAAATTCACAGAATTTCGAGGGGGTTTTCTTCGACAAACATGCCGCATTTCTCATCATTAATCTCAGTCACAATCAACTCTGACGATATGTGCATAGCTCAAAGCAACCCAATGGTTGATGGGTTTTTTCGAAAATTGTTAATAACTCCTCAACTATGTCCATTGATTTTCTCCTTCTGCTCATTGTCATACCCATAAATTGTCTCATGCCGCCGAAACAGAGTGAGACAGAGAGACATTGGATGAAAAATGAGCCGGAGAAATTGATGAGTGGCAATCACGGAAAGGGAGTGATGATTTTCCAGCAAGAAGGTGGAATTGTTGTGTTTAATCAGCTGAACAAATTCCTACAAATCCCTCTCTTTCACTTCTTTTTTTGTCCCTCCTCGCATCCCTCGATATATCGTGCCACTTTGCCATTTGCGAAATTCCCAATCTCTCAACTCATCCATCCTCCACGAGACACTCGCAATGAGCTTTCCTCTCCCACTGCTCCTTTCCTCCGCTGGCGATGTCCTCGACTGTGCGACATGGTGTGTTTTTAATGTAAAATACACAAATGACACCCTTTTGCAATTTTCCAGCTCACAGAACTCTCTCCTGTTGCTCTTCCGGCCGCGCCTTCCGCCGGATGTTTATGCACGTGGTTACGCTTGTCCAGAAAGATGTAATCCTCACAAATTTCCCAACACTCGCTCTATGTTTGAACTCCAGGATTCTAGGATAATTCAACGACTGATTAGAGTAACAAAATCAGGGTAGCGAAGCCAGAGCTTAATTCCAACAAATTAACTCTAAACATGTGCAATTATCAGATCTATTTTTTCTGCTTTAAATATGCAATGACAATTTCGTCACGTGTTCTTATTGATCACAAGAATTGGGAGGAAAGATTGCGAAGTACATTAGCGACAACGAATGATTTAAAAGCATGAAAAACACACACAAAAAAGTATGTTTTCATTCCATTGAATTCATGTTGTGTCTTCGCGATGCTCACGACTGATTGAAGAGAGCAAGAAAAAAAAATGTGAAAACACATTAAAAAATCCTCTTAAAACATGTCATCTTTTCTGTGTCTTTAATTTCCACTGAAAGCTTTTCCACCTCCTCGCAGCATTCGCCGGAAAACACTTCATTAGGAGATGAAAACTTCACGGCAGAGGGGAAGCATACAAGACAAAAACCACCAATTTAAGGAGCTGATGAAGGTGTGATGTCCCTTTTTCCCGCCCGAGACTCCGCACTGAATTCGCTGGGAAACGAGCGTGTGGGTGGCAAAAAACAGGGGGTCTAAGAGCGCCCAAATTGATTGAAATGGCGTGTTGCCGTGATCCCCACAAATATAATCAACCCTTTTTTATATTGCGAGGGTGGATCAGTTTTTTTTCTCCCACCTCTCTCCCCTCGACGCTCTCCAGGCGACGTTTGTTCTCATCCCCAAAAGCGCGAGAAAAAATAATATCGTGCGATAAAATTGAACATTATACAGCCATATTTTGAATCACAATTTAATTACAACGCTCTGTGCTCAACAGTGAACCAACATAAAAGGGGTTGACAGTGAAATTCGTTACACTTTGATCCACTGTGTGCGACAGAAAAAGTTTTCCGCGTCACTGGCGTTTGCTCTCAGGGTAAATATGTATAATTAATTCCACATTTAAGCTGTGAATGCGTTTGTTGTTGAACTTTTCTCGGCAAAAAAAATAATTATCGCAAATTCCATTAAAAGTGACGCTGTGTCTTTGCTGGATCCAAAAGAAAATACGTTTTTACTCAGAGAAAAAAAACATGAAGTATTTGAGAAATCGAACTAAACGTTGAAAATGCCCCGAGAGAGAGATTTAGGAATTTTCCGATAGAATGAAAGCTTGAATGAATGCTTCAAATTTTTCATGTGACAGCGATTCATTCGACCTTTTAAAGCGAAAAAAAATCAATAGAAAAATGCAGAGAATTCACGTTTGATTACTGGACAAAAACTGAAAATTACCATGTGAAACTTCAAAGGCTGATGTAGATAAAAGCTATGTGTCGCAAAAAGTTGGTTGTTTGTCGAAGGAAAATGGTGATTTTTCAAGCTCTTTCAATTTTTTTTTTCTAGAATTCCATTCGAAATAATTCTGCCATTTTCTGCAGACAACGTAAAGAAAAATCCCAAGAAAAAGAATAATTGTCCTGGAAAGAAGTCGAAAGAACCTCGTGTTTATACGATAAATTCATATATTCTCGCACTCTTGAGCACCCTTTCAAAGTTGCAGGAGCAAAGAAAAATAATGAGACTTGACGACTTTTTCCTCCATGGCACAATGGAAGCAAAGCAGCGAGAGAAAAGTGTGCAGGCGAGAAAACTATGGAAATCTCTTGTTGTGGGTTTCGCGCCACCATCAACAAATTGTGTCTTCCAAACTTTCAAGCAAAGTTTAATTGATGAAAAATGTTCTTTGCAAACTTTTTGCCACTGGCGCTAAGTTGAAGTTAATGGAGTAAAAAATTCCTCGAGGGACATTAATTATTGAAATTACATCGACGACTCGCTGTTTCGCGTCATGTGATGAATTAACAATGTTAATACTAAAGATAATCCCGCATAGAGTGAATAAACGGAAATTGGTTGGAAATATTGCTGAAAAATTAATAAAACGTTAATAATAATAGGTTTCATTTCAATTATGCATTTGCACTCTAAATGATTGCTATGTTTCAGCTCAATTTATTATACAAATTTTAATTGGAAATAAAACTTTTTTCAAGTTTTAATTTAAATATCACTGCTGATTATGTAAAGAATGTTTTATATACTTTTTTTAGCGGCAATTGAAGTACAAAAAAGCAACACTGAAAATGCATTTAATTTTTTTATTGCCAAACTTCATTTTATAGAGCTTCAAATGAATAAGAAACTTTTTCAATAAAATTTTGAATAGAAAATGTCTTAAATGACTTGTTATGTTCACGGAAAACGATGCTTTATCTTATCAGTCAAAGTCTTGCAGAGCATGAGCGGAAATTTTAACAAAATAAACCGAAATAAAAACAATTTTCAAATAATTCCATCAATTATATTCATAACCAAAATGGATTTGATTAATTTTCAATGTAAACAATCGGACTTAACCTATCTTAATTAAATTAATTAAACCAATAAAGACTTTAAACAGGTCTGTTAACAATATAGACACAATATTTTGCAATTTACACGCGTGTATTATGCAATATTTTGAGTGAATATTCCAATTTCATGCCCCGGTAATTTTTTCTACACTGAATGCGTAAGCTCAATATGTTGCTCATTCACACGGAATGCATGCTTTGCAGAGTGCAATGAGAGTAGTATTCTGGAGAACTATCGCAGTGTATCAGAACATTAGCATATTCGCCCAGGAAAAGTACCTTCGAGCCGAAGACAAAGTGCCATTGAGAAAGAAGGGAAGGATATTGAATTTATCGTCGAAGGCAATCTAGTGAATTTTGTGACAAATTACATGCCATTCTTGTTCAATTTGCATTCAGTCCATTGAGGCAAATTGAGTCCTCTCTTGGGGCACATTTGAATTCAACCCCGCAGATGATCCACCGAGAGTTCATCCCTTCATTCGTGGGAAGGACGAAAGGCGAATGGCAGTGTAATAGTAAATTAATTGAATTCCATCCAGAATATCGTGTGTACGGCGGTGCTCTAGCATCTCATCAAGCGTACGATGCCGGAGCATATTCATAAAATGGAATTAATCTCTGCAATTTATATCTTCTGCTCTCTGCCAGAGACACCCATTCATTCGGCATTATAGTGGTAATTGTTGCTCTGATCCCCTATTTTCTTGTTGCACCGACCGTCAGGCGTGTCAAGGGAAATTTGAACTCCAGCCATGGGCCAGTTGGTAGAATCTCCTGATGATGCGAGGAGTGAAAATCCTGGCAAGAATATAGAATTGCACGAAATGTGATTGAGAAACACAGTTCTGGGGCGTAAAAACTCACCCCAACACAGTCATTGGCATGTAGAATCCAGCGGGAATTGTTAAATTCCTCATATTAAATTGGATTCCCTTTACAATTGCCTCAGCAGCTTCTGTGGGCGATATTAGCACAAATTTCCCTTGCAGACTATAAGAAGAAAATGAGATAAATTCATCAACTGACCAATTAAAATGTTTCACATGAGAATTTGCATAATTCTCTCACATGACTGCACATCGCTTTTCATGGCTATTTTAATAGGGGATTTTAGCAATTCATTCATATTTTATACACCACAAAGGTAGAATAAATGTCAAAGCAGCATATTTATGCAGATGGTTGAAAATTTTAAAAATACCTCTGATTTCATTTACAGAATATTCGTGGAAGCTGCTTAAAGTATTTTGAATAAATGGTGTGGTTAACATTTCCCTGTGAGGGCATTTTAATTGAAAATTCTCACAAAAGCTCTGATAGAAATATTTTACATCACATATTATTATTCAATTAATATACTCAAACATTATGTGGTGTTAGTTCAATAACCCTCGAGAAAATGGAAAATCACACTCACTTCAGACACTCCGTGTAGTCCGTCAATTCCTTTCTTGTTGCTATATAGTAAGGAAAGGCACAAGTTGTCTTGATCTTATTCTGCCACCCTTTCATGATCAATTCTTGATTGAGACAAGTCATAAAGCCGCGAATAGCGTACAGAGTCATTCCGTACATTGTGTGTGAAGTTGGCGAGAGACCAAATGGAGAGGAAATGGCCACAATATGACCTCTGTCCTGCCTGATCATGTCTTCCAGGAAGAGCTTCGTGATCATGACCACCGAAGTCACATTGACAGCCACCATTCTTTCGATTTGCTCTGGTGTGGCGCGATTGAGTGTTAGCAGAGCGAGAAATCCGGCGTTATTCACCAGAATGTCCACAGATCCGAAGTCCACTAGCACTTCCTGACGAATCCTCTTCATGGCCTCGAAATCAGCCACATCCGCCTTGTAAGCCTTCGCTTCGGCGCCCATTTCGTGCAAATCCCTCACGGTTTTTTCGGCACACTCAAGATTAATATCCACCACGGCAATTTTACACTTTTCCCATGCCAGGCGAAGGCATATTTCCCGACCCAGGCCATTCGCTCCTCCAGTCACGAGGGCCACTTGACCAGACAAATCCTTCCTCTTCGGATAACATCTCACAAAGTCCCATAGAATCCAGAGGCACTCAATGAGGAGAGTCACGCTGAATTTCGCAAAGTGATCCAGTGTGAGCAAGAATCGACCACAGGGTGTCGTTTTTCTGGCTTCAGAAGCGACATATTCTGTGGTTTCGCTGTTGAATATTCTCTCAACATCCATTTGTGTGGATCTACTTTCGCGGAACGCTAAACACCCACTGAATGTTTACTGGCGGAAAGCAAGTGTGTAATGTTGTAAAATGCGAGTTTCTGGGGGATAAAGTACAAGCATACTGAGCAACAAGTTACGAAAGTCTAAGCATAGAAGAAGTGCAATTAAAGTATAGTTTAATGTGTAAAAGTGTGTATATTAAATGCACCATAAAATTGTGTAGAACAGCAATTTGAAACTTTAGTTTTGGATCTAAAAATCTGTCGTGCAATAATGGAAATGATTATGAATAAATATTACTTGTAGATTTAGCTGAAAATCCTACATCAAAAACCGAATGTTTATTGACATTTCATATTCATGATATGGAGCATAATATTTACGATGTAGGAAAAAAGCAATAATTATCCTTTGACAGCAACATAGTGAAATCAGCAACAAAAATGTGATAAACTGCAAATAATCACAAAATTTCAATCTTGATATTTTTCAGCTGTTCTGAGCGTCAGTACAGATGTTGAATATTTCATTCACGCCAATTAGTTGGACTCCCGCGGGCGAGTAATTAAATCAACAATGCGAATGGGCGAAAAAGGGTGGCAAAATTCGGGGCAAACATATTAATTTCACAGGCAAAAAGGCCACTTTTTTACGTGTGTAATGAACCATTTTTGCTGCCTAGTTTGTTTTAAAATTATATGCAAAACGCCAAAATCTACATAACTCGAGAAAGCATAGAATGGAAATTATTTGTATAGCATATATTTTGAGTTGTTGGTATAAAGATAAAATGGATGGAAACATTTGTGTGCATAAGTTATGCGAGTAATTTTGGTGAAGTTTCTTCTTGGAGGAATTCAATTAATTTCCTCCACTGTACAATTGCAATATTCTGTCTATATGGAAATCGCACAACTGCTTTTCAATACAATATAGATAAAACACACAATCACAAGAGATATCGAAAGGAAAAAAGTATCAATTTTTCTTCTGAAGAAGCTCAACAAATATCCCACAATAAAGCATGACAAAAGGACACAAAATGAGGAGGGGAAGAATTGCTTCTGTGGAAAGTTAGAGAGTGTGGAATCAATAAAAGAAACATTTTCACTCCAACACCAAATGGATACAATTAATTCCCTCTGTTTCCTTTCGCTCTCCTTCCCGGCAATCCACCTAAAATCACAAATGAGCCTCTCTGGCACTAATAAAATTACCCATGACCTCTGCGCCGAAGTTCAAATGAGAGCGAATTAACTGTGAGAGCAGAGAATAAAAAATTTAGTAGATATTGCAAATACCATTAATCTTTTATAGTCACACTGCCGCAAGCTAGGATAATAATTAGATTAATGTTAGTAGATTATTTTCCTAACGCTCTTGGATTGAATTTGTGCACATTCTTGTGTGTGTGTGAAGAACAAAGGTATAAATTAATGAATTTCATCTGCATGAATTCTGGATTTTCACGTGAAAACAAATCAAAATTTCGCCAAACAATGGACAATCGTCACAGTAAATCGTAAATGGATTTCACATGCTGGATAAACCACTCGAGACAGGTGTTTAAATATTGACAGGACTCTGATCAAATTGTTCCCTGCAAATACCCCCAAAAACACCTTCATCCGATTGATGTGGAAATGCGCTGGAAATTAATCACTTGCACACACATCCCAGTGGCTCGAAGGCTCGTGAATAAATCTCGCGCCGTGTCTCAGTGAAATTTATCAAAATAAATAGCGTCATTATTGATTTAAGTGCGTATATGTCGCAGAATCTCAGGCAATATCAATAAAATATTCCACCCTCTTTTCTAAACTTATCCCAGGCGCTGGTGAGAGAGATTTTTATTGAAGGTTTACTTGGCCAATTCCTTATTCATAACTTCCGGACACGTTAGCTTATTTATGAGGGTAGGTGTGCCACGGAGGAAAATACACCACACAAAACTATAAATAAAGCCTCATGATTGAATGGAATTAATTGTGACGGAGGGAGAAATGGAAAGTCTGCAGAGGGTCGCCGTCGAGAAAATCAATAGCAATGAATTCGACTGGTAAAATGTCTTGTTCAATTTGATACTCTATTGACTTTCGCTGCTCCGATTTCCAAGCAAATGGACTGTTCTTCACATTTCGCAGAGTTTTCCAAATTCTTTCGCATTCTCACTATTCCATATTCTCTCCACTCGTGATTTATCCGTGTAGTTGTAATGTTTTTCCCCACTCAAACAGTACAAAGCACGCACAGATAATTGCTTGTGTTTATGTAAGTTTTTCATATGCGTATCAATACATAGACAGAAGGTTTTTTTTATTATCAGCACACGTTCGCGATAGACTTCTCGAGAAGCCAAAATATCGTAGAGTCTTAGCTCGAAAATGATTACCATTTTGCATCTTTTACGACCTTCAACTTTCTGCGTTCATTCTTTGTGTTTTACTTCTCGAAATACATGCGCATTCTTAGCTGTCTGCTAGCCGTCTCGCGAACATCGTTCAGTTTGTGTTTATCATTTAGTGACAGTGGATCTACAATATGGAAGTGGAGCGTATTTTTCACAGTGACACCACAGAATATGTCGCATCGGAAGAGAGAGGAAGCTCGAGAGCACTTCGACTGTGGATTGGAGTCAGTCATTTGGTGAAGTTTGGTGTTTCCTGCGTCATCGGTGGCTTATCAACTGTCTGGGATCTTCTACGCTGTCGATGGGGCCCCAAGAGTCTCGCCGGCCAAGTGGCGCTCGTGACTGGAGGTGCAAATGGATTGGGCCGAGAAATTTGCCTTCGTTTAGCGTGCGAGCAGTGCAGAATCGCCGTGGTGGACATAAATCTTCACGATGCTGAGAAAACGGCTAAAGATCTTCTACAAATGGGCGCCGAAGCGAAGGCTTACAAGGCGGATGTGGCTGATTTCGAGGCCATGAAGAAGATTCGCCAGCAAGTGCTGGTGGACTTCGGATCGGTGGACATTCTGGTGAACAACGCCGGATTGATTGCTGTTCTCACGTTGAATAGCGCCACGCCGGAGCAAATCGAAAGAATGGTGGCTGTCAATGTGACTTCGGTGGTCATGATCACGAAGCTCTTCCTGGAAGACATGATCAGGCAGGGAAGAGGCCATATTGTGGCCATTTCCTCACCACTCGGTCTCACAGCGAGTCCAGGGACAGTTTACGGCTTGACAATGCACGCAATTCGTGGCTTTATGACTTGCCTCAATCAAGAGATCCTCTTTTCTGACTGGAAAGACAAAATCAAGACCACTTGTGCCTTTCCTTTCTACATGACAACAAGAAAGGAATTGACGGACTACTTGAATAGTCTCAAGTAAGAAGACTTCAGCACATGTCTTGAAGAATATAACTTCATGCCCTTCTTTTCAGGATGAAGGGAAAGGTCTTCCTCATTTCACCACAAGTCGCTGCCAATGAAATCGTGAAGGGAATCAAGTGGGAGAGAAGAAATGTGTCCATTCCCGCAGGATATTACTTCCAAATGAATTTAATGGGGTTCGAATTCGAATATTTGCCTGCAATTTCAAGAGAAATAATCCTGTTTTTCTTCCAGCATGTTCACATCGAACATCATCAACAGATTCTACAGAATGGCCCTGGGAACTACCGACAATTTCAAGTGATAATTATAAGTTGGAAATAAATTTGCTGTTGATAAACAAGACAATTAAAGCAAACTTACCATGTGAAAAAAAGATGTTCGGAACTGGAGAATCTAAAATTAATACACTTTTTACATTATAGCAGTAAGTTTGAAGAACGTTTTTTTTGGTGTTATTCCTTCAAATTACGTGAAAAGTGAAGAGAGTGAAGATCATTTTCTCAGTCAAAGAGATGATTGTGCTAAATTATTACTTTGAACAATTTAATAACGTAAATAAACAAACTTGTTGGAATTTATTATGTGCATGATTGCATTAACAAGAGTCTTAAATAACACCCCAATGCGTGTGACAAACATGAAGAGAACTTTTCAAAGCATAACTTTCTAATGTCACGCTGCACCATTCCTGAAAGTCTCTGTGCATGTTTATCGTTCTGCAAGAAAATACGACAGTCGCCGAAAAGGGGCGTTGCGCCCCACCCACAGCATTGTTGCAAGGGTTGCAAGCTTGCACATAGCATAACTTGTGTCAGAGAATATCTCATTCAATAGCGTCAAACACTCATCACACTAAAACCACTCCATGTCAGTCGCCCACAAAGCCAGCCTGTGGCACATTAGGCGCCACATTAGGCGTTCTTCGAGTGGCAACAGCGTCATTATTGACCGCACGGGGAAAAATCCCTCGTACGGAGTTTCACCATCTGGCATTTTCACCTCTGAGAGCTTTTCCTTGCACACACAATTAACTTTTGCAGCAAATTTCAGAATTGTTCAACGGGTAGCGTTCCAGCGCAAATTCTCATTGTGAAATGAATTGAAAAAAAGCTCTCTGTGAAGCGATGATAAATTGAGGGTGGAAAAATACAATTTTAAAAAGTCTGCAGTCATGCGAATTTATGAAAAAAGAAAAGAGTTGCGAAACCAAGATGAAAATCTTGTATTTTCTATTCATTATTTCATGTTTAATATATCATTTGAAGGATATTTCCGGAGAAAGATGAATTAAACATTTTTCGCAAGATGGGGAGAATGGTTAAATATCTCCTTTTGCTATGCAGAATTTTCTTTATCTTTGGCGGAGCAGCAAGAGAAGTTCTTCACTAAATAACATAGCGGCTATATAAATACTGTGTGAGCAATTGCCCGACAAGTGACCTGTGAGTGTGAAGATGATGAAAAAGTTTACCAAGAGATTTCCATGAACAAAAAGCAAAGTAATTAAGAGGGAATAATTGAATAACTACCTCTGCTCAGGCTCATGAGCCAGTGTCACTCAGCTGTGATGCCAACTCGAGGGTGAGCGACAATAAATAGAGATGCAAATGTCTCTTCAAATTTCCTGCCATTTCCGCCGTCATCTCGAGCCGGATGCTCGGCAGAGTTGCCACAAAAAAGCACGAATCATCAGCCTGATGAGCTTCATTCTTCGCACAATGGAGGAAAAGCTCCTCTTGCCATTGTGGGTGGGCTGAAACTTTCAGCACACTCTCTAAACTTCACAACAACACTCCATTCGCATCTCAATGGAACTTTTCCATACTTCAGAGTGAAAATTGAAGAATTGTGTAATATTTTGTCGAACACACACACACACACTTTCTTTTGAGCGGTGTCTTTAAATATTTGGTGTGTATTTTCTCAGAAAATTTCCCTCGTGAAATTCAACCGTCGCACAATAATTAAATATCGCCCAGAGTTGGCAAATTGAAAAATCTTCCCGTGAATACCGAAAGCCAGGCCCCTCGAGACTTCCTTGGAAAATTACGAGGCCAAAGTGAATTTTCCTCCGGGAATTGTCATATAATAAATCTCCCTGAGATGTGATTTATTGTAGGCCGACCACATTAAAGGTGAAATTTGATGATGGAAAGAAGTCAGAGATTCATCTAAAGTGGTGCGAGAGCACAACTTCCGCGCCATGTCGTCATTTGAATGAGAGATGCTGCCATAATTGAATTCGACATGGAGGAAAATCCACCCACGCATTTTCCGTTGGGCCATTTTTGTCCCTCATGCTGGGCTTTAATGCTCAAATTGTCATGGAATGTGCTGAAAAGTTGTATCAATGTAATAAAATTGGCTTTCAAAAAATGCAAGAAAAGGGAATGAAAATGTCATATGAAAAAAATAAAAAGCTTCTAAAATCTTTATCTCAAACATACTGTAAAATAAGGCAAGAAATCTCAATAGTCGCCTGAAAGTTTACCTGCAATTTTCCACAAGCAACGTTTGCACTTTGCAGTCCTTTTTCATGTCTTATTTTATCACGGAAGTGCAAATGATAAAGTTAGTGTCGGAATATGTTTGGAGAAATCTCATTGGCGTTGAACTTCTCAATTTCAGTTTCATACTTTTCCCACCATATGAAAGCGACTCGTGAATAAGTTGCATGTTTTTGCATGAGTCACGCGGCAAATGGTGTGAGGAAACATGGAAATTACCAAATATTTCATGACAATTTCCACAATTTCCCATGGCCCGAAACATGCATTGCGCGTCATGTGATTTTTCCTGGCTATTTGGTGAATGTTGAACATGGATGTTTGAGGGACAGATATTATAGTCGGAAGTGGTGTACAGCTTTTGTGCGCTATTTTCATTGCAAGAGCTTCTGTTTCAACAAATTCAGGCATTTTCTAAATTATTTTGCTTAGAAAAACCAATCAAAAATGTCTTTAAATACGTTTAGAAGTATCTGAAGTGTTAAAAATCCTGCACAAAGATTATAGAAGTGTCAAGAAGTGTCTGAAGTAGTGTACAAATTACAGACCTATTGTTTCCCTCTTGGAACCAATTTTCAATGCACAGTCACAACCAAAAGGCGCTCGTTTCTCGTACAATGTCAATTGATAGATAACGTATGAGTGTCAGCAGATAATTAATTTAGGAGCGCTTAGCTAAAATTTCATTAAATTATTCGACACTCTTCGGTCAGAAATTGCCACAAGAGTTCAATTTACATTGGAATTACTTCATGCTATGCCAATATGCTATTCTCCAATTCATCAAGTGCTTTTGAGATGTGATGAGGTTAGCAATATTGAAAACGATGGGAAACAATGCGAGAAATTCTATGACCAAGAATTGTTCGATATAAACCGAAATCAGATTGAAAGTTTAATCGAGAAATCCATATAGCTGAAATAATTAATCAAACACAATTTGGAGTGGATATGAAATTTTCAATTCTCCCTGCAGAACTCTGGCGCTTGGAAATTCTGGGAATTTTGCCGAAGACATCGTGAATAAATGATATTGACCGGGAATTTCCGTGCCTCATTTGCTGACCTTCTTTCACTCTTTCCCCAGATTTGTGGGCAACGCCGATTGGCATGTGGTCATGTCCGATGTGGAGCATCCGCCAGTGTCCGACGAACCAGACGATCTGGACGAGCCTCAGTCGTCTGGCCGGTGCGCCGGGCTCGCGTTCCGCCTCCTCTTCTCAGCCCCCGGATTGGTGCTCCTCGTGGCTGGCTACTCGGTGATGGGGGCGCTCATATTCCCGCTGCTCGAGGCGCCCACCGCCCAGAATGCCGTCGTGGCGTCCATCAGCAAGAGCCGCGAGGACTGCCTGCGCGAGCTGTGGACCATTACAGGTGAGCTTGACACCCTTTCGCCCTTCCTCGAGCCGCTAACTGAATAATTAATGCCAACCAAGGCTTAGGCAGACGAGTTGAGGAGAATGCGTGGCAAAATGCCCTAGATTGAAGATCTTCATATCCACTTCTTTAGCACGCATTCATAAATTATACTCCTTCTTTCGCTCTTTCGCTCCGTATTGCAGCTGGAAATGTTTAAAATGCCACTGTTTGGAATGATTGTGTATAAATTGATAGATTTCCTGCATAATCCTTTGTTTATTTTTCAAATCTCGTTCATTTCAACTCTGTTTCCCAGATCGACTTTAATGCGTTTCCACGTACGTTCATGGAATTCCAATGGGGAATTCACATGGGACACCAGTGGGAATAAATTCAAATATGAATCTACCGTGGCGCCCTTTCCACCTCTTCATCCCCTGAGCAAATTGTAATTTATTTACAAGGTGGATAGGTCTATTAATTCGAGGAGTGCGGAGCAATGGAAAAATGTCGAAATAAATAAATAAATAGGATTTCTCTCAATTCGCGTCGTGCTAGGATATCATCATCATCAAGGCGAACATCCCACATTCCACATCCAGGATCGGAGGATTACCTCGACGCTATGCCTTGTCGGATTTATGGCATTTGTGTGTTTATTTGATTTAATTTCTATCTCTGTATCTGCTTTGTCGAGCCTCAATCAAAGGACATTCTTGGGATTCTATGTTGAGATGTCTCATCAGGGCCTGTATAGCCCACGGAGGTCGCAAAGAGAGGTGAATTGGGTGAAGTTTCGCAACAATCTTGACATCTTTCTGGCATTATTGCGTCTCTGGAATGTCGTGGTAATGAAACCCAGGGCGAAGGGATGTGAACCTGTTAATGACTTTCATGGCAAATCAGTTGATAAATGCGTACAGAGATGAAAATTGAACATCTGCTGCGAGTGGGAGTAAAAATGATGGTAAGAAGACGTCGTCGGTGACCTCAACAGTTCACCACCTTGAGCCATGTCAAGATGATTATCATCTGAGAGAGATTTATGGCTTACGGCATCTCGTGAGAGAGCTCCAGAATGCCTGAGCATGTCATTGAGACTTGTGTTTATGATGGGCGAACTAATTGCAAAGGACATAATCACATGGACAGAGTATAAATCGTAAAACCCACCCATCCCCGGAGAAACACCCTCGCGTTCACGATGCAACATAAAAGCTCATAGAACTGACGACTAGATGAGGTGGAAGACATAAAATTAAACTATTAAATCTCCTGCTGAATTTACTCAGCGCGTGTGCTGCAATTTTTGCTCGGCACACATCAAAATAAACAAGGTGAATTTATTGATGGGAAGTGTGAGCATGGCGGGGAAACTTTTCACATTAACACCACTCCATTGCCTTCTATCAGTGACTAAGTTGAATTTGATTATCACACCTCCGCGATGGAGGTGGAAATCAAACACAGACGAGAGAAATCAGCCTCAGGAGGTGGTTTTCTGCATGGGAAAATGACTCAGTTATGTCACACTTTAGCAACTGTATAGCTCGACAAACAGCATTGCAAACATATATATGCAAGCAAGTATACAAGAGAATTATAGATGAAAACTTTGCCAAAAGGATTACAATAACACGATTTGCGATGAAATTTCCTGCACTACAACTTATAAATACAAATGTGGTGCAAAAACATTATTCATGATTTGTTTCAATAATAAACTTCAAGCTTGGGAAAGCATATACATAAATATGAAATTTTGCACTGAATTGAGAGTAAATTCGACAAGCAGTGTTCATATTCTGCGGGGAATAATATGATTAATTATGAATGTGGGTGTTTAATTTTATTGCATGGGAAAATTTCCAATTATTCATGTGATTCAACAACACAAAGCCCTAAAAATGATAATTATATACAGGAATTTTTTAGGGAAGTGTAGAGAAATTTGTACGCACATGAAAACTCACTATTTTTTCTATTTTAAGCAGCTCAAAAATGTTTTTTTGTTAATCAGATGCAATTAAAACAGTAAGAATTCATTTGATGAATTCTGGAATTCATTTAATATCTAATTCTTCTACTGGAAAATTCTGTCTGACAATGCAATGCAAATGCCAGAACCATGTACAATTATAAACTTAAGCAGTTTCCCTTGGACGTGTTTAGCAAGATGTATAAAAAGAAAAATCATCCACTAGAGGAGTATGACAAGAGGTGGTTTTTCCTCCATCTCGTCGCATTTTCCCCATCATGTTTTCCACCTCGGTCGACGTATTGAAAAGTTATAGAGCGGGAAAGCACAAAAGCCTTCGAGACTCGACAGTGCTTCGCTCTCTTCGCCACCATTTCTTCCCCAACTCACACTTTCAATTCACAAAAAGATCTCTTCATCCATTCTTGTATGAATTTTAATATTTTTATTGCTCACATTTTCCCTGCGCTGCCTGCGGTGGAAAACATCGCACCGAAGATCCTCTTTGTCTCCCCGCACTTTGAGTTCTAGGGCGTTGAGGAAGTTGGGCACTGAGAGCACAGATATATTGTACATGAATTTATGTACTTAAAGTGACTGAGAGGGAGAAAATTCACGTCAGGCTCTTCCGTTGCAGGAAATACTCAGTGAAGGTGGGCATTTTCACTGTGTCTGCCATTTCAATTTGGCATTCGAAGGGGCGATTGAAATTGTCCACGATGGCGAGTGTCCTCTTGAGTTGTGAAAAGCACTTGTGGCATGTCAGATGGAAAAGTTGTCCCACTCTTCAGTTCCTCAATATTACCCAGAATAGAGTGGCGAATGAGAAAAATCTCTATTCAGTTGGTAAAAGCGACATTTTAAAAGTATTATGATGAAAGCATCGAAAATTATAGTTTTACTGACATTTGCAGGATTGAAATTCAGACACTGACTGTGAAGCTTCAAGTGAGAAGAGTAATTGCACCAATTAATTTGCAATTTATTTTGCTAGTGATTTTTTATATTCATTAATACATTAAAACCATAATTACACAATTTCCTGGGGATTTGCGCGGTTTCCCTCGTTGACCATAATCAATTGCCATGCACTCAGCGTTGAATAAATCAAAGAGTGTTGGAAAATGGAATGGATTTTCAATTAAACAGGGAATGAAAGTCTAAGTGAACCTCATTTTCATACTCTTTTATTCACCTCCACAAAAGCTGCCTTGAACCCTTTTCCATCTGCATTCCCATGGCTTTTTCCCCATTTCGGCTCAGAATATTTATAAGGTGTGGGATATTAAATTTAAATTGAGGAAGAAAGGTGCTTCCTGATGGGCTGGGTGCCAAACAGCACGCATGAATTTCAATGGGGTCGAATCCTCGAGAAAACCACTTTCGCCACCCCCTTGTGAAGGGGCTCGAGCGCTGCGATAAGACATCGTATTCCCAGTGTCTTTGGGTCTTCCGAAACTACAACTGTGCAAAGGTATTCCACTAGACATGGCATAAATTTTCTCTGGGCAAACGCAAATGGTGTGGAAAAATCCTTCGGGGTGGATAATTAAAAATAAGCAAGTTTATTTGCGGAATTTCCTCTTCACTTCACGCCAAACTTTCGCCATCAATCTTGTGAGCCACTCGCGATGCACACTTTAAAGAGGATTTTAATTGAATCACGCTGTCTCTAACGAGGACACGAGATGTGAAATTTTTCCGCAAATCAGGGAAAGCATGCTTGTGTGCAATTCAATTGAGAGACCTTTCCTGTAAATATGGAATATTTGTTGACTTTCTTCTGCATTTTCCTGAGAAAATCTCCACTAAAATTCTATGAAAAATCTTTAAACGTTTAAAAATGATAAGTGATTGCCAGGAAGAACACCTCATGCTGTTTGTCACGATTTTCACAGTTTCTGAATAACTTTCCCGGTAGAATAAACATTGTGTTATAAAAAAAAACACTCACTGCAATTTTTATGGTTTTACCACGTACTTCAGATGCACTTTGATTCCACGATGCAAGTGTAAATATTATGGTAACTCCCAGTGATATGTTTTTTTTCTCAGCAAGCGCTTTTCAGAAACTTGCACTTCACCCCGACTCATGCCCATCCAGTGGAGTGACGTGCTTCGGGGGTGGATGTGAAACCTTTGCGGTGAATTACTGTTGGTCTATGGCTCTGAATAGATTTCCTGGAATGGCGTTTTTTGCTCCTGTCTTCCCCCTTTCAAACATCCATCCAATCCATGTCACTCCACATCATGCATTGACGGACGTTGCTCACGTTTTCCTGTCGAATGCATCGCCCTTTGTTTCCCTGTGCATAAAAGACTCCGAAGGCCATGCGATGGGGCGCAATAATAAGCTCCCAATTTTCGAAATTGCACTGAACGGGCGAACAAAGCATCAAACTGAGCAAACAGATTATCGACAGTGCGTGATTGGGGACTGGAGTGGAAGGATTTGTAGATTCGCTTTCGCTGTGAAATCTCGCGATCACTTTTTCGTCCTTTCAGAGCGCCTCAATGTTCTGTACGAGCGCAACTGGACGCTCCTTGTGCACGAGCAACTGCGTCGTTTTGAGGGCTCTATCGTGGCGGCGACAAAGGGTGGACTTGCAGAGGCCCTGGCCACGGATCATCGCTTCGGTGCACCCAAATGGTCCTTCACTGAGGCCCTCATCTATTCCATCACCGTCATCACCACCATCGGTAAGTTGCAAAATTGCAACACAGTGCAGTTGAATTTTTTGAATTCATTGAAACGACAATTTAAAACATTTTTCGAGGGTTTTATGATGGATGAAAGTGTGCACATAGAATACCACCTGTAATGCACTGGTTTTTGTGATGAATGCTTTATTAATCTCGATGCTGTTGGCATAGTTGAGAGTAAAAATGCAGATTTTTCATTTTACTTTGTTATACTCACTTGGATTGTGTTGTTAAGCACATCGGTATGCATTTCCTCATTCTCTTTATATTGAACACACACGAGAACATAGTGAATTTCTGAGTTTTGATTACATATCTCTTAATTAAGAGATTAATACTTCATGCATAGCAACGTGTATGCCAAAGTGTTGCGAAAGCACATGAAACTTTATGACAACTGACGCTTCGCACTACAACTAATCTTCGGTGACAATCTCTCTTGCAAGGTGATTTTCATCCCTGTTAATTTCTTGCTAATTCCCCAAAGTTTCGACAATGGCGTAACTGACAAATTGCACGGTGAATCTCAAGTACACCGAAAGATGCTGCGCGGCCCAAAGTTCACCTCTCGCTGCCTGGTTTAGAAAGCCGGTGCCATTCTTCACATGTGAAGTTAATTCCGCTCCCGTGGAAGGGATTTTGGGAAAAAGGATGGGCTCAAGAGAGGGGAATGTGCGAATTTTGTAGCCCAATTACATTTTAATTAGATTAATCAACACCGAATTGCCTCTTCACCTTTTCCGTGTGTCTTCGAGAGTCGCCAAAGAGAGTGATATCGTGGAAAACGTGCTGAAGCCCCACATGTGCTCTAATGCCTTTCACCTCGGCTTACGAGGGTAATAAACACAATGAGGATTTCATGCTCTCCCTCACACCGGGCACCTCCCTGGGGGGCTCACTTTCTTCGCCACCATCCGAGCCAGAGACTGCCGTCATGCCCTAATCCCAGAGATGCTCCGCAATGGATTCATGACGGCTTTCACTCCAGCTCTAAACGCATGTTTTTTTTTTCTTTCCTTCTCTCTCCTGTGAGTCTCCTCTGCCAGAAGCATTCGACCAATATTTACCCAAACACACCCCCATCCAATGCGCCGCCCACAGCTCTTCACCGAGGGAAAATGTCTCAATATAAATTCATTAAACAACCACCAGCCCATTTCAATTGAAATTCGCCGCGTCTCGAGCGGCATGGCGAAGTGGGGGAGATCAATTTTGATGAGGAATATCAGAAAAATGGAAATCAAATAAATGAGTGGCTGTGACGAGCAGAAAACGCTGAAATCAATTTCCTTGCGAATCAATTACCACAAGACTTCATCACTCTGCGGGGCTCGAGATTAGGGGGATTTCCTTCTGGAGATGAGAAGGAGGCATTGTGTTTACAAGAAAAATTCAACAATATATAAGGCGTAATTGGTGCCAGAAATGGGATGGATCACATTTTCTTGGAATGTTTTGTAATCAGATTCCAGGATTTCGAGAGTAAAGTCTGTGCATTTCTTTTAGGCCATGGCAATCTGACGCCTCGAACGTCAGAGGGCAAGATTGTGACGATGGTTTATGCACTTGTTGGAGTGCCCCTGATGCTGCTGTGCCTCTCGAGCCTGGGCGGGCGTCTGGCCGAGGCTCTGCAGTGTGTCTACATGAGGCTGTGCCCTTCGCGTGACCCCGGCAATCGACAATGCAGAGAGAAGAGCCCTGGTGAGCATCCGATGGACCAGGTGAGTGTGAAACCACTTCGTTAGGGTGCTTCCGCTCCAGATGGCTGATTTGGTTGGAGGGTTTATTTGAGGAAAGGACACGAATGCCGGGCAGAATTGCTGAGCGGTTAGACAAAAAGCCACTACACGGATTGACCGCAGGTTTAATTGGAATTGTGTGGCCGAGTGGGGAGAGAGGGGTTAAAACTAAAAAGCCACCCCAGCATTTACGGCCTGGCAAACCCCAATCTTCCGTCGACACCCGTTGCAAATAAAATGGCATAACATTCTCATTATGACTGGTGAACCTCACTTCCGTGGACAGATTATGGGGGTCAGATGGCAACTGTGTGAATCGAAGCCGCAGAGATTGGGATTGAGTGTGATTAAAATTGCCAACTCTATTCACTGGGCAGCACATCGCAGAGGGTGGAATTCATTAGAATTCCACCCTCAGCTGCGCCATCAAATATTGCAACACATTTGCTGTCCAGTTAATGTCCCCCATACTGAGATATTCAGATTCCTAATCCAATTATTGTGGACTCTCTGCCTGCACGACCCTCTCGGCTTCCTGGCGTGTGTGATAGAAAAAAGTAAATATATATATTTACTCGTGTATCAACTTTACGGATATCAATTCTACTTTGGGATTTATTTGCCTGGGACTTGAAAGAGAATTGATATTTTTTCGCATGACATGAGCTCCAATTTTCTCAACGGGTTTTCCATCTGTTCCATATATTAATTTAAACAGCGCGCTTCATGAGCTGAAATTGCAAGATGTTTCTGACAACAATCTGAAATTAAATTATTCTATTTCCCTTTTCTATGTGGCAAATGAAACGGCATAAAAGTCAATAAAGCTCTCATGTCAATGAGCTTTCAATTCTTCGAATTAACCACTCCATTGTGTCTGCGGTTATCATCTTTGCGACAATTCTCTGGTTTTCCCTCTCAAGATTCATGGCAAGATCCTGACGCTTGAGCCGAGAGTATCTCTTCCGCTAAAACATCCCACCAGACGTCAGCTTTACCATGTGAATACATGAATGAATTTGAATTGATCTCCGCCGAGGAATCAATCCAATTCCCCGCACAAAAGACGACAAGTCAAGGCTCGGGAATCGCTGGAATGGATGTTGTGTGATGTGATGGAGATGGTTTGAGAATTGCGTGTGCAAATGTGATGCCGACAAGGAGCTGAGGGTGAAATGTATTCAATTGTGGGTGGATTTACCACCCTCAGGCCATAAATAATTTATTCGTCACTTAAATAAGAGACATTTTGTGATATTTGCATAATTAATGAATAAATGAAGATGCTGATGTGTGGAGGCTTTTTGATGCTCTCTCGATGCGTGGATAAATCCCACATCAGCCACTCACTCCACTGTGGCGTGTAATTAATTTTTACCCCTAATTCTCTCCGCATCAGGTGGATTCTAATTCACATCGCTACGACGCCCTCCAGAGGCACAAGGATAATTCCATGTACGAAGGTAGGCATGGCTGAAATCAAGTTCCCCGTTCCAGCTTTTACAGCACACCCTCGTCTCGCCCGCAGAATCCTGCCGTCTGATAAGGAATTCACCCACAAAGGCGCTCAACAGCACGCCACAGTCGTCGCCCATGAAGAGCTTCCAAGGCGCGCAGCCGGCGCCTCAGTATCCGCCAGGCGGCGGCAACTCGGTGGTCTTCTTCCCGGCCGGCGCCATCCAGTGCCAGTCGCACTTCGGTGGAGGCGCCCAGGTGCCGGTGAAGTACCACGGCATGATGCAGATCCACCAGACCACTCACTTTGGCGCCCAGAATGCCACTCCAACGCTCCACACGGCCACAGTTCACGGTGAGAATAATACATATCAAAGTGAAATCTGCTAATAATATTCCTGTCAGTGCAAACTGATATCAGATACTGTTTTGACAACCTAATTAGTGAAAATATAACAATTGCAAGTAATAATTAATGAGAATTAATTAGCAATATTTTCATATTACTTCTGTGATTTGCAACAATGGAACAATTCATGGAAAACATGATACTAAATAGGTTGTTTTATGTGTTTTCTATTCCCTTTATTTCTTTCTAATCTAATTTTGTATTTACTTGACTTTTTTTGGTACGAAGAATTGCAATTACCGCCCATTGTAATTGGCAATTGGAGCAGTATCTGATATCTTGTCATCATCTCCCTTCTGACCTTTTGATGGTTAATCATGTTTATGGGGCAAACTTTGAACTGAATCCTCTTGATAATTGAACATCTCGATTGAAGTGGCTTTTCATTGTGTGCCTCGAGGGTGGGCAAAACAGATTGCTTTGCAGCACTGCTCAGGTTTCCCAAATTGTCACACAAATCATCTAAAGCCTGTGCAATGTTAGGATTTGCTAGTATATCCCTTTGGCACAAGGCATGTAATCATAGAAATCAAGGCTTGACGTGTGCGGCTCAGCATCTCGAGTTTCAAGTCTGACACAGTGAATTTGTGCAATTTTGAGCATAATTACAATGATGGCTCATGGTATCTTATTAATATGTAAATTAGATGGTTGCCAGAGAGAGGCTGGAAAGTGCGCCAACAATTATTAATTATAATTTTCTATGTTTGAACAGTCACCCTGCTTAGCATAACAGACAGTCCATTGGTGTTAAATTAATCACATCTCTCACTCAGTCTCACTTGGATAGGCGATCCTTTGGATCGCTCAGTAGCAAATAAGATAAAATACACCTTCAACTATGGACGAGATAGGAGGAAATTTTACAGATGACTATGAAATTCACTTTACGAGTTGTTATACGTCAAACGTTGCGACCGGAAGCGGAAATTCAAGAGAAATGTCGGAAGCTGTACAACTCTCAAAGTTTCTGCCATTGAAAACTTACTGACTATTGTGTTGGTTTACTGAATTACGGAATTTAATAGATTTTTGAAGCATCTCTCCACGAGTCTGCAGGTGAATTGAATTTCAGTCTCTATTATGTGACTTGCATAAGGTCCGGGAGAAATTGAATGCCATACAACATATCAATAGTGAAATTATTTACAATAATAAAATCCATTACGAAGTTGTTTTACAGATGATATTAACGAGCACAATGGATGTATTACAACGATTTGGTTGTGCACAATAATTGTCCATAATTTAGTGAAATAGCTAAATTTTCAACTGAAAAGCTCATCGTGAAATTTGCCATGGTAGTAATAATGAAATTAAGAGCATTACTGTCAAGTCAAATCTATAAGACTATTTAGATGAAAAGTTTTAAAGCAGAACTGCTAAATCTGCTACCACAAATCTCCTAAATCGCCCATTTGAGATAATGATGTGGAAAGAATTCTCTCTTGAAAATGCGAACGACAAATTTGCAATCACACATAAAATAAATTCTCACAAAACCAACTCAACAATGAGCTGTATAAAGTATCTCCGCACAGCGATAATTTTCTCAGCAGTACATAAACACATTGTCTCATCAGCACTGGGGGTTTGAGAAAGGGTGATTTTAAGGGCTGTGTGTGTGCTGTAATTCTGCAATTGCGGGCGGTTCCTCCGTTTTTCTGCACTCTCAGGCCCCAAAACCCGAGCGGGTGCTGTGCCACCCCGCAGTCCTGCTATCGCACAGAAGGGACACCCACAGTGGTGGGGAGTGGGTCATAAATATTGCGGTGAAATTCATAGCATAAGCTGAAAATGCTCCCACTCAAGGCTTCAAGCATGAAAAGTAACATGAAGAATATCATGAAAATGAATGTGTCTTCCATTTCATTTATTTATTCATATCGCAGGAGCAATAAAATGGGTGCGGTAAAAGGAGTGTGTTTGTTCTTTTGCCAGGACTCGGAAGGAGTAAGTTTGTGCCGAAACCACTGCCACAGGAGATAAATATGTTGCTGGCGGAGTGCGACATTAACTATCCACAGTCAGGGGCTGAAGGCTCCCCGCAGAAGCACCCCAACGGCCGCATGGAGACTGTGGAGGAGGACGACGACGAGGAGGCGAAGAGTGGGTAAGTCGAGGACTTGTGGGGAATTTAGTGACTTGTAAGGAAGGCGGAACACCTTAAGCGTTAGTGAGTGTATGAAATGACATTCATTGCTTTAAGTAATCATATTTTTTCCTACATCTTGTGATCTTCGCTATTACTTGTAGTTGAAAGTTATTACCGGATTTTTCTGCCGAATTCCTGCAAAAGAATCCACTGTATTTCCTGACCTCTTAAGATCATATAGCTCGTAGACAGCATAATAGAAAAACTGTGGAATAACAACGAACACCGGACTGTGTTTTGACTGGGAATTGTGGATAATTTCAATTACAAAAAAACCTTCCCATAAATGCTCCGCACATGAAATTGAATCCACTTTTTGTTGCGCAAACACATCGGTTGTAACTTGCAGGAATGTGACTTTATCGAGCTGGTGAACATTTAAATCCCAGCTGAAGATTATAGCAGAGAGGACGATAACAATTGAGCTCTGGTGGCTTTCAGTGATGTATTTCGCTTGGGGGATAAAGCTCACCTCGTCGGATGATGTAAAGAGGATATTGAATGCCTCCTCCGGGGACACTTTAACTGAATAGACAATATGTGTTACTTTGTGAGAATTCCTCATTTTCCACTCGTCCAACCAAAGCCACTTTCTCTCTCTCACTCTCTTGTGATGGGGTGAAAGTTCCCGATTCTTTTCACATTCACCCCCTTCCCGCGTGCGGCTGATGTTTTCCCATCAATTTCTCTGATTCTCCGATCTATGGCTGGGTGGGGCTCCTTTAAGGAGATTGCCAACCCAAGAGCTCCAGGGAGTCAATTGTGTTGACGATGGAATAACATCGAAAGGGTTTAGAGTCAATTTTCAGGCCCCGGGAAAAGCCATTCTCCGGATGAGGCGCCAGTCGATAATCGAAGGGGATGGAATCAGCATCTCGCACAATTGCCCAAAGTGTCTCTCTCGGGGTGCTTCTAAATCATCCCCCTGGCCTCTCGGGCGCACCCCCTTATCGGCCTGAGAGACTGATATCTCTGAAGGCAGAGAGAGCCACAATTGTGGCGCAACACAAGCCATGTCGGCATTTCGTGTTTAACACAGAGGGGAGGCAAATTGCCATCAAGACGCTCTCCGGCAAGATGGAATCGCTGCTGTAGGTGTCATCAGACACATGTTTCAGGAAGTGACACGAGGAATCTGAGCGACACACCCCGCAACATTCTTTTGCGCCCCCGTCCACACTTAACTAGGCAATTATGGCGATTGGCTCTGATACAATTCTCCATGCTAATTCAGCACTGCGCCTCGCGACGCTTCCTGGGTGTGAAAATAAACCCCCCGAGAAGCCGGAAATATGAGAAAGTTCTCCGGCTCTATTGTCAGCAATAAAAATGTTTTTGTTGAACGCCACGTGTTTGTGTGGGGCTGACAAAGAGATTAAGAAGATTTTCCCGTCTGTGAGGTGTTTTCTTCACGGGGAAAATAAATCACCTTCCTAGGAAAGTGATGTACTGTGACATTGTTCACATTTCCGTGTTGAATGGCGGCGACGTTTTGTGTGTGAAAATAACTCAATCTTCTCTGATATCAAACGACAATTGTTATCCGCGAGTCCTCGAAAACTGTTGAGAGAGACAAGAAAAAAAGAGAAAATCTCTCTTTGATGCAAAATAATAAATTGTAGGTAGGAAAATCATTCAAATTCCACAACCATTTCTTAAATCGCAAACTCCCTCCCTTAATCTCCATCGCCTTCTTGGCGTGATACCGCGTGTAAATCATTGTGGAAAGTCTCGAGGGAAATTTTCTTGCAAATCGCACTCTGGCAAAACAAACTTTCCATTTAGGGAATTATAGGGAAAATTTTCCCACCCCTTGAATTTGTCTGATAATAAATTACGCCAGTGTGAAGTGTTGTCCCTAATCATAAAAATACGCCAATGAAATTTATGTCGAGTTCTGACCTTTTCTCAGCGCTCAGCTTCTCGTCCTCGAGCCCCGATAATTACGCCACGCTCTATTCTTGGGGATTCCATCACGGAGACAGACATAAAATCTCCTCTCTTTGAGCAATTCGCACGCGGGAAATTAAGACTTAAACACACACTAAATTGCCAGTCTGCGGTCCATTAATTTTGCCAGAACGCGAGAGTATTTTCGAGTGGGTGTATTAATCAAAAATCCCACCGCCGCCCACAAGAGGGCGACGGGGAGAGAACACTCCAGAGTCACTCGTTTGGCGTTCATAACACTTCCTGGCACCTGTCACTTCCCAGAAATTAATGCTTCCCCACATTCGCCAATTGCAAACGTATCACAACCCCTTTGCCAGCGCCCGGCGTCGGGGGAAACGTCCTGATGGAGCTGTGCTGTGGGAGGAAGAAAAAACAGTGAAAGTCTTCCGCTCGTTTGAATTTTTTTCCACCAGTCAAAGAACATGAGGAGTCGACACGCGCGAAATGTGAATTTGCCCGAGGGAGCGGGACTGAGACAAGGTGAATTTGGGAGAATGATTGTGTGGTTTCTCCCGAGTGGAGCCTTGAGGAGGGCGAAAGGAAGCAACACAGTGAAACAAATGACAGGTGATTACGCTTGGTGAGCACCTAGATGTGGGTTGAAAGGAGAGGAATTCACACGTCCCACCGCCTCTTTCCCGTTTTCCAATCACCCATTGATTTGCCTGTGAATTGGAGGAAAAACCTCAGCCACTTAATGACTTACACAGTGGCTTTAAGTTGTCGGAGGAAATGTTGAATATGTTCAACTGAGTCTGTGATTTGTCTTTCAGCTGCCCTCACGACACTCCCTCGCGGGTGCCTCTGATCGGAGGCTCCAGGACGGCTGGCAGTCGACTGGCGGGAGATGGCAGCATCCTGGCGACACCTCAGACGCCCGTCGACGAGGCTGACGAGACGCCACCGCCGCCGCAAGTGCCGCTGCTCCTCATCCTCGTCATCCTAGCGAGCTACGTGGCCGTCGGCACGGCCATCTTCTCCCTGTGGGAGAACTGGAGCCTCGTCGACGGCGCCTATTTCTGCTTCGTCACGCTGTCCACCATTGGCTTCGGCGATCTCGTGCCGCGCCACACGCTGGCCGGACCCGAGCTGCAGCTGGTCGCGTGCTGCGCCTATCTCATGCTGGGCCTCGTGCTCGTGGCCATGAGCTTCAGCCTGGTGGAGAGTCAGCTCATGTGGCGCTGCCGACGCGTGGCGGTGCGCCTGAAGCTCGCGCACGACTAATCCGGGCGATGGAGAGTATTTGTACCCCCCTTTTTATATGCCATTTATCAGACTGCTCAATCTCCTGTGAATCGTGAAATTGCTTGAAGTGGAAATAAAGTGGACAAGAGTCATATCAAAGCTGCAATTGGATTTTTAATTGAAAGGCTGTAATTGGTGTCCCATTAATCCCCGAATGGGGAGATTTTCCTGCACAGCAAATCCCCGTGAGAACTGGAGCAGCTGCAAAGATGAACAAGGTAGAGAATCGAGGTATTGTTGACTGTTTTAGCGTCATGAATATATTTATATATTACATTTCAAAGTGTAATTCCAACACAAATCTCATAAACTACCCTTCACGCAACTGTCACAGACCAACTTTGTGTCCTGAAAACTAATAAGTGCACAGTAATAACATAATTTGAGGTGCATTTGCGACTGTTTTCAAATAAATTCGAGTTATAACAGGCCACCATCACCGGGCATCGTCAATCAGTTGATGGATTTTCGTCGGTTTTGCACCTTAACCCAGTGCTGAAATGTTTGTGCTTTTTGTGGTTTTGATGGCAGCCCAAATGATATTGCCTATGGGAATGAACACTATCGCTCGCGGTGTAAATTCTGAGCATCCGCTCGTGGCTAAAATTGACGGGTTAATCCGTGAAGCGCAAATTTCCGATGATATCGCCATTTTCAACATGTGCAATCAACCAGAACGTGCTCGCGGAATTATCAGTGATTTGCTGGCTGGTAAACTCGTTCGTGGTGTTGTTTTTGGGGACTTGAATGATGCGTGGGATGACAAATGGTCAGTCCTGAGATACAATTACATTATGATTTTCGTGAATTCCGAAGTATTTTCCAATGTGAGATTGCATTGCAAGGCACAAATGTTTGTTTTGCCAATGAATTCTGTTCTTTTAGAAATACACCAGAAGACTAGCGCAGCATTGGCCGCATAAGATTACAAATATTCCCTTTTGGAGTCAAAAGGTGAAGATTTTCATTGTCTACTTGAGTGATGATTCTCTAGATGATCAGCTGAAGCAGACAGAGAGACTTCTCAAAAGCATGAGCAGAAACAGAGTTTTCCAACTGGCCATCATTCTCTATGTCGATGAACAATTCCTTCTACACACTCACAATCCTTTCACGGACACTTTTGACGTCTTCAATGCCACTTCTGTGGTCTTGAGTGAGGTTTTCCCTCCGAAAACCATAAATCTGATGGGTCACCAATTGCAGATAGCCGAGATGGACATTTATCCTCATGAGCAGATCCTTGATGGGCGCCTCAAGGGACTCATGGGATTCCTGCTAGACGTCATCATGGACCGTCTCAACGCCACTTACGACATCCAGGAAGTCGAGGCCTCAAGTCAGTCTCTGCACACCATCGGCATGATGATCATGCACAACCGCGTGGACTTCAACTTCAACATGCAACACATGTTTCCTGCGGTCATGCAACACAGACGGATTTCTTGGACAAACCCTTTGCTGCTGCACAAGATATGCTGTCTTGTGCCATACCAACAGAGAGAGAAGAGCGACGTCTTTATATTGCTCCAAAATTACAAACTGAATTCCTTAATATTCCTAGATGCCTTCTTGCTCTTCATTGGCTTCTGTTGGTCACGCATTCGACGTCCCAGAATTTCTTTCATCGAAGCGTTGTGCCTCCTATCACGCTCATATGTCTTATCGACAATTCCTCGTCGATTCCCATCGGCTGGAGAGAAGATCTTAATTGGAGCTGCCATTGTAGGGTGCTTCTTCTTCATGGGACTTATGCAGCCCTTCATGTTTGCCGACACAATGAAGCCAAGGGAACTGAAGCAGATTGACACACTCGAGGAGCTGAAAAGCCTAAATCTTCCCATTCTGATTCCTTATGGAATGACGCCGTTTCTCATGAATACCGACAGTGCTTTGCCTGACAGAATAATCTATAAATTCAAGGTAACACTCGTAATAATTGAGATATTGAAGTAATTGTATAGAATTACATTGCAGGAAACTTCGTTGAATGCGTGGTACAAGAAACGCCATGTCGATCCTCAAAGTATGATCTATGCTGTTGACCTCGTCAAGTTAGGGCACTTCCTGGACTCACAAGCCAACAGAAACGCCGATGGCAGTTTTATATTCCACCGGATGAAGGAGTGTCTCACCGTCATTCCGGCTGGCATGCCTTTCCCCAAACACTCACCCTATCTTGACCAGATCAACATAATCATCCGGAGGAGTTTCGAGGCTGGCCTCATCAATTACTGGCTCACCCTGAAACGCCATCAGCTGCGTGTGAAGCAAAATCCAGGTGAAATTCGATGCACCACTAATGACAATCTCGTGACTTTCACACAATTAGAAAAGACGATGAAATTGATTGGCCAGATCTGGTTATTATCAACACTTGTCCTTCTCCTGGAAATCCTCTTCGCTCGAAGGACGCTCGTTTGGGCGGCTCTTCAGCGCCTGAATGGGCGGACAGGAAATTAATTACACGAGTGTGTTCGCTATTTAAATACACCCAAGCAAAGGTAATCCACTCGCTTGTGACACCGCAGCACAATTTATCGCTCGCCACGAAGAATCTACATTGCAGAGGAAAATTTCCAGTGAAATTTATGAGCTTCGCGAGGATCTTTACGATGCCAATAAATCATTTATTTTACCAAAGATTTCTCCACCCCCTTTAATAATTGCGCGCTCGTCAATTTTACTGACGAAGACATTTTTCCACAACCTCATAATTGGTAATTGAGCACGGGATAATGAAATTTAGGTGTCTTTCAGTGTGATATTGTCGTAAAACCACCCTTTTTACTGCATTTCACGCCATTGAGAAGAGCTTTTTAGTGCTCACTCTAGGCTAGAGCAACCGACTCTAGCTTCTTAGCAGCGCGGTTTTCTCACCACTTTCTTTCGCAATCTCATCAATTTCATGCAATATACAGCAAATTGGGCCAATTCACACTCCAATCATTCTGAACAAGTTCCTTCGGGGGAGGATAAATTTCAGTGCTTCCAGAGGGAAAAAGGTGTCTGGGAAATCCGTGTTGAAATGAGTGCAAGGAAATTTTCAATGGATTCCTACCGTCTCATGAATAATAATTAAAGAAAACAAACAATACAGGTGTTTCATTTCACGTGCTGGATTTTCTGGCATAATGGCAAAGCCACATTCTGGATGTACGCTCATTTGTCCTCGGCGCTTTGCCTTGCGATGTAATTTAATGCCAGTGACTCAGCAGAGGATTTCAGCATTATATATAGACGACATTTTAGAGGTGACTTTCTTAAAGAGAACAGTTTTCCGTGTGATTTCATCGTGACATTGTTCGAAGAGTTTTCGGTGTCAAATTCCACACACGATGTGGCTATCGAGAGGAATTTTCATGACATTTTTCAGCCTCTTTCTCGCCACTCAGGCAATGAAGAGTAATCTCGTGGTGAACAGCGGTCAGGAGTTTTCATTTATGGGCTGGAAAATTAACCACAAGAATCTGGCGATTTGCAGCTGCTGCCTTAATTCAGTCACTGCCTGTAGAGACCTTATCGATGACTCCCTGAGGCAGTGGCGTAATAACTCGGGAGTGATTTTCTCTGGTGTCCCTCGAGGGTGGAAAACCTCGAGAAAGGTGAACTTCCTCATCCTCCTGCTGGACACATACCGCAGACAGTGGATACGGAAGGTGGCCAGAGATGTGAAAAGGTCCTTCTTCTGGGAAGTCTCTCACACGAAAGTCCTCGTGGTGACTCTCACGTCCGGTGTGGAGAACAATGCAAGAGTGGCGGAGGTGTTCAGTGAGGAGCACATCCCTAAAACAGCCGTCCTCCTGCCAAATTCCTCCTTTCTCATCCACAACAGATTCGCTGATGGAGAGAAGTTGAAACTTCTGCCCCCAGAAGCCGCAGAGAGTGAAGTTTTCCCAGATAAACTCAGGGATTTAAATGGATTTCAATTCAGACTCTCTCAATATGGGATTTTTCCACGCTCAATGGTGATTGACGACCACGTTTATGGCTTCGATGGGCATCTCCTGGACACACTGGTCGAGTCTCTCAACAGTACGTACCACATTATGGCTCCTGGCTTTAGTCCAGACATCTTCTTCAGGACCATTGACGATGTCCTGACGGATAAAGCGGATTTTAACTTCAATCTGAGGATCTTGTTTGAGAAAAGTTACCAAGAAGCTGCTCTCTCTTGGCTCTACCCGCTGAGAGTCAACAGCATTTGCGTGGTGGTTCCTCACGCTCCTCCAAGGTCAGTTGTCAATGCCATCCTGGAACCACTGCTCAGTTTCCCCAGTCTTTTATACCTGATCTTCATGGTGCTCGTGTGGGTGGCTTGGATGGCGAGTGTCAGGCGAGATCCTCTGACCATCATCTTCAATGTGGTCAGGATAACAGCCCTGTCACCGCTGCCTAGACTTCAGGGCACTCCCATTGAGAGTATCCTTGTAGTGAGTTCTCTGTTCCTCTCTTTCTTCTTCATCAACCGCTTGCAGAGCATCGTGACTGCCTTCCTCGTCTGGCCGGGCTTCGAAGAGAACATCCACACTGTAGCTGAGCTCAATGCAAGCAAGTGGTCAGTCCTGATCCCCGAAGGAGTGATTGAACTCATAGAGACTGTGGATCATGGCTACGATGACTATTTCCTCGGCAAATTCGTGGAGTCCGACTTGCGGCCCGATCATGCTCGCTTTATGGATCCCGAGGATTTGAACGGATTCGCAGTATATGGATTCAACGTGGACAAGCGTGTCCTGGACGCCGCCAGTCAGGATGGCACTCAGCCACTCTTGCACCTCATGGAGGAGTGCATTTTCCATTCCATCGCCTCGTACGTGTTCCAGAAGCACTCGCCCTTCGTCGAGCCCTTCGATCGCGTCATGCAGCACATCCAAGAAGCAGGACTCATCTCGCGCTGGCAGGACATCGCGTCACGTGAGATTGTCCACCTGAATCGCTCCATGGATCGCCTAGCGGACAATACAGTCTACAGTAGCCGCAAACTCCACCTTCGTCTAGAGGATCTCTACTTCACCTTTTTCGTCTTCTACGTGGGAATCACTCTCGCCACCATCGTCTTCACCCTGGAACTCCTGCTGCGCCACAGACAACAGGTGGAGGCGCTCCTGAAGCGTCTTTCACGGTGCGTTTCACAGCAAAATACTCGTGAAATTTAATTCACGACATCAAGGAAGTGCAAACGAAGGAATATTAATTGCCATGAAGTGCAGATGGTGTCGTGAGATGATGAAAGTTTCTTGACATGGAATGGATGGGGTGTTGAGATGGCAAATATTGTGCATACTTTGCAAAGTTCACGTGGAAAATTATAAGTAAAGATGTAATTAGACAATATAAAGTGAATTATTTTGAAACATCACAATATTCTTTAGTCAATTTTCCTGCTGTATTATTAAAAATAAACTATCACTTTTTCGCCACAACACATAAAGTTAAAGCATGGAGACTTATAAAGACATTTTAGGACAGAATTGGCTTCTAAACCTTCTCTTTACTGTAGTTATTGAAATTCATCTGGAATTGAGTAATGTGAGAATGTAATTAGTCATTGTAGGAAAAAAAAACAAGGGAAGGAAGGATTTTCTTTTCGTCACATTTGGATTTGTGATGTTCTAAAGCCTCACAAATCCAATTTATTGTCGCTTGTGGCATACATTTCACGGCTAACTGGCCAGATAAGTCGCTTTAAACACTGCCTTGTTGGAATTATCGCGCCTTTTCTCGCGGTGAGAGTGAAACGATGGAGATTAAACCATCCAATTGACTTGATAATCGCATCGAGTCTCTAAATTGCTCATCTTCTCCTGCTGAAAATATCCTGCTAATTTTCCCCGCGGAGTCTCTCTGGGCGCGATGAAGAATGCCTCTTGCCAGGCGCTGGCATTGTGGCAAATAACAATAAACATCCCGTTCTGTGAAAGAAATAAAAGTATCTCGCGCGCGGGGGTGAAATGGGAAAAGTGCGTAGAATGTTGTTGGGTGGAATTGTATGTTAATTTTATGTGTGGAGCCCATAAAAATGTAATCAAATTTATATATTTTTGCTATGGCGCGGAGTGAGTTAAGGGGCGGAGGTGGAGTGACTTATTCATTAAATTCGCACCGAAAAGTGCACACACGAACAATTTTTCTATGTCTTCAGCTCGATTTTTCCTCTCTGGCGGGCACAGGAACTTGAGGGGCTGCGCGGAGGGTAGTCAATCTATGCCCCTCAAGGCAGAAAAGACACTCGCACTGGGTGAATGTCATTCAATTTCCATTTCAACGAGTCCCGGCTTCCAAGCCACGCATAAATATACAAAATTAGCTCCCATTCATATTCCCCCTTCGTGTGAGTCGCTCTCGGAGTTTCCCTGGGAAAATTGGTGGGAGTCTGGTGGGTGATTATAATGCTCCCCGGCGATATTTGAGACCATCTCCTGCCGGCAACTTGTAATTCAGCGGAAATTGGAGGAGCTGGCAATATTTCTTCTCAACACTTTTCTCTCCTGCACTTTGGCGCTCTCAACTTTATCGCTCTCTGTCCTCCGGATAATGCCAATCCGTGCCCAGGGGGTGGCGAAAAAAAGCAGATGGAGGTGTTATTCAATTAAAAATCAATTTTCTAACACAGCAGTGAGCATCAAAAGACGAAGTTGAGAGGTGAAACACAAATCGCCTTTATAGAGAAAAGGTTCATTGGGAAAATTGAAAAGTGCGGAAAACCGCACTTCATTGCTTCATCACGGAAACTCATTATTTTCTCTGATGCGATAAGTTTGATAAATTGAAAAGTATGACAAGCCTTTGCAAGAGAGACTAGGAAATTGATCACCAATGCATTAAGAGTTCAAAAAAATCAGTTTTACTTTCATTCAACATCTACCAGTTTAATCTCTCTATGGCTTGAGTCGTTCACACACACGGGCAGATATTAATAAATATTACACATATTACCGAGTAAAGAGAGCTGTAAAGATGGTAAGCAAACACAGACATATTCCGATCACGAACAGTTCGAAGACCATAACTTGTTATTACTCAGACAGTCTTGCTTCGCGATTTGACGATGTCGGTGATCTGTGAGGAAATTCCCCGTTCGGAAATCATTGAGAAGGCTGCATATGAAGGTGTGAAAGATTTCATCTTCGTGCGGAGAAAGGAGCGGCCGAAGGACATCAAGGTGGCTGAGAAATGGAGCATGGAACCATGCTTCCTGCCCTCGTTCTACGAGGAAGTCGCGCAGAGAATTCTGGACTTTGAAGTGCGTGCAGATGATGTGTGGATCGTCACGTATCCAAAGTGCGGAACAACTTGGACACAAGAATTAATTTGGCAGATTTGTAACAATCTCAACTATGATCAATCAAAATCTCCACTTTATGAGAGATTTCCTTTCCTTGAGTAAGTGAAATGAAGTCTGTTTTTGAGCGCTGATTCATTGTTATGATGTTTTCTTCAGAATTGGGAGTCTCTTGTCGAGAGACTGGCCGAATGTTGACTACGTTACTCGTCTGGAAAAAGCGCCATCGCCACGGTTTATCAAGAGTCACTTGCCAGCGCCCCTTCTGCCCAACGGCCTGTGGACGGTGAAGCCTAAAATTGTCTATGTCGCGAGGAATGTTAAGGACGTCGCAATTTCTTGGTATCATCATCACGTCAACATTCACTACTTTCCCGGGAGCTTCCAAGACTTCATGGACACCATGATCGCGGATAAGATCATGTATTCGCCCTTCCATTCGCATATTGTGGACTTCTGGCGCATGAAAGATGAACAGAACATCTTGTTCTCCACATTCGAAGACATGAAGAAGGATCTTCCGGCGGTTATTCGGCGCACGATCAAATTCTTCGGCAACGATTATTCCGAGGCGCAAATCCAGACATTGGCTGATCATCTCTCATTTGCGCAGTTGTCAAAGAATCCCTCAGTGAATCTGGATCACATGCTGAAGGGCATTCAAGTGGCCATCAATAAGAAGATGAAAGATCAAAACTATCACTTTATCAGAAAGGGAGAAACTGGATCGTTCAAGAAGGAAATGACTCCTGAACTCGTTGAGAGGTTCAACAAGTGGACGGAAAGTGAAATGCAGAAGCTCAATTGTGAGCCTGAGCTTCGCAATATATTCTTACTCAATGAGAGCTGAAGGTAAAGAGTTGTGGCAAATATTTGGTGCATGATAAGGAAAAGATTGTTTATTTTTGAATAATATTCATTCAGTGTGACTAAATAATCTTATCAGATTTAACCTTTCAGGCCACTCTTTCGCCGCCTAATGAACAACCAACAAAACATTTAAATTGAGCTTTTCCCTTAGTTAAAAATCTCTTGAGAAGCCAAATTTCTACACTTTCAAATAAATTGAAATAAATATTATTGTTAAACTTATAATGATTTTTTATTAGAAATGTAGATTAAACGATGTTATCTACAAATTAATTTGAGTTCAAGTCGAAACAATAGTATCATTGATAAATATTACCTTTGCATGAGTATTTTGAGCTTTTTGTCTTTTAATCTCGAGTCGATATAGTTCATGAAAAACGATATTGAATTATCTGATTGTTTTACTTGAAACACCTGAAATGATTGACTCTCGATATGTATTGAATAATAATCATTCACCAATAAAAACGAAATGAATTGTGGCATGTTTGCATCATAAATTCATTGACAAAAGATTGCGACCAAAAGCTAAACGGCCTTAACAACATATTGTCAGCTATTTGTCCTCGTGTTGTGGAATAACCAGAAATTTGGGATCATTTGAAGGTGTGTAATAAGATTGAGATTATTATCAACACACTTTTATTTATTGTGACGGATTTGAGCACGTTTTCATCAACTTGAAGAGCAAGTTAATAAAATATATATTCTTTATTTCGGGGAACATCAAATAAAAACTATTACTTTAATGCAAACCCAATCTCCAAATCTAAAACTAATTTCACTTCTACTCTATGACCTTTAGAAGCGTCGTAAAAACATTATCAATTATTATGATAAGATTACCTGGATAAACATTGAAAATAAAAGGAGGGCATTGAAGAATTCACGTTCAATTGCAGTTGAACAGTAAGACAGAAAACATGTCGATCGTGTGTGAGAAAATTCAGGACAAGGAAGTCCAAGAGAAAGCAAATTTCGGTGGCTGTTATGAGTTTATTCTCTTAAAAAACATTAAATGGAACAAGGATCGATCGTGTTTCCATACACACTTATTTCGCGACAGAATTGAGTCTTATTACAATTTCGAAGTGCGTCCGGACGATGTCTTCCTGGTTTCCTTTCCCAAGTCCGGGACAACTTTTAGTCAGGAAATGGTGTGGCAGATATCCCAGGGAATTGATTTTGAGACTCCAAAAGTTCAACCACAAGAAATCAGATTCCCTCACTTGGAGTAAGTCATGAAGGTTATGAGAAAACTTGTAAGAAAGTGTCGTATATTTGATTCAAAACATATTTCTTTTCAGGATGAACAGCATGTTTGCCAAAGAAATGCTTGACTTTCCTGACAGATATGCTATCTTGAATGAGAGGAAAACGCAGAGATTCATCAAGAGCCACTTGCCAGCTCCTTTTCTGCCCAAGCAAGTCTGGAGTGTAAAGCCAAAAATCATTTATGTGGCCAGGAATGCTAAGGACACAGCAATTTCTTATTACCATTTCTACAAGCACGCTGGACAGAATCAAGCAAGTCTTCGGGAGTTCCTTGATTTCTTCATGAACGACAATGTGTTGTACGGTCCTTATCACAATCACGTGATTGATTTCTGGCAGATGCGAAATGAGGAAAACATCCATTTCATCACATTCCAGGACATGAAGAGAGATCTTCCGTCGGTCATCGAGAAGACTGCTAAATTTCTCGGAAAATCCTTGAGCAAGGAGCAAATCTTGACGCTCGCCGACTATTTATCATTTGACACATTCTCCAGTAAGTCAGACAATTTATTCATATTATTTTGGATATTACATAATAATGCTTGATTTCATCATTGCAGAAAACACATCTGTTAATCGGGAAGATATGTTTTTGCAACTGTGCAACACAATGAATTTGGACAGAGAGAAGCAGGACTATAACTTCATCAGGAAAGGCAAGTCTGGATCGTTTCGCGAGGAAATGCCTGAAGATCTAATCGAAAAGTTCAACGAGTGGACATTGAGAGAGACGGAGAAAGCTAATGTTGACCCTGAAATCCAAAGCGTTTTCTTCGGTGTATAATAAAGTTCCACTATGTATCTTATCAATGTGACAGATAAGTGATAAGGCCAATGTCTTAAATATAGATTTGCACTAGTTGGTCGCTGACTTTCAAGTTGAACATGTCGATCGTGTGTGAGAAGCTTCCGCAGTCGGATCTTGTGTTGAAATCCGGCTACAAAGGAGTTGAGGATTTCGTGCTGGTGAAGAGAACTGAGCGCCCAAAGGACATTCCATTGGCTGAGAAATGGTGCATGGCGCCTTGCTACATGCCATCGTTGTATGAAGAAATTGCGCAGAGAATTGAGAACTTCCAAGTGCGCCCGGACGATGTGTGGGTCGTGACCTTTGCCAAGTGCGGCACAACGTGGACGCAAGAGATGGTCTGGCAGCTGTGTATGGACTTGGACTACGAGACGCCCAAGACAGTGATCCTGCAGGACAGATTTCCATTCTTAGAGTGAGCAGTTCTCTTTCTTCTGGCAGATAGGATTGATCCAGTGTCAGTGACTCTTTCAGATTTGCCAGCGTCCTGCCGAAGGCTTTGAATTTACGGGATGAAATTGCTAAATTGGAATCAATGCCGTCGCCAAGGATGATAAAGACTCATCTTCCAGCTCATCTTCTGCCCAAGCAGATCTGGAGTGTGAAACCGAAAATAATTTACGTGGCCAGAAATGCTAAAGACACCGCTGTCTCCTTCTACCATCACTACAGGAATCTTCATCGCTTTCCAGGGACTTTCGATGACTTCATGGAAGCATTTCTGCATGATCATGTTATTTTCGCTCCCTATCACAGTCACATAGTTGATTTCTGGCGGATGAGGAACGAGGAGAACATCCTCTTTCTCACGTTTGAGGACATGAAGAAGGATCATCCAACGGTCATTGAGAAAACTGCAGAGTTTCTCGGGAAATCCTTGACTGAGGATCAAATTCTCGAGCTCGCTGATCATCTCAGTTTCTCGAAATTCTCCAAAAACCCTTCCGTGAATATGGAGAAGCTTTTTCAGAATTTTGAGACGGTATTTGGCGAAAAGCAGCCCGATAAGGATTATAATTTCGTGAGGAAGGGCGCAGTGGCGGGATTCCGAGAGGAAATGACACCCGAACTCATTGAAGCATTCAACAAATGGACAGAGAGTGAGGTGAAGAAGTGGACATGCGACGAGGAACTGAGGAAAATCTTCATGCTCTCGGCGAAATGATTTGCGAGCAGTCATCGTGATGAGAGACTTTCTGTCTGATAACACGCTGGCAGTGAAAGATAATTGAGCAATTAGTAATTCCAAATGATGCTCTATTGACTCAATGCTTAAGATTATATCCGTGGAAAAAGGAAATAAAGTTGAAAGTAAATCGACTACGCAGATTAATTTTATTTCGTCTTGTTGTATTTTATTGAAGAAATTTGGGGAAATCTTACTTGTGCCAATTTAATATTACATAATAAATTGCCGCTGGTTGAAAATTTTCCGTTTACTTCGACTTGCACATGCAATTTCTTCGGTATATAAATAAACTAACAGGGCAAGTTTGATTTCTGAAAGTGTTCTACATCAAACTTTCAGAAAAGACTCCTGAAAATGTTCATTAACACATTTCCCATCACATTTCCCTATGGAGAAGAAATGTGGAAAAATGGCAAGTTACAGTGTTTCCGGAAGAAATTCCTTTCTCAGGTTAATAAGAAGAAGAATGCAACCACAACAAGGGATGCAAAATTCCACAATTAGAGAATATCGTGTGCAAGAATTTTTCATCTCTCAAGAGCGAGACGCTGCGCTTCATTTTCCATTAGAGACGAACAACACGAAAAGAAGGTGCGGGAGTCAAATGAAAAATTGTGCACAAAGTGTGAACAATTTTCCCGGTTGAAGCTGCGGGAATTTTTCCATTCTTCTGATGATGGAGAATTTGCACATTCATTCGCGCAATGTTTGTATGTTGGCTTCCTTCAGGACTCACACCGCGTGTCTGGCTGTTTATATAATGAAATGCAAGAGGGTGGCGAAACAAGGGTCGCAGGAATGTAAAATATGTCCTTCATTTCCCTTTGCGGACAAAACCCACCTTTTGCGTTCGGAAATACACCAAAATTCCACTCTGGCGGTGCATTATTTATGACCCGCAATCGCGCTCAGAGGGTGTCATTTAATTTAATTTCCAGCGCGAACAGTGGTTGATGTTTGTGAATTCCTGGGGATTCCCAATAGTCTCAACGGTGGCTTCCAATCAACTGTCCAAAACACTTTGCATTTCCCCCAGAAAAGTGGGAAAATCCTGCAATGCCATTCATCGTCACACTTTACAACACTTTGAACTTTATTTTGCTAATGGTTTCAATCACTCCTTTGTCCGACAAATTTACTAAGTTGAATAGTTTATCGACAATATCAAATACATGCTAAAAATGATTTTTTCCATTACTTCTTAAGTTTTCTTATACACCGAGGAAAATGCTTTGGATTTCAGGGTCGACTTTAGCTTTCTCGATCTCTTTCAATGTCCACTCGTTGAACTTTTCAATTAGATCTTCAGGCATTTCTTCGCGAAACGATCCAGACTTGCCTTTCCTGATAAAGTGAAAATCATCAACCTTCTTCGTTTGCAATGCGGCGCTAATTCTTTCGTCCTCATTTTCTCTGTTAACTGAAGGATTGACTAGAGAAGAAAACAATAAATTTTAGAGATCCTTTATGTAAACGGATTGCTACTCACTGGAGAATTTGTCGAATGATAAATAGTCGGCAAGCGTCAAGATTTGCTCCTTGCTCAAAGTTTTTCCGAGAAATTTAGCAGTCTTTTCAATGACCGACGGAAGATCTCTCTTCATGTCCTGGAATGTGATGAAATGGATGTTTTCCTCATTTCGCATCTGCCAGAAATCAATCACGTGATTGTGATAAGGACCGTACAACACAATGTCGTTCATGAACATTTCAAGGTAATTCGTAAGACTTCCGGAATACATATGAAAATTTTTGTTCATGTGATAATTAGAAATTGCGTTGTCCTTGACATTCCTGGCCACATAAATGATTTTTGGCTTCACATTCCAGATTTGCTTGGGCAGGAGAGAAACAGGCAAGTGGCTCTTGACGAATCTTTGCGTTTTCCTCTCATTCAACATAGCAATATTATCAGAAAATTCAACTGCTTTGTCCAGAATGCTGTTGAGTCTAGAAAACGTGCGTTAATTATCAGATTTATTTCATCTGGAATTTTGACTCACTCCAGGAATGGAAATCGAAAATCCTGCTTATATATTTTAGCAGTTTCGAAGTCCAAATCGTTGGAAATCTGCCAAACCATTTCCTGTGTCCAAGTACAGCCAGATCTCGGAAAGCACACGACGAAAATATCGTCTGGACGTACTTCGAAATTGTAATAAGTCTCGATATTGTCGCGAAAGAAGTGTGGAAGGAAGCACGATCGATCCTTGTTCCATTTGGTGTTCTTAATGCGAACAAACTCATAACAGCCTTTCCCTTTTATTTTCTCAATTACTTCCTTGTCTTCAAAGTTCTCACAAATGATCGACATGTTTCCCGGATGACTTGCGATCAGAAACTGAAAATTAACTCTGGCTGTTGCTTCGTCATGAACTCGAATTAATCTCTATAAAAGATTGTTTGTTTCATAACTAATGTCACCGTAAATTTGTTTTGTGTACATATACTTTAATTGTTAATAATTTTTTGTAAGTGCTGTAGTTGATTTAGTTTTCTTTACGATCAAAAACATTTGAAGATATTAAAAATGACTGTATTTATTTGCCTAATTGGGCCATAAACACCAGAAAACTTCTGAAATGTTGTAAGAATTCGGTTATAACTTCTCATTATATGTTAAGAAAACGTTAATCATATTGTGTCTGTTCGCAGATACTGAATAAATGTAATTTGTTCAATTGTTATCAAACTCGATTGTCACAGCAAATAAATGTGAACTCTGTTAAATTTCTGTGCTCGAATTGCAATACAATTTAACTGGATAAAAACGCCATTCGTCATTGTTATGGCAATTGCGCCATGCATCATTTTGTGAATTGATATAAAAATTGATCCATCAATTCTGCAGATAAAAGCTCAAATATCCACTTCATGAGTCGCTGTGATGCAATAAAAAGCTCAGTGAAAATTTCGCTGATTTATCGAGGGTAGAAAAACTCGAGTATTCGAGTACATCCCGCTGGAATACGAAGTCAAAGGGTAGGGTTTTGCAAATAGCAAAACTCACAGAGGGATAAAATGATAACGAGTGGTTGAATTTCTGGCGCAGAGCTTTTGAAATTCCCCGATAAAAATTCCTTCTGGCCTGTCAACATGAATTCTCAGTCATCATTTCTCTGGTGATACATTAAATATTTATTGATTCTCAATATGGGAGGTGAATTTATTTATGGATGAGACTCAATTTCCCGCCTCGAGACTGTGCGTCTGACATTGTCGAACTGCCAAGTGATTTTATTAACAATCGAGTTTGATTAATGACCGCCAAATAAATCTCCTCGCCAACTCGAGTGCTTAATCACCCTCTACTGCTCATCTTCTTCACGAAGAAGCCCACGACATAGCGATTCACCCCATATTCAGAACCCCTTGAGACTCTCATCAGCAGAAACTTTCAATAGCCAACGAGCGAAAATACCAACAATGGACGCTGCTCGAGGACTTATCATAAAAGAATCACGGCGGAAGAAAAGAGATTCTTCAAGACAAATTTTCAAGTCTCTTGTTGAGAGAGAAAACTTTCAGTTGCAGCATTTTGTGCACGGAAAATTTCTCCAACATCCGAATCTGACATCAAAGTCTCTCTTCCAGGCGAATTAAGTGGAAATTGTACGAGTGCCAGAGTCTCGGAAGATAGCAAAGTCAAACAGCAAATATAACTGACAAAGGCGCTCACATTTAATTTACATGGAATGGAGAAAATTTCACTGTGTGCATGAATGTGGGAATTATTCAAAAATATTCTCACACACGCGAATGGAGGAAATCTCCTGAGGAAAACTCAAGTCTGTTCATTCTTTTTTGGGGAAGAATTGCGCGAGAGGAGCATCAGCACAAAACCCGACAGAGAACTCCTGAAGGAGGATGAATATTTGAGCAGCACGGAAATCTCCCAAGTCTCATCCGTTATCGCACGCTTCATAATAATCTCCCTATAATTCCATTCCTCAGAACAGGATGATAAACAACTCTCAAGACAACTCTGCACTCTTCACGAAAAATCATTACAATCCTCATAACTTATGATCATGAATTCAATAGAAAGATTTTTATTATACATTTCACCTATTTTTCATTGAAAAAATGTCCAATTCCATTTATTCATACTAAATTGTGTGCTTTCTAAAGACGATCTCTTGTTATATGAAAAATTCTTCTACTTGTGATAAGAATATCAAATAATTCCACTAGCATTCTAATTGACTTCCCTGACAATCACAATTCAATCTTGTGATCTAAAGCTTCATCCAATGAACTTAAAAACATTTATGTAAAATACTTTCTCCCATGAATGCCTCAAGAGTGCAACTCTGTGCGAAATATGACCCCTCGTCCTGCGTCCAGAGTCACTCTGTCGCCCGTCTTGAAGTAATCCGTGGCTCCATTGGCCGCCACAATGCAGGGCAGGCCGTACTCCCTGGCCACCACGGCTCCGTGGGAGATCAGGCCTCCCAACTCCGTCACCACAGCGCCCAGCATCGGGAAGTACGGACTCCATCCGATGTCCGTGCTGTACGTTATCAGGATGTCTCCTGGCTCAATCTGATCAACTCCGGCGAAGCTCTTCAGCACGCAAGCACGCGCTGTGATTAAACCCGGACAAACTGTCGTGCCCTGAACAATGCACTCTCCACTGTCCTCGGGAATGCTAACACTGCTGTTGAGTGATCGCGGAAGTCCAGTTTGTATATCTGGGAACTTTATGTCCTCCCACTGAGCCATGAGTCTTCGGCGCCGAGAGGCTTTGTGCACCAATCTGGCATCTCTGTGCTTGAGCAGTCGATCAATCTCTGCTGGGACGAGATAGAAGATGAGTTGCGCTTCAGACAGCCTTCCTTCGGCCACCATAAGACGCCCCATGTGGCGATAAGCCATCCGAAACTCATGCACAACAGCGATGAGGTTGCTCTTGGATAGTTCTCGGCGCTGCACGGACTTCTTGAGCAGACTCACGAGGCGTCTCAAGATAGTTTTCGTAAGTTTTCTCTTAGGCGTTCGCAGCTGATCAACAATGTCCTCATTGTCCTCCGCGGAAGCTGTTGCTGGAGCTTTTCCAAACTTCACATTCGCCTGGAGCATCCCAATGACGATATCTGGACGCATTCCCCAAGTCTCTGTGGCCAAGTCGAACTGGAAATGTGGAAAGAGGATTAGATTCAACAATGAATTGCCGAGAAAGGATTTCCCACCTCCTTGAGAGCTCTGTGGTGATTTTTGGTGATGAAGTCTGTGAAGAGTTTGTGCGCTTCACGGCAGTTTGTCTCGAGAAACGTCACGCCTTCTTTGGGATTTAACTTGCTGAACTCCTCCGCTTGTCCAGATGCCAGGATCTTCCTGCCAATCTCTGCCAGATTTTTGGGAATCTCCGCTGACTCCACCTCCTTGCTGCACCTGAGCAGGAGAGCCAGATCGTTGAGGTGTTCATCCGTCAGGTCATTAGTTCCCTCCATCATCACCATGATGAGGACGAGTTGAGACATTACAGACACTTGCGAAACGGCACCATGAATCTCGGCCATCTTCTTGAAACAGTCGTAATTCCCCTTGATGTCCTCGTACAGTTCAGCAGCTGTCGAGAACCTCTCCAGACTCTCAGGAGAGTACTCGTTCTTGAAGGATTTCGCCACAACCACGCCTCGCTTTGATCTCGAGCCATTGTTTAGAATCTGGGACAGAAGCTGCGTCAACAATTTGGTCTTCTCCCATTTGCTGACAATTCCTCGCCTATGAATTCCAATCTTTAGAACCTCTTCGGTCATGAATTCCTTGCCCATAATTGCCAAGTCAAAAACTTTCTGCATTGCCTGCATTTTCTCTTCAGGTTGTCGCAGTATTAAATTGTATACCTCGAAGCCAAGTTGATATGTGGCAAGCCAAAAGACACTATAATAGAGAAAAATGCTCATTGAACTTGATTTTCAGTCCTTAGATTAATGACACTCACTTGAAAAGCAGTTTAGAGGATTTGAAGCCCGTGTATTGCTGGAAAGTCGCCTCATCGATCAACTTAGCCACCACGAGGAGGGAAAGTGGAGCTGTGCAACCTGGAAACACTTCCTGGACGTTCGCCGTGGATCTGGCATCTTCCGGACTCATCACTGCATAATCATACTCATGCGCCAACTCCCAGTCTGTAAACGCGTCCAGAGAAGTGATAGGACGCGACTGTAGCAGATAAATCTTTCCCTGAAAGGAGCCAGAATATATAAATTGAGAAATTCAAAGGATAAAACCACAGCGAACTCACATCAAAAGTCGCCCATTCGATATCCCGAGGATTTCCGTAGAGCTGCTCAAGGCGCACACCGATTTCCGTGATTTTGACGATCAACTTCTCACTGAGACAAGTGCTCTTCTGGACATCCTCATCCAGAGGAACCTTCTCCACGTCCTTTCCATTCGGCGCCATTCTGATTTTGTACTCCTTCTTGCCAATACTCGTCTCAATCAGCCTGAATTCCGTGTCGTGGAAGTTTCTCTTCACTACAAAGACATCCGGATCGACTTCTCCTGACACCACAGACTCGCCCAGGCCATAGTTGGCTGTAATGAGGACATGGCTGGGATTTCCCGTGGAGGGATGACGAGAGAACAGCACTCCCGCCACATCTGCAGACACCATTTGCTGGACAACCACAGCCATCTCGGTGATGATGGGCTGTGTGTTCTGCCGCCGATACTGGACACTCTGGAAGGTGTACAGAGAAGCCCAGCATTTGACAATGGCCTTCAGGATCTCTTCGGCACTGGACAAACCTAAGAATGTCTCATTCTGGCCAGCAGCCGAAGCATCGCTGCCATCTTCACTGATCCCGCTGCTCCTCACGGCATATCTGATTTCTCGTACCACTTCAAAATCTCCTGTGTTGTCATCTGAATCACTTCCTGTGGCTTCAGACAGTGAATCATTGATATCCTTCAGAATCTCTTCTCGCAAAGTCAAATTGCTTATCATCTCTGTGACTTTGGAACACGATTCCTTGAGATCACCCTCAATTTCTCCTCCACAAATATTCTCGATTATCTCCAAGAGACTCTGCACTTCCTGATTGGTGTGCATCTGAAGCTTGTACGCCGCTGAGGTGACAATGAATCCTCCAGGAACTGTGAAGTTTCCATTCTCAGCGGCACATGTGAGCAGTGCCAAGCTTGCTCCTTTCCCACCGGCCACAGCCACACTCTGAGCATCCGTGTCAGTCAGTTTCACCACCAGCCTCCTTCCGGGCTTGATATCCTTGTACCTCAACCGTCGGCAGCGGCCTTCCTCCACGGGATATGGCAGATTGACTTCCATGAAGGACTCGGGATAGAAAAGACAAACACTCCCGCGTCCTGGAATGCCATTCACTGTGGCCTGGAAGGAGACGAGACGGGAAAACCACTCAAGCGGACGTCCGCCTTGCAGTGGAAGAATCTGATCCAGGTGGAAATGCAGAACAGCTGTGAAATTTCTTCCTTCACCTGCGAAGACAAGCGTCAATGTTCACAAATATTTAACTATGAAAAGACACGCGGTAAAACTCACTGGAAAATCTGAATGTCAAAGCTCGAGGAAGACTTTTGGGGTGTTCAGCCAGAGATGAGAGATGAAAGTCACTCCAGTCAATGGCGTAAACGTCGCCGCATGGCACGCGAACATTCCCAGATTGCACGCTGTGAAATAAATAATCATCACATTCTCTGAAGGTCAAGTTGAAAAGAGTTCCGAGATGAGCTTTTACGATCGCATGTGGCGAGTTGATTGTATACAATACAATTCTATCTCAATTACCACGCAATCTTATCAATGAAATAAGCACATTTTTTCGTATCAATAGAAGCGTCAACTCACTGCGTAAGTCCGTCACTGAAGCTGATTGTGTTAAGTGTAAAAACCAATCCGTCATGACAGGAAATCCAGAAAGTTGCGGAGCGATGAAGATTATCCGTTCTCTCGATGCCCCAGCGCTTCTCCCTGGATCCCGGAAGGTTCAGTTCTATGATGGGACCTTCGGCTATGCTGATCTGTCCGAGAAGACTGCCAAATTGATCCACTCCTTGGACACTGAGCGGCAGCATGTTGCTCCACCTGCCGTCCAGCCAAGGTTCAGTGGCCAGAGCTGATGCCATGAGCTTTGGGCTCCACGACCAGGGCCAGGCAAAGGGTTCAGATGCTGCTCCCCAGATGAAATTCAACCGCACGAACACCAACTCGTCATCCTTAACGGTAGTTGACCACTCCTGGCGAATTCCTCGTCTCAAATATCCCGCGAAGACGATCCTCCAGCGAGAGTTCGCATCCAGACACTGGAACTGCAGACCAGCGACCTCGAAAGCCTCCTCTATGTTGCCAGTGGGAATTCTGGTATCTGGATGCTGAGGGAGAGTGAAGATTTCCCCACTCTCCAGCCTCAGACACATCACCACATCTGCCGCTCGAGACTTTCGGCGGGAAATTCTGACCAGGAGCTCATTTCCCTGAGAATCAGTCCCGTAGAACTGCAGACTCTCCACACTTCCGTCCCTCTCGAGCGTGTGCACTTGATCATCTGGGTGAACACTGAAGAAATTCTCTCCGGGATCCTCTTCCTGAAGCCTCCGACGGATTATCTTCTCCGCCCAGCGCTGCTTCAGGAAGAAGTTCCATTCGGGCAGCGTGTAGTGACCCATGCGATGTTTCTGCGAGCGCCTCTTGAAGATCACTATGAAGCCAACGAAAGATGCTGCGAGAATACCCAGCGGTTGCATAAGAGCCAGCAAGTCCATGGTCAGTCCAGCACGCGCAAAATTCGGCACAAAACTACTTCGTCGGCTGTCGATCGCGGAAGAAGATTGGCGCCCTTGAGCCGTCAGGCGTGTAATCACTTTGCACGCCCACACAGAAGCACTGTCGCATGTGAGCCTGGATCACAATTCTGCCCGGTAACTGATCATGACTGTGCAGGTCTTGGCGATTGTGTTTATCTAGTCTAGATGAAATCCCGCGGTCAGTATCAGCGATGTCGGTCGCGTGAGAGTTCTGCGGCGATGGCAAGTGAAAAAAAATTACGACCACACTAAAGCGATCATAAAGAGATGAACACGAAAAAGATCTCACATAAAAGTTGCGTATGTAAAGTCATGGCTAATTGCTGCTGATCTGTGTAGTGAATCTCACTATGTTAGTTCTCGCACCGTCTTGACCGTTTTTCGGATAAAACTGTCATCACATCTTGGCCACTTTGGCTCTCATGCTCGAAAGGTACTCCCTGATAAGACCCTTGGCTGGAGTCACACGCAAAGCAGTTGTCTTCAGTGACTCCAGCCAAAAGCATGCCGCTCATCTGTGAGAATCTTCCCACTGGGGATCTGGCCAGGAAGGCAGAGTACGTTGGGGTCAGTGATTTCATTCGCATCCGCCACACTCGCCGGCCAAATATTCCCATCGCGCAGAATTGGTGTCTTCGCTCTTACTTCATGCCCGCCAAATATCGCGAGAGTGTTCAACAGATTGAGAACTTCCAAGTGCGCCCGGACGATGTGTGGGTGGTGACCTTCCCCAAGTGTGGCACAACGTGGTCCCAAGAGATGGTGTGGATGCTCTGCAATGACCTTGACTACGACAAAGGGCAATCTGTGGGCCTAAACACTCGGTTTCCCTTTTTCGAGTAAGTTTCGCTGATAAACCACAATGATTTTTACATAATCTTATGGTTCGATATGGATAAGGAAAGAGCGAAAAATCACAAGTAATATTTTCGCACATAATTTTACCTGTGTCTACTTGTAAGCCACTCCCTGTTGTATGCTCCGCCCATTTGATTGTGAAGCATTGTGAACATGCAATTTACTCCTTTAAGGTTGGGAACAATCGTTGGTGATAAGTTTTCGGCGCAATTTGGGGATGTGATATCAGGCTTGGATAAGATGACATCACCACGCTTGATCAAGAGTCACTTGCCAGCTCCTCTCTTGCCTAAAAGCATCTGGGAAGTTAAGCCCAAGATTATCTATGTGGCGAGGAATGTTAAGGACGCTGCTATCTCTTTCTACCATCATTACAAAAATCTTCAGGGATATCGCGGAACCTTCGATGACTTCTTAGACACATTCCTCAATGATGGCGGTAAGTATTTATGGCAAAGTTTCCTTTTTACAAGTCACTATTAATTATTCAACATACTTTTTAGTAATTTACGCTCCGTATGATTCCCATATCATTGATTTCTGGAACATGAGAGATGAGGAAAACATCCTTTTCCTCACGTATGAAGACATGAAGAGAGATCATCCAAGTGTTATTCGGAAAACGGCAGAATTCCTCGGGAAATCCTTCTCAGATGAGCAAATTGAGACTCTTGCGGAGCATCTCACCTTCGATAAGATGACAAGTAAGCAAATTTTGTCCTTAAATGCTATATTTTTCTTATCATTTATTCAATCTTGCATAGAGAACGGATCAGTGAACTTCCAGGAAGAGATGAAAGGCTTCGCGAAGCTGCTCAACATCAAAAAGGATGAGAACTTCAATTTTATCAGGAAGGGAAAAGTGGGTGGATATCATGATGAAATGACCGAGGAGAGAATCGAGATGTTTGACTCATGGATTCAAGAGAGACTCGCAAAGTACAACGTTGATCCTCAGATTCAAGATATTCTTGTTCCCACCAATTGATTGGCAATAAACTTTCTCTTCAGATTATCAGTACTGTTTTTCGCTTCTCATTGTTAACTTGAAAGACATCAATTTATAATCTTTGCACAAGATAAGAGTGATGTAAATCCACAATCAGTGTGTAAACATTCAACTACGAGCATTGCCCTCAGCTATTCAAATGAATTCATGTAATCAGGAAAATCCGGTTTATCTCTAGACTGTGTTGAGGGCTCAGCAGAGCGATAGTCATGCAGTAATTACTCGTCTTTCAAGCAAGAAACATGCCCATCGTTTGCGAGAAGATTCCATCTGGGGAGTGGAGCAGGAAGTCAGAGTACGTCGGAATCGAAGAGTTTAGCTGGGTGAACGAGACTTTGCGTCCAAATATCCCCTTGGCAAGCAAATGGTCAATGAGACCGTGTTTCCTCTCCGCCAAGTATGAAAGAAGTGCTGAGATTGTGGAAAATTTTCAAGTCTACCCAGACGACACTTGGCTCGTCAGCTTCCCCAAGTGTGGCACAACGTGGACACAAGAGCTCGTGTGGCAGTTGTGCAATTTTGATTTGGCCACAGAAAGTCCTCTGAGGTCCAGATTCCCCTTCCTTGAGTGAGTATTATGAGGAGAAATTTGGCATCTGCAAGACTAACGCAACTTTGTCATCCACGTCAGATTGGGTTGCATAACTTACGATGCTTTCAAATTGGATATGATATCCATTCTACAAAAAAAGTCTCCTCCAAGATTCATCAAGACTCACCTTCCAGCTCATCTTCTGCCCAAGCAGATCTGGTCGGTGAAACCAAAAATAGTCTATGTCACGAGGAATGTTAAAGATGCTGCTGTCTCCTACTATCATCACTACAAAAACCTTCAGCACTACAAAGCATCGTTTGAAGACTTCATGGACGCTTTTCTCACGGACAAAGGTAAGAAATGGCCTATCAATGAGAAAAAAGTGCTGACAAGACACCTTCGCAGTGGTTCACGCTCCGTATGACTCGCATGTAGTTGATTTCTGGAACATGAGAAATGAGGAAAACATCCTTTTTCTCACGTTTGAAGACATGAAGAGAGATCATCCAAGTGTTATTCGGAAGACGGCAGAATTCCTCGGGAAATCCTTCACAGATGAGCAAATTGAGACTCTTGCAGAGCATCTCAGCTTTGATAAGATGATAAGTAAATTGATTGAAAATCTTTCAATGCAGCTATTTAATGAGTTACTCTTATAATTTTAGAGAATGATGCTGTAAATTACCGCAAGGAAGTGAATCAATATCACCAGATTTGCAATACTAAAAAGGACGACGACTTCAATTTCATCCGGAAAGGACAAATCGGCACTTATCGCCAGGAAATGTCTGCTGAGATGATTGAGAGATTCGACAAGTGGATTGAGGAAAGATTAACGAAGTGCAAAGCAGATCCGCAAGTCTTTGAGATTTGCAATCCAAAAAATTAATATTGCAGTGCAATTATTCTGAAATGCAAAACAATGCTAATTGACCAATTTCCTGAACAGATTATTCAATTCGAATTTTACACATACAAATTGATTGTTGTATTTTTGATAAAAAAAATATCTTTATTTCTGAATTGTATAATTTTCCATGGATATATAAAGAATTTACAAAATGATTTTACCTTGGATCTGACAAAACTTACTAAAACTGAGAGAAATTCAGTAGCACAAACCTATTATAAACGTGACCATATGAAGAAAACTACTTTAGAAAAAACGCACACTTTGTTAGCCTGTTCAGTTCAGACATTTCGTTGTGTATTCTATGAGAAATGATAAGAACAGAAAAACCAATTTTAAAGTTCAGTCAAGCGTTTGTTTTGTGATGTTCATGTGTATTTTCACCACATTGGCACGAGAATTATCTAACAATTAAACTCGCAGCATGAAATTTTCAAATGTTTTTTTGCCACTTTTATCTCCAACAGAGAGACGATAAAGATTCAACGCACTGTTTTTTTCCTCTGATTTGATAGAGAGAGAAAAAAAAAGATAAATGATACAATGAATGTAATTCATCTTAGCGACTCCAAAAATAATACACGGCGAGATAAGTTTATTTAGGAAACACATCATCAAGTGTTATTAAACTCGATTGGACAATTTTGCAATGGGCTGCGGAGTCAAGGTGATATTTATACAAATAACTGCTGCACGCGTCACTTTATTGCACTGAATACTTGACACAGTTCTTGTGATCGATATTTAGATCTTTGGACGCTCCTGAAGAAAAAAGATCTTCCAGAGTTCGGGGTCAACTTTGCGGTCATTTAAGCGCTTCTTCAGCCAATCATTGAACTTGGCGATCATTTCGGGAGTCATTTCGTCCTGGAAGGAGCCCACTTTGCCCTTCCTCACGAACGAGAAGTCCTCGTCGACCTTCCTGATGTTGAAATTCTCTGCCATGTCCTTGATCTCGAGCAGAAGATCCACAGATTCATTTTCTATACATGAAAGAAGAGTCTTTGATTATAATTTTTTATGGATTTACCTTTGTTGAATCTCACTAGACATCTTATCGAAGGTTAAGTGATCGGCAAGCTCCAAAATTTGATTCTCCGTCAAGGATTTTCCCAGAAATTTTGCAGTTTTCTCAATAACTGCCGGATGATTTTTTTTCATGTCCTCGTACGTGAAGAAGAGAATGTTCTTCTCATTCCTCATGTGCCAGAAATCCATTATGTGCGTGTCGTAGGGTGAAAAGAGCACTAGAAAAGGGGAGAAAAAGCATAATAAGATTGTGATTTGAGGTTTTCTTTCGAAAACACATACCAAGATCCTTCATAAAGATTTCAAGAAAATCACTTAAATTGCCATGATAGTCTTGAAGATTCCTGTAGTGATGATGGAAAGACACAACCACGTCCGCTGCATTCCTGGCAACATAGATGATTTTCGGTTTCACCGTCCAGATCTGCTTGGGTAGCAAAGGAGCTGGCAAGTGGCTTTTGATGAATCTCGGAGATGGTAGTTTGTCGATCATGCCGAAAGTATCGAAATTAGCTTCCGGAGGCATGAGCGCGCCAAATCTGCGAAGACAGAGAATTTAACGTGGTTTTTTTTTCTCTTGATAATCGACATCACACAAAATACCCACTCAAAGAACGGAAAGCGAGTGTTTAGACCAATAGATCGTCCTTTAGCATAGTCAAGGTTATTGCAGAGCATCCACACCATCTCCTGTGACCACGTTGTGCCACACTTGGGGAAGGTCACCACCCACACATCGTCCGGGCGCACTTGGAAGTTCTCAATCCTCTCCAGGCATCTTTTGTAGTATGTGGGGAAGAAGTAACCTGTGTTTGTCCATTTGGAGGCACTCGGAATTGCAGGACGATCGTTGCTTCCGAATCTCGAGTAGTCTTCTATAGTCATGTACTTGGCCTTCTCATAGGCCTCATCTCGCTCGATAGCTTCACAGAACGAATTCATGACTCGCAAATGATCAGAGCAAGACTGACGATGTGCCGTGAGCTCTGAAATCTATTGCTTCTACAGTGGAAAAGATAACATACACACACATTCGCTAATTCAGCGCAATTGGTAATATTTACTGTCAATATTATCATTCATAAGAGTGGTTGAATAATAATTTGTGCTTGGCAATGTGTTGGTGGATTGTCGTGGAATTTATCAGCAGTCAAAATATTTAACATAGAGACACAGTCTTTAATTGTTGACACTGATAACAATTTTCAAAGAAAGTCTTTGTGAACAAAAATGTCTTTAAACTCAGAATAAAAACACAGTTATTAATCTACAAAAATGTGCACAATTAATGTTATTGGAATTTGCTGAAATTCCACAGTTAAAATTCGAATATAAAATGACAGCTGCGCTCGCAGCGCCAGTGAAAAAGTAGTGGAAAAAAAGTGTACGAAGAGAGCGTCGGGTGAGTTTTGGAGAGCATTAAAAAGGGAGAATACGATAAAATTTACTGAATTGTTTTATTCCCAACAATTAATTAAGGACAATCTTATGTATTTCTGGATCATCTTTCCAATCTCCTAGACGATGTTCTAGCCAAGAATCGATCTTGCCTATAAGATCACTAGACATTTCGTCCTTGTACGCATTCACTTGACCTTTTCGGACAAACCGAAAATCACCACCGAGAGAAATGTTGCGTTGCTGTTGCATAAGTTGAAGGCCTTCGTCAAAATTGACATATGTGTTTTCTTCAACAAAGACACAGAAATAATAGCTAATATGAAATTAAATTATTGCTAAGAACTCACTTGAGAATTTATCAAAGCTGAGATGCTCCGCAAGAGTCTCAATTTGCTCATCTGTGAAGGATTTCCCGAGGAATTCTGCCGTCTTCCGAATAACACTTGGATGATCTCTCTTCATGTCTTCATACGTGAGGAAGAGGATGTTTTCTTTGTGTCTTAAGCTCCAAAAACTCAGGACATGAGAATCATAAGGAGTACCCATAACTATGAAAGTGCAAAAAGTCATAAGATAATGATTGAAGTAAATTTCTTTGCAATTTTTACCCTGAGAGTTTAAGAAAAGATCAACAAATTGCGAAAGATTGCCGGAAAATTTGAAAATATGCCGATAGTGATGATAAAAAGATATCAGACAATCCTTAACATTCCTGGCTACGTAAATAATCCTTGGTTTCACAGTCCAGATTTGCTTGGGCAGAAGAGGAGCCGGCAAGTGTGTCTTGATGAATCTTGGGGACGATTTTTGGTCTGCATTTTCAAGTGTTTTCACATCAGAACTCTTCCAAAGACATCCCATTCTGTAATTCATAATATTTAAGAGCTTATCAACATGTTTTTTCATGTGAAACTTATTACATACTCAAGAAATGGGAATCTGTCATGGAGATATTGCGTGGTGTTTAGGTTGAGATTACTAGAAAGTTGCCACAGCATTTCTTGGCTCCAAGTTGTTCCGCACTTTGGAAACGTGACGAGCCAAATGTCGTCCGGTCGCACGGCAAATTCCGCAATCTTACTCGTGAAATTGGCAAATTTCTCAGGAAAGCAGTAAGAATTTGTCCATAACTTGGCAGGAATCGGCAATTCCTCAGGTATTTCAGTATTTCTCACATGAATGAAGTCTGTCTCTTCGAAGAAAGTCACTTCTTTAGGCAGTTGAATTGTCTCACAAGAAAAAGACATGATTCAAAGAGAATTCACGCAACACTGATGACTTTATCATTGAAAATGTATCAAATTTTACTTTTTGATATTCTTATCTGTCATCCCAAATTGGAGTGAACTTATCAGAATTATATAATTTCTTTCATGTCCTTATCTGTGCCTCGGGAACTTGTTGAGCATTATTGAAATATAGCTTCTCAGACTCTCATTAATCTTTATACCATTTTACTCCGCCTTTAATCTAAGTTGTTGCATTACACAAATTCCATACAACAACATTTTCCAGGTATTAATCACTCACCTTGGTCGCGTCCTTTTGAAACATTTTACGACTCTCTGCCAACCCTCAATTACTTATGAGCACATCCTTAAGCTTTTTATGACTGGCTGAAGTTTCCACTCACACCACTTTAAGTCCGTCGTCTCGAAAATGCGAAACCATATTATGAATGTACGATAAGAATCTATGTTTACATCGCTATAAAATTCCGTCGATATTGACATAACGGCCACAAATTGCCGGTGAATCTTTTATGTGAGCGAAAATACCAGAAAATCACTCAATTTCTGCCAGTGTGGAGAAAGTATGAGAATTTCCACGACAAACCCATGAAACTTTAACGAGTGTGAAAACCCTCCCGGTCTCTTGTGGGGCGAAGGAGGAGGCGGCGGAGGAGGGGGTGGAAAGTGTGAGGAGAGATGGATGGTATGGATCATATTCCGCAAAAGGATTTACACCCCGTTGGAAATGTATCATCGCATCTTTATACACCACATTTCTTATGGATAAGACCCGCAATATTATGAATTTTTATTTAAATTCCCTCCATTTTTACATAAATTCATAAATTTCTCATCTTATTACACTCTCTTTCCCTCACTTCTGGCGCTCTCTCTCTCTCTTATTCAAATTTAATTCCCATCATACGCTTTTTCCGAAGGCAACGGGCGAAGGAGAAGAGCGCCCGTGAATTGACGTTGAAGTATTTTCAGGGAGATTCACTTAGAGTTACAATTAATTAAATTCACCCAATATTAATTGATGACGGAAGTGTTTTCTCACACTTTTCCACGTCCAAATACACTTTCAGCACTTTCCATCACAATTGATGGCGCACTCGTGGAAAGAATGCAAATCTCCTCCTCAGGAATCAACAAAATTGATTGGAGTGGAGTGAGGAAAATGCCACAGCAGCAATTTTCCCGATGGCAGATTGAGAACTCTCAAAATCATGAAATACACTTATTGCTAATTGACTAGAGCCACCCATCTTTGGATTGTCTCCTGGCGGGCTTCGGGATTGAAAGCTTCACCTCTTCAGCAATCTTTGCGGGCTTTCGACACGCCGGGGGAGAAGAAACGGGTTTCTCTTCCTCCTCCTTGTCCGACACCAGCTTCTCCCGACTGCCAGACACACCCGGATCCAGAGCCAGAGACTCGATTCCTGGAATGCTGCTCTTTCGCGGCGTCGGTGGGGGAATTTTCGGAGGCGACAGAGCCTTGGCAGGACTTGATTCCGTCTTGGACGGCGGAGGTGGGATCATGCCTTGACCGGCAGGCGGCTTCGCTGCCACAGGTCGCGAAACTGCGATGTCTGCAGCAGCAGGAGCCTTTCTCTTGATCACCTTGTACTGGTTGGAAGTGTCGGGAAGCTTGTCTGAGCAGGTGATGAGGATCTCAGGCGGTGGAGAGGTGATCCTGGGCGGAGATGTGACACTTTGTGGAGGTGTAACACTTTGCGGAGGTGTTACACTTTGCGGGGAAGTGATCCTGGGCGGAGACGTCACACTCGGCGGTGAAGTGATACTGGGAGGAGAGCTGACGTCGGATTTGGGAGGTGGCGACACCACACCTGAAACACTAGGAGCAGGAATATTCTCCATTTTCTTGGGGACCTCAGGAATCCTCTCTGGCCTGGGACTCTTTGCCAACCCCTGAAGAATCTGCGCTGCTGGCGAAGTGGCTCTACTTTTGCCTTCCTTGGACGGATTCAAGGTGCCTCTTGGTGATATTTCCCCAATTTCATCCTGCATGTTCTTCAGCAGCTCCATGAGAGTGTTCGTCGTGGGATCCACAAGATCAACCGGTGTAACACTGCCACTGCGATGCCTGGGACTGCGCTGCACCAGCCTCTTGGCCTCTTCCATGGCGCGCAGCAAATTCTGCTGCTTCTTGAAGCTCTCTCGATTGCGACATCGGCCAATCTGGGAGTCCATCTGAATGCCCACGCCCTGCATCACCTGGCCCCACATGTGGCTGGTGGAGGCGTTGGCCACCTGCCTGGCCACGCGGCGGAATTTATCCAGGCCCGTCTCAGTACCGGCCGGAGGCGCTTCGGCCGTCTCATCTTCACCCTCTGCACCCACGGCGGCCACGTGGAAGTCCTTCATGAGGCGACGCTCCCAGACCTTCATCCTCTTGGCCAGCACCGTCTTCTCCTTTCGCTGCACAATCGATATGTCCATGCCATTGAGACCCAGGACTTCTATCAACTCGTATCGCATGGCTGAGATCTCCATCTTGACCTGCAGAGAGAAGATGAAATCATCAAGAGCAGCTGCTTTGCCCAAAACTCACCTCATTGATGTCATCCTCCGTGACGCTGTCCTCCTCGCATCGCCTGTGCATGGCAGAGACGTAACGCCACACCAGAGCCCGAATGACACTAGTATACCTGTGCTCGCGCTCCTTCTCCTGATTGCGTCGGATCGTGGATTTCCTCTCGATCACCCTCTTCTTCTTCTTGGAGCAACCAAAAAGCCGCATGAGCAGCTTCATCGAGGGGAAAATGTTGAACGGCGGCGGCAGTGTCGCGCTGTCCTCGAAGTAACTCATCCACAGCTTCGTCCTCGCGAACTTCCACTCTGTGTCCGAGTGCTCGTCGATCATGGCATACGAATTGGACATCATGGCGATGAGGAGGTTCAGCAGCACAATCACATTGATCACACTGTAGCTGCCGAACATGAGGAGGCCCCAGAAGCGTGTGTAGGACTTAATCCCGGCTAGCTCGAATGTCTCCAACTCCACCATGCCGAAGCTCGCCCAGAAGAGCGACTGCGAGGACTCAAAGAGGCTGCGGAGAGAGGAAACAAGTGCTCGTCAATGTATCTCAGGTGGAAAATGCAATTTTCCATTCGTGGTGCGCTCGCGAGGTGGATTTAATGTGGTTTGAATGAGATTCCAGCAATTTCCGCGTGCAATTTTTATCCGTCTCGCGTGAAAATTGTCCTTCAGCGGAAAATCTCCTGAACAATTTCACCAATTTGTCTCACAAATCATTTCTGCGGATGGGAAAATCCCACCCACTTTGCCGAGAGGGATAAAATGTGCAGAGAGAGCCAAGAAAGATGCGCTAATGCGAAATAATGTACATCACTATACTTACTTTCCAAATCGTCTCCACTTCATGCAGGCGTCCGAGTGGGCATTCCAATCAGGCAATCCTCCGGGCAGTGAGTAGCACTTCTGCTTCTCCAGATCGGCAAAGTACCACAGCAGCTGATTCAGGCCGCACGCGAAGGCGAACAGCACGAGTGAGTAGATGAAGAAGAACTTCACGATGTCGATCACCATGCGACCTAGCGAGATTTGAAGTGGTCCCAGATGAGGATTTATGGAGAAGAGATGCACCAGCTTCAGTGCTGAGAAGATGTTCGCCGCCGCGAAGAGTCCCTCGGCGATTAGCTGCGGATCGAAGTCGTTCCAGTGTTCTCGGGCAATGTAGGCTGTGCTGGGATCACGACTGATCTCGCTGGTTTGCTGGATGTACGCGAAGATGCGCAGACAGGCCACCATGCAGTATAGAAAGTTCCGCATGAAATCTATAAAGTTCCACATGTTGCGCAGATAGCTCTGTATGCCCTCGGCGAAGATCTCCTGTGTTTCCTCCCAGATGAAGCCCAGGACATAGACTACTACCAGGAGTTCCAGGTAAGTTGGTGCGTTTCCGCGCTGCTTCATCAGCTCCTCTTCCAGCTCCCGACGCATACTTTCAGTGCCGAACAAGAGAATCACCTGGACTTCCGCTCTCTGAGAGACAAGGATCAGCAAAACTATCCAAACAAATTATATAGAATATTCAGCAAACAGTTTTCTCATTCTATTGTACTCACAGAGGAAAAAGAGATACGACGAGGCGTGGATCAGGAACTTCATGAAGGGCTTCCTCATGAGCTCCGCTGTGGAGCACGTAGGCGCAATCATGTACAGCGCGCAGTAGAGCGGGAAGAGCAGCGCCACGCGCATGCAAATGGTCATCTTCTGCATGGCCGTCTTGCGCCGGAAGCCCGGGACTCCTTCGTACCAGAGCGCAGCGAGGAGTTGCTGAATATTAGGATGAGCCACGAACTTCTTCTGCTTGTAGTCGATGGCCAACTCAAGTCTGGCCAGTTTCATGTGATCTCCATCCATGTAGGGCGGAGATTCGGGATCGTGATTGAGGATAATGGCGAGTTCCTGGCTGCTTCGTGACTGATCCAGGAGATCGACAGCGAATTGCTGGCATTGCTTCCGCAGCTCAACATAGTCGGATTTGCACTCCTGTTCGGCGAATGCTAGATTGCGCAGTTCCCAGGACAGCTGAAAGGCCGTGAGCAGAGGATCCGCCGAGCTGAGTGCCATCAGCGAAGGACTGGCCAGAGCCTTGTACTCATTAACACGCGACAGGGAGTGTCTGAGGGAATCCTCAGATGACTGCCGGATGCAATCATTACAGCCACACTTGATGTCATGCGGAACTGGAATGGTGGCTCCGCGATCCAGCAGGATCTTCAGGATCTCGTAATTGTTCCGATGCGCTGCCAGGATGAGTGGTGTGATATCTGGCGTGAACATTGCAGTGTTGATGTCCACCTTCTGCCAGCTCTGTGTGTGTCAGAAGGCATTGGAAAGGTGTTTAGTTAAAGGAATTCGAGGAATCCTATGGTAATTATAGATTCCCCTTGAAGGAAGTAACATCATTACGAAGTCATGAGAACGGCTAAGTCTCAACGTGAGCTCAGTGATAAAAATGATATCGAGAAGATGCCAGAGGAGGAAAGAGCAGCCAAAGTCGCAGTGATTAAGAATTAATGGAGTCCACCTGAGTAGCAGCTTTCAGGGCAAATTGAATTACTCACGTAGGGTTCGCCGTCCTTGTGGATGATCTCCTCGTGCTCCAGCAGCAGCTCCACCGCCTCCACAAACTCCGCATTGATGGCCTGCAGGAGAGCGTCTCTTGTCTCGACGCCCATGATTACGAGAAGCTCCACCATCTCGAGATTCTCGCCATCAATGGCGAGCGTGAGGGCGCCCCTTCCCAGCGGATCCATGCAATTGATGTTGAAGTGGTGCTTCCGGCCGGCCTTCTGCAGCATCCTAAAGAGCGGGAGCGTTTGAGTGTCGAAAAGCGTGTGTGTGTGGATGTCAAACAAACCTCCTCACATTGGCCAAATCGCCCCTCTCGACGGACAAGAGGAACTTCTTCTCGTCAATTGTCAGGGGCTTCGGCAAATCCAGTGACATGGAGCCAGTCAAATTGCCAATTCCCGGCACTGGAGATGGTGAAGTGTCCATGTCAACACTCACCTTCGAGCAAACACACACCCAAAAAAAGCCCAGAGAAGATAAGCGAATGCAAATTGGCGTGGAAAAACATAACAAGAGGGCGAGAGAAGAGAAAAAAAACTCACCGACTCCGAATCCTTTCTTTCATTCCCCATTTTTCCGGATTATCCTCTCTAGCGCACTTCCCGGCTGAGACACTCTTTCATCCTTTGCCAAGCGCGCCCAATGTTGGCGTGCAAATTAAAGGAAAACACCCAAGTGATGCCAAGAAATCACACGACGATCCCCTTTCATCCGCCGGATTTCTCAAGCATGCAAATATTTGCTCACAATCCTCACAAGAATTCCTTCGGGGTGAAAGGAGAAGAAAAAAAGGTCAAATTGCCGTTAAATGCCTGCCAGCCGAGCGTGCACCCGCGCGATCTCGAGCGAATTGAATGGGGTTGGGCTCGCGGGTGGGTTGAAAAAGAGAGACCCTCAAATAAGCCAGACGTGTTGGGTAAAGAGGTGGTGAGAAAATCGCCTGCAGGAGTCAAATTCCCGCATTCAAAACGCTCCGCAAAATAGGATTACGTTAAACAGAGGAGGAATTTAATTGTGCGAAAAGGATCACAAAACACACTTTTCCCCATGCACGGTAACACCAGATGAAGGCACAACTGAAGCCTCCACCTGGACACATCACGGCATTTATAGTCGATGCTGTAATTGAATTAGTGCAGCCCTGCACAAGTTGGATTACTGCCTTTTCTTTTGCCAGCAGAACAAGATTTGTGGGTCAACTTTTTGAGTTCTATGGGTTGAGAATCGATACTTTGGGTTTGTGAACTCACATGACGCTAAAAATACATTGCGCCAAAAGGTACTTGACGAGCGCAATGAAGTGCCTTTCGCGTCACAGTGGTCAAAGCAGTGGAAAAATAATCGATGGCGCCGCCAGAGACACGATTTGGGCAGAAGAGTGATCTTCAAAAATATTTCACAAATTTATTGCCACACTGATGGAGGTGATGTGGGATGTTGGGCGCTTAGTTGTGTTTGAGAGGGAATTTTCGGACAATTAGACTTGCAAAAAGGAGCTATATTGTGAGCAATGGAGAAAGTATTGACCAGAAGTTTGAGTTGAACATATTCGTCAGTTTGCATTATGAGTTAACTTTGAAAATTCTATTAAAAGAGTCTTCTAATGAGCTCCAATTATTCAAAATTAAAAACGCCAAACGAAGAGTTCTAACTGGGAAAACAAGCACTCAGCGAAAACACTCGGCCTCCATCTGTTTTCCTTCACTTTTCCGAGCGCCGACGTGAGGAAAATTCTCAAGATGATCTTGCATCTCGCGTCAGTTGATCGCCAGTCACGAGGGAGTGAAGTTGAGAGTCGTGATCACGAGTGATCAAGTGAGTGGCTTTAATTAGATACAAGTGCAAGTTTTCCGTGCTTTTCAGCCCTTCGCCGAGTGAGTTGATGTGAATGAGAAGGAGTCAGGAAGTCTCTCGATCGCCGTTCGAAGTGCGTGAAAAATGAGTCAGAAAGTGTGCAAATTTTTCCTCGCACGCAAAGAGCGCAAATCAATATGATATGCAGAGCGATGGGAAGGTGCCGTTTTTTTTTTTTGAGGGGAAAAAGCTTCTGGGCTTCGCGCGTGTTGGAAAAGAGATGAAAATTGGCCCAAAAATAGACGTGTGAGTAGAACTGAGGGGCATCCAAAGGGGAATCCATCACAATTTTCACTGCATTCCTCAGCATGTGCTTCACCACGAAAATACGTGGTTTGAAGACACAAAGAGGAATAAATAAAAATACAATGGAACATCATTTTCGTTGATCGTATGGCGTCTGTTTGGGGGCCTCTTCGCGTCTATTCATAGAGTTTATTGCATGAGATGAAAAAGCGGAAAATTCTCTCTCATCCTCTCATGTCGCTTGTTGGGGAGAAATCTTAGGCGTATCGCTCGTTTTTTCCGCGACAAATTTATCGGGGAATTTTCTTTTTTCTCGCCCCCTTGTCAAAAATCCGCGTGCGTGAAATGTACCCAAAAATACCATTTGGACATATGAAAAAAAATACTGCGCCATCGAGTGGAAAACTTTTGCCATCATTTCAATTTGCACGCCCAATCGAAAAAATCCCCACCCACAATCGTGCGGAATCCTCAATGAAAGCCCAGTATTTGGAAGTGAATGGAGATTGTAAATCACAAGGAAGTAATACATTTTCACGGTGAAATCATCACTGTTGCGGCGGAGGAAAAAATTCGCGATCAAGTGTATTTAAAACACTTATTTATAGACTTCCCGAAAAAAAAAACTATTTTCACGATCACGAAGAGTGTCTTTCCGCACTCTCAAAAAATTCTATTTTCTCGCGTGCGCGCCAGGAAATCCACTGTAAAAATACACATCATCGATTTCATGAAATTTCGCGGACTTTTCCCAATAGTGAAAGTGTGCTCGAAACCATAAATCAGTGGGTGTAAATTAATCCTCTTAAGCTCCTCTCAATATAAAAACGAAGTTAATGGCTTTTTATCACATCGATAGCGTCGTGAATGCATTTGAAGGTCTCACGTTGAAGGTCGTTCGTTGGTTTTCACGCAGCGAAAGGCCACCGAAATTATTTGCAAAAATTCTTTCAAACTGATCCCATTGAGAGTGCGCAGTGTTTTTCAGTGCCGCGGAAGCGCTGCGCCTCATAGAAATGATCCCTCGAGGGGCGGCTGAGTAATCGAATAAGCTGACCAAAGTGGTGGAAAAGAGCATCGAAAGCGGTGATGAATCATTGCATAATTGTATGACAAAATAGCTTGGAATTGCAGAAATTTCATTAAAATCTCGGTTAATATTTAATAAAGCCAGCCAAAAGAGTCTGCCAAATAGCTGACAAAGGAACTTTAATTCATTCACAAATGCGCATAAAATTTACTACAGCATGCAAAACTCCTCTATCACAACAGTTTATTGAAATTCCTCAAAAATGACTAAGATCTGAAACAGTTTCAATTAAAATTTATATGCAATTTGCAAGGAGCAGATATTATGGTCGGAAACTGTGAATATTTCACTTTTTCTTGGCAGAGTTGAGCATAGAAATACAGACAGAAATCTAAATATTTGAAGAGTCTAAACTTCTTAAGATGACAAAAACCTGGATTAGATTCAAGAAACAGTTAAAGGAGTCGAAAAAGTGATGGAAAATGCCTCGAGAGGCGTTTGGAAGTGTCTGAAGTGTTTAAGCTTCTGCACAGAAAGTAATTTTCCTCGCTTATGCGCCCCTTGAGCTGTCGAATAGGGAAGAATTGCACAAGCGGAGAGGGTGAGAGTGAAATCACGAGAATTACTTGCATTTTCTCCATTTCGACGTCTATTTTCGACCATGACGTCGATGGTGGGCAATGAAGAGCAGCGCAAAAGCATATAATGAGGCCCGTATAACTTGTTAGCCGAATAGATATTCGATAAAGGTTTGATTCATTGATGCCCATAATTGATTTGCTGACCTTATCAATGCTGAGGCTCATTTCGTATCACTTTTTTCTGCGATATTTTACCTGAAGCTTTATCTTATCAGCTGTGGGTGAAAGAATTATGGATGTGGAAAAGACTGGCAAATCTGGCATCATTTCACCACCGAACGTGTGATCGAGTGATTTCCACAAAGTGTCCATCCCAAGAATCATCATCATTTCTCATCTCTTTGCATGTCGAACAGCGAGACAGCGGCAGAATGTCAGCTCCAAAGCTAAATTGTGGGTGTTGCGTGGTGAACGGAGACTGAGAAAAAAGGAGGTGTTTGGAAAAGCAGCCAAAAGCGAGATTACAACACCCGCATATTTGGATCAAGTGCCTTGAATATTAGGGATAACAGAGACACTGTGCAGACACACAAATCAATTGGATTATATTGTTGGTGATATTTAATCCGGTGTGCGCGAATCAAGTGAAAACCAACACGAAGGTGGAAAAGTTGCAATCCGACGATAAATTAAAAAGCCTCTCTTTTTTCACCCAGAGACTAAAGTGTGAACCAGAGTGTTGATAAAATAGAAATAAGCTCTGCTGCCTGCGAAAATGATCCACATTGATGAATCAGATCCGGTTGGCGGTAAGTGAATTGCAAATATTTAGAAATTGTCGGTCCACGCGAATTGGCGTCAATGAACGCCCCTGTGGCGAAAGGCCCTCGAAAAGTCGGCTCTTCACGTGGAGAAACCTCGAGATCGCGCGAAAATCCACTTGTTTCCTCTCAATCTTCCTCATGCACACGAACTTCCAAGGCGCACATCATGAGAATGGCAAGCAAATTGACTTTAGCCATTTGGTCAGGTGCCAAGAGTGACTGAAAGCAAACCTCCTGTAAGTTCTGTTGTTCAACTGTTGAGCACTTTTCACATGTTTTCCCCACTCTCTCTTCACTCTTGACTGTTCGCCAAGCGCGAAAACATCCGCCAACAGTGAGAAGAGCACGCTTAGAAACTTCCAGGGAGGAAAATTGATATGGTTGAGAGAAAATCAGTCGTAAAATATTTAGCTAGATTGTTTGTTTTTCCTCCCTCGTGAGCGCGTGTGTGGCGGAAGTTTTCAACTCTTTGCCACACTGAATTTTGCCTCCCTCATGACAAACAAGTTCATTCACCAGAGCGCCAAAAAAGACACAACAATTGCTGCATTGCATAACAAGTGGATGAGAAAGTTCTCTCCGTGTTTTTCTCGGCACAAAAAGGTGACATTGACTTTCACCGCAAAGCACATACATTTCAATCACGAGGGAGTCGAAAGATGCTCGACACATAAGTATAGAGAAATATTATTAGGAATTCCGTGCAACACGGAAAATTCATTAAAATTTTCATTCTGCTATATTGCATTTTGAAAGTCATTTGTAATTCCGTTGGTTTTAGCGTGGGGAGGAAAATTGAAAACGTTCCGGAGGTTCAGAATGTCCACAGTGAAAACAAGAGCATTGAGAAAGGGGCGTAAATACTGTGCAAATATTGATTTAATCGCTCTTTAAAACCTTTAAGAGCTTCACTGAACATCCAAATCAAACAAGAGAAGAGCTTTCAAAGCCGTCACTTCCTGTACTTGGCCAAAGGAATTAATAAGCAATTAACATTCCAATGTCTTTAGGGTAAATTCTGCATTATATGGTAGCGATTGCTCCTATTATGCTCTCCCAATAGTCTCCGGACTAATCCCTATCATATTAGCAGTCTGGTTTTCATACTGTATTTTCTTCAAATAATTAAAACGAATTCCAAATCTCGTTCTATAGCTTGAACTACACGGTTAATTGCCCACAAATGCCACAAACCTCTTCTATTGGTTGAAATAATCGTAAATTCATACCTATAAAATATTTTAGATGCAAAGCAACGCATCCAAGTATTCAGTGAAACTTTAACTCTTTCTTTAACTATCGTTCTAATGGTTCTGTTGGTATTTTGGCGGAAAAACATACATTTCACACTTACGAATCAATGAATTTGTCCTCAATCGCCAAGATATTTAGCCACTGACTTGTTGGAAAAATTGCATTTTCCTCATTGTTTCCAAATTCTCACTTTTTGTTGCGCTTTCTAATAACACACTTGACAACTCTCAGGTTAAAATGAAATTTTTCCCAATTGGACAATAAAAAGTACACTTTGTAGTTCAAAAAGAATGCTTCGTGTTAATCAAATGTTACTCTCTGCATATTGCACAAATAAGAACGATGAAATAAATTAAAACACCTTTTTCGAGTGGTCAAGAGATGATTAAGATCGGGCAAAATATGTAATTTTGATAACACATTCAAAATACCTGCCGAAAGATGACTTTGTAGACCTCATTTGTGTTGATGGAGTGAAGCAGATGCTCTTCATCAAGTGGAAAATTTATATTTATGAACAAGTCAAAGAAGTTTTGTTAGTCAAAATTCAGAACAAACCGAAAAGCAAGAACATGTTTTTCTGGCGCTTCCGTTCATCCAAATTTCGAAATATACTCACTTTTTGGCTAAACAAATAATCACACACATTTCTCTCTCTCTCTCTGAAAATATAAAATTTATGAATAGCCATCTTAACCACCCCAAAATTCACGAGGATTCCTCCGCGCGCGAGTTTATCACCAAATTTCACTAATTGCCCATAAAATACCCAGTGAGAGACACAGAAACAATTATCTCTGTTTTGCTCTCAGCCGAAAATCTTTTCCCATCTTCATGTTTATATCGCTTAAATGTCAATTTAGATATTTTAACAAATATCGGGGTCATGAGCACTTCATTCATTCTCAACCCACCCAAACTTCTGATTCATCTCACATTGAGGCGGTATTTTTAGTCCGCAAGAAGCAGAGAGTCAGAAATCATCGCAATTCATCATTACATGTGAAATGTTGTGAAGTGTCTTTATGGTTTTCTCCATTTGCGAAATTTTCCACTAATGAGTTAAATCAAATTTGAGCAAAAGTCTCGTGGGAAAATCTCAATTTGCAGCTATGAAGTGTCGCGGCGCTTGCATTTTTGTCGGCGGGATTTTCCTCAATGAAAATCGAACATTTGGGCGGCATTAAGAGGTATTCGAGCCTATAAATAATATCTCACAATGTACTTATGTCGAGTCATTCGTTTTTAATTGAGTCCCAGTGGAGAATTTGACTGTTTGCCAGGAAAATCACCAAATTCTGCCACATATTGAAGCTACTTCGTCAGACTGAAATTGATGATTCCGCCCAAGGAGGGTAAAATGGAGTAAATGGTGTACTTTTTTTTCCTCCTCTCAAGTGGATGAAATTTCATCGTGAGATTCTCGACGAGTTGAAGATGTTTCGCAGTTATTTAGGTCGTGGCCACTTGATAAAGTTCGCCTCCCTCTTGAGGCATTTTGTGAGGCACTTCACGAGTGCACAGCATTGAGAAAGCAGAGAATTCTCACCCTTGGGCGCTCAGTGCGGAAGAGGAAACTCCCCAAGACAGCGCGCGCGGGAAATCCCTCGAGAGTGAAATACACGCCAAACATCACCATGAACTATCGACATTGAGTCGCACCAACTCAAGTTCAGCAAACAAACGACGCCGACCGATTTAGGAGCATCGCGAGACCACCTCAATCTCAGCCGAAACGCGTGCACGGGCTATTTCGGGTCTGCGCTCCCTTACAAGAGACTGAGAGAGTGAGGGAAACATGTGAATTTCCACACGCGGACACTCGAAATTCCCTCGCGTTAATTATTTCGTAAATTTCCTCATTTTCTCAGCTATTTCTGACCAATAAAGTCTCGCGCTGAGGCACACAACTTGGAATGTTGTGATTTTTTCTTCTTTTTTTTGCCTCTCCTCGAGCGCATCAGCATTTTGGCATTCCACGCGCTCGAGAAAAAGCGAAAGAACTTCGGGAAAAGCATCAGAAGAGCCCTTCCTCAAGTGTATTCTTTTGAATATTCGCAGAGAAACTAGGAAAAGTTTCACAGAGATCTCAAGGAGAACATTTCTCTAGTTTCAATGGTTTGAATATGGCAAAGGTTCTCTCGCTCTCCTTGACCATCTTCCGGAATCTTAAGTTGATGTACCACAGAGTGTGGCAGATGAAGTGTCAGAGTCAGAAAAATTGCAACATATTTCCACAATTTGATTTTCTTGTGGCTTCAATGTTGCGTTAGGAAGAAAAATATTTTTGGAAAATCAACAAATTCACGAGAATTTCTGTGCCAATTCTACAAATTTACCGCTTCATTACGATTATCTGAGTCACCAAAAAGAATGTAGCTTATTTATGCACAGTGGCTTCAATTTAAATAGTAACACCGCAATATTCCGATTATCTAGACAAGTTTAGAGTCGAATCAAGTAAAGCTATTGAAAGCCTTTCACATTAGCAGTAATTGCTTATTCACGACACGTTTGCCAAACAAACCTGAACCAGAATTGGTTGATAGTTTGTGTCCAAGACTAAACTTCCTGAATTTCATTGCAATCTCAAGAAATCATCGCTTTATCTTTGCAGAGCTCGAGCCGAGCTTCCCCACGCGTGATGTCACCATCAGACGCGGCGCCGATGCCAAGGAATACTACGAGATGATCAAAGAAATTGGCAGGTGAGTGCAGATGTGCAAAAACTTTGTCACTCCCGCGCGTGACTTTTCACTGCATTTCCCCTAGAAAACCCCTAAAAAGAAGTCTGTAAGTTTTTTTTACAATGGAAACTTCAGTCTCAACTTTAGTGGTTGAGTTTTATTCGTGATGGGATTGCAAAGTCCACATGAGCGATGTTTGAAGAAATTGGGATAATAGCCTCATATTTTATCAGTGGAAGATATTTCCTGCTCGTGATTTAACACCGCTTAATGTGGGGTGACATAAAAATTTGATAAATAAATTTCTCACACACCGCATAAAATCATCATTCGCATGTTAACACCCTATAAAAGTGTCACATTTTTGCGTGTGGCGAGAAGTGCGAAAATGCGTGGAATGCATGCCAAATTCACGAGACAAATTGGGGTTCAAGTGCTAATTGAATCATAAATTGTTGAAAAATTTTCACGCGGAAATTTATCTATCAGCATCACAATTTCTAAAATGGCACTCTTTTTTTCTGCACACACGCAACTTTCTTTGCAGAGGCAAATTCGGCACAGTGTACAAATGTCGTGAGAAGTCGACAGGATTGGAAATGGCGGGAAAGTTCGTGCCAATCCCAAAGCGCGAGGACCGTCGAAATGTGGAACGTGAGGTGGAAATTATGAATTCACTGCATCATCCCAGGATTATTCAACTGTACGATGCCTTCGAGTTTGGCAAAATGATGTGTGTCGTCCTAGAGTTGTAAGTTTGCCCCGTTTACGCTAACCTCACCCTCGACAACCATTAAACTGTATGGCAAATAAATATTGTCTGGACGGAAAAGTTCCACGGATTAACTTGTGACCGGAAAGTTGTGCTGAAATCCTACTGAAATATTTCACACACTCAGCCAAAGTTCAATGGGAGGATTTAGGGTCCTTTTGTGCATTCAATATTCATAAAATATGCCGCTGCCTGTAAAATATCTCTTCCATATAAACAAGTCAATTTGTCTATAAACTCAATGCATTTCGCATAACTTCATGCCAAAGATCCGAAAATTTTCCCTTGTATTTTCCTACCTTGCAAATATATTACATTGAGGATGAGATGCGTGATACTGTAAAGAAGAAAAAAACTATCACGTTCAACCCTTAAATAAAATATGTCTCACACCTTCAGCATTGGAGGAAGCAACTTTTTATGGGGCCCTCATAAAATTGCTCCCTCGACTATGTGACCCACCCTCAAATCCCGGATGGTTACCTGAGGATTTGTGGAAGACGAGGGGTTATTGAGTCTCATGATGGATTAATTAGTCTGACGAATTCTTTATGTCTCCCCACAGAATCGAGGGTGGAGAATTGTTTGAGCGTGTCATCGATGATGACTTTATCCTCACAGAGAAAGCGTGTGTTGTCTTTGTGCGGCAACTTTGCGAAGCGATGGAGTTTGTGCACAGGAAGAATATCCTACATCTAGATCTCAAGCCTGAGAACATCATGTGTCTGACTAGAGAGGGAAATCGCATTAAAATCATCGATTTCGGCCTGGCCAGAAAATTTGATCCAAACAAGAAGCTTCAAGTAAGTCCTAGTTTCCCACGCTTTCCTATAAACTGAGCCTAATCTAACCTAATTGTCATGACCTTACCTTCAATCCAGGTTCTCTTCGGAACACCCGAGTTTGTTGCTCCTGAAGTTGTCAACTTTGACTCAATCTCCTTTGGAACGGATATGTGGAGTGTTGGCGTGATTTGTTACGTCTTGTAGGTATCCTTAAACCCCAACAGCCATCCTTGTTCTAACCCTAGACTTCTCTAGACTCTCAGGACTCTCGCCCTTCATGGGTGAAACTGACATCGAGACAATGGCAAATGTGACCATCTCAAAGTATGATTTTGATGATGAAGCTTTCCGGGACGTAAGCTCAGAAGCCATTGATTTCATCTCACAGCTCTTAGTCAAGGACGCAACAGTTAGGATGACTGCGTCTGAGTGCCTGGAACACATGTGGCTAAAGAAGCGTCCGCCCCGTCCGAGTCTCGCACCAAAACCTGTTGCTGTGCCCCCGCCAAAGTTCATCAAGGAACCTAGTCCTGTTCTCAACGGCAAGATCCAAGTAAGGATGCGTTTCTCATGTATACTAAGTTAGTCAGTCAGCACTTGTGTGTTCAGTTGCAGCCTGAGAAACTCGATACAACCAAGGACAACCTCAAAACCTTCGTTGAAAGATGGGGAGAGCATCCAAATAGTCCCTATATCTTCGATACGGACACTCAGTTCATCGCACCCTTGTCCGAGGATTCAGGATCCATGTCGACTCAGCCGATCAACGATGGGAACCTATCTTCTCGAGGTAGATTTACGCGTTAACAACACATATAAATTGCTGAAAAATTTATTACTTTCTATTTCTAGGCTGCTCACCATCGCCTTGTGGCTCAGTGAGCAGTTCACAGGACATTGAGGATACAGAAAATGAACTCAAGGACCTGGAGAAGCTCAGTCCTGAGCTTGTGAATGGAGACGAACACTGGTCTGAGTCACCTAAGCCGACAAATAAAATGTTTAGGGAATACTTGCAATGCTTCGAACGCAGGAATTCAGACAGCAATTTTGTACTGAAGCACAGCAACAGCATGGAGAAGATCAACCTGGCAGATGAGATCAAAAAGCTATCAGATCGTCTTCTTATGCTGTCCGCCATGCCAGCCGACAAGGACGTGGAGAAACCAAAAGATAAGGAAAAACCGGAAGTGAAAGAGAAGCCAAAAGATAAGGAGAAACCAAAAACAATGCCAAAACCCAGTGCGGACAAGTCACCAAAGATGACGCCAAAGAAGAAGCCTGAAATTCCAGACAAGAAGACCAAAACGAATCTCTTAGACACCTTCAACAAGTCAATAAATCAGGCGAACAGCGAAAGAAGTGAAGTCATCAGCAAAACATCCCAGTTCTCGCGATCGAGAAGTGTTGTGGGCAATAGTTTGATAAGCAGTATCACAGAATCCCTCTCTAGACACACTAAGACATCCGTTAGCATCACCAAAGAGGCCAAGATCAACGGATTCTCAGAGAGACTGACCAAGACCATCGAGGAGACGCCAAAAGTTACCACGACAGAGAAGATAATGACCCAGAAGTCTGCACCCATAGGTGTGCCCTGGGCCGCGGGCAACAGAAGAACAAAGTTCCGCATGACACAACTCAGTCGGGACGTTCCGCTGGGATCTCCGCACCAACACCAGCCAATCTACATCGAGGAGGCGGCGAATACCACCAAAGACTGCCTCCTGCACCTCCTGGAGAAGTACAGCGGTGTGAGCGAGAGTAGAGCGCCCACAATGTCCACCCTGGGGCGCCATCAGAGCTTCTCTTGCGCCTGGGGTGTGGAGGAGGACCTGGAGCAGCGCTCCATGAACTCCATCAACGCCTTCTTCCAGCGACACGCCACACACGTGGGCAAGTCCTCCGTGAAGCAGATGCAGGCGGCCATCGAGGGCAAGGGAAAGCTCTAAAAAGCTCGATGCGGCACTCCATTAAAATGTATTCTAGCGCCATTTGTAAATACAGGAATTTAAGTTTTGAATAAAGTGAAAAGAAGGAACTTCAGTCGCCTCTCCTGTGCTTGACAATCACGGACTTACCCTTGTCCTGCTTCACGCGGTAGAAGCTGCAAGAGAAGGAAAGTTGTCAATAAATCTTATCAGTTTAGCTGAATTCTTTCGGGATTCCCAGGCAATACTCACTAGTCGAAGTTCCTGAGAGATTGAAGGAATGTCTCATCGTGCGTGATGATGATCAGCATGAAGTTGGACTGCATCTCACGCTTGTCCACGAGTCGGCTGAGCGCTTCGCCCAGGGACTCCACATTGGCGTAATCCAGATTCGTGGTGGGTTCGTCCAAGGCCAGGACGTTGCAGTTGAGACTGAATGTCTCTGCCAGGGCGATCCGGATGATGATGGAGGCCAGCACGCGCTGGCCAGCACTGCAGCGCCCTCTCATGTCGATCTCCACGCCGTTCTTCACCTGCACCACGCGATAGTTGTACGATCGCCTGCGATCCGATCCGGTGAGGGCGGATTCGTCCGTCTTGATCTGAATGAAGTCGATATCGTGGCCACGGTAGATCTCCATCCACAGATCCTTGATCAGCATGTTGATGCGCACCATCTTCTCCGAGTGGTACTTGATCAGTGCCCACTCCACGGCCATCCGGTACTGGTTCAGGTCGTTCACCGTCTTCTTCAACACAACAAGCTCGTACATCGCCGATCGATGGTTCTTCACGGCATCCTTGTACCGCGGCTCACTCAACTCCTTGTCCAGCCGCTCAATTTGACCCTCGAGCTCCGACTTCTGGCCCACAAACTTGCTGCTCTCCTGCACGATCTTCTCCTGCTTCATCTGAAGATCTCTCTTCTCCCTCGCCATGTTCTTGATATTTAGCCCGCCAATATCACTCTTCATCTCCGCATAGCGCTTCTCAAGCTCCTCCTCATCTCTCTGCAGTCGCTTCAGCTCACGATTATCCAGCAACTGTCTCTTGTCCACATCCTGCACCGCAATCGCCGTCTTCGTCTCATCCACTTGCTTTTGCAGCTCATCTAAATCCTTCTGAATAATGGCCAGCCTCTTCTCCGACTCACTCTTCCCGCGCTGCAGTTGCTCCAACTTCTGCTGCAGATTCTCTCGCTTAATCTCCCTCAGGGCGCGCGATTGTGTAGCAATCTCAGCCTTGATCCTCTTCATCGTGTCCAGAATCTCCTTCTCCTTCGCCAGCAATTCTCTGTTCTTCGCCTTGAGACGCTGTCTGGCCTCATTCTTCACCTCCATGTCACGATTCAGCGGCACCAGGCGACTCTTCGCCTCGCCAATCTCCTCGCCAAGCTGCTCCACTTGCGTCCGCAACTCCTCAATGCGCGTCCGGAGCTGCGACAGCGCCTGCACACCCTTCTGCAGATCTATTTGTCTGCGCTCCAGACGATTCGACGTCTCCCTGAGACCATTCACCTGCTCCTTGTGCTCCAGTAGCACGGATTCCTTGCTCTCCAGCAGCTTGCGAGTCTCCTTCAACTCCGCAGACAGTGCAGACTTCTCCAGTTGAGCATCTTCCATGTCCCACTTGGGCGTCCGCGAGGGCAGTTTCTCCTTGGCACACTCCAATTCGCTCTGCAGGCGACTCGTGAGGCGCATGACGTCGTCCAGAATGCTCATGTCACCCACTAAATTGCTGGCAACCTTCAGTTTCTCCTCAGGCTCCAGCAGGGTCATCTCCAGGTCCTCAATTGCAGTTATCACCTCACTCAGAGTCTGCACTGTGCTCTTCAGCGCCTCCTCTTTGCCCGGAATCTCCTGCCTGAGGCGCTCGAGCTTCTCTGTAACCGGCTTTAGAGCCATCAGAGCATCATACTTCTTCCTGAGCTGCTTCAGTTGGACATCAGTCTTGTCTGCCTTCTTCGGAATGCCCTGGATCTCCTCCTTGAGCTCAGAACTAAGATTCTCCACCTCGTCGGACTGCATGTCCTTGTGACACAGCGGACAGCACGGCGTCTCCTTCATCTTCTCAATGTAGATCTTGTACAGACTCTCCGATGACTTGAGGCTGCCGTGCTCCAGCTGACTCTTGTCAATCTGCTCCCGCAGGCGCTTCACAACTTCCTCATAAGGCGTGGTGTGGCACAGCTGATAAATCTCCTCTTCGCTTGCAGTCAATTCCGCTTGGAGACGCTTCAGCTCTTCCATTTGACTCTTCCTGTTGGCTTCCAATTGTGCCACGCGCTTTTGCTCGGTCAAGATCTTCGCATTGCTTTCCTGAATCTCACGTTGGAGTTTCTCTTGCACCTGTAAGTGAAAGAAGTCAGTGGAATTCAAGAGTCCAACAAGGAATAACGCGACATTTTACCTCCGTAACACTTCGGCGGAAGTTGCCAGTGATGCCTTGAGGGAAGAAATCCTTCAGAGCCTCCGCGTGCTTATTCCGGATGCGCTTCGCCTCCTGCTCGCGCTCCTCCAGCTGCTTCTCCTTTGCCGCAATGCCAGCCGCGCTGGAAGCAATTGTGCTGAGAAAGTGAATCTCCTCATCCAACTCATCGAAGCTCTTCTGCTTCCCACTCAAAGTGGCCTTGAGCTCATCAATCTCCCTCTTCGTCTCCTCCTCGTTGACTTTCTCCCTGAGATTCTCAAGATCCTTCGCCACTCTGGCAATCTCCACTTCCAGATCTTTCAGCTGCGCCTGAGAGCGCTCAACATCATCAATCTCCCGCTGAATCTTCTCTTGATCACTCCTCTTCTCCTGCATTTGGCGATTCTTGCCCTCAATCTCACTCTCCAGCTTCGCAATGCCACTCCTCAGATCATCGATGGCCTTCTGGGCGGCTTCCTCCGCCCGCTCGTGCTTCGAGTGCATCTCCTCAGTCGCCACACCCTTCGCATGGATCCCATCATCGATCTTGGGCAGAATCTCCTCCACCGCCTCATTGGAGTTCTCCAGATCCTGCGTCACGACGATTCTCAGCATTTCCGTCAGCTTCTTCGCATTCCTCGCCCTGTCGGCACTCAAATTCTGCTCCTGCGTGATCTTCTCCATCATGAGTCGACTGTTGATTTGAATCTGCGTGATGCCCTTCTTCAGTTCATCCTCCTCGCCACGCACGGACGCCCAGCGCGTCTCCAAATTCATCAGCTCATCTCTCTTCGCCTGCATTCGCCGATCAAAGTTCACAATCTCCACTTCGAGCACTTCCAGTCCACCCTCGAACTCCTCCTTGATATTCTTCGCCAGAGCCTCGCGGTGCTCCTTCTTGTTTTTCAGCTCCGTCTGCAGCTCCACCAGCTTTGAGTGCAACTTGCTGTACTCCATCTCGATCTTGAGAATCTTCTCCAGGCGCTCCTCTAGCGGCTGCTTCTCTCTCGCGCACTGCTCCAGACTCTCGGACAGCTTCCCGCCGCGCACCCTCAGCCTCTCCATGTCCTTCACCTTCGCCTCTGCGTCCAACTTATGACTCTCCAGCAGCCGCAGATCGCCAGTCTTCTTCGTGATGCGCTCGGTGTAGCTTTTGCGCATCTTGATGAACTTGTCAATCACCTTGTTGTACTGCGTGGTGTCGAAGATGGCGTCGAACTTCTCCTTCAATCGCTTCTGCTCATCCAGCGGCCAGCTCGAGTCCTCCTGATGGCAGAAGATCACATTGTTGAGAATCGCCTTGGAAACGCCCATTATGTCGCACATCTCAGCATTCATGTCCGCCACTCGCTTGCTGAGCGATCCCTTGCTCTGCCCAACTCCCGGACAGAAGATGTTCACGTCAACAGTCTCGAAACTGGTCTTGGTAACTCCTCGCGTTGTCTTCTGCGTGCACTTCATTGAACGCGTGACAATGTGCTTCGTTCCCTTGGTGTCGCGCACCTGAAAGACACCGCAGCGATTAGCAACACTCTCTGAGCCTCCTCTGCAATCCTCACCTGGAGCTTCACTTGACCCAGACACTCGGAATAGTGGTCAATCTTGGGATCGTGCACAAAGCCGGCTCCTCTATCCGATCCGGGAGGCATTTCTCCGGTCAGGGCGTACTTCAGACACTCTATAATCGTTGTCTTGCCACTCCCATTCACCCCCACGATGAGAGACAGCGGCGAGGTGAAGCTGATCTCTTGTTCATCGCCCTTGTGGGGCCCAAAACTGCGGATTCCCTGAATGAGGAGTTTGTCGATAGTCGACATTTTGGACGTAATTTACAATCTGTTGAGGGAAGATTCAATGGATAAACAGGTCTGAGTATCTCATCTTCAATCTCTAATAGAGTTTCTCAAGAAATAATCTGTATTTACCAGGATTTTCAACAAATTTGAGACCACCTTTCTTCACACTAATGACAATCTCGACGGTTTTTAAGGTTATGTTGAGCTTCCCGCGTGAATTTCGCCATATGCTACAAAGCCACGAAAAGCATATGCTGCATCCATATGAATATCGAAAGAAATTCAGTGGATTTGAGGAAAATACGGAAAACCGGAAAAATCGAGCAATTCTAAACTGTTTCACAGGTTTTTCTTCCTGCTAAAGCCCAGGAGAAAGGAAAGGTTTTCAGCAATTCTTCTTCATAATTCCTACTCTTTTGTAATTCATCAAAGAAATACGCTAAAGTAAAATCATAAGAAAACTATTTTGCTTAAGAATTTTATTGAATTTCCGCAGTTTTTGTACAAGTACAAATGAAAAATTCCTCCTTTACTCACTCCTACCACAAACAATACCATAAGCTGAGTCCACAAGCGCTTTTCCTTACAATCTATTTACAAAATGGCACGCGATAAAACGCAGAAGTCAATTTTCCGAATTGAAATTCACCAAGAAAATCCTCATTACAAACGTCCAGGAATCCATCCTGGGCAACCTCTTGCTCTCACAATCAGAGCGAGAAGACACCGGGAAGTCTTCCTGAGACAGAAAAGCATTATGTCTCTAAGTAATGAAAGTGTTTCACTCTCTTCTTATCGCCTAAAATCTCCTTAAATCCTAATTCGCAATCATTTTCGTTAAGATAATCTATTGCACATTCACTGTTCTGTGACTATTGTTAAATTAACGAAAATAATAGCCATTCGCCGTACAAATCCTAACAATTATAACTCTCTCGACTCTAATTCCGTTGGCCAGGAAGTCCTCCAGCACGCGCAGTCTATCGAAAGGTGTGCAGGAAGTTCACGGAAAAAAGCCACCCAAGAAATCACATTTAAAATAATTTCTAAATTTTATGCCTTAAAAATTATTTACAATTTAAGAATATTGAGTGGCAAATGATGAGCTTCCTGTTCAGCTCTCTCTCTCTCCCTGAAGTCTGACTTCCTGGTCAGCAGATCACAAAGAAATGTTTTCTTAGTCCACAAGCTAGAAAGATTTATAAAATAAGAGAAATCTTGCATCGCGCGTCTCTTCTTCACTGCGACAAGTTGTTGAAGCGCATTCGCTTCGCCGCACTTCCGGACGCCGTTGTGGCCTTCTTCACGGGCGTCGGCGCCAATCTCTTGCGCTCCTTCAGGAATTCTGCAATGGAGAAACAGGAGAGATAAGATCAGCCATCTGTCGTCTGACGCACACACGTCGCCGAAATGCGGGGGTGAAAACACAACTCAGGAATACGAAATGAGCGTCGCGCAATTTGCATTTAAACCGTCCGCGCGCGGCCCTCATAATCAACCGCAATCATCACGAGACGAACATCTGTGTGACTTATGGCGATGCCAGATGATTCACTGATTGTCACGGAATCTCCCTTCTTCACGGCGCACGAGGCAAAATCCAGAGGGTGCGATTTTTGAGCTTCACGAGGCATGAAATTTATGCACGCTATGCAGCGAAAGATGGGCTAACGCGATAGCGTTTATTCATAAGAAGCGCAGCAGAATCTGTTCTTAAAGCTCCAAGATTGAGTTACAGAGTCAGTGGAGGACTTGTCCTGCTAATTCTCGCAAAAATGCGAGAGAAACACTGAATAGATTCATTCTTTGAATTCTTTTTAAGGAAAATACTTCAAATTCCCAACTTTCTTCATTAAATTGCGACCAGACACCAAATAAAACCCTTCGAGACATTTTTCTTTTTCTGCCCAGCATCATAATTACTCATTTTCATAATTGTCACGCACTTCTTCCGACTCACTTTCACATTAAATGCCTGAATGCCTTGAATGCCAATATTTCTTTATCTCATTGAGACAAAAAAAACCCTTGTAAATTTGCATTAAGACGATTTACTTACAAAAAGTCTCATGAGTGCTTGAAGGTATTCCTCGAATTGTCCTTTAGGTAGATTTAGACGATTCAAATTTCTTATAAGCATAAACAAATCTTATCGGAATCTCGCTTAAACATCAACATCTCAGCGACTTTCTGTGTACAAAACAGACCACAAAATGCGACTCTTCAATTAATTGCACTGCCGCGCTTTGACTTAATGCTTCAGCAGAAAAGAATGCTAATCGCAGAAATCCACTTCCAATGCCAAGTTCATTGTTTCCTCACGCGCGCGTCTTTTCGCCCTCATTCTGGCATTCAAACACCTCCAATTTATGCACCCCTCAAGACGCCCGCGTGCCGCAGAGCGTGAAAAAACCGTTGCGCCGGGATTGCATCGTGCCTTACCTGTAATCTTGGGCTGCCTGGTGGCCTTGTCCTTCTTCAGGCACCTGGAAGTCGAGCAGGCGGGCGTCATCTCTGGCTGGCGGTGCTCATTGTGCGCCCGCGAGTCCATCAGCTCCTGATCCGGGCTCACATCCTCGCTGTCCGACGCGTCTGAGCAGGTTGGGATCTCGCGACAGTGCGCCGCCCGGCTGAGGGTGTACATCTGGGGCATCACGGCCGGCGGCACGCGCTTCCACACGAACTGGCCGTGATCCTGCACAGGTTCTCCGCGCGAGAAGTCGAAGCCCCATCGCTTGGTGGCCTCTCGCTGGCTCTTGGTCAGCTCGCGCTGGATGAAACTGCGCCGGAAGGGAGGAAAAGGGGACATTTAGCAGGGAAATAACTCCAGGAAAATCATCTCTAGACTCACATTTTGGCATCCTCCTGATTCACCGGTCCAAACAGGTCCTTCTTGATCCTGTCCAGGACGGACTTTTTGGGCAACTGTCGCCCCATCGGCGAGTGCAACTTCGACAGTGGCTTGATCACAGACGGCGTCAGAACGCGTACATTCATCCTTGTTCACTTCCTGACCGACGAAAACCGTCCAAAATACACGAAATTTCACGGAAAAGTGTCCTTCTCACACAGCAAGTCTCTTCCTCAGTCACCAAAAGACCTCTTCGTGTCCCCCTGAAACACCCTTATCACATCCACTGGTACAGATCAGCGCAGAATCTCCGGACACTCCTTCGAGCTCAGTTGTGAGGTTATGTCCATTCCACAGGCAATCAAAATAGTCATAATTCCCGGAAAATCTTCACCGCACGCGTAATTTTCCACAATTTCACAGATCACGTCCCCAAATTCAATTTCCTGCTCTCTCCCTGCACTCCTGGCCAGAGATTTCCACAGAAATTCGACGAGTTTCTGGGGAAAATAACACCGTGACGTCACAGTCGCAGAAGCAGATATTTCACACAAATACCGTGGAAATGCAGCACTTTTCCACCATGCAGAGAGGCGAGAGGCACTTCTTGATGGCAATTTCGCGTGAAAAGGCGTCAAAATAATGCACAAAAGCGAGTTTAGCAGCGATCAAAATGCAGAACGACGCGATTCTCACGACAGTTGCAATGCTACTGAAGATTGAGCTTCGAAAAAACGAAAAGTTATCGGACGGGCGAGTTTACTGCGATGACGCGCTCTCCGAGGGGCGGCCGCTGCGGAATCGCGCGGGAAAAGCCGGTGGCATTGCGCAATGCCGGAGCTGGTGAGGTTCGAGAGAAACCAAGAGAAACTCCCAAAAATCAGCAAAAGTACGAAAGAAAATGAGAAGAAATGAGAAGGTGTGCTCAGAAAGGGGGTCTTAAGGTGTCAATCTACTATGTAATGTGAAAGTTTATGTGTTTTAAGCGTTTTAAAAAGGATTTCAGGAGGTTTTTGTCGTGATATCAAAAGGCGCGTAAAATCAAGCAAGATTTTAAAACGATTTCACTGGTCATCGGTTGAATTTAAGACATTTTACAAGGCATTATCTATTAGAATCCTGGTAGAATCTGCTAAGGCAACAATATAGAGATTTGCTTCACCGTTAAAACACAATTTTCAAAGAAAAATATCTCAGTCTATCAAAGATATTGACTTGACTTAACTTTCTGCATCAAATGTCTGCACAAGAGATATATTTTCATACAAACCACTTCTCTGCGGCTCACGGGAAGTGTTCTTCCCGCATTTCCTCGTGAATTTCCTGGCCAACCGTCGTGATCTGCACATTTTGTCACCACTGCGGGTGAGTTTTGGCGCCAATTTCACGGGCCGACGCGCGAATGCGGGCCGCTAAAGTGAATTCCCACGGCGCGAAAACCACAAGATTGTGGAAATTCTCACGCGACAGGTTGTCTTTCTCTCCCACTCGAAGTACCGAAGCGTGTCCTTCTGGCCACGGAAGACACCTTCGTGGGATTTCTCAGCACAGATAGCATCTCTCTATGACACTAATTGCGAATCTCAACGAACTTCTCTTCCTGTCTCTCAGGCTTTTACGGCCCATTATCGCGACATTGCGTTGGAAGATTCGTTACACTTTCGGCGGCGGTTTTCCACAGCGCGCAACTCTTTTTGTCGACAGAATGACGGATGATGATCAATCTGGGTCGATCATGAATAACACATCCTGATTGTCAACAGGATTTTGTGGTCAGAGGGGATGAATTAGTGATGCAATTAAGCCAATAGCGTGACTAATTGAGCAAGATTGAAGACTCTTCAGTCTTCCTAATTCTCACTGTGTGTTTGCAGTGAAATCCATCGCGATCTGTGGAGAAATGCAGCTGCTATTCATGCAATTCTATGTGGTCAAATAATCTCTCGATGAGCCACTAAATCATCGGAAATGGACAAGAAAACTGATAAATTTGCCTTTTGTGGCCAAAAATTGAGCCTCCAATGACGAGATGATCGATGTTTTCATCATTTGTTTATTTTTCTATCAAGAAACAAGGTCACTGGAGTGATCTTTTCCGTTATCCACGATCGCGAAATTCGCACAATGATCTCGCCAAGATCGGCCCGAAAGCAAGTGTTGTGTGTGAAAGACGGACCAAAAAGGAAAAGACAGAGAGCAAAAGTTGTAGCGTCTCCAAAAACAACGCCACGTGATCGCCAAAGCCGAATTCTGACCGTGAAGATCACTTTAAATGGCATTATAATTCCCTATTTCGTCATCAGCGCGCTTTCGCGCCAAAATTTCGCCACTGTGACGTCACGATCGGCGGTGATCGTGTGCGGCGATCGGGTTTGGCGGGAAAATTTTACACAGCGTGGGAAGAAATTCAAGTCAATTTGCACTGTAATTCATCACACACCATCAATTTCTGCTCATTTGACAATTTCTTTTTTTTTGGGCGATCAAAAGTTGCTGATCGAGCAGAAAATTTCGTGCCAAAAATTACAATTGCAAATAAACTTTCTGGCCACTTCCCCTGAAGGTTACAATAAAGATATTCAAACACACTTGACCTTGTGCCCAATTGAATTCTTTTTCCGTCACACAGTCCATCGAGGCGTTTTGCTTTGGACGATTTTTGACTGTGAGGCTGAATGATTAAATTGTCTCTCAACCCTTTTTTTGTCATTAAACCCTTCACGGGTGGCGAGAAGGTGAAAGCATGGAAAATGTCGAAGCCGGTTTTTCCTTTCTGTGTCCGCAAAGTCAATTGTCGTGTCATCCTGAAGATGGACAATGGCCAGAGAAAGTGAGTAAATAAATAACAATAAACAACAGTAGAAGAAAAAAGGAATCTCTCGAAGAGGCAAAATGTTCGTTTAACGGACACGCAAACCCCTTGGCAGTTCAGCTCCATTGGAAATCCAATAAATTTCCGTGTGAAGGATTGTGAGAAATATGGAATTTCAGGGCACCTGGAAATTGAGGGTGTTTTTCTCGCTGTACGATTTAATTGAACACTTTTGTGGGCCTTCATCGTCTTTTTCCCATTCACTCAGCCAGAACACCGAATGGATTTTGATTATGGGTGAAATTATATTGTGTGTGTGTGGGAAAAAACAGTGAAGAATTGACCCAATATTGCGCACGATTGCGCAGCAACGATTAATTTTTCATAACCGAAAAACTCCAAACTTTTTGCACAAAATCGACAATAAAACCAGCATTTTTACCAGCAGATCTGTCACAACTCTGGCATTGATTCTGTGATTCTCTCCGCACGATAAACCTGTCAGATGAACCCTTGTCGCGCCGAAAAGGGTGCGCAGCTGCCGCTCAAGTGGTGAAAGTGGGCACAAAAGAAAGTCAGGAGGAAAACCTGAAGCAATTATCATTTAATTCTCTTCACCCCTGCTGCATTTCCCCGTGTGTGTTTGCAAACGCTCGCCAAAGGGGTTGAATTAGCGCGTGGCCATAAAGTAATCTGATGTACGATCAAACACTCAAGAGTGTCGCGATCTGTCACAATAGGGGAAAGCGAGGCGCACTCACGAAGTCAACGTAGACTTTCAAGCACTCCTATTCTTCCTTGTATCTTAAGAGGTTTCTTAAAAGCCGCTTAATACATTGAAATCCTCCTTTTTTAAGCAATAAACCACAAAAAAACAATCATTTAAACAATTAATCAAAAGAAAATCACCAAAAACCCCGAAAATAATACCCGAAGAGTAATTTTGAATGAAATATCACAAATTAAACTGAACCTCCACACAAACGAAGGAAACATATCGACTAATATGGCAAACACTAAAAAGGACATCGCAATTTGAAGAAAAACAGCGACTCTCAGTGAGTGAAGAGGTGATATTTTCTGGGAGAAACAATTCTATAGTAACACGTTCAGAAGGTAGAGCTCAAAGGGTGTCCTCAATCAAACTAGCGCCTTTCCTCTCTCTTTCTCTCTCATACTCACGGCGCGCCGGACTCCACGAGATTGAGGCGCCAGGTGGTGTGGAACTGCGCCTTCACGATCTTGATGAACGTCTCCGGAAGGTACGAATGCAGGATGCTCTCCACCTTGCTCAGCGGCACAATCTCCACCTGCTGCGCGTCCGGACACTGCGTCCCGCCGCTCACCACGCCGTCCTCCATGATGCCCGGCACGGGCTTCAGGATGGGAATACTCTCGTCCGGCACGCGCTTCTCCTTCTTTGTGCTGGCGTCGCACTGCACCACATACAGCTCCGTGACGCGCAGCAGCTCCAGCGTCACCACCCAGGTGAAGGTGCGCAGGCTGCCGGACAGCCGGATCATGCCGCTGAGGATCATGTTGTTGGTGGTCGCCGACTGCGAGATGTACGTGGGAATAATGAGCAGCTTCCGCACGTGCACGCACTGGGCGATCTCGTCATTGAAGCGCGGCTTGATGTCGAAGTTCACCAGCTCCAGCTGCTGCAGACTCTCCAGCGGCGCCACAGCGCCCAGAATCGCCGACGTGTTGCAATTCACCTGGCCCTTCTCCAGGCGCAGCCGCTGCAGACGCGTGAGGCGCGGCAGCACATCCTTGGCGAGTGTCTCCGAGATGTCATTGCACTCGCCAATCTCCAGCGACTCCAGCATCGTCAGCGCACCCAGGATCTCCACCTTGGCGCTGCCCAGCTGCTTCACGAACGTCAGCGCGAGGTGCCTCAAGTTGTGCAGACTCCGCATCGGCGTCAAGTCCTTGTTGATCTCCACCCAATTCTCCGGCTTCAGGCGCAACTCCTCCAGTCGTGTGAGATTTTCCACCCCCGCCAAGTCCACCACGTCATCCTTAATGGTCACGGCATTCAGCACGCGCAGATTCCCATTCGTGCGGAACAGACTCTCCACCACGGCCGACGGACACCGGCACAGATCGATCGCCTCCAGGCGTTCCACGGAGCCAATGTGGCGTGAGAAGTTCGCCCACATCTCCTCACTGTTGCTCGGCGCCAGCATCTTGCGCAGATCAAGGCCCGTCGTGCCATGACGCCGCAGCGCCGACGCGAAGCCACTCCAGTCGTTCACCTGCGAGTTCTTCATCCGCACCGTGCTCCACAGGCTGGGATGATTGGCCGCCTGGTTCCACACGCGGCACACGCACGACGCCCTCAGCAGCTCCTGCAAACGACAGAGATTCGCGATCACTGATTGAACTCTAGAGAACACTAAAGTTCAGACAAACCCACCTTGACCTTCAAGTACTGGAACGTCTCCAGGAGCACATTGTAGCCCACCGCGACGTTTCGGAAGTAGTGGGAATAGTTGAAATTTGCACTCTTCACCGCAAGCGTTGGCGCCACTTTGCCACCCTTCTTCGCCTTTGCGCCGCCGACCGTTGTACTCTTCGCCGTGTCATTTGGAATCGCGACGCTGTCTCGCAGAATGTCAGAGTTCTGGCCAGTCGGCTCGCCTTTCCTCTTCTTCGCGTCCTCTTGCCTGCAAAAGAACACACAAGCCAAAACCAAAGAAAAGAAAAGCATTAGCAATGTACGGAAATCTCAATTTGCGCTGCATCGAGAGATTTTTTCTATATTTCCGGACACACTGTGAACATGTTTGGGATTTGCCACTATTGAGAGAGAGAGAGAGAGGTGAGGATGTGAGGGAGGTTTGGGGGTTGAGGGAGAGAACTTTTTGTGCCTTGAATATTGTGATGCTCCTGAAAATATACAAAAAATCCCCTAAATTGGCCCCTCCATCAGCACGCTGATTGATCACTTACTCCGTCCCATTGGCCGCCGCCTCGCCGGGCGGTGAAATACTGAGCACATTCGTCCTGGGCACGATGATGTACTTCCTGCCGGCAATTGTGGCGATGGTCTGCGGCGGTGTCTCGTCCGTTGGCATCGCCTTGGGCTGAGAGCGTGTCTTCGGGACGCTGGTCGACGGCACCCACGTCACGAGGTTGCCAGAAGTGTCCTTCTTCCCCTTCGTGGACGGCGTCTTCGGCGCGCTGACCTGCGGCGGCTTGTCGCTCTCCTCCTCGCCGTGGCAGCCCTGCCGGAAAAGCACTCATTGAGACGCACTCCTGTACACACACTCTCTCTCTTTTTCCACAGCTACTCACCTCGCAGATGTACCTGGCGTCCACATTGGCGCCCCGCTCCACGCCCACGCACTCGTGATGGTAGAGACAGAGGCATTTGCGACACTGCAGCTGCGGAATGGTTCCCATGGCGAGCACGCACTGGATCGTGCAGGGCTCCCCTCTGCAAAGAGGCCACACAGAGACATCGAGAGGGCATTCCCGGATGGGGGGGCGGGGATTCCGGGAGAGGGAAAAACTGGGGCAAATCCCTGGATTATTGAATGACACACAGAGCGACTTACTTGGCTTTCGATCCACCGCCGGAGGTGCTTGTGCCTTTCGGTGGGGACTTGCTGGGCAGCTTGGCGTCGTCCTTGTCCTTGGCCGGCGTGCCGCGTCCGAAGGGAGACTGCGAGCCCACAGAAGAGCGACTCTGGAAACACCCAAAATAATAATAATCCCTCGCACGAGAAAAAAGCAGTGAAACTCAGCGCGACTCACTCTGTTGAGGATCCGGATGGAGGCTGGTGGCGGAGATCCGCCCTTGGGTCCCTTGGGCTTTGGGATTCTCTTTCCCAGCGGACTGTCCTGACTCGGGGTGGCCTCGCCGCTCGCCATGCTCGCTCTCTTCATCGTGGCGGCGTTGGATTTTGCATTCCGGATGATCTCGTACTCCGGCCCGAGACCCAGCGGTTCCTTCACGAACGTGAAGTTGTCCAGCGTCAGGTCGTGCGTGAGATTCTGCTGAATCTCCGTCCGCGTGCGCAACTTCTTCGACGTGGGCGTGAAGTAGTACACTTCGCCCTTCTCCTTGCTGATTCCCGCCACCGCGCGATACACCAACTCGCGCTTCCAGCCGTACTCGAAGGGCTTCCGGAACGCCGGATCGTCCAGCTTCACCACGCCCGGACGCACTGGCGTGGCCTTCTTCGGCGGCGAGCTCACCTCCTCCTCGTCCGGCAGTTCCTGCTTGATCGTCACGGCCGGAATGGCGTTGTTTCGCATCCGCTTGCTGCGATTCCCGCCACCAGCGCGCCCCAGGCCGCCCAAGCTGGAGCCATTGTCCTCGAAACCGGCGAACTCCTCGTCGTCATCGTCGCTCAGCGTCACCGGCTCCGGCTGGGTCTTCCGCTTCACGCCCTGCTCACTGACGCCAACCTCGCCCTCGTCCGGCAGCTCGGTCTTGATCTGCGCCACCTCGACGTCTGGCTCCTCCGTCTTGATGGCCACCCCATCGAGTGTCTCCGGCGCCACCGGAACGTCCATTTCAGCGCAAAATCGGGGCCCTTTCTGTGTCGTCTTCCGTCTCACGCAATCGAGGTTAGGCGTCTGTGAAAACAAGCAGCGCACCAAAACGCCCCCAAAACATCAGTATAAGTCACCCAACCGCCATCCAGCACCGCCACGAGAGCGCCAATTACCTGTAGAGGTGCCGAAACATGCAAATTTCTTCACTGTTTCACAGGAAAAAGGCTTGGGAAAAATGTTCGCCAAAAAATCACTCTGACAACTCAAAATAAGCCGCCATGTTGAACGCGTTATCACGTATAACAGAATGAAGTTGGCGGTGAACGTGAAAGTGGTATAAAAATGCATCGAGCGCGCGAAGAAATGCAAAGTCATCACGTTCACAGCTATTGTAATTGATACAATTAATTTCCCTACTCGGCCTAACAATTCTACGCATGTGAGATTTCTGTTCTTGAAAAACATTGGGAAGCGGAAAAAAATATATCATTTATATTTCATTCGAAAACAATTTTTATTTCCATTATACTTGAATTGTTATTGAATAAATGAAGACTCTAACAATCTAATTTTTTTCACATCAATTTACCACAATTTCACATCAATTTCATGGCTAAGGGATATTAGACGTGCTGTTACGTTGGTTAAATATTGTGTGCAAGCGAACAAAGACTTATCATAAGCCTAAAACATGAATGGTTTTAGTAGAATATTATTTAAATGTCTGAAGAAGGGCTCCGATTGACAAACCCATTTTCACAACTTGAAAGTACATCACAATGTTAATGTTGTACATTCCACCTGCCTTGAAAGCGAATGGCGTTTGTGCCATTCGCATCATCATCAGAATCATCTTTTGATCATCAATTGTGCATTCGTACCACTTTGTCAGGTAAATATCAGAGAAAATACTCTCGCTTTTAGAATAGATGAATTCCCCAAAAGCACAAATAACAGCAAATTGGCAAAAGCAAGCAATTGAAAGCATTAAGATAGTGAATGAGAAATTGTTTTGCATGACAGCAATACTGAAGAAAACCAACAAAGAACTGGATCCAATTTGAAAGGCGAAAGGATAGTAGCAAATATAGTTGAATTGATTAAACTTCAGCAATATGTCGCAGTGCAATAAGTAGATAATTCTAATAAATTCTTTCACATTTCGCAGTTCTGAATTGTTAAGATGTCGAACCATCTCACGAAAGATGTTGAGAATAGCAATAAAGTACAAACCGATGCAGATTAGCAGCGCATCAGCCAGCATAATCATCGGACATGATGTTAAGAAAGTAATCGTTTGATGGATATGTTGTGCCACCAAGAATTGACCGTTTGCACGTTTTGTCCCAACAATGGCAAACATAATTGTGTCACTGAACATGCAACTGATGATCATGAAAACCGCAGTTGCGAGATACATAATGAAGACAGTTCTGGAAATATGGAATAAGAAAAAATAAGTATAGGTATGAAATAAAAGCACTTACTTACTTCACAATGAACATTGCGACAAAGGAAATCTGAGTCATGTGAAAATTAGACGTTTTGGAGACAAAATCAAGCTTATGAACTCTGTGAAGATTGCGAATCCACAGCAGAAGATCCTCAAATTCATCCTTATACTTAATTGCTGATATTAATTTGACTAACATTTGCACCGAACCAGAGAGAAATAACAAAATCAGAACTGATTCTGTGAAATTCTGGGAAAAGCCCACCAAACCACTAATTGTGCTTGCGCAAATATAGAGAATATAGGCGGGAAAGAAGAATTTCAAGTTGTCTGAATTCACTTTGGGCAAGAATGAGAGATGAACAATTTTCTGGCATTGGTTAAGAAGCTGCTCAAGCTCCAAATATTTGGAAAAGCACTCAATATATTCCACCATTGCAATCACTCTGTAAACTGATGAAAGAACTTGATTTCCACTTACTTTATCGCACTAGAATTAATAGCGAAATAATTTATTGATGCGAAAATTGACTATTACACCATTTCTAATCGCGTATTCAGACTATAATTAATCCATCAGAATGCGTCAGAGAAATTTACACGTTTCTTTTCTCACTATTCAAGGTTGCTTAACACCTGTGAGAATGCATTTAATTGACAATTATTGTCTCCGTCGGAAGAATTCCTACTGACAAAATAGGTCAAATGCCATGTACTCAACTCGTCACTTAATTAAGAATTTATTTCAAAGTTTCGTAAGAATAGAATATCAATTTGTGGGCGGAATGTTTTGTGTAATTATGATTTTTTAATGAATTTAATAATAAAGTCATTCATTGAAATCCGTTCAACTGACCGAAAAGAAACTGACATGCCGAAAAACTTGTTAACCCACTGATGGTCATCTTAAGAATCTCAGCTCATTTAACATAGCGAATGCCTATGTTATATTTCTGAAAGTGTCCGCCAAACGTCCAAAAAGCAAATTTTAATAGAAATACCAGAAATACATGATAATTTACATTTATTCAAGCATTTATTGGGATTTTTCTTCACTTTCATCTTTTCTGAGATCTTCCTTGGATTCTTTTGCGTCTTCCTCAACAATCTTCTCTTCTGACACCTTTTCTACCTCCTCTTCTGGTGCTTCCTTAGGAGACGCATTTGCCTGTTCCTCTTCAGATGGTGAATCTTCGCTTTCTGGTTCATTCTCAGCCTCCTTCCTTGGCATTTTCACTCTGTCTTTCGCCCTGGCCTTCTTCTTCAGTCTCTTAGCGCGCTTCTTCGCTGTCTTTTCCTCCGCTTGCCGCTTGTTGTCCTCCACCTTGTCCTGGTACTCAACGTTCAGCTGCTCCCGCTTGCTAGCCTCGGAGATGTGTTTCTGCCGGGCGTATTCCTTCCTGCGCAGATGCCGGTAGACGTGAAACTCTCCGGAACCCGCGCCGGCACTCGATCCCATTACGTTCCTCACGAACGAGGGCACTGATCCCAGGTGGTCCTTCTCCCTAGGCACCTCGGGGATCATGACGGGCTTATTCTTGGGAGGAAAAGCAAGAGGAAAGGGCGATAAAAACAAATCAAGAAGAGCAATTTTCTCATCATCTTACAGGATTGTTCATGAGCTTCTCCAGGCGAATTCTCTGCAAGTCCGATGCCGAACGCACGACAAACTTTTTCTTCTTCACCACCCCCTTTTCATCGCTTTCCGGCTCCTTTTCCACCTTCTCCATTGCTGTGGAATTTCCTTTTCAGATTGTTTGTTTTTCTTCAATTCCTCTTCACACTGACATTTCTCACGCGGCCCACGTTTCATCTGCGCCTCACTTCGCGCCGCATCGGGCAACACTACATTGTCGGTGGAAATTTTGCGAGTGCGGGTTTGATTCGGTGCTGAAAAGTGCATTTTTCCCGTGGAATTCATCGTGAAAATCGTGTAAATTTGTGCAGATTGCGTGCGTGACTGCCCCCATAAGCATCTGTCGACACCTGTGATGGCCCAAGACGCCGTGGATGTGCCCCAAAGTGTGCCGGATAACCAAAAAACAAAAATCGATGAGGCCACCGTCACAGTGAACGCCGTTCCCGAGCAAAATGGCAAGAAAAAGGGTGAGATTCTCCACATTTTGCCACTGTTGCAATTATTCCGCATCCTCTGTGCATTTTCCGGCCACTTCCGGGCCACTTGCCACCACGTGCTCGCCCCACGGAGCCTCCAAAGTTGCCATTGTCACATAATCTCGAGTGTTACGTAATGGTGGGAATTTCATGAGACCGTTCAGGCATTGCAAAACCCCAGAAAATGCCATCAACTCTCCTCAAATTTCCTCGCATTCCACCCTCACACATCTGGAGTGTCCTCACCGGTAACCAGTGTGCCCCAAAAGTGTGTCGTTCAGGTGAAAAGTGCGTGTTTTTTCGTTCCTCTTTGGCATCTCGAACATGTGACTTTCCTCTCGCTCTGACGCTCACTTCACGTTCTCTCTGAATTTCAAATTCCTTCCGTTAAAACCACCCCTCGCTGGCATTTCTCTTTCGCTGAGGCTCTCAGAGAAAAGGCTGTAAAAAAGGCAATAATTGAGCAATTATTTGATTTTATGGACCCTAAATGTTTTCATTGCCGCACGACTGGTGACTTTCGATGGCGAGAGTGACCGAAAAACGTGCTCTTCACTCTTATTTCTTATCGCAACAGCAGCACTAAAACCTAAGCAAATGTTTGACTGAGGCGTCGACAGACGAGATTTCTTTAGCATCTCACTGCTAAATGGTCTTCCACTGCCTCTAATTCACACTGGCATCGTCTCTAGGGCTCGAGCGGGCAGTTTATTGCACCCTGGAGAGCCTCAAGTCGCTTCCGAAACCCCAAGAAACTCGCCTTTGATCGCGAATTGCTGGAAATATATTTTTTTATTTGGCTTCTTTGGTTTCAAATGAGTTCATTTACTCAAAATTGAAATAATATTCGCCATTAAAGTGGTTTTGTCACATTAAAACTACTCAATTATAACAATTATTGTCTTTATTACTCATTAATCGTCATACTTTGCTGTATTCTTTTTCTGAAAAGATTTCAAATGCTTCAAATGGTGCTTCTTTTGTGCTACTTAGGATACTTTCAACATTCTTGATTTTCCAGTTGGGAAAACGTGCCGAAAAATGAATCCAATTGACCGATAAATCCAGCTAATCCACTATTAAATACTCTGTCGTCTCTGCCATGTGTGTGATTTTTGGGTGTCGAGTGATAAATTTACAGCCTTTATCAGTTAAATCCACATGGCAGATAATTTCATGCTGTAACTATTGGGAATTGCCCTGGAAAAGGCGCACTTCCTCCTCCTCGTTTTTCACTTCGAGTCCCTCCCAATTGATTTGAGCTGCGTAACTTTTCATTCACTTTGGCATTGAATTATCTAATTTTAGTGTTGACAGTAATGGTTCTTCTTCTCTCTTTCTTCTCTCTCTCACTCTCTGTGAACATCTCTTCTGGTCTTCCTCGCAAGATACAAGTCATTTGGGCGGTTTAACAGACTCCGTGGTAGTTTATTAATAAATATCGTTCACTGCCTTTTGTCACTGATATTTGGTATTTTCACTATTCACATTTCGTTCTTTGGAGAGAGACAAATTGTGAAGAGACAAATTTCACTTGCAGTTCGATGACTTTCTCTCTCTCTCTCCCTTTGATAAGAGTTTTGTGAAATGTTTCTAATTTTATCCAGGAAAGAGTGTGACTTTCTCCAGGAAGTTGCAAGAGAATTGATGTGTGCGCATGAAAAGTGAATTTTCACATGATTTTCTAATCGCAGACGCGATAACTTCTGACCTCTCCTTTGTTGCCTGTTGTTCTGCTGCATGATTTGGGGTCTCTGAAAAGTGTCTCTTCTTTTCCTCTCTCTGTTCAGCAGGCGGGAATGGGAAGAAGCGACAGCAGGAGGGAAAGTCCTCTCAGGACGCCACTCCGGAAGTCGTGAATGGACACGATGGCACCGTGGCGACGAATGGACACGACGAGGCGAAGCCTGGCGAGGGTGAAGCGGGCGAGGATGTGCTGGAGTTGATCCAGGATTCGGGATTTACGGTGCAAATCATCAGTCCGGGTGCGGAGCCGCTGTCGATTCAGGTGTCGAGCATGGAGCTGGTGCAGGAGATCCACCAGTTGCTGATGGACAGGGAGGACACGTGCCATCGGACGTGCTTCTCGCTGCAACTGGACGGCGTGACGCTGGACAACTTCGCGGAGCTGAAGAACGTGAAGGGACTGAAGGAGGGCAGCGTGCTGAAGGTGGTGGAAGAGCCATACACGATGCGTGAGGCGCGCATTCATGTGCGTCACATTCGCGATCTGCTGAAGTCCATTGATCCGGCGGACGCGTACAATGGCCTGGATTGCTGCTCGCTCACGTTTTTGCTACACATCACGCAGGGTGATTTGCTGGAGAAGAAGAAGACACGTCCGGAGAGTGTGGATTGCACGCCGCCTGACTACATTATGCCCAAGACGCGTGACAGACCAATGATGCCACTGCAGCCGGGTGTGAAGGGTGCAAAGACGACGCAAGCGTTGAAGATTCTCACCACGAGTGCGTGGAATCCGCCGCCTGGGCCGCGGAAGTTGCACGGCGATCTCATGTATTTGTATGTGGTGACGATGGAGGAGAAGAGATACCACATTTCCGCCTGTCCGCGTGGCTTCTATGTCAACCAGTCCACAGACGATGTGTTCAATCCCAAGCCGGACAATCCTAGCTATTTATCACACTCGCTGGCCGATCTGCTGGCCATGCTCTCGCCCACGTTCAAGCGTGCCTTTCCGCAGATGCAGAAGAAGCGCACGCAGAAGCACCCTTTTGAGCGCATCGCGACGCCCTATCAGACATACGCTTGGTGTTCACCGCAGCAGGAGCACACGATTGATGCCATCCGGGCGGAGGACACGTTCTCCAGCAAATTGGGCTATGAGGAGCACATTCCGGGGCAGACGCGCGACTGGAATGAGGAGATTCAGACCACGCGTGAGTTGCCCAGGAAGAACTTGCCGGAGAGATTGCTGCGCGAGCGCGCGATCTTTAAGGTGCACAGTGACTTCGTGACGGCGGCCACGCGCGGCGCCATGGCCGTGATTGATGGCAACGTGATGGCCATCAATCCGGGCGAGGAGACGAAGAATCAGATGTACATCTGGAATAACATCTTCTACTCGCTGGGATTTGACATTCGCGATCACTACAAGGATCTCGGCGGCGATGCGGCCGCTTTCGTTGCGCCGCGCAACGATCTGCACGGCGTGCGAGTGTACAGCGCTGTGGACGTCGAGGGATTGTACACGCTGGGAACAGTGGTGATTGACTACAGGTGAGTTAGAGGAATCTACGTTTGAAGTGGGATAATAAGATGACTTTCTGCACTTTCAGAGGCTATCGTGTCACGGCGCAGTCAATCATCCCGGGCATTTTGGAGAAGGAACAGGAGCAGAGCGTTGTGTATGGATCGATAGACTTTGGGAAGACGGTGATAACGCATCCGCGCTACCTTGAGTTGCTGAATAAGGCTAGTCAACATCTGAAGATCCTGCCGCACGAGGTGCTGAATGAGAAGGACGAGGCGGTGGAGTTGTGCTCGTCTGTGGAGTGCAAGGGAATCATTGGCAACGATGGTCGCCACTATATTCTTGACTTGCTGAAGACTTTCCCGCCGGATGTGAACTTCCTGAAGCTGGATGAGGAGCTGAGTCAGGAGATCAGGACACTTGGGTATCCCATTGAGCAGAAGCACAAGCTGAGTTGTCTGAGGCAGGAATTGCTAGACGCCTTTGTCGATGATCGCTATGTGACGTTCATCAAGCACGCGGCTTTCCATCTGCAGAAACTCAATGCGGCGAAGAAGGCGGCTGAAGTGGAGCAGGAGGCGACGGACAAGGAGGTGACAAAGCCGGAGGCGAACAACAATGTGAAGGCCGCGGAGGCGGTGAAGATGATGGAATCAATGGCTGAGGGTGTGATTCCGGAGAAATTGGCCACAGACTCGAGGGATGTGGTGAAGAGGGCTTGTGCAGCTGTTGGGAGTCTGAAGGAGACTGAATTTGATATAAGATTTAATCCGGATGTCTTTTCGCCCGGAATCAAGCACGTGGACGCCACCGAGGCAGCCAATTCGCTGCGCAAGCAGAAGCAATTGGTGAAAGATGCTGCTGAGTTTCTTGTGTTGAAGCAAATTCCGGCCTTTGTGCAGGATTTTCTCGATCACGCGTCAGCACCAATGGACGGCAGTACACTCACGGAGGCACTTCATGCCAGGGGAATAAATATCCGGTATCTGGGCAGAGTGGCGGCGAAGTTGTCGCAGGTGAAGTCACTGGAGTATCTGCACTCGATTGCAGTGTCTGAATTGATTCTGCGTTCGGCGAAGCACATCTTTACGGCCTACATGCAAAATTGTGAGATGATGTCCATGGCATTGGCGATTTCACACTTCCTGAACTGCTTCCTGGCATCGGGTGTGGTGGCAAATCCGCTGGTGGGTCTGGATGAGCTGCAGAAGGCGCAGAAGAGACGCGGCCGGCGTCGCAATGGGAAGCACATGTCCAGCGTGGGTGTGGACAATCTCGAGTGGGCGCAGCTCACGCAGAAGAGTCTCTGGCAGCAGATCAGGCGTGAGCTGAAGCAGTACTGGGACTGGGATGTGGCCTGTGACAATCTCGACAGTGCCGTGGAGACGTACAGACTGCAGAGGATCAGTTTGCTGAGGGCATTCTGCCTGAAGGTGGGCCTGCAGATTCTCCTGCGTGAGTACAACTTCGACGCTCGCCATCGGGCGACTTTCCACGAGGATGACATCCTCAATGTCTTCCCGGTGGTGAAGCACATCAATCCGCGCGCCACGGATGCCTACAATTTCTACACAACTGGCCAGAGCAAGATTCAGCAAGGATGCTTCAAGGAGGGCTACGAGCTCATCTCCGAGGCACTGAATCTGCTCAATAACGTCTATGGCGCGCTGCATCCGGAGAACGCTCAGTGCCTGAGGATGCTGGCCAGACTCAGCTACATCATGGGCGATCCGCAGGAGGCGCTCACCATTCAGCAGAGAGCTGTGCTGATGAGCGAGAGAGTCAACGGCATCGATCATCCCTACACAATTTCCGAATACGTGAGTCTCTAACTCGGTCACGATTCGATCATTCGTCAGGGGATTAATTGGTGGTTTTTCTTTTATCCTTGCAGACGCACTTGGCTCTGTATTGCTTCGCAAACAGTCAGATCAGCACCGCCTTGAAACTCCTCTATCGCGCTCGCTACTTGGCGCTCCTCATCTGCAGTGATGATCATCCCGACATTGCGCTCCTGGACGTGAGTATTGTGACAATCAGCGCTCTTTGGTGGATTAATTGAGATTGACTTTCTCCTTGCAGAGCAACATCAGCCTGATTCTGCATGCCGTGGGCGAGTATGAGCTGTCGCTGCGCTTCCTGGAGCACGCGCTGGCGCTCAACATCAAGTATTTCGGCGAAAAGTCGCTCAAGGTGGCCGTGAGCTATCACTTGGTGGCGCGGACGCAGAGCTGCATGGGTGACTTCCGGTCGGCGCTGAACAATGAGAAGGAGGCGTACGCGATCTACAAGCAGCAGTTTGGTGAGCAGCACGAGAAGACGCAGGAGTCCAGCGAGTGCCTGAAGCACCTCACGCAGCAGGCGGTGGTGCTGCAGAAGAAGATGAACGACATCTATTCGAATGGGAAGCTGACCACGGGCTTGCCGCCCATTCACATCCAGCCGCCGTCGATGGGCTCCGTCCTGGAGATGCTGAATGCCATCAATGGCATCCTGTTTGTGCAGATCAGGTGAGGAGAATTTACTGCGTCACGGTGTGCAAGAATCTCACGGTATCTCTCTTTTACCAGCCCGAAGGACATTGTGAACCTGAAGAATGAGATCGAGAAGCGCCAGAGGGTGACTGACGGCGTCCTTGGGGAGCAACAGGAAGAGATCGAGAGGATCATCTCGACGAATAAGCAGGATGAAGTGCCACAAACTTCCTCGGCGGCCGCGGACGCTCAGTCTGGCGTCGAGGAGGCGTCCAAGTGTCCGGAGAATCACGTGGAGGGCGTGAGCGCGTAATTGGGGCGATGAAGTAACTTTTGTGTAGGTTCACAAATTTAGCGCGCGCAGCAAATGAATTGGAAGAACGGGCGTTCTCGTAGTCAAGCCGGTTTAGTTGATCATCCAATACTCTAGTTTTTATCTAGAATTACTCCCTCGTCACCTTTTTCATACATCTTTTTTTTCTCTAGGTTTATTAGTGATTGTTTTTGTGAATTTAGAGAGCGATGAATTTAGAAGAGAGAAGGTTTCGGCGTTTGAAGGAATCATATGAGAAATGGAAGTTTTTCACACTATGAATGAATTATTCGATTATATTCTACCAAAAAAAAAACACAGCATCATCTAATGTATCATTATATCTCTTGGGGTAATGTTTTACTCTAGCAATCTGTTAAATATATATATTTGATTTTTACTATGAAAATCGAATAAATAAAAGCCAATTAATTGACGAGTGTTTTGTATCTTTTTTGGCGGGATGGAGAGTGAGGTTATGTTGTGGAAGCTTTTTAACTTAGGATGCAGAAGTGCAAAGTGCGGGAGTTTTCATGGCTTATTTTCATGTTTAAGGCGTGTTTTCTACCATAAAGTGATCAGTGAAGGTGTATTTAGTGCTAGTAACGTGTTATTTGAGCAGAAAAATGGTTTTTAGTGTAAAAAAGTAAGAAAATTGGTGAGTTGAGTCTCCTGAAATTTTTACCTCTCAATGTATTTTCCTAAATTTGAATAGATTTATCGTAATATTAGGGTTTAGAGTTTTTGCATAAGATTCCGGTCATTGCGATTATCTCCGGCGGAAAATTCATATATTTTCCAAATATTTTCCCTCCGCTTACCATTACTCTTTATCGATATCAGCGCCACTACGCGGTAAGCATGCGCAACGCGAGTCTTGTCACTTTTCTCTCCCTGACATCTCCGGAACTTTCTCTCCCCTGGACGGGGAAAAGAGCATTTTTAGTGGTGATAATAGTGAAAATTGCACATATTCTCACTGTGAAGTGATAGCAGAGCCTCCAGACGCCACGTTGCAGCTAAACCACGCGTGCAAGATGGTTTACGCGAGTGTTGTGCGAAGTGCAATTCCAAAGAGGATTCCCACCATCAGGTTCCGCAAGGGTGGCGACAGTGGCATGTCGTCGGCCTCTGATGGCTTCCTGGCGGCCGCCGTGGCCACGGGGCGGGGCCCCAGTGGCGGCTCGGTGAGTATCTCACGGCATGTTGTTTACATAATCGTGTGCTAATGCTGGACGACTTTTAGAACACACCCTCGCGGCCCACAATTGAGGATTGGCAGCTGCCCAGGCGGTACTGGCGCAAGGAGCTGGATGACAAGGAGATAGACTACATCAACCGAGGTGGTCCTGAGTAGTGAGATAGCCACAGAGGAGAGAGTCTCACGATTCCCTTCCGGAAGCGCGCCGTTGGGGATGATCTAGTCCAGGACACGCGAAGACAGCCTGAGAATCTTGAGCAATGCCTCGTTGTTGAAATTATGCCCCCATTATGAGTGTAAATAATAAAAGAAAATTGTATTGCGAAAATATATTTGCAAAACTTTCTCTCGCCGGCTGGAAAAATTGCCACTAGATGTCACTCTCCGTGGTCGCCGGGAATTTTTCCCGCCCAAAGTGAAACTCCAGCCTCTCGCATGAGCCAAAAGGAGGGGGAGAAAAAGAACGACAAGGAGTTTATCAGTGAGTAAATTTTATTATCTGTCGCTGTAAATCCACTGCAAATGCAAACGCCGGCCGAGACGGCGCGTTCTGCGGCTGGGAATTGGCAAAAAGGCAGCATTATCACACGCGAGGGTCACGCAAAGTGTCCCCGTTATGCAATGCGTCTTATCGCGAGACTGCCGGCGCCGCGGAGGCTTTTTTCGGGTGCTCCATGGCGGTTCAAACGGACGAAAGTCCCACCGACCAGTCATTCTCCCAAATACATGGACGGCCGTTGAAGACATTCGCCCGGTCGCACCTTTCCATTTGCGTCTCTCGAGGGCCTCAAAGGGGCGCCAAAGTCCTCACGCTGAGCAGAAGTCACACAACAGATTGTGGAGCTGCAAAGAGGAGAAGAAATACAGTGAATATTGATTCCTAATTGGACAGAGAGATGGTTTCAAACCACTTAAAACTGGCGTAAGATCGCGCAAGAGCAATACAAACTAAAGCTTTATCGCGTCGCAAACAAATCTGCAGAATCCTCAACAGCTCGGTTAGTAATTTGTCACTTAAGCTAACGAAAGGGCAAAATGAAGAATTGTTGATAAGGATGAGGAAATGAAGTAAGAAGGAAAATCTTTCCAAGCTCAAAAGACACCAAAATTAATTTTTCTATACGTTATGTTAATGTTATTATAATTTGCTAACTTTATTATTGATTTTTTGGTTTAGTTTGTGAGGCTGACGAATCTTTACATTTGAGTGTCTTCGTTGGCTTTTGATGAAATGCTTTTGAAATGAGTTTGGCACAAAGAATGCATGGTTTTCTTTTGAGACGTTCTTTGCTTTGCTAAAGAAACCAAAAAAAATTCTCTCGTTTTACGACCTTATTCTACACACGTCTTTACGTCTCTCTCGCAGGAAAGAATTGGCGCTAGAATGGACAAGAAGAGCTTATCGTACTCTTCACATGATGAATTTCATGGACTTTCGCACCGCGTCGAGAGAGTGATTAGAGCTGCGTGCTGATAAGGAATCAGGTGAGTCCGGAAAATCCATATGAATATTCCAAGAAATGATCGCGGCCTTTATGGTCGCACTTTTCCCGCCAATTGGCCGCAGGAAAAGCTGCGTATCGCGGCCGAAGAGTGGTTAATTAACATTTTATAGCTGTGCTTGGGTTATCAGCACTTTTATTTGGCATTTTCTGTGACTCCGCGCGACCTTTCTCCGGTCGCCGCTCAAGATATCTCGCGTCGATGCTCTCTTGGCTCGCGCGAATTTGAGCGAAAAAAAAATCAGAAACACTCTTTTGCCGGCTCGGGCGAAAAATCGCTCACCTTTGGCAGGAAACCGGCGCCGGAATTGGGGCGGGAGGGAGCGTGAAAAAAAAGTGGGACTGCAGAGCTAATAAAATGTGGAAAAACAGGGCAGAAGAGAGAGAGAGAGAAAAATGAGTGTAGAATTATTATTTTAATTTAAATATATATTTGCTCCGTTTGGGAGTGAAAGAGAGAAATTACGTGAGAGGCCACAAAACACACTGGAAATATCATGCAACATGCAATTTATGAATTTATGATTGAGACGCCTCTGTGTGTTGCATTAATAAATTTATGCATTTAAATTATGATTTTAAATTTGTACGACGCTGAACAAATGTGAAGTACAAATGATGGTTTTTCCTTGTGGCAAGGTGGAAAAATTCATCCCTCAGTTCGTGAAATTGAAGCAAAATTAGTGGGCTTTCCAATGACATTTTATCTGATATTTTAACCCAATTAAAAGTATTTGATTATGATTTTTTGTCACTCTTGATATTTGATTTTGTTTCCACAAACACACAAAATAGGGCAAAATTAGAGACAACAAATGAATTTTTATAATGTCTTCATTTTTGAGACCAGTCATTAAAAAGCAATAAATGCAAATTTCCTCCTTTAGCACAGCATTTTGCAATTAACTCCTTGAATAAATTACAATGAAACACAGAAAGTGTTTTGCTATTTTAGAGACTCTCTTCAACATAACAATCGAAATGATTTTATGTTGTGTCTAAAATGCCTTATTTTTTGATTATTTTTCTTTTTGAAAAATTGAACGCTATTTCCAGAAAATATGTCACTTTTGCCTTAAGCGCCCAATATTTCTTCATCGTCTTCACCGAAGAAAACTCACATTGAACTCAATTCCAATGAAAATTATTAATGTAATGAGAAAACAGTGCGCGCAATTCAATTCCATTCACTTTTTATCGGAAATTTATTGCACTTTTATCACTTCAGTGAAACCGGAGATGATTCTCTCTCCTCTTCCTGGGTTGACTTCTTGCAAATGCGCTTTTCTCTTCGTCTGAGGAGACTAAATATTTTATCGTGTCTTTTGTTGGGGGTTGAATTATTCGTTGCCATTTTCCCCACTGAGCCACCGGCATTTCCCTAAAAGGGACCTCGTGCATGAATTCCGAGAGATTTATTGATGTTTTCTCTCGGTGAGCGTGAGAAAAGGGTGGGTTTTGTGTGCACTTTTCCCCATGCTTTTGCCCGTTTTTGGGGGGAACGCCAAAAAGCCACCCCCGCGCGCCCTGACTTACCAAATGAGTTTTGTATTTTATAGATTCGGTACGGGAAAAGGAGAGAAAAAAGTGGGTGAAAAGTGCAATTTGGCAGTGGAAGAGGCGAAAAGTGAACCTCCTGAAAAGCTCTGCGGCGCCTTCGGGGAAAAAGCTTTCTCTCAAATTATAGCCTGTGCACATCACTGAATTCTCACATAGTTTCTCCCAGAGAAGCATTGAAATTATGGCAAACAATAAAAGGGAAAAAAGTATCACGGAGTAAAGAGTGTTTTATGAAAATACATCAGAATTGCATAAGACAATCTCATATTGTCATATGACAAAGTTAGACATTTGGCAGGACACTCGTTTTGGTAGTAATTTGACATGCAGTAGACTTCCCAGAATTGCTAAATATGATTGAATGTTCTGGAATTAGAGGTAATTTTTGGAACAAATACATTCCAATTGACAGTAAAGATGATAACGTGATAATTTAAACACTTTAAACAGCGTTTATGGAAATTAATAAACAATTAAGCCGAGAATTAAGCTCACAGTTGGTGAGTTCATAGATAAAGTGAGAAAAATAGCATTAAAAAACATTCTAAAGTAACGTTCTAAGTGTCTAAATGATTTTATTTGCAATTTACTTGAAAAAATAATTACTTCACAGAAATTTTTTCATAATTTTCGTTCTAGTCAAAACATAGGGACTTTTTATCAGAACGAAAACATTGCTTACTCTCTCTTTGTCACATTAAATACTGATTTTTTTTGAAGTCTGAGATGGATTTAATAATCTTCTGGACTACATATTAACATATCAAAAGGTATTTCTTGTGTTTTTCTCACCTCTTTCATTGAGTTCCATTCCGCGGTGATTTGAGGAAAAGTCCTTCATTCACTCGATGTGAAGCTCCATTTCTTGCACTAGCAGTGTTTCAAGCAATGCGATAAATTCTCTCAGTGTCTTCTTGGCTCAAGAATTGCGGCGGAAAATTGAGCAAAAGACTCAGAGAAGTGGCAAAAATGTAGAACACACACGACAAATTGAAGAAAGGGAGGAAAAAGAGCAGTGATTTTATTTTTGTCTGAGAATTTAAGCGTCTCGAGACGGGAAAATGATGGGAAATTCTTCACTCAGTTGGCGCTCAGTGATTTTCAATTAAAAAAAAGAGAGAGAGAGAGGGAAAAAATTCAAAAAGGGGTTGAGAAATATGAGAAAAAAATGATGATTTTGTCTTCTAAACTCAATTAATACGTCTTTGCACTGGTCTTTTTTGAGATGTTCCAACGCTCTTGCCTCAATACAAAATCATCCAATTAAGAAGTTTTGAGGTTTATTATCATAATTATTGTAATATAAGTTTCTTTCTCACTGCCCCGAATTCTCCTCTTCACTTCTTTCACGACATTTTAATGGTGTTCGCTGTGGATTTTTCCCTCATTCGCCACTTCTTGGCCATTTCGTGCCTTCATGCTGGCCGGAGTGTGTGTCTGTGAAGGATTTTCATTCAAGAAATGCTCGTTCACGAGATCACCAAGTGGAAAAAATGAATCGCACCAAATTTGGCGGAAATACTCTAGAGAGTACACTGTTGAAAATCGGTGTGCCATTTGCCACTTGGGTGGATATAAAGGAGAGTTCATCAGTTTTAGCAAAAAAAAAAATTCGTGACATTTGCCAATTTTTTTCCCCACTCTGACGGGGTTGAACAATGGGCCAAATTAGTCACTGGGTGCGAAATGTGGGTGGAAAAGCACACGTCAGGCCAAAGAATATCCGATTCGTGACCAAGAGTGGCCCATAAAGCGGCTCTCTCTCTCTCTCACACTCTGGCTAATTAACGAGCGATTGCGTCTTATCTGCACTTAGAATGTGACGTAAGCCACAGGGAGGTGCGGAGCGTCTTGTGGGGTGGTGTGAAAATGATCGGGGGCCAGAGGAAAATTCACTGGGAAGGCCATGAGCGCGTCACCCGTTCTCAGACGGTCAGCTGTTTCAATTAAATTTATGAGACTTCTTTATTCAGCAAATCAGCACCATTTGCTGTGCCAGAGCCAGAGAGCTCTGTCACCCGGACTTGGGGCCATTGATTGTGTGCCATATGAAAGAGAGACGGAAGGCAGAGAGAAATCCCTCCGGTTGTGATGTCATCTCGGACATGAAGTGCGCCCTTCTTGGGTGCCTTTGCCACTTCTGGAGCTCGTGACATCAATTAACACGTCCGACGCTTAATGTCTCTGGAATTCCTCATTCCACCATCTCGCGAGAGCCACTGTGAAAATCACTTTTTGACAGTCTTCTCACAAAGTCACTTTGCATTT